AAGCAGCAGTTTGGGTGAAAATCGTTTTCAAAGGGGGACAAACAGAGACTGCCGCAACAGCACCAGTGCCTACTTCGAAAAGCCTCCAGAGAAAGGGCCCATGGAGGAGTGGTATCGAAATCCTTGGACTGTAGACAAGTCCTCTCCGCCCCAGCAACGTCTGCCCTTTGCGCCGTGTTGCTGCTGCTGGTCGTACTGTTGTTGTTGGGGAGGTCGGGGGCAGCAGTTTCTTGGCGACTGCTGGTTGTAGTGCTATCCTGTTGCTGCTGTTGCTCTTGTTGCTGTTGCTCTTGTTGCTGTTGCTCTTGTTGCTGTTGCCCTTGTCGCTGTTGCTCTTGTTGCTGCTGCTCTAGTTGCTGCTGCTGTGCCGCGCTGCTGCTGCTACGCAGCCACCGCTGCCAGTGCAACAGATATCTGACGAAGTGTTGAGAGTCTAAGCGATCTACGAAGCGTCTGTTCGCCTCGGAGTAAATCCAAACCCCCCTGCAGCTGCAGCAGCGCACCTGCCCAGGACCCCCGCAACAAGGGGCCCCCCCCCCCGCCGTCGCTGCTGCCAGTTCCACTACCCCCGCTGCTGATAAGCCTCCCCCGCTGCTGCTGCTGCTGCTGCTCTGGCTGCTGCTGGTGCTGCGGATCGGGGGGCAGCACGTTGCAGCAGAGGAGAGAGCCACACCCGAACTGCGCCAGAGCCGTCAGCGCAGTGTGGACGTGCAGCCGACTTTCCAGGACGATGTGCTTGCAGCACGAAGGCGCCATGTCAGCTACCTGGGAAGTCGAAAGGTACTCCAAAAGCCTCTCTCTGTCTCTGTCTCGACTCCCCCCTCCAGTGTCTGCAGAGGCTGACGCAGCCGCGTCTGCAGGTCCTCCATGATGCACCGTGCCCGCATTACTGCCATCGTGTAGCCTGTCGGTGCCCCCGGAAGCTGCTGCTTCCTGATCTGCGCCGCTGCAGCTGAGCATGCGTGGGCAGGCTTGTGCCGCTGCGGCGGCAGTTACTGCTCCTTCGGCAGCAGAGACTGCTTCTGCAGCTGCCGCAGTCTTTGCCGTGGCAGCAGGAGCAAGAGCAGCAGCAGCAGCAGCGCTTGAGGGCGCTGGAGAAGCGGCCCAAGTTGAAACCAATCCAGAGGCTGCGTTTGTTGGTGTTGGCGCTTCTTCTCGCTTCACAGTCTCGACTGAAGCAGTGAGCAAGAGCGGCCGTCGCCGCTCGCCGTGATCCTCATCAACCATTAGCCTCCTTATCCGTCTTGCGAATCTGCCCACACCTGCAGAGTCGGCTAAGCTGCACTGGAAGGCTGCCGCGCAGTCGCGTGCTGCTCCTTGTAGCTGCCGTTATTCTGCGGTCCGCTGCCCCTTCTGGCGTGGGGGCTGCACGCTGCCGATGGTCTTGGTGCTGTGCTGCTGCTTGCGCCCTGTGCAGGAGCATCCTAGTTTTGCTTAGAAGCGTCTACATCAAGAGCACTACCGGCAAGCAAAGCACAGCGGTGTGAGCAGCAGCAGCACCAGCAGCACCAGCAGCAGCAGCCGGTGCTGCTTTTTCCGCGCGTGTTGTTTGTAATCTTGCTCGAATGCGGCAGAGAACGCAACCGAGACAAACCACATACATTAAAAGTGCCGCTTGTCGCTCTGAGTCTCCATTCGCCGCAAATAGCGGCGGCAGCAGCAGCAGCGCCATCCATGCCATCCAGGGAGGGGGCCCCCTGCCAGCAGCACAGCCAGCTACTCGCTGCAGCGACCGCTGCTGCTGTTGCTCCGCTATGGCTGCTCTTGTTCTGGTAACACCACTAAATGCGCCTCCAAACTACTAGTGCTACGCGTTTTTGATGCTGTTGCAAGTCTTTTTGTCCAGGCGTATCAGGCAGGGGGGCCTTGTAAACGTAGCAACAACAATAGCCACACACCCGCATGCTCATGCTGCACCTCCCACTACTGCCGCACGGCAGCCGACACTTGTCTGTCGGCACAGCCGGCGAGCGCAATGCTTGCTGCCTCCAGTTAAAAAACCCACAATCTAATTCCTGAACTCCACCAAATTGATGCCCTAAGTGATGAGTCTCCACAAAATTTTGACCGTCTCCTCACAGCCGGGGGCCTGTGCGCCGGTGTGCTCAAGTCGTTAGAGGAAGGCGCAGCTTTCGGCCCGTGTCTCTCGCAAACCGTGGCAGAATAAACGATAGAACTTCGGTTGCCGCAGCACGCTACAGGAGAAGACGAGCTACGAGAGGCACACTGCGACTCCTTGAGCCAGTAGTGGGTAGCTACCCGCTGGTCTCTGCAAGCGCGCCCACCGTGGGACGTGGGCAGAGCACGCTTGTAACCTCGCCACCTCTACGCACTGCATAGTTGCAATCCTACTTACTGGAAATCAGTAGAGAAGTGACGCAAAACCATAGTCCTACACAGTCTCGTAGAAGGGTGGACAGGAACCGTAGAGGAGTTACAGCAGGATAGAAGTATCATACAGGCGGTGGCGGAGCGGTAGCCATGCAAAAGGTAGCAGTTCCGAAGCAGAGCACAGAGAGAGAGGGGGGGCCTCATCAAGAAATCTACGATCCTCGGCCTGCTATGGGGCACCTCTACAGATAATGCGTTTGCAGCTGCACAGTATTGCGCATCGCCTAAAGTCTCCCCAAAACAGGAAAGCCTAGCCGAGAACGAAGCCTGAGAAAAAGTTCTTAATCGTCTCTCCCAAATTGCTCCCTTTGCCTTTTCTGCCGTTATGCCACATAGGATTCCAGCATGGGGGGAGAGAGCTCCACCCAACTTGACGCTTACGGTCTTCGATCATTCATTTGCACATGCACCAAGGTATAGCGGGCAAGCACCCAACGCTGAGACTTACCGTATTAAGCAAACCTTATGTTGCGGGAAACTGCGTTTAGGAATAAACAATAGCCAACTCTTACAAATACGTTGTCAAATAGGCAGTTTAGTCGAAACTTCCAAAGTGCAGCGTTGCTCAATTCACACAGTGCTGCTTGGGTTGAAGTTCGTAGTTCTAAGTTCCCTTTATCTGAGCTTTGCTCTCAAGCGAAGGAGGCAGCTTGGGATTTTTTTCAAGGTTTCGGCACCATCTGTGAATTCTTTGTGAACGCCCGGAAATGGGGATGCTTCGATACACTCAACCATCAAGTGTGCACTGAAGGGGCCCACAACAAAGACCAAACTGTTGCCTCCAGCTTATTCTAGTGGGGCACTACAAACTTCACGAGGAAATTGAGGCTTAGTATCAGGCAGCAGTGGCTATGCATGCCACCTTGCATTCCTGCCTCATACTGCGTTGCGGCAGAGGCACCCAGTGCGTATCTCGGTACCGCACAGCATCGACACGCATGACCGCAAGACAAGGCACCTGCTAGTTTGCCTCCAACAACTCTCATGGGTGTCTTTTCCCTTCCCCAGCGTGTGCTCTGTATGATCGCGTGCCGATAGCCGCTTGCAGGCCCCCTTTTACTAGATAGGGGGCTGCTGCCTGGTGTTCCCAGGGGGCACAAGGAAGGAGCCTTACATTGGTCTAAGCAGGAAAATGTGCAGCAATCTGCAGGCCTGTTAAGCAGCGCCTTCCTCTGACTACAAATGTTTTTTTTTGGATGTGCAACTGACGTCTGTTCGGTTGTACTCAACACTGACCAAGTTGTTGATCAAAAGGCTCAGCGTCGCGGGAAAACCTTCCCGTGAGCAGGCGATCTACACACGTGGCCTGATTGGTTTCTCTCTGAGTCTTCTCTTACTCTCTCTTTCTCTGAGAGGCCCATAAGGCCTTTCGTCGTTTTATGTCTGGAGTCTGGGCTGGCAGGTGCCCGAGGCAGTCTCTGAGGTCCCTAAAGAGCCAAGCGCCCTGCATTTCTCTGTTCCTGCTCTGAGTGGAACAGATAAACCATTTTCCAGATGTAATCCTGATGTTGAGGGCCCTGAGAATGGAGGTGGCATTCACAAGGATCCCCAAACAGAAATTATACGGCGCACTTGTGTGCAGCCGCTGACAAAGTCTATGTGGACACCCATCCCATCTCATGTCAGCCTCTGCACCCACTTTTGTGCAGGCAGAGCAATGGATCACACGAAGCACACCACGCCCTGCCGGTATTTTTCGGAACAGCAGCATCTGCAAGCCTCTCTCTCTCTCCTCTTTAGCCAGATGGCCCTTTGAGCACCGTGTTGGGTAATTAGTGCTTGAGTCCTTCGTTCCCCACAGGGGCCCTCCAGGCTGTTGAGGTGGAATGATGTCTCGATGGCGGTCGAGCGCCATTGGCTGGATCGAGAGCCAAAGACACCGTGCAGAGATCATGAGGGCAGATGGGGGGTTCAGGCTCCAAGCAGCATGTAGCTGAGCGGGGGTCGACGGAGGCAGAAGCGCTTGGGAGGTTAAAACGCCATGACCGGTAGGACATGCTCAGACTGTTGCAGCTGCACCCGATGATGCTGTCCTTCCTGCTTCCCCTGGCAAATCGCCGCGTCTGCTGTTTTTGCGTGGTGCCGTGGCGTCTGGGTAGCAATATACATGGGCATATATATACTTGCACAAAACGCGTTGCGTGCCTGCGTCTATATACGGGCTTATGAAGGCATATTATGCGGCTAAACTTCCTGCTACGTGGTTAGGACGCAGCGCTGGTGAAGGGACTGAAAAGAGAGGATATATAGGGCGTACGTGCTTAACTTAGATGCACGCAGCAGAGAATGTTGCACTGCAGTTACTTGAGAGAAGGTGAGAAGGGAGCAGGGGCGAGACGGACTGAAGGGCAACCTAGGGAAGATCACCCTCACAGAGGCTCCATTGCCCCATACTCTCTACCCACAGAAAGGCTCCCGCGAGAGCGGCGAGACAGGGAGGAAAACAAAAGACGTTAAGCGTGTGTAAATGTACTGGGCAAGGAAGGTTGTTTGACGGCTTTGAGCTAGCAACTGCATCCGTATGTGCGACCCCGGCCCGACAGTGGCATCAGGAGCAGATGCAGGCAGAGCTACTGCTGATGCAGTTGATGGGCGTGCCACTGCGTGTCTTAGCAGCGTTTGGGGCCGGACACTACGGAATATGATGCGGTCTTGACTGTAACCGCGGATGGATACAGCTTGCATTCGGTATCAAAAGTAAAGAATTCGCATTTGTCTTCTGCTTCGCAAGCGAGTTGACATATAGCATGATTCGGAAGCTTTAACTGCTTGATAAGTGTTCCTACGTAGGCCATCCCAGCACGTTGGCACTTGGGGCATCCAATCTTAGAGCCCGACATCGCATTTTGTTCTTCTCTCCTCCCCGTAAAACCAGTAATGGTCTTCAGCCAGCAGTTGCCATTGCCAGACTTATAGGTGTATGCCCTGCATTGGGGTTCGTGGTAGCAATCCTCTCTACAGGCTGGTTCACCGCCAGGTTTCTGCGCTGTTTTGTAAATATCTCCGCCGTGATAGTCTATATTGAGTTCGAGGCACAGGCCTGAGGTCTTCATGCATCGCTTGGGCCCTGAATCGAAGCTGGCAGAGGTAGCAGGAAGGATTTTAGGGCTCTCGTTGCCTGTCTTGAGATTGCACTGCAGACGGTCCTTATTGAAGGTCCAAAAGTTGCATTTTGGTGTTTTCTGGCATAATGCGAGGCAGCCTTCCGCGTCGCTGGGGTCGTTCGTTGTTATCACAAAGTTGCTGTTGTTCTGCCACATAATATTCCTCAGGATGCAAGAGGTATCTTCCACGCAGTTTGCTGGCCCCGAAATCAGCGTATCCCCCTCTTCGTCCCCTGCCTCCCCTCTCAGAAAACTGCACACCTTTGTTGCTGTGTCGTAAGTGAAGCGGCTGCATTCTTCCATAAAGGCGCAGCGCTGCCTGCACTCTTCTGCATTCTGCGTGTCTAGCGACCACAGCAAAACGCTAGCTGCCACACTGTATCCCTTGCCTTGACGAAAGCAGGAAGAGCAGGTGCCCCATCCTGTCCGTACAGTGTCTGCTTGGGGTTCCAGGTTGGTCAAGCAGGAGTCTTCCTTCAAGAAACACCTATCGTTTCCCCACCACGTGAAAATCACACATTTCGGCTCAGCCCTGCAGGCCTCGCGGCAGGCCTCTAGCTCCAAAGTTTCCTTCGAATACCAGGTCTTTTCTAGTGCGGGCGAGTGGAATCCGATGGTGTCGCACGCGCCAGGGCAGTACTTGGGGCCGCTTGTAATGCCCTCTTCTTCCCGTTCCTCACTAGCATTCTCAAACAGGTCACACTTTCGAGAAGCGGATGCAAAGCTCCAGGCTCCGCAGTTAGTTGTACTTTGACACCTTAGTTGGCACTCTTCGGCTGTGTCGAGGCCTTGTTCGACCGTGAGGAGCTCTTCGCTGGTCCTGTAGCTCTTCCCGGTCAGCATGCATTTCGGAGCGCATTCCCTAGGGCCAGAAATAGCAGTTGTACTTGATGTCTTCGTTGCCTCTGCCAAAGCTAAGTGCAGGCTGCACGTTCCGCTGGCAGTATCGAAGACAAAGGCCTCGCAAGAAGAGCGTTGCTGGCAGAGCATCTGGCAGGCAACAGCGTCCTCTGCTGATGCCGTTTCCAATACGCTCCCGGTGTAGGCCACATGCCTGACTGCACAAGACGGTGCTGGATCAATTGCCAACTTATCAACAGAGCAGTCCCGTCTGCCTGAGATCTTGTTCATTTCCGGGAACTCGATGGCCCCCTTTTTGAACATGTGGCAATCCCAAGTTAAAATGTCAAACGTGAAGTATGAGCAGCTTTCGTCTTCTACACAGAGGGCTTGACAGTGTGACGCAGACCTGGCTTGACTGGAGCCGAGGGACTCACCCTTGTATGCAACATCGTTTTCTGGGCATTTGAGGCATTCTTTGGGAGCTGAGGCGACGTTTACCCTGTGTTGCTTCCCAACATAGGGTGGCCCCTTTCGCAGCACACAAATAGAAGACAGTACGTTATGTGTGATAAAGGTACACTCTGATTCCTGAGAGCATCGCTCGCGGCAAGCCTGCGGCGTCGACGCTGGGAAACGCGCAAGTTCCTCGCCGGAGTAGTCACTGTTGAATTCAATACAGGTAAAGCCTATGGGGAAGGCCGGTTGGCCTTCAGAAATGTGCTCACAAGTTGCGATGTAGACGCTGACAGCAAAGGCACCTGCGGTGACCTGCAGGCAGAAGCGCGACCTCATCGTGATGCACAGAAAGGGGGAATAAAAAAAGAACAGACACGCCAGGGAGAAATAAGAGCGCTTAGAAAATGCAATCGAATATGTCCTAGAAACCTCAAGGACCGAGGTAGGAAAGGAGCAGCAAATCGCGCAGAGTCACTTTCCCGCTACCATCACCAGCTAGTGAGTGTGCGGGTGAGGAGAGAAAAAGGAGGTCTAGATGGCTTTGTCGGGAGCTCTTTCGCACCAAACTTAAGAAATATACTTTAGGATATATTGGCATATTCCATTAAATTTTACGAAAGAGCCAGAATTAAGTGTTTTTCCGCCATATGAATGGCTTGGTCGAGGGAGGCCGGGACGGTACTATCGAGACCCACATTGGCTTGATACAGAACCAGCAAATGGTGCTGTTTAAAAACCGCACCCCTCCACCTTTTGAGTAAAGTCAGTGGGATGGTTCTTGAAATAGAAAAACATCAAACTTTTAGCCAGGGGTTCGCCTGAGACGGAAACGTATTGCCAACAGTGAGAGACAATGCCACCAGCTAGCCAGTATTGCAACGATTGTACTTCCCCTTTCTACCTCCTTTATTCCACGTCGCAGCTCATCTGTGTGATCCTTCTAAGTGATCTACCATCAGAACCTAATATTAAAGCATATGCAACAAAAAGTGATCCAGACAGCAGCAGCCCGGTGGAGCACTCGTAAAAGAGACAGCTTAGGGGCTCTAAACAAGACATCAATGTTGCTGCATGTGTTCGACAGCAGCAAGATGATATCAGTTGGATGATATTACAGATGCATTAACTCAATTCGCGAAGCAAAATAAAACGTCAAGTGACCCTTGAAGAGGAGAAATTATAGCTTTCTCCTGGCAGCGTTTTGTTTCTGGTTTCTTATGTATAGTTACGCAGAATCTCGACTTATGTGGATAGACTCAAACGTTGCAGCATGACACTAAAGCTTCCTAATGCATCTGTTTCGCAGCTTTGGAGACACTAGTCCGACAAAGGCCGGCTGCTCTGTATTGCCCCCAACATTCGCGTTCGTTTTCTTTTCCGGCACTCTCGCGCGCTGACCTCGGTCTCCTAAACTGAGAAGCCATGCATTTCGCAAACGAAAGACTATTCCTAGATCTTCCGAGAAAAGAATCTCCATCCCATGACCCAATCAAGGGCTGACGGAATGAGCTATGCTGTTTCCCCCCAAAAGTTCTAGCATTCCCCTTTTCTCAATTTACAGTGCTCTGGCATGAGCACTGCGGAAGGAAGGACAGTGCGAGTGCAAGTTGAGCTGCACACTCCAGGCATTCGCAAAGGGGCATACAGGCAGCTACCCAAAGCACAGTAACCCACCGTGCATTAATGCGGCGGGGCGCCTTTCCTTCTGCACGACGAATCCAACAACGGTATCGCCAAGCCCTCCACACAAAGCCGAAAACTATAGCGTCATTCATTACACGACTCCACTGGTAACTTTCCACGCATAGCTTCGCCCAACCATCTAAAGTCAGGATGTGAAGGCCTTAGCTGCACTTACATATTTTTCACCACACTGGGAATATGCAGTTGAGATTTGGTGGACAATTGACTATTTGGCTCGGCTGGTTGTAGATAAATATTTCTTATTGCAAAGTAGTGCGGATTGATACAAGAAGATGCACCGTTTTGTGGGTGTGTGGTAGATGCTATGCACACCTTACTGTGAGTGCTCAGAGTGCTTGGAGGGGGCAGCAATGCACACCCTAGCTGGCCCTCTCCCCTCATGTGGGAGCTCTGAGAGGAGCGGGCACGAGAAGAAGGGAGCTATTTTTCAAGCACGCCGTAACTTCGTACTCAATAGCTGTGGGGTTATTGTGTTACCCTACGTAGACCATAGAGAAAGCGCTACACAACTTTTTCCTCTGTCTAGTGCCTATGGCTTGTAGTACACTATATATATATATGTACCTGTTGAAGCGTTCTTCTGTTGGCAGTAAGACTGCAGTTCAGCGGAAAAGGTGTTCTTTTGGACTGGAAGGAAGCATTTGATGACGCTGCGCTGTTCGATTTTTGGAGCGGCTGTTGGGTATTCCTGAGAACTGTATCAGACCAAGGTGCACTTTGCCAGTTTCTACTGCACTGTGTGTGTTCTCTCGCTGTCATTCCCTCCCCTCACGCGCAGCCCTGAGGCCCGGAAGACGAGAAGAACGAAGCTACATGGCCTGTAGGTGGTGCCTGGCGTGGCTGCACCCTCTAGGAGCACTGAGATCATGCGCAACTAGCAGCACATGGCATCTAGCGCATACGCACACATCATTGGCTCTTACTGCATGGTGCAAACTCTCCTCGACGGCCCGAAAGGCATGCGAACAACCGCACTAAATAGTATGTGCTTTACGAATTCTTGGTAGAAATTGCGAGTGCAGTAGGAGCAAGCGGAGTGAACCCGCTTCGCTGACTACAAAGAGAGTTGAAACCCTGGTGTGCGCGCGGTGTGGGGGCTGCGAAGAGGCTATGGCCACTACTGCCCACCGCATCATTAAGGAGCACATAAGACAGCCGGCCTTCAGGCTTCTCAAGGCAATTAACAGAAGGTCCCCGCGTACTTGTGGGGAGCAGCGAGTCGACTTGGGAGAAGGCAGGGCCTGTCTCGGCAATGAGGGCTTTTCTGGCTCCAAAGGGTGACACAGGGAGCAGCGCACAAAATACACGCAGCACTACAGGGGTCCTCGGGTGCGCAAGCAGCGCTTTAGGAGTTTTCCACTACGGCAGTTTCTCTGAGAGGGGAACAGCTGTGCTGCCGGTGCTTCTCTGCCTCAGTGTAGCCGCGTTTGTCTGCGTGGCAGCACCAGGAGCCCAAACACGCTGGCCCCGACGCCTCTCCGCAACAGGCCATTAAAATCGAAAATAGATAATTCGAAGGTGTGGGGAGCTTGCAGGCTCCTGCTGGTTGTGCTCTCGCTATTACACATAACCCCCGGATCCCATACACAGCAGCAGGGAGCCGCACGGGCTGCGGCTGCATGCTGCTCGATGCTGCTGCTGCCGCTGTTGCTGCTGCAGCTCCTGGCCACAATGCGAATGCACGCGACGATATCAGCCCCGCGGTAATTTAAAGGACTCTTATTGGCTGTGAGTTGCTGCAGAGATCCCGATAGTTGCACCGGCAACAACGGCAGCTGCGGCAGCCGCCGCAGCAGTAGCAGCAGCAGCAGCAAAAGATTGCGGGCAGACTTTCTTCTGGCTTTCTAACTGCTTTCCTGAATCGCACTGCCCCTGCGGCAACAACGTCCTCGTCCCTCCTTTATTCCTCGGTGGAGTGTTGCTGCTCTGCGGAGGACTGTGCCCTGGAAGCCCAAGTGCTTCTCTCCCCTTTTTAAGGCTCTGGTCTGAAACCATCGCGAGCAGCAGCAGCAGCAGCCGCAGCCGCAACAACAGCAACACCACGTGCAACAGCAGCGGCACCAAAAGCGTGTGCAACACCAGCAGCTGCTGCAACAGGTGCAGCAGTAGCAGCAGGGGCAGGGGCAGGTGTCTGCTGCTGTTGTTCGCGTGCGTATATATACATACATATATCTACATATCTATCAGTGTACATAGATAATACCCATACATAGATACGCATCTATACGCATCTATACGCATTTATACGCATCTACACGCATGCCCTATAAACATCAATATCTAGGAACTGATATTTACATACACCTTGACGTACACTTCGTTCAGAGGCATCGCACGACCTCTTGTATCTAGGGGCCCGCTTTGGCTCACTACGCCCTTTGCTGGTGCTGTTTCTCCATTGCTACGACGATGTCTGTCCCCCCCTGGCGATCTGGAGCCTTTGGACTTCACCAAGCGTAAGTTGCCCGTTCGGCTGTCGAGAACCTGTCTCAGTAGCTGCTGCTCGAAGCGCTGGCGTATGTAGTACAGATCCTCGTGTTAGCGACGCTCCCGTAGGTAGCGCATGCAGCTGATGAAGATCAAGGGTCTTTTTTCTCGCTGTTCGTCCATGCCGTGCTGCAGCAACGCTGGCTATGGAGCCTCCACACTTGCTGCCGCTGCTGGCACCGCCTCTTGGACGCCGCAGCAGCAGCAACAGCAGCAGATGCTGCTGCAGCAGCAGCACGAGCAGCAGATGCTGTTGCAGCACCAACAGCAGTTGCAGCAACAGCAACAGCAGCAGCGGCTGCAGCAGCAGCAGGAGATGCAGCAACAGCACCACCTGCATCAGCATCAGCATCTGCAGCAAGATCATCCTCCTCCTCATCATCAGCACGACCTTCATCATCCTCACCCCCATCAGCAGCAGCAGCAGCAGCAGCAGCAGCAGCGCGAGGCCCAGCAGTGGCATGCAAGCAACGCCCCTATAGCGTCTGCGCCTTGGCATCAGCAGCAAGCGCAGCAGCAAATGCAAGAGCAGGCAGCTGCTGCCGCTCCGTGGAAGCACCTGCAGCAGGGAGCTCCGTGGCAACAGCAGCAGCAGCAACAGCAGCAGCTGCAGCAGCAGCAACAACAGCTGCAGCAGCAGCAGTCTCACCACCTCCATGAGGCGTATGGCCTTGAATATGCGCAGCCTCAGCAGCAGCGGCAGCAGCCGCCGTCGCACATGCAGCATCAGCAGCAGCTTCAGGAGGAGCGCAAGCGAGTGATGCCCACAAAGGAGGCAAGAGATCCTCGTGGGGGTCGTAGAGCAGCAGGTAGGCACGATGTGAACCCCGAAGCTCCCCAGTTCTCTCGACATGATGGCCACCTCATCCCGCAGCAGCAGCAGCAGAGCGGCAGCATTCCTTGGCTTCGTTCTGCGGATCGGGGGAGCTCTCCCGGAGGCTACGCCTCGTACCCTCAGGGGCCCCCCGCTGCCTATTTGGAAACAGGAGAGGAGCGAGCCAGTGGCCTTCTTGAACAGCGCGTTGAGAGCAGCAGTCAAGGGGCGGAGGCGAGACACCCCGGGAGGGGCCTCTTGACGGCCAGCGGCGAATGGCAAACTTTCAGGGGCCCCTCCTCAGATGCTCGTCGCGGGTATCGCGATCGAGCGAAGGACGAGGAGAGCTGCCCCTCGAGAGTCAGAGTCGGGAGAGGGGCCTCTGAAGGACCCCGTTCGACCAGCGGGTCACTCTATGACGACGGGGAGGGCGGGGGGGCCCCCTACTGGGGCGGCGGCAACGAGGGGCCCGGGGGGGGCCCCTACAGGGGCGGTGGGGGCGAGGGGCTCGGGGGGGGCCCCTATAGGGAGTCGAGGCGGCACGAGCGCGAGAGGTCTCCGTGGAACGAACGGCACGGAGCAGGAGAACAAGGAGGGCCCTTTCGGGAGTACCGAGAGCGGAGGGGCCCCTCGGAAACTCGCAAGGAGAACGCCTGGGGATCTTGGGGGCTAAGCAGTCGGGGTGGCCGCGAAGCTGCATCCCGCGGGTCGTACCGAGGCAGCAGGGGGCCCCCCCCGAGGCGGGAGTCTCACAGCAGCGAGGCGTACGCCGAAGGGGGGGGGGGGGCCCGTACCACGCGGGGGCCCCCTCCGATGCCAGGGGGTCGAGCAGCAGCCACGTGCGTCGTTCCCGGGGAGGCGGCGCTGCTGACGGCAGTCATCTTGCCCGCGAAAGACGCAGGAGCCGCAGCAGTGTTCGCGAGGGGCCGCCTCCTTATCAGAGTCGAGGAGGGGGGGGCCCCCCGTATCGTGAGGAGCGGCACAACGGGCCCTCTAGCAGGGGCGGGGGGGCCTCCCGAGGGGGCCCTCCCTCTCGCGGCGTTGGGGGCCCTCGAGGAGGCGGAGAACGGAGAGCTGCAGATCCAAGGAACGCCCCCTCCGTGCACGCCTACGGGGTGCAACAACCCCCGCACGGTGGGCCTCTTGACGGCCAAGGGGGGAGGCCCGTGAGGGGCCCCCCGGAGGGGCCCCCGCTCGCGGGGCCCGTGCGGGGCGGGTCTCCCAAGTGGGAGGGCCCTCTTCCGCCTTTTGGGGGTGGCCCCTTTCCCGGGGGGCCCCCGTTCTTTGGGAGGGAGGGGGGAGGAGGAGGAGGCATTCCTCATGGGCTGCACCCCCCTCCCTACGCGAGCATGCCTCAGCAGCCGTACAGGGAGGGCCCCCGTGAGGGGGGCCCCCCCCCTCCCTCACGGTCTGCGAGGGACAGAGGCGGCCATTCGCACCGCGACGTTGGAGGTGGCAGGGGGCGGTGGCATGGCTCTCCTCGGGGGGGCCCCCCGCCTCATGAAGAGGTTTGGATGGGCAGCGATAGGCCGTATCTGCAGCAGCACAGCAATTTGAGCGTTCGAAGAAAAGAAGGCGACCAGCACGTGTAGGGCCTGCTCCTCGCTTGCTGGGGGGTGACTGCGGCTGCTTTTGCTGCTGAGCTTGTTGCTCGAGGGTTCAGGATGTCTCTTTGTTTCATAGGCCTCTGCTGTGCTGATCTTCCCTATGCTGTGGGGTGTTCAGAGGTGCTCCCCAGGACGGGAGGAGCATGTGGCTGGTGAGCGACACGGTGTACATACACCCGGAGCAGGAGACGCAGCGGCTCCTGGAGATGTGGCAACAGTTTGCCGCCGCTCTCAGGGAGGCACAGGCGCATCAGCAACGGGAGGCGAAACACAGGCAGGAACACATGCAGCAGCAGCAACAGCAGCACAAGCAACAGCACGAGGCAGAACTGCATCGATCGGAGCTCCCGCAGCATCAACAACAGCCTAACGAAGAGCATCAAGAGCAACAGCAGGAGGACGAAGTAGAGCAGCAGCAGCAGCAAGAGGAGCAGCAGCAGGAGGAGCAGCAGCAAGAGGAGCAGCAGCAAGAGGAGCAGCAGCAGGAGGAGCAGCAGCAAGAGGAATTGCAGCAAGGGGAGCAGCAACAGCAAGAGCAGCAGCAGCAAGAGCAACACCAGCAAGAGCAACACCAGCAAGAGCAGCAAGAGCAGCAAGAGCAGCAAGAGCAGCAAGAGCAGCGAGAGCAGCAACAAGAGGAGCAGCAACCGAAGCAGCTGCCGGAAAGCGCCGAGCAGCAGGAGCAGGAGCAGCAGCCTGCTACTGAAGGTGCTCAAGGTTTAAAGGCAGGAGAGCAAGAACAGGAGCAGCAGCAGGAGGAGCTTCGTTCTTCTGCTGCAACTTTGTCATGCGCCGCCGCAGCAGGAGCAGCAGCAGGAGCAGCAGGAGCAGCAGCAGCAGCAGCAGCAGCAGCAGCAGCAGGAGGAGGATCGGCAGCTTCGAGACTAGCAGCTCTCGAGGAGAAGAAGCGAGCAGCCTTATGGCCTCCCCGTTTGCCTCGTGCGTGGAGGGGCCCTCGTGGACCGAGGGGCCGTCCAGCGGTGCTTTTGACTTCGCTGCCTAATCTGAGGGTGAATTTCTTGAGGCAGCTTCTGCTGCAGCACTTCGCAAAGTGGAGGGCGCCTCCTACCGCCTTGTTTTTGAGTAAGCGGCAGGCTGGTTGTGTTTTCTGCGGTCAAGTTGCTCTGAAGGCGTTTTCGGTTGTGCAGGGGTGTGTTCTCCCGCTTCGCCTTCCAGCCCTTGGGCTTTCTCTTTTCTCTCTGTCTACCTCCGTATGTATGACTCTTTCTATTTCTCCCTCTGTCTGTCTCCGTATGCATGTCTCTGTGTCTTTCTCTCTCTGTCTGTCTCCGTATGCATGTCTCTGTGTCTTTCTCTTTCTCTCTGTCTGTCTGTCTCCGCATGTCTCTTTATCTCTCTCTTTCTCTCTGTCTGTCTGTCTCCGCATGTCTCTTTATCTCTCTCTTTCTCTCTGTCTGTCTGTCTCCGCATGTCTCTTTATCTCTCTCTTTCTCTCTGTCTGTCTGTCTCCGCATGTCTCTTTATCTCTCTCTTTTTCTCTGTCTGTCTGTCTCCGTATGCATGTCTCTTTATCTCTCTCTTTCTCTCTGTCTGTCTCTCTCCGCATGTCTCTTTATCTCTCTCTTTCTCTCTGTCTGTCTGTCTGTCTCCGTATGCATGTCTCTTTATCTCTCTCTTTCTCTCTGTCTGTCTGTCTCCGTATGCATGTCTCTTTATCTCTCTCTTTCTCTCTGTCTGTCTGCCGCAGGCGTATGCCCCTCGAGCGGCCGCTGCGGCGGCTGGGGAGCAGTGCTGCTCGCTTCGCTCGACGCCCTTCGGCAGTTTCTGCGTATCCCCCTGTTTACGTGGACGGTAGAGGATGCGGCGGCTACCCTCTCTGCGCTCCGACAGAAGCGCCAGCTGCAGCTTCTGCTCCCGCAGCAGCAGCGGCAGCAGAAGCTGCAGAAGGGGCCGGAGCAAGAGGCGCTTCCAGCCGGAGGCAGTGGAGGCTTCTCCGCTGTAGCCACAGCAGCAGAAGCAACGGCTGCCTCGTCGACGGCGCATGCAGCGGTGCTGCCTGACGCTAGAAGCGAACGTGGAAAGGGAGAAAGATCCGTTCAGCTGCATTTGCTGCTGTGGCCAGAGGGGCAGCTTCGTCTGGATGCGCGCAGTCTGTAAGGCTCTCCTCACGGTGTTTTCCTGCTCCCTCTCTAGCGCTCGAGAAGCTTGGGGGTGTGAGGGGGGGAAGCACTTTTAGATTTATCTTAGAATTTGCTTGTGTTATGGCCGCGCTTTGCATGAAGTGCGAACGCGCCGACCTTAACTGCTCGTGTTGGAAGGCGGTAGGGGTAGGAGTGGTGGTAGTGGCGCTGCTGCTGCTGTTGCTGGCGCTGCAGGGAACCCCCCGCCATGTTCTCCTGGAACGAGCAGCAGTGTGCAGTTTTCAGCAGAGAATCTCTTGAGGCTTCTCTTGAGACACCACCCTTGCCAGGGCTGGATGCTGCAGCAGGGGGAGCAGCAGCATCAGATGTGCAACAAGGGCTCTTGACAGCCGTTGAGGCATCAGGGCTTATTCTTCCCCCCGCAGACGAAACCTCCACGCCAGTGCTTGCTGCCGCTGCTGCCTCTGCTGCTGCAGCGCGCAGCAGATACAGTATCCTCGTGGGGGAGAAGGTGTGCCTTCACAGCCACGTCACGCCGAGCTTCATCGCCGTTGCCTCTGCTGCTGCTGCCTCTGCCTCTTCTGCTGCCTTTGCCTCTGCTGCCTTTGCCTCTGCTGCTGCTGCCTTTGCCTCTGCCTCTGCTGCCGCTCGCACGGCGAGGGGAGTATTGATTCACTTGCAGTTCTACTTCTTGCGGAGGAAGACTAGGGCTCTACGTGTTTTGGTTTTTGGTGCAGCATCTGTATTTCAGACTGCCCTCGGCAGCGTTGCAGCAGCTGATCGTGCAGGCAGCCACGGGGTTGGTGAGTGGAGAGGAGAGTACAGCAGCAGCGTCAGGCTCGGGAGATCCTGAGACTGCGGAGGAGACTGTGGCGGAATGCGCAGGAGAGAGTGGTCTTGTGGCTGCTGGAGAGGAGACGCATGCTGGTAGCGTCTCTGCCGCTGCTGCGGAGGCTGGAGGAGGAGCTGGCGAGGGACTGGGAAATGAGGTCGACGCAGAGGCTGCCGTCAACTATGAAATTCTGCCTTCCCAAGGGGTCAGAAAGAGGAGACGAGGATGCCTCGCTGCCGTTGTTTCAAAAGATAGCTCCCTGATAGATAGGCGAGGTCCCCTTCCTTGTGCCGCCAGCGCGGCTGCTTGTGCTGGCTGGTGCTCTTGCTGCAGCAGCAGCTGCTGCTGTCATGTGTGGCTCGATCGTTTACGCCATTTTTGCAGGAAGAAACAGAATGGTTTCCATGGGCAGCCTTCTTTTCGAAGGCGGCATGCTCCGCGGGAGCGTCGCCTTCCCCGTCTCTCTGCAAAGCGCTTAGACAGCTTGTTCAGCACCAAACAGGTGGGAGCTTTATGGGTGGACTGTTTGAGAGGATTATTCTTTCCCTTCGGTGCTGTTTTAAGGGTGTCTCCTGAGGGGGCTTCTCCGCGTCTTGCGGTGTACAGTCACTGTGTCTCAAGCTATTTTCGAGCATTCTCGGAGCCGCTCCCATGAGTCTCCGTGATGTGCTCCTGCTGCTGCCTCCGCGTCTGTCGAACTTTTTCTGGTGCAGCGCGTGGCGTCTACCCCTCCGAGTGGCTAGGCTACGAGGGCTTTGCTTTCCCTGAACAATTCAGCTTCCACCCTGCCAGCGGCACTTGGCCGTATCGCTCACCTGCTGCAGCAGCAGCAGCAGAGACAGACCTGGAAGGAAAAGGGGATCTTGTTGCCGCTACACACATACTTCGCGTGCTGCATCTCCCAAACAGTTTGGCAGAGAGGCTCCTGTCTATCCTTGACGCTTTTTTCCTTTCTTTCGCTGTACGGCCCCCCCCCCCGACACATACACATACACATACACATACACATACACATATATATATATATATATATATATATATATATATATATATATATACACTCCCCAAGCCTGCGCTGGCACTGCCTCCTGCTGGAAGCGAAGAAAGACGGCCCTGCTGCTCATTTTTTTGCAGCGCGTCTGCTGGTCGAATTTTTTCGTGCAGCAGCTGCATGTGTTTTTTTTCGTGATGCGACAAAGGGGCATGTGCGTGTGTTTTGTGACGTGATGTTTTTGCTGCAGAAGCAGAAGTATGGACATGCGGGTGCCCTTGCACTGCAGCGTGAAATGTGTGGATGGCAAATCTTTGAATTTCCAGAGACAGCGCGAGCGCGTGGCGATGGTGGGCAGCAGCTGGAATTGTGTTGCGGCACGTTTCTGTAAACGTTTTTTTCGCTTGTTTCGGTGCATATGCTTGTTGCTGCTGCGGCCTTTTGTGTCTTGGATCTTTCTCTGTGGACGGTTTCTGCGTTGTTTTTGCTGCGCCTGCGCAGGCTGGCTGCTGTTGCCGAGCTGTATGAACTCTGCAGCAGTACTTGAGGCTCTCAGCACAGCCGCCGTTGCGGCTGGGGCTTTCCCCTGCGAGAATGGGAACAGCATGATCTCCTCGGATGTCGCAGCATCGACACCACACGAAGATGCTCAAAAAGACGCCTCCTGTTCGGCACACACAGCAGCGCCTAGCGGCTTGCTGCTGCCGCTAACTGCGTCTTGGCGACCTGCGAGCACCGCACTGAGCAGCAGCAATACCAGCAACATCAGCAACAAGAGCAGCAACAGCACTCCCAACACCGCTTCCAACAACACGAGCGACAAGATGGGGGAGGAGGAACCCGAGGATTCTTTGCCTTCTGTCTACTGTGGCCTTTATCCGCTGCGCCTCTCGCACGAGTTTATACAGCGGGATTTGAGTTACATATGCTGCATTGCGAATCACATGGTACTGCAGCTTTTGCACCAAATTGCAAGCCCCGAAGCATGCAGCAGCTGCAGCAGCAGCAAGGGATGCTGCTGCTGCGTGATCAGCAGCGTCCCCCCCGGCTCGGAAGGTCCCCAGTGCGTCTGCGTTTGCAGCAGCAGCAAGAGCAGCAGCAGCTCGGCTTGGGCAGAAGCGTCGGAGAAGGTTAAATTCGCGAAGACGGCAGCCGCGTGGACACGTTTCTTATCGCCAGTGCGACTTCGACCCCCTCTTCCCTTCGCTGTACCCCCACGGGCTGCTCCCAGCGGCAGCACTGAAGCCACAGAAGGACAGGCTGTTCAGCCTCCTCTGTGCTCTCCAGAGCACTTCTTCGGCACCTTCTTCTTCAGCGCAGAGGGCTTCTTTTCGCTCCCTCCCCTCACGCGCTTCTTTTGCGACGCTAGCAGCTCCAGAAACGAAGAGGAGGCGCAGTTCGAGCAAGCGGCAGAAGCAGATACGGCTGCGGCAGCAACGCTGCAAGATCAAGAGACGCTGTGGAGGCCTCTTGGGGGTGAGCTCAAACGGCAGCACCAGCAGAAACTGCTGCAGCAGCAGCAGCAAAAACTGTTTGCAGTTGTCTCCGGGAGCTTTCCAACAAGCAAAGACCTTCACGGTCAGCCCGTAACTCCCGAATTACTGCTGGAGCTACAGCAAGAGCAAAAATTCAGGTTCGTCCTCCTCCCCCCTCTTCTCTTCTCCGCTCCCCGTCTTCCCTCCTTCTGGCACCGACTCTTTCTATCTCTTCTTGCCAGAAGAGCGTGCTCTTCGCAGCAGCAGCTCGCGCTGCCGCGTCTCTTCCTCCTGCTGCCGCTTCGCAGTTGTGTTGGTGGTGGCTGCCCACTGTTCTCCCACAGAATTTGGCTGTACACTGTGCGCCGCTTTCTTCCCGCTGCCTCACCAATCATCTCTGCACTTCGCCGCTGCTGCGGGTGCTGCAGATTCGTTCCCTTGTCTACTTTCCTCTTTACTCCGCATCACCGCCGCAGAGCCCACTTTTACACCTCTGCAGCCCCTGTAACTCGCCGCAGACACGCCCCCACATATGTTGAGCAGCTGCAACAGCTACAACAACAATCAGAGGTGCAGCTGCAACAGCCACTGCTGCAAAAATTGCAGCTGCAGCAACAACCAGAGCTCCAGCAACAACAGCAACAACCAACTCAGCTGCAACAACAACCTGAGCTGCAACAGCAACAGCCACAGGTGCACCAACAACAGCAAACACTGCTGCAGGAGCAACAGCCACTGCCGCTACAGCAACAACAACCTCAGCTGCAACAACAACCTGAGCTGCAACAGCAACAGCCACAGGTGCACCAACAACAGCAAACACTGCTGCAGGAGCAACAGCCACTGCCGCTACAGCAACAACAACTTCAGCTGCAACAACAACCTGAGCTGCATCAGCAACAGCCACAGGTGCATCAACAACCTGAGCTGCAACAGCAACAGCCACAGGTGCACCAACAACAGCAAACACTGCTGCAGGAGCAACAGCCACTGCCGCTACAGCAACAACAACCTGAGCTGCAACAGCAACAGCCACAGGTGCAACAGCAGCAACCCCAGCTACAACAACAACAGCAACCCCAGCTACAACAACAACAACAACCCCAGCTGCAACAACAACCCCAGCTGCAACAACAACAGCCACCACAGCTGCAAGAGCCAGAGGTGCAACAACACCAGCAAGCACTGCTGCTGCAACAACAACCACAGCAAGCACTGCTGCTGCAGCAACAACAGCAGCTGCCGGAAGCCACGCCGCCTTCAGAGTTTAAGGCTGTTTGCACCGAAGATAAGGGTCCAGAGCCTAATGGGTTGCCTTTCTTCGTAGCAACCCTTCCACTGGAGCATTCGCTCCAGCAACAGCAGGCACCAATGCTGCAAGACAACGAAGGTCTCACGGCAGTGCCTGTTGCGAATGTTGAGGCTGTCGAGTTGCAGCGCGAGCAGCAGGTGCAAGCGCAGCATGCCGATCAGGTGCCTCAGCACGAAACGCTCTCGCCACAGCAAAGGGAAACTCTGCAGTCTTTGCAGCAGCTGTTAGGGGAGGCTGCTGCGCCGCCCCTTGACCCCGTGGAGGTGTCTCCTATCAGTGAAGACCAGGACGAGCCGCAGGGGGAATAAAGGGGACGTCAGCGGGATGAGGAATAGATACTCGGGCAGCAACGGCAGCAGCGGCAGCAAACAACAGCTCGCTAGCCGCCTCCTCCGCTGGTGACTAATGGTGCTGCTCGGTGCAGAAGGCGTAAAGTTCCCGTGCTGCGGAAACAAGCCTCTGTCTGTGCTTCGGGAGCTGTAGTAGCGGCAGCAGCAGCGGAAACTGTAAGAGAATGTAAGGATGCTTTTTCTCGACTCGATCGGTGTTTAGCAGTCTGGGCTTAGTGCTGCTCTGTCGCCCCTTTCGGTACGCCGCGTTTCAAAGTGCCGGTTCATGCCTTTGAGGGTCAGAGGCCCTCACTGCAGCACTTATTGCTGCCACGGCAAGATTCTTTTGCTTCTGGCGAGAGGACGGATGAACGGGGCGGAGGGGAAAAGAGATACAGACCGGTTGGCTGCTGTGTGTCGTTTACGGATTTCATGAGCGTCCCCATAAGGGGTCCTATCTTTCTTGATCAGAGGAATTTATTATACTCGCAAGCGCTAGGACATGCTTTGGGCAGCCGAAGACGTTGGTGTTGCTGCTAGTTTCCTGGCCGCTGCTGCTGTTGTGCTGATGTGTGGGTGCGGGTGCTGGTGCTATAGCGGTAGCGTTTTTCTGCTTCCACTGCCGCATAGATCCTGGTTGGCTTGCCGCAGCTCTATGACGGCGGCTGCTGTCCCTCGTGCTGCTGCAAGTGGCGGTAGAGCCTCTAAGGCTCTTTGGGGCCTCTTTAGAAGGGAATCTACCTCGATGTCTAGCACCTTGCGGGGCTGTAAGTGCCTCTTTTGCGCCTCCTCCCTAGCTGCTGCTGCGGCAGCAGAGGGAATTTGCTGCAGGCGTGTCTCACGTCGAGCGGCGGGAGCATGCGGCTTCTGGGAAGGCAGGTAAACACCTGACACGCTCACCGCACTAAACACCACGACGTAATCACGACAGCTGCAGCAGCACCAGTAGCCGCATCAGCCATAGCAGGAGCAACGTGGCGCCGGCCTGCGGGGTCGGAGTGCTGTTGGAGGCAGTCGGGGAAATGACTACGCAGTCTTCTAAATGCACGGGCAACCATGAGACGGGGAGAACGGCGGCAGACGCGGGGGGCAGCGTGTTGCACGAATGGGGAAAGGCGTGGGGGGAGAGGCTCCACAGGCACGGCAAGTGCAGCGTGCATTGACAGGGAGAAATGCGCAAGGGAGGTAGGGGCACGTCACCGCCTACCAGGGATTGACCGGGTCGAGAGGAGATAGTGACGCCGCTCAGCCTGGGCTGCTAGTTCCGCAGCAAGAGATTCAGCTTCTTTTAGCTGCAGCATCAGAGAGAGACTCTCACAGGCGGGTAGCGAGAGAGACAGGGGCAACACCTTTGAGAGAGGCAGTGCAGGAGGAGGCAAGGAACGCGCGGGGAGGAGCCACATTGCGGGTGACGAGGAAGTATGAGGCCAAGAAGACGAGACTGAGAGCGTCTACCTTAGATGGATCTACAGGAGAGGTTCGAAGACAAGGCCATTCGGAAAAGGCAGTTGCAAAGGATAGACACATCACAGATGTAGCAGTTAAGCCGCCGAAGGAAGTTGACATGAAATACTTTGATCTCTCTTAAGGCAAAAAGGCATTAACGTAGTGAGGGGGAGACGGGTTCAGCAAGTCGGATGCGTGAGGGGGTGTCTGCTATTACGTCTTGTTGATGACGCATTTGCTGCTGGTTTTCTAGCAGCGTTTGTTGCATCGCCCGTGCCTGTGAGGAGACAAAAAGAATTGCATTTTGGCTCTAGACCACTGGCAAATTGGCCAGGGAAAGCGGAAGAGGCTTCCTTTGTAGACAGGTAAACGCCCCGTCACAGGAAGCTTGGGGTGTTTGAGCAGCCAGAGGCAGGAAGGCACGCAACACTGAAGAGAAAGGACTGAAAAGCGATGCAAAGGGAGGGAGGCTGCGCGCAAGAGGCTGGGGTGTTGAAAGGAAGCCCAACGTGCCGAGGCAGGGCGGGTAAAGGGAAGTGGGGTGGCCACGAAATGAAGGTCGTGATATCGAATAGGGACGGAAAGCGCTAGAGGACGGCAGAACTGGGGGAAAAGAGACAGCAAACGGACAAAAACACGTGAGAAAATGACTCAAGGGAAGGCGCCTCACCGTATCAGCGAGCCTCTTAAGTAGCTGGTGACGTGCGTGGAGGTCAAAGAGATACTTTCGGCTCAAATAGCCCCTAATGCTGGCGACAGCAGGCACGGGGAGAAAGAGCAACACTTTGTGGCCATATTGACTTCGGGAAGGCAGAGTGGAATACCATGCCACGCTCAAGGCTCAGGCTTCCGCCTGGTAGCTGCTACTGCTGGTGTAGTGGTGCCTCGATTTATGCTGGTCTATCCAGTGGTCTTGTTGTGCTTTTGGTGCTGGCTCTCGTGCGTGATCAAGGCAGGGGTACTTACTGCCGTTGGAGAGTGACTGCCGCACACGAGAGAACAGACAAGCGCTGCTGTATTCGCCTCTCAGCTCGGAGGGCAGCTGCCTCCTTGCGGGCTCTGCTGCCTCTAAAAATCCGCGCAATTGCCACCGAGGCTCTTCTACAAAGAAAACAAAACTAAAGGAGGGAGAGTGGCGGCGGATGAGGCCGAACATTTGGAAGAATGCACATGCAAAGTAAAGAGGCCAGCGGAAGAGTGTAGCTAACGGAGGTGACGCAGTAAAGAGGTTGGCATGCATAATAACCGTGAGGCGGCAGGGGTAGGGATCAAAGCATACACACCATAACAAGGCTGGAATGTCGATCGTCACAGAAATAAAGCTAGAATCAAAAGTAACAGGTAAGGCTCACCTCGTAGCAACATATTTAGTGCGCTGCGCGTAACAGCGGAAAACTGCTTGGATTATTGTGGCTGCCCTTTGTTCGGTGTCAAATGCCTCATCCGCCCTTCTGGGTGACCCGCAGCAGCAGTGACAGCAGAGGCACTGACAGAACGAAGGAAACCTCATGAAAATGGATTCAGTGCAAGTATGGACTTTTCTTCTTCTATATCAAAATTCTGCTCCCACAGCAATGCGATTATATGTAGTCATCTCAAGGCCCTGCCCCCGTCGTCTTGAGAATCGCGTGGCTTTTAGCTTTTTTCAAGCCTTAGATTCGATATTTGACTATTAAAATCTCAACGCATGGATTTTAGGAGACACCTGAGCTCCGTTAGGTAGTCCTGGGCGACTTCCGCCTTCCGCTTGTACACTTCAAGGTACCACATCTCTTGTAGGTGTCTTTGGCCTTACTTTTGCCCAATTTCTCACTCCCCTTTTTTCTTCCTCATAATGACTGACGCTATCATTAGAGGTCTTGTAGTTTTACGTTCTCTTTAACTGCTGCATGCGAGCCACGCTGTCGACGCAGTCGCTGCAGCAGCGATTTTCGGTTTGAGGTGTATGGGCTTTACAAGAGGTGTTCTAAAATGATGATTGCCTTGGCGCATGCATTTTTACATCCTGGGGTGATGTTGGCACAGGATACTGTGTTGGTCTACCTAATTGGGGACCCTGTCTCCCTGGCTTTAGGGCACTTCCAACCTCGAAGTAAAATACCAGCTCTTCACCTTTTACATCTATTTACTGGCCTCAGGAACCAAGGGACAGATGCGCTTTCCCACCTCTGTCGCAAGCAGCCAGAAAATAAGACCGGTGGGGCTCGAAATTTGAATGGCGAGAAGCGGAACCGGAAAGGTTGAGGGATCGAGAGCCTCGCATTCCTGCTAACGAAGAATAACTCTTGCTAGAGTAAGAAACGTTACCCAAAACCATGAATGATAGACCGCAAGGTAGATATTCGCTATATTTAGAGTGGCACTATCATGCACAAGTTCACGAGTTCGTAAATTTTCCACTGTTGAGAGCCATGGGAGATTTAGACGTAAGGGAATCGGGTTCAAGGGGCAGCATGTGCAGCGGTAACGAGGGGATGGTGGTGTGAAGTCATTATTTCGCCAACTTTAATAAATGAAATAATAAAATACAAAAATTGAAGCATGATAGCTCGTGGTCCTTTATTTGGTGGTTATTGACCAAAAGAAGTGGTCATGTTTAGTGTCTGTAGTCCAGAGTGCGGGTCACCTTGAGAGTCAACCCTCCTCTCCATATCCTTTCCCTTTCTTTCATTTACTCCTCCCACCGCTTTGCGTACATAGTGTTAATTGAAGAAAAATAGATTTTGGCGGAATACTAATCTAAAAGCGTCTTTTTTATACCGCCCTCGTCTACTGCCATACAATATCTCTGCAGTTCTCGGCTCGTCGCCTCGGACACTTCGCCCCTCGCGTTTCAAGTACAAGAAACGAACGCCGCTGAATAGTAGCCCAAAGCGAAAACGTTCTCGCTTTAATAAACAAATACCCAGGAAATACCAATAGCAATCACCTGCTTTGTCACGATGCTGGAAACCCGTAGGACGCAAGTAGATAGGAGCTCCGCCTTTTGCGGCTCGGTGCTTTTGCATGTTTGGCTGTGTGCCTTGCTCGGTTCACTTCCTCCAGGATGAGCCTCGCACTGTTCAAAAAAGTGTCCACATATTCCTCACTTGCTTCAACGCGCTCTGTGTAGAAGACTTGAGCAAAGCCACTTTACATTGATGCCTTTGTATCCCTATGTTTTGTTGTGCTCATTTTCTTGCTTGTACTGCTAATTCGGCTGTTCCGCTACTGCTCATTTCTGTGTGTCCATGGTTGCTGCCCCATGACCCCTGTTGCTGATTGCTTTGCAGTACTGTCATATTTGTCAAACTCCAACACCCTCTCATCTTTAGTACTTTACTTAAAATGTGCAACCGCAGTTAACGAGCTTTAAATGCCGGGGGTTTCCCACGACACCTTTTTTGAGCAGTCTGCTGTTGCACCCGCGTTGATTTTATCCGGGTGATTAGGGGAGTGGGCCCTAAGTTATGTGTTGCACGTGCAGCTGAAGTTATTATGTTTGCCGCTGGCTTTCCTGCTGATATTCCTGAAGTTGGTGCTGCATTTTTTGATGCCTTTGCTCCACTAAGCTTGATCTCTTCTTGCAGTTTCTTAAAATGCGCCTCTATTTTTCTTTCAAGCGAGGAAAAGAGTGCATCAGCCTGCCCTTTCCACACTGTTTCCTGCGCCATCAATCAACAGAATTAATTTTCCATTTGCACCATGAAGCCTCCATTGTCCGTAATTTGATGTACCTTTCCTTTTATGAAAGCAGAAAGCCAATTTAGTGATACCTTTTCCTGTCGGAGCTGGTGCCCTGTAATGAAGAAAACATGCAAAAAAGACGTCAGTATAAGAACATACAGGCAAGGGTGCATGGCCTCTTTTTACCTGCAGAGTTGAATTGTTCTCCGATAGCTGCACGTCTTTTTTGAAGTTGGATTCGAAGTTTCTGGAGAATGTTTGATTAAACCGGGAAAACTAATTTGAGATGAAGCCACTTGAAAATACACACTTCGGTTTTTCTTTGCACTTCATGATCAGCAAATGAAAGCTTCCTCTTCCCAAAAGCCTTCACTGTTAGTAGCGCGGCCTACAGAACGATGTGGCACCATGCAATCAACGAGTCACATTTATTAGTCTTTGTACGTCGTGGAGATTTTCGGAAAGGAGAGAGAAATACGCCAGCGATTCTTCTTGAACATTGAGCCTTTAAAAGCCGAAAGTTCAATTCTTTCCACTACAGAAAAGCGAGAACAGCTAGGTATTAAACCCACGAGAACGCAGAATTCAGGTCATGTTGTGGAAGTGACAATTCAGCAACTAAAGAAGAAATTGATCTATCATTTTGGTCCCCTAACTTGGTCGTTTCCGCTTCTTCCGAAGGCTGAGAAGGAAAAGGAACAAGAGGGGAAGAGGCTGATGACCCTGACATTAGCGCTTAGAACTTTTAGCGAGAGTCAAAGACTTATGAAAGAAGAATCGCTATTCAAATAACGAGCAGATAAAATTAGAATCGCGGTCTTATAACGAACTGCTTTGGCGAAACTCGCGAAATTCCACCTTCTACTTGCAATACACTCCACGCAATTTGAATTCAACGCCGTTACGAGGCAATGCTTCATTTGTTTCCCAGCAACATACATGCATAGACATTATTGGAATCTTAAATTGTAGACTTATCTTTGTGAATGTCCTATTCTATCTTCAGCAGCGCAGCCGCTAAACTTGCAGTTCTTTTATCCCCTTTTTGGAACAAGCTAACGGGGAAGCAGCAACCAATCTTTGTTATGAATAACATAAGGTGCACTACTTAGGTTTAAAACAAATGCACAAAATACATATTGAACTGGCCGCTTCATGCCCCATTTGTTTTCTTTGCCAGCGGCGTTAGATGACCGTTACAGCCATCAGACAGCTTTTAGTAAGCTGAAGAGCCCCATTGTGTTGGCAGTTCAAAGCTGAAGCACCAAGAGGATGTCGCAAGGAAAGAAGGAAACAATCAACATGGAATTAGCAACTGTTCCGCGAAGATATGGTGCCACCCAGATTTGGAAGTACGGAGCCAATGTTTTTGTTAATTTGGGACGAACCTTTAAAATCAAGCATTCAGCACTTAAAGCGTTCATGCGGTTTCCTCCTTCGGTCAAAAACATGTTAGAAAAACAATATGATGCAGAGCTTCGCAGAAGCAGAGGCAGCAAATAGAGCATACGTCAGGGCAGAAGAGCGAACGAAGAATGGGAAAACCTTGGAGTGGCACGCGAGAGGGCAGCGGCATGTTACGTGGTGAGGACTTTGAGGACAAAAAAGTAGCATTAGCAAGTAATATGCAACCATGCATTACCACTCCCGCGTGTGGATCTATACTTGCACATGCATTTGTGCACTATCTTCGGGGGTGATGCAGGTGAAGTGCGGCGTTTGTCTTCGTGCGTTGCCTTTGGGGGAGTTCAAAATTCACCTACTCATGGTTCCCTCTCCTTCCCCCTTCTAATACCCGCTCTCTACATTCCAAATATGTTAAGTGGCTGAGGTTAAGACTGCTTACGCGTTGAAAGGCCGTTTTCACCAACTAGTCACCTATTCCACTTATCTGTTGGCTTTCAGTTCCTCCCCTATAGAGGGAGGTAGTAGGGAAATGGATAAGTTTGGGCTGCGAATCGCAAGGGGAAATAATTTGAAAGGGAAAGCCCCTACTCCGGAGACTTTGCAAACCGTGCCGCAAAGCGGACGGCGGAAGGAAGAGACCTACGAAGATTTGTGCGGGTGTCGGCGGCGTATTGCGTTGCAACACTGAAATTAGGAAATCCATCTCCTTGAAGCTATCAACTAATAAGATGGCCGCAAATAAATTGAACTATACCCTGCATATAGACGTTGCGACTGACTGGCCTGGTCTCACGTTCGTCGGGCGACGGACACACGCGTTCTGTCGAAGCCCCAGCGCAGTTTGCATTCAATGCATTCGCACAATAGTTTTCTCGAAATTAGCGGCGAAGCGCTTCTGTTTTTAAGTGTCGTAAAGCTTTTGGGGCAAATAGCATTACTGATCAAGCATGTACAAAATCTTGCTTTGCGTTTCCATGCGACCGTCAGCTACCCGTAGCCACTGGCGGAGGCTCACCCCCGGGAGACAGAGTCATTCTCCCCCTACTTTATACCCCTGAATATCTTCCAGTACCTCGCCTCTGTCTAACCGCTTTGTTTCCAGGGCCGTTGTCTGGAGCCACGCTCTGCGCCCGTTGTGTCTATCGCCTTTTGGCATTCGACACCGCAAGGAGTAAGGACATCGAGAGTCCGACAACTGAACAAACAACCAGATGGACGAACCCTGTTTGGGGTCCTGGAAGACTCAGGCATAAGGATCTCCTTCTCTTTCTGCCGCTCGGCAGTCGAAACGTCACATGGGAGTCACCGGACATTCACAGAGCCACACAGACGAGTTTTACAGGGCTGCATCTGTATGCTGGTGCGATGAGAGCTTCCTTGCCAAGCTTATGCACTCACATTTACAGACAGAAGCACAGTTGCCACCACATATAGAGCCGTGTCTCGCGTTTTGCGGTTAGCCGCTGTGTTCGTGCATCGCTCTACCAAACTGCCGGTTCGAAAGGACATTCTAAGAGGATATTATACTTGCGTGTTTTGCACTGCTATGAAAAGTGCTCTTTTCTTTTGAGCGCCAACAAAATCTAGTGTGGGGCATTCTGCCTGCTTATTTCTCCTTGACTCGTTGCTGTATTCCGTCGAGCCGTGCAGCATCAGCCACCATGGGGTGTATTGACGCCCTGGGCGATGAGCTCGATGCAGTTGCTCAGGGGCTGACATCTCCCCGCACGTTAAGGCTTAGGCGAAGGCTCAGAGACAAAGCGACCGGCGCATCTAGGGGGGCGAAAGAACAGGAAGCACAAACATCTGTGTCTCCCGACTTCGCCCGAAGGGTATCGACAGGGGATTTCAGCAGTCCGTACGGAGCTTTGGAGGATCAGCCGGAGCTAAGAAGTCATCTCGCTGTGGTTGCGGCCTCTCATATGCAGAAGCGTGCGGCGGATGTTGTTGCCTGCGAGCAGCTCGCTGCCCGAAGGGTGCCTCTGAGATCTGCGAACAGTTACAATCACTATGTTATCGCGCGTGCTCGCAGCCGCGGAAAGGCCAGGGGATCCTGGACCTTGGATACGGCTGAGCCGGAGGCGTACGCTCTGCAGCATCGAGAATGGAGCTGCCGCCTTGAAGACGCAGCAGCAGCAGCACCATTTTTGACTGGGGAATGGCATGAAAAGCGTAACCTCGCGCTGCCAAAGCAGCCGCAACAAACCCTGATGCTTCAACGAGGGCTGGAAACGCCTGGAGAAAGCAACCAGGCGGAAGGGAGAAGGCAGCAGCAGGGTGCATCAGAGCAGGTCCCTGAGCGAAGGGCGCAAGAACGGCCGCTTAAGCAGCAGCAGCAGCAGCGCCAACAGCATCCTTCGCTGCTGGGGAGTAAAACGGAGCCGCAGGAACCACGGCTGCAGCCGCTGCAGCGACGGCACTTGGATGAACAGGGAGAAGATATGAAGCTGCTGCAGAAGCAACTGAAAGACCTGCAGGCAGCGAACCAGGAGCAGCAGATTCAGCTTCAGCTGCTCTTTCAGCAAAGGGAAGAGGAAGAGCACCAGCGACGGTTGCACGAGTTGCAGCGCATACTTCATGACCAACGCCGCCAGCAGCAGGAGGAGGCAGAGCAGGAGCAGCGCCAGCAGGAGCAGCAGGAGGCAGAACAACAGCAGCAGCAACATTTGCACAGGTTGAGGGAACGGCAGTCGTGGCTTGGTGCTGCAGAACCTTGTGCGGCTGGCTTCTCAGAGGCGTCCGCGAAGATTCCAATCAGTCCTGCAGCAACGTCTCCAACGCCTGCAGCGGCGGCAGCAGAGCCCACTGCATACCCTGCCAGAACCTCTTGCATCCTCCCGAAGAAGGACATCACGCCGCCTCCTACACGCCGTTCAGCAACCCCCTCAGGCGATCTCCGAGAGCAAGAGGGGATTCCTCAGCGGGAAGAGCAGCAGAAAGACGGATTTAGAGGCTTGGTGATGAGGGTTGACAGTCCAACGGCCCTCACTTCTGCCTATGGCTCTGCATCAGGACTTGCGCGCGTACTTCGAGAGAAAGATTCGGAGGAGCAAGAGCAGCAACAACGTGGCGGGAGGCTCAGACTCAACGCTCGAGGGCAGCTTGCCAGTGGTGACAGAGGCAGCAAACTCGCAACCGAGAACCTTCCGACAGCCTTTCCAGGCTGGGTCTGCTTCCCTCCCACAATTGCGCGGGAAGAGGACATTGCAGCAAAAGCAGGGGTAACCACTAAGAAGGAGGAGGCCTCTCTAAGTGACTTCAGAGTCTCCACAGCCACTGACGAGGCAGACAGCAGCAGCAGCTGTCCATACACGCCTAATGCAGCGCAGTGCTGGGAAGAAAGGCCTGGGCTGCAGCAGGAGCCGCCACGTGGGCTGGAGGAGACGCTACGGCAGCAGGCGCAAGGCAGACCTCTATTTGCGAAGCAGCGACAACAGATCCAGCTGAAACCGCTGGGGCGACAACAGCCCTTGGGCACTCATGCGCGCGCAGTGCAATACTCGAGCCCAACCGTGTTGCCCCTCTCCACAGCAACAGTCCGGCACCTCTCGTCGGAGCCGCTGCGGCGGTTCACACTGTATACACGTCTAAGAGCGGCACCCTCGCGCAGCAGCAGAGCAACCAGCTGCTGCAGACAAGTTTCCGAAGCCTGCTGCACTCTCCAGTCGGAGGTCGCGAAGGCTAAGAAGGAGCACCTCTTCCGAGTCGCAGCCAGCAGAGCAGCTACTGCGGCCTATACTGCAGCTGGACACAATCTCTGGACTGTCAAAGCCCGCGACAACACATATTCACTTAGGGTAATTCCTTGCACTAAAGCAGCAGATGCATTTGTCGTCGCCGCCCCCTCCCCTGCCGCTCCACGGCCAGCACAGCGCGTCAGAGTATGTGGGGACCTCAGGCGGAAGAGTGCCTGCAACTGCTGAGCCTCGCAGTAGGGGTAGCTGCAGCTGTAGCTATGAGGCACAGCAGCCAGGCTGCTGAGATACTACAGTAAATCCTTGCACCCCCCCCAAACAAGGCTTTGTAGGCTGCTGAGATACTGCAGTAAATCCTTGCCTCCCTCCAAACAAGGCTTTGTCAGGAAAGCCGCACCCATATAAGGGCGGAGGGACCCCAAGGGAAAGGGGGGTGGGGAGTTGGTGATGCGCTTCCTTCGCAGCCAAACAAGTTAGCTTGGCCATCTAAGTCGTTTTCTAACTCTCTAGGGCTGGCAGATATAACCCCTAGCGGCGTGAGGCTCCGAGAACCCGCCCTTGCTACACTACTAACGCCGCCAGTCTCTTTTGACACTACGCACTGCGAGCTAGCAGCCAGCTATGTGCGTCCGTCTCCCCCCTTGTCTCTGAAATCGGCTCGCCCCTTTAAGAAAACTACAGACCTCGCTCTCAGTCGGCTCATCCCTGTGCGAAAACCACCGCCTCTAAAATATGTTTCATTATTCTGCTGCCGTTTGCCGTCTGTGGCGCTGCCCCCTCGCCGCGGCGTCTCCGCCCTGATCCTGGGCCTTCTATGCCCCTTTGGATCGTGCTCTTTGCCTGCTTTCTGAAGGAGCTGCTCAGTGGGAACAAAAGAAAGAATGCCAAAGCGCCAATGCTTCGTAACGCTGCTGCTGCACCCCCTCTCGCGGGGCGGCACCAGAAACCGCCGTCTGCTGCATGCTGTGTAGCAGCAGCACCAGCGGCAATACTATCTGGCGTTCCCGATATCTGTGCCACGGAGGCAGTCATTGCAGCGTGCTTCTAAGCAAGCCCTTCGCCGGCGTGTACGCACTAAACGTCTTAATATGCACAGCAGCTACTGCTGGCGCTCCCACAACTGGAGGCCGAAAAACAGCCACGCGTCCCCCAGTGCGGGCATCTGGCTGGAGGTTAAAATGACACGTTGACGAGATCACTCAGCTCAAGGCGCTTTTCTGAAAAGCAAGCATAGAGCACCACTGAGCTCCCTCCCGCGAAATTTGCCGCGGAAAGAGCAGCTTCAGCTCGCTCACGTCACGCCCGACGACAGACACAGGTTTCCTCACTGCTCCTACAAGAAGCGGCGTGACATCCTACCATCACAAAACGGCCCTCTGGCCATCCTGTTGCCTATATATATATATGTATGACACAAGGAGTCGTGCACATGATTAAGTGTTGACAACACCCACAGCGCCAGATCGAACGCGCTGTTGCTGCTGCTGCAATCGCGGATGAAGCACAGTGCCAGACAGCTGCTGCTGCTGTTGCTGCTGCTGCTGCAACCGCCGCAGCAGCTCTGGCGATGGCGTTTCCTGCCCTTCGAGGAACCTCCGAAGCCACGACTCCGCTGCCTCCTTCCCCTTTTGCACCGCAACGTGCAGGTAAACCTGCAGCACACCCCCACACGGCAGCTACAGCAGAGCTCGTGAAGCGAAATACACCAACAGCGGCAACCTCCTCGCATTCTGCCAATGCCGCTCGCAGCATGCGGCACGAAGGCAGCAAACAACGGCAGCAGCAGCAAGCAGCGGCAAGCCTCACCTGTGCAACCGCAGCAGCCTGATCTCCGTAGCTGTTGCAGTGAAAGCACTTTTGTCTTCGCTTGCCTCCTTCCGTATAAAAATCAGCCACCCAGCGCCCTCTATCCTTCTCATACCGCACGATGCTGCTGCGGCCACGCAGCCCCCCAGTGCCACTGCTGCCGTTGCTGTTGCTGCTGTCGAAGGCAGGTGCGCAGTTTGCTGCAAGCTCTAACGGCTGCGGCAGCAAAGGCGCGTCTAACGCACTTGCAGTCGAGGCAGCGCAGTCTGCAGCAGCAGTAGCAGGTGCAGCGGAAACAGCTGCAGCAGAAACAGCGGCAACGGCCCCCGGTTCCTCGCCGCAGCTTGCGCTGTCTGTCACTGAGCAGTCCGACTCGCGTCTCCGCCTGGCTTCTGGAAGTAAGACAGATTCTTCTTCTCTCCGCCTGACTCTGCTGCTGCAGGTGCTTGAAGGCTCACCAGAAACATCGCGCTCTGCTGCCTGCTGCGCCTCAAGCTTCGCTGGTGTCAGCACAGAAGATCCCTTTTCAAAGCCTTCTGCTGCAAGGGCAGCCATAGCGGAGGGCGCTTGTTTCCGCTTAGTGCCACGTGTGTTGTATGCCCCGCCATGGCGTCCAACGCTGCTGCTGCTGCTGCTGCTGCCGACGCAATCCTCGTCGCCTCCAGAACTACTGCAGGTGCTCGCGGGAGACGCAGTGTCTCGCAGTGAACCGCTGCAATGATCTGCTGTCGCTGCTACAGCCGATGCCGCAGACGCCGAGCCACTCGCGTGGCTATCCCTCTGCAGCAGCAGCTGTTGCTGTTGCTGTTGCAGCTGTTGCTGCTGTTGCTGCTGCTGCTGTTGCTGCTGCTGTTGCTGCCGTTCGATTTGCTGCTTCTGGCGCAGCAGCTGCTGCTGCAGGTGGTGCAGTGCCTGCTGCTGCAGCAACTGCTGCTGCAGGTGTCTATGCAGCAGTGCAGTCTGCATTGGGTGCATTTGTGGGGAGGCGGCGTCCTGCTGGTGTTGCTGCAAGGCGGGAGGCAGCGCTGGCGGTTGTTGTAGCAGCAGCAGCTGCTGCTGTTGCTGCTGCTGCAGCAAGGACCCTCCTCCTCCAGCTGCAGCAGGCGATCCTCCGTTCGAATGCTGAGCCTGGGAGGGGGGAAGGGCCACTTGCGTCTTGAAGTCTTTTCGGTTGCTGTTGACTGCCTGCTGCTCCCTGAGAGTGACTTCCCTGAACCACGACTCTGCTGCCTCTCTGCCATGCAGCACCGCGCGTTGCAAAAACATGTGCGCAACAATCGGGGTAGGTACTGAGCAGTATGTCTTGCATGCGAAGGTCTTCTGCTGCCGTTGCTGGTTGCTGCTGCTGCTGCTGCAACCGCCTGCAGCAGCAGCAGCAGCACAGGAAGCAGCAGCCTCAGGCTGTACCTCGCGCTGCTCGCGTTGGGGAGGACCCCACCAGTCCAATACCCACCGGCATCTGCTGCTGCTCCAATAAAGACGACCTTTAGCAGCCTCCAACAAAGCTGCAGGAGGTGCTACTAGCAGCGCATCCAGCAGTGCTGCAGCAGCAGGAGCCGCTGCAGTCGCCGCTGCTGCTGCAGGCGCTGAAGCAGCGCGCCATTTGCGACTCCCAACCCACTCCCCAGCGAGACTGCTGCTCTCAGACAGAGGGTCTTGCTGTGTCTGCATCTGCTGCACCTGCTGTTGCTGTGTCTGCATCTGCTGTTGCTGCTGCGCCTGCTGTTGCTGTGTCTGCTGCATCTGCTGTTGCTGTGTCTGCATCTGCTGCGCCTGCTGTTGCTGTGTCTGCATCTGCTGCACCTGCTGTTGCTGCACCTGCTGTTGCTGCAACTGCTGTTGCTGTGTCTGCATCTGCTGCGTCTGTTGCTGCTGCGCCTGCTGTTGCTGAGTCTGCTGCATCTGTTGCTGCTGCGCCTGCTGCTGCAGCAACAGCTGCAGCTGCTGCTGAAACAGTAGATCCGAGGCGCGCAGAGCAGCAAGAGGCGGAGAGCTGGCGATATTTCCCCCAGCTGGAAAAGGCATTCCTCCACCTTCCGCAGCCAGTGATTTGGACGAGCTGTTTCTTCTCGAGCCGTCCCCCCACAGCTCTTCCTTCAAGACGCGTTGCTGCTGCTGGTAAAGAACCTGCTGCTGCTGCTGCTGCTCCTCCACAGTGGCCTTTTGCTGCTGCAGCTGGGCCAGAACACACTGCTGCTGCTGCAACAGCAGCAGCTGCTGCTGCAGCTGCTCTCTCAGCGTGCAGACCGCCTCTTCACTCCGGCTGCTGCTGCCTGCAGCACCTCCCGTTTCCGTCTGCAGCTGCTCCTGCGAAAGCCCTTTACTGAGCAGCTGCTGAAGCAGCAGCAAATGATGCTGCAACAGCTGCTGCAGGCCTGAGACTGCACCAGCAATGCTGGTCGGTGAGGTTCCACTTAGTGCGGCTTGCTGCATTTGCTGCCCTTGCATTTGCTGCCCTTGCACTTGCTGCATCTGCATTTGCATTTGCTGCTGCAGAGAGGCGGAGGCAGCACTTCCAGCTGCCAAGATCGACTCAGACTCTTGCGCTTGAGAAGCCTCCGTTGCTTCACGACCCCGAGGTGGCATCAGCTGGTGTTGCTGCTCTTGCAGCAGCCGCAGCGTTTCCGTGTGATGTTTCAGCTGTTGCATCAGCTGCCGCTGCAGCACTAGGGCGTGCCTCGGGTGTGGAGGCTGCTGCTGCTGGAAGCGCAAGCCTGCGTCTTCCCCAGCAGCGGGGAGAGGCAGAGAGAGCAGCGACGCTAGAGACGCAGCAGCGGCGCCACTGCCGCTGCAACCGTCGCTGCTGGTGGAGGAAGAAGAGGCAGCATGGTCTGCTGCAGAGACAGCGGATGACACACGTGGGAGAGCAGCAGAGGGGGGCAGCAGGGGAACCACTGGATCCGCTGCCGCTGCTGCTGGTGCACTCAAAGAGGCGTTTTGCGAAGCTGCAGTCTCCTCTGCAGCAGCCGTGAAGGAGGGCTTGTCAGCTCCTGACGCTGCTGCTTCTGCAGAAGCGAGATACGGAGCTACCGCCGACGAAAACGCCTCCCCCCGCGACAAATTGAAAAGACGAGCTTGCGAGTATCCAGCCTTTTCAGAAGCTGCTTCTGAGGAGTTTCTAGCGCCTCTCACGTCTCCTGCTGCAGCGGCAAGCGCCGCTGCTCTGCCAGCGTCCTCAACGCAGTGCTCGCTGCGCCCGTCTGTGTCTGAGGCAGTCGCCAGCGTAGATAGGGAGCTGCTCTCTGGCTCCGCTGGCGCTGAAGCTGCTGCTGGTGATGCAGATGCGTCAAGGCCCCTTCTTGCAGCAGCAGACGTCTCAGCCTCTGCAGATGCCAGAGACGCATGCAGAGCAGCAGAGACGGCGGCGCTGCCCTCAGCCTCTGCTGCAGGCGCTGCGCATGCAGCCCTACTCGGGAGACGGCGAAGACACAACATGCTGCCTTCTCGTGCAGCTACGGCTGCTGGTCTTCTACGCACTGCGTCCTCATGCGGCGGAATGCTCTCTGCTCTAAGAGCGAAGGAGCAAGAGCCCAAGCGATGAATCTCTGGAAGAGCAAAATCGGCCTTGGATGCGACGACAGAGGGAAAGACTTCTAAGGCACTAAACGGCGTGGCAGGTGCTATTGCTGCTTCTGCGAACGACGATGACAATCCTGCAGTCTGAAAGGCTTCTGCAGGCTCAGCCCCTCCGTTTGCGTCGAAGCAGCCGCTGTCAGGAGTGTGCTCCCTCGCAGTTCGAGGAAACTGCTGCTGGCGCTCTTGCTGCTGCTGCTGATGCTGCGCAGAATCCAGACAGTGCTCCTGTGGCATCTGCTGCAGCACGCGTCCTCTTGCTCTTGCTTCAGAAACGAACGAAGAGAGTGAAGCCCAAGAGGCCTAAGAACCTCAGTCAGCAGAAGCAGGGGTGTTTTTGTAGAAGCAGCACCAGCAGCGGAAGCAACGGCACAGCCGCAGCAGCAACTGCAGCAGGAGCTGCAACTCAAGTTCGCGCTGCTGTGTAACACAATACCCTCTCGCTTACTCCCAGTATATTGAAACGAGAGTCAGCAGCTGCGGCTTCTTACGCTGCTGTTGAAGCCGTCACTTGGCCAGTTGCTGTTGCTGCCGCCCTTTGCTGCTGCTGCTGCTCTTTGCTGCTGCTTGCTGCTTGCTGCTGCTGCTTGCTGCTGCGCGGCTGGAGAGAAGGTTCTGCAATATAGGCTCAAGCGTCGCGTATGAATCCAGCAGAGATGAAACAGCGGCAGACAAGGAGACACGAGAAATGAAATTCGACTACTCAGGGGTTCTCCCTGGCTGTGCGGCCTGTGCCGCTACGGCGGTGCTGCTGCTGCTGCTGCTGCTGTGAAGAGAGGTCCTGAGCTACACCCTGCTCTACGCTCCTGATGAAAGGGGAAGAGGCGCTATTTGTTGTTGCTGCTGCAACAGCAACTCGCATTGAGTGAGAGACGTTCTCTTTCGGGAGTTTGCAGCAGTTGACGCTGCAGCGCCAACTGCTGCTGCTGCGTTGCTGCTGCTGCTGCTGCTGCCGCGCTGCTGTTGCTGTTGCTGTTGCTGTTGCTGCTGCTATACGTAGGGCGACGCCTGCGCCCTTGTGAACGTCCTTTTACTGTTTTCTTTTGCTTCATATATAGTGAATTTCAAGTTCTGAAATAACTTGGCTCTGCTGCTTTACCGGAGGCTTGTGCAGCTCTGAATCGATGGCGGCTGGCTTCGGTACTGCTGCTGCCAGCTGCTGCTGCAGCGCCCATTGCCGCCGCCGCCGCCGCTGCCGCTGCAGCAGCAGCAGCAGCAGCAGCAGCATCATTGCAGCAGCTTTACTGGGAGACGCTTGAGCTAAATTGTAGAAGCTGTAGCTCATTATTTCCAAGCCATATAGCTCTTGGTCTTTTATGCAGCAGTCCCTGTTTCTGCAACTGCAGAAACAGGGACTGCTGCTGCTGCTGTTGCTGTTGCTGCTGCTACATCAGCATCGACGACAAAGCATGCGCTCAACAGTCTCTGGTAGGTATACAAATAGAATTTTAACCTTTTTGACTCAGCCTTTAGACTTCTTCCTCGCGACACAGTCATTGCAGCAATAGTGCCCGCAGCAGGACCAAATTCAAGTGTGGTACATGAAGACGAAATCCCATCTAGGCAACACTGCTTGCAGGGAAGGCCGCTGCTCTAAGTTTCAGCCACTGAAAAGTGTCAAGAAGACACGACTTTTTTAGGCAGTATTCGCCTGAGTCCGCCAAACTCACGCTCGTAGTAGCAGCAGGGACCCTCATGGAGCATATGAAAGCCACCAGCGCTCCACTGCGCGGGCCTAGCCACATCACAACTCGGCATGTTTTGCTACACTAGTTATATTTCCCTAGGGCGTAGTAAAGGATTGATCACTAGGTTATTCTTCTTGTCTTCCTTGTTCATTTCCCAAGTAGCGCTAGCTCGATACAAGGGTCGCAACGTTGTATATATGTACATATACATATATATATATATATATATATATATATATATATATATATGTGCGTGCTTGGTGCTATGTGTAATTACCTACCATTGCTCTGAGTGCATTGAGGCTGCAGATACGCACATCATAGCTGTCGCCCTACCCCAATTTCGGGCACTATAAGCTCCACGGGCAGGGAAAGGCGAGAATTCTCTTTAAAACCCCTTATCAGCTTTCTATCAAGTGTGCATTGAGTGTGGAGTACAGTGTCTCCCTAAAGACCTTAGACAGTGGGCTACAATTGCTAGCATCGCGTGATTCGATAAATTCTCTCTCTACTCATTCACTGCCTGGAGGGGGATTCTAAGTTTCCCTGCAATATTTGTATGGGTTCGATCAAGTTACTGGGTATATTACCAATCTGCTTTTACAGGCACCAGTCTGGATGAAAAGCACCAGCTGGTGGTGGCAGTGGGCAGCGACACAATGCCTGTTAGGACTGCACAAGCCGACATACAAGCTGATTTAAGCGGAGTAGCTCAAAAGCTGGTATAAATGCATGATTTGCCACCCAATAAAATGCTATGCATGCGTCGATGAGGCTATGCCGAACATAAAAGGTCTCATGACAGTAAGGATGGGCAAGTACTCAAAGGTGCATCAGCCACTTACAGACCACCTCAAACACTACTCTTCGGACAGAGGAAAACTAGTTATTCTTGTAACATATACATTGGAGAGAAAAACACTTCAAAAGTGGCTCTTCTTATGCAGGGGGAGTGCCTCTCCCTGCATAACGCACCACGGTTCAAGCCTTCACACACGCTCGGGCTTACCGATTCATGCAGAGTTCAACTTAGCAGTTGGCTTTGCGAGGTGTTGAGAAAGCTGACGGAAGGGGATACACAAGAAGGGTGGTGTATCGAGAAATATCGAACTTGGCTCGAAAGAGCCACACCTTAATAAAGGCAGCTGCTTTATCAGTGAATCACCGCAGGTCTACGCGAAGTGTTACGTCAAGTGGTCGGCGTTTGTGCGCCGTTGTCTCCCAGCAAGATACTGGTCCTCATCACAGTCGTGCCTGATATTTTCGTCGCTTCGCCGAAACCGAACAGCCTTATTTAGTGAGGAAAAGAAATTCTTCGTGGTGCGATGCGGCATGGAAAATGCCAGCATTGCTTGTGTGGGCGTCATTTTCCTGTCCAGACACGCCATTACGAATGTACCTTATTAATAGTTTGCAGGAAGTTAATAACCGCGCGTCTCCTGGTACGACCCCACACTAAAGTATATTAAGGGCACTAACCTTACTGTTTCTGACACGCTCTCGCAACTCCCAAACAACCCAAGATTGTGCAGCGCAACTGCTCCTCTCTGTGATGATCACGGTTTCTATGGAAATCGTCCTGGGTTTACGCCTCAGACACCCGTACATCCTCCAGTACTGCCGAAACTTCGAATGGAAAAGGACGAGGCACTACGACGTTGAGGATCGACTGCTGCGATTTAAGTCAGAGCACAGGACTTCGTCGCTTGTGCCATCCATCTTTACTCTGTGACCCCATTTTGCCGCAAGGCACATGACCATGTCCACTCTGAGACACATGACCAGTGCGCCGACCACACACTTGCACTTCTTGCCACTCTACATGCACAAAATCTAGCTGGGCTTTCTTCTTTGTGCTAAGTTGGTTTATTATGCATCAGGACACTTGCTTATTATCACTCTCCCGCATGTCTGGTCTATATTATGAGCTCCGGTCTCTTCAGAGGCTGGACGTCAAGGCCCAGAGTCAGCGGCCACCCTTATCGGCGGAGGCTTTCAAAGACGAGCTTGCTAGGCGAAAGCGTGCGCAAAGCTCAAGTGAGACAAGCAAGGCTTTTTGATATATGGCGTTTGGCCGGTTGTTTTGAGCCTGGAGGATTGGTTTTCAGTGGAGCAGTAGGATTTACGAAGTGCAGTCGATGGTAAGCAAACGACGAATTCCGCGGCGAGGCGGAAAAAACCCCTCTGCACTCCTCTCACAGATCGATTTCCTTTCTTAATCTATAGGTCATTTCCAACAGTTGGAGGTGTCACCGAATTATTAATATTGGCTTCTTAGAATTGCCAGAATCTCCTCAGCTATTCGCGGACTTGTCATGCAGCCAAGTGAAATGTGTAGAGGCAGAGGGTACACAAGGAACCTTAGAAGTGCTGTATTTCACGACTATTGAGCGCCGAGGACATATTTTCCGGACAAAACTCGTAAGTAAATTGTAGTAAATGATGTCCACTGTAGGGATTGGCACGGCGTTGCTGCCTGCAAGAAAATCTGCAGCTATGTTTGGTTAACGGTGCTACTTGCCAAAGATGGTCATTCCCACTTTCCCTTGTAACTGTCCTCCCCAGCGCGTATTTTGCCTGAACGAGCTGTCTCACCTATGAGAAATTTGTAAAGTGGCCGATTATCGATATTTGTAATCTGCTCTCTACACCCAGAGTTTCACGCAGGTACTCTCCGGTATATTCTCCCCAAGTACTGCCGTAAGCCTCTTTTCGGGCTGTGAGGTCGCTACGTACACCGGCTGTGCTGCATGCAGAGACTGCTCTATGAGGCGTGTGCCCACTGCTGAGCAAGTGTGTGATTCGAGCTGTTACAGATTTCACTTATCTACTTTTTTCTGGTAGCAAGATACTCACTGCAGCGCTCTGACGATAGCGAGCGGCTCGCCGCCGCGGTCGTCTTGACTTTGTTTTCCGTCCGTAGTTTTCGGGTGCGTGTGTCTTTCTTTCGCCAAGTTCAGTTTAAGATGCAGTGCATACATATGCTTCCCCTTTTGGGCGTCTTTGTATCATCGGGCCTGAGGAAGAAGGGGCAATCCCAATTGGGTATGGCAAGTATCGGAGCAACTGCATGGCGGCCAATTTATAAGTGTCTTCACTGGTGCATCGCTCTCCACTGTGGATGCTCCGAAGTGCTTCTCAAGCTAACCTGTCAAAGGAGCACCGACATGAGTAAATTCAACAATAAAATTCAGATAATAAGGTGCAAGCCCGCAGAAATTTTCAAACGCCTTTTCAGATGATTTAAGGTCGAGGCTAGGCCTTCGTTGTTTCAAATTTTGCAAGACCTGGCTCACATTTCTGCAAGCCAAACATGTAACTCCATAAAGTAGCGCTGCTCTAGCCAACAGCGAGTACTTACATGCCTTCACACACCGCTGCATGTCCCGCGACCGCTAAAGCGCACGCCGTAGGTGCTCTCTGATCTTTTGAACGTTTCGGATGAATACCTCGACGTCATCTATGCTGACGATCATAAACCCTTGCTCGATAGGCTCATAATACTCCAAATAAACTTGCTGATCGGTCTCAGCTGGGTCGCTAGCAATTCCAAGCGGAATAAACGTATGCTTGAGTTTCGAAAGTGAGTAAGAACAGACCGCTTTTTTGCTCGTGATCAGGGTGAATGGGGATTTGTAAGAAGGCACCTGCTGAATTAATTCTCGATTAGACTGTTAATTTGCGAAAGCTAAGAGGTAGTTGGACAGTGTAAAGATCGAGAACAACTGCTCCGCAACGATCGTGCTCTGGGGCTTGGAGTTTACGAACATGCGCCATTTCCGTTGTTTTCGGGGCCAACACCAGGTTATGCCCAAAGGCATTGGTCAGATTCCTGAACTTGGATTTTATTCCACAGAGTATCGGCGTGCCTATAAGCCCCCTTTTCATGCCCTGGGGGCATTCGTTACGAAGGAACAGAGCTTAAGGCTAACTGAGGGATTAGCTCAGCAGTTGCGGTAGACGACCGCTGGGAGGCCAGCCTGCAGGCAGCTCGTCATTATTTGGCACATCTGTGAACTTTTCCTCTATACCTGCTGATTACTGCTGTTTTCTAGCCAAGTGGTAATGAGTCGTCTAGCTAGTTATCAGCTGCAGAACCAACAAGAGGGTATGCATGCTTAGAACCGTCTGGCAGTACCGCACTGCTGAGCCGCCCGCATAAAGACACTGCCTCACCCTTTGAGGTACCGATTCAACAACCAACCAAAACGAAATGTTGCTGAGACCAGGACTTGCTTCTTCCTAGCGCTTTCTGGCGCACTAACCTCCATAGCTCGCACCTCTTGCCGCATGCGTACCTCCGTTGAATTATCCAGGGCACACATAGGCTTGCGTCGTGGTGCACGGGTCTAGCATAGAAGTCACAAATAATGTTGATAAGACCCGATTCCGATTCAGAATTGCCTTCAGCTACCATAGCCCTGTCATTCCTTGCGTTCTGCCACCCCTGGGCAAGCCTTGATTTTAAAAACTGTGCCTACTAGTGACCAAGTAGATTGCTCTACTGCGCCGTCTTCTCGAATAACATATCCATTTCAAATTTGGCAACAAGGAACCTTGATAGTTCTTGAGCATGAATGTAAGCTTGCAGCAGCACAGACTTGACTCGTGTTGGGTTCCCAACTGCAGTTCAATCCCTTGTATCAACCTCTCACTGCGCCGTATCCTTCGAGGTAGGTTTTCCGATGCCTTAATGCGTCTTCTTTGTTGGCCAGGTAGCCTGGGCTAGCTGGGCCGAGCCCTGTTATTTTGAGCTGTCTGGAGTTTTTGTATGCTCTTGGAGTTCCCTACCATTTGACCCTATTTGCTGCCACAAAAGCGGATGCATTGTTGGGGAACTGTTTGGAGTGCTAAGATCTTCTAGCTTCCCTTTGGGTTTTTGTCCCAGTTTACTATCGACTGTAGGCTAGAGCCGCTTGATATATTGCCGACATCCATAGGTTCTGAATCCCGATTAGGCTCCTCCTTGCCAGCCAAAGCGGTAGGAGTTATGCTCATTTGCTCCTGACCGCTCGTGTAGTCGGACTGAAGGTAACTACCCATGCAGCAGGTGTTGTAACCAAAGTACCATACTTGTCGATACAATAATATATGTACAGACTCCTCAACTTCAGCGTTTTCAAATCACCAAAGGTTACTTTTGAGCTTATCTCTGTACAACCCAATGAGCCAGAGCGTGGGTGTCTACGTGTATTGAGCTAGTGATACTTTGCAAAAAAGGCAATATATGAACCAGCAAACCCTTACGTCAATGCTTCTTAGAGTCTAAGCAAAATATACCCGCAGTAGCAGAAACTGTTCAAGCGTAGCTTATCCCGCTAGGCAAGGTTGCGTGAGTGTGTGCGCTTAATGGTATGTGCGCTTTGTTGTGACTTTTTCGGGGTGCTGGGGGGCTGCAGCCAGGCGCGCCATGGCTGCCTCTCTCCCTTCCTGTTGGGGACTATGGGGGGCACTCGAAGGGAAAGGCAAGAGGCCTGCTGAAGTCACTCAATAGCTTTCAACTGAATATGAGTGGAGTCCGAGGTTCAGTGTCTCCTTGCGGAGACCATAGAGAGAGAATTTCAAAGTGGGAAGCACGTAGTTCAAAAAAAGCAGACACATGAATCGTCTGGGACCTGTCGGACTGTGCGAATGCAGTCCTTGCAGAACCCGTGCAGCAAGACTGCAGCTCAACCTCCGTCAGCCTCTATTGCCGCATACTGACGGCGGCAAGGTTCCCAACGGATGTACCGCCAAGAGCTGCCCATGCTGGTTGTGCGTCCGCTAATAGAGGTGATAAAGGGGCCGTTTGTTCCCTGCGTATTTTCTCACTGCGCCTACAGCTACTGCTGCTGCTGCTGTCGCTGCCCATGACTCAATGCGGCTTGCTCTGCGAGTTGTTTGGCCTTAAGGAATCCGTGGAGCTCAGCACTGAATGAACGCGACGAGGGTCGACCATCCAATTGCAGTAGCGACACCCAAGTGCTCGTGACCCCATCCCACACAACACCTGGCGCGCGTGCACAGGCAAGGAGACAACGTGCGCGTTGGAGGTTTGCGCACACGTATGATGCGCATACTCCACCAATCAAAGCTCATACTTGTAGATAGACAGCGGTAGTGAGAGAAAGACAGGCAGGCAGACAGACACGTAAATCGAGAGAGAAAGACGCAGAGCGAGTCTCTGCGTGGAAAAATAAAAGCCTAGCACAAAAGATACGCAGCAACTTTGCGGGCACGTCAGTCTAACTACGGAAGAGAAGGAACGATTTCAGAAGATCTGCATAAAATATGCGTGTACATGCAAACCATTACGGCGATGGCCCTTGGCGGCCTCTTCTGACCCCTTTATGCCGAAGACAGTAGGAGTGGTGACAACGACAGCGCAGGAGGAATACATACATGTACATACAGAAAGAGAAACGTAGATATGCTTATGCATATATCCACACATGCGTGAAAGGGAAACAGTTTGGGCAGGAAAGTATATGAAGGGAGGAGACGGCAACTGGACAAAGTGAAGCCAAGGACTAAAAGGCGAAGGCGAGCAAGAGAGCCAGAGAGAGCGACGAACAGACATGGCCGGCAACACGGTGCCCTCCTGCCCGCCACTCCTCCTTATTCACCTGGTACGGCGCTTGTATGACGAGTAGCCTGAAGGCGGCCCTCTGCCTGCAGCAAATAGAAAAGCATACCTGCGGCAGGAGCCGTCAGTCGATAACGGCAGAGGCAGCAGGTGCTGCGTGCAGGGCAGCCCCAAAGTTCCCAAGTGGATGGCAGCTTCGCACGCCTGCCTACTAGACGCATTGAAGGAGAAGAGCAAGGCAGCGAGTCTATGGATACTGGTGAATACGGAAAGTCAGTCTGACAGACGAGCTGTTTCGGAAGGCTCGAATAAGCGTTCCCAGGGGCAGCCACGGAGGCGCGATGAGACTTTGAAAGCGTCGGCCGCACACCCCCAAGGCGACAGAAAGAGAAGAAGGACGAACCACATACGATGTGCATGCACAGAAATGTGCAAGCCGCGCGAGACGCAGCTCGGCGAATGCACTTACGTAGAGAGACAGAAACGCATACTGTCCGGAAGGCAGCACGCGGGTGAGAGCTGAAAAAGGAAGGGCAGGATGAGAGGCAAGTGGGCAACAAGGCGCTGCGGCAACGGCGCTCATCCCGTAAGATAGCTGTACTCCCCCTTGTTCCCTGACCTTTTAAAGAAAGAACGAACCTTCATAGCATCTGCGAAGGCCACGGCCTCTTTCTTTGCTGCAAAGACACCCCACTTCTTTATGGGGAAGGGCTTGCTGCTGCGCTTGTTATTCTCGAAGAAGGTCACTTCCCACGCCTCGTTGAGGGCTTCGAAGGAGACAGCAAAACACGGCGAATCAAAGTAGGACGCTGGCAGAGAAACCTTCCGAGGGCGCGCCGCATGCACCGGTCTGAACCTGAGGCAAAAAGGACGCGGCAGCGAGGCAGATGAGGTCAAAAGACGGCCAGGTGAGAAGGGAGAGAGCACACGTGAAGCAGCGGAAAGCGTAAGAGGAGAAGGGTGGGAGAGCAGAGGGCGAGGGCGCGTGGAAGAAGCGAGGAAGCCGGAAGGGCAGGCTGCGTGGATGCGGGAGCGCGGCCACACCCCCTGTTGACGAAAAGGCGGGCAGAAATGGCGGAAGGAAGAGCCAAGGAAACGCGAGAGCGAGGGGGCAGGACCAAAGCATATGGCAGTGAAGGGAGGCATGGGAGAAGGCAGGGGGATCGCAATGGCTTCCAAACAGGCTGCGACGTGAGGACGCGCTATATACCCACGAGGAGAGGGCCTCTACGGGAACGGACAGGGATTATATTGAACAGAGGCAGACTTCGAGGGCTATGCAGAGGAAGGCAAAAAGTGCAGTAAAACATGTGCAGCGAGGCGATTAGCACATGCGCAGCACGAGCAGATGCAAAGCCTTGCCTGTTTGCATTCTGCGCTCTGAAGGCGTTCCCGATTCCCCACTTAAAAACCACATCGATATGCCCCTCAGGCTGTTTATACACTCTGGAGCTGCTGCATGAAAGGTCTGTTGGGGGGGCGGCCTCTATCGGAGTATGCTGGGATACTTCCTTTCCCGTTCTGCTCCTCGCCGTATGGCTGCTGCTGTCGTTGTCGGCGACAATCGCTTTCCTAATGCAGGTGTTGCTGCTGCTGTAGGCTCTACAGTCTGCAACACGTCTCGTAATTGATCTGAACAGTGCTGTGCTACCGCTCGGTGCGGAGACTCCCCTCAGCAAAGAGGGGCCCCAGCAGGCCGTCCTATGGAGTAGCAGCATCGCTAGAAATGCTAAATCCTACGTTTAAGTGTACATTGGACGAGCCATGGATGCCTTTCCACGCGGCAGGTGTCTCCATTCAAATGGCTAACGACACTGGGCATGAAGAGTTATCAGGGTTGGGGAGACCCTTTACTCCAACCATCCATTATAGACCAAAACATTAAGCACTGCACTACAAAAGAAGCTGCTCCTACGGCCTCCCGCCTATTTTTCCGGGGCCCCGTCAGAGGGGCCCCCCTTCCCTCCCGCGTAGGGAAGGGCCCCAGGGGCCCCACCCTCCCGTCACCACCACACCATGACACCACCACCAAACCACCACTGCCTCCATGGACCCTCGAGCCCCCTGTTTCCTCGAGAGTCTGCTGCAGCGGAATCGGAAATAAAGGCAAGCGGTGCATCTGGGAAATCAATCCTACCTGCACTTCTCCAATCACGCACCCTCTCGTGTATGTATGGTGACGGCGGGAGGGGGGGGAGTGGAGGCGAGCGAACGTGCAGGTTTTTTGTCATTCTCTCGTGTGTGTGCGTATGTATGTGCTCGTTCTCTCCCTACCATTACCGTAAACCCTAATTCCTACTCGAATTAAGTCGCAAGCAGTGGCTCAACTTGATTCGTTAGCAATGCCCAAGGGTGCGAGGAGCCTAAGGCTCTCGGGGGCAGTAGCCATGTTTCCTCCAGTCCATGAAGTCGGAGGTGGCCCCTCCCTCCTTTCTTGTGGGTATAAGCAGAGCTCTGATTTAGAGCACGAGAACGCGCCCCCACACCAGCAGTACCAGGAGGAGGCAGGAGAGCAGCAGTTAGTCCTGGAGCGGCTGTTGCAGAAAGAGCGAATGCTGCAGCAGCAACACCAGTTGCTGGTGAAGCAGCAGCAACAGCACTTGCAGCAGCAGAAAAGGAGGCAGCGTGCAGCGGCAACGCAGGCCCCTAGGCACCCCCTGCTCTCCCTCCGCACCGATCGCCGCCAGCAAGAGCTGGAAGAGCGACACGAGACTGAAGACGATCCCCTGCAGCAGCCCCCGATTCTCCCATTGTCTCCGGCTTTCCGATGCAGAGGCGCCAGCCTGCGAGAGGGGGGGCCTCTTGAGAGGGGGGGGGCCCTCTCCCCAGCCACAAAACGTCCCGGCATGCCTCAAGCAGGAGAAGGTCCGGCTGCTGTAGCGCCTTCCTTCCAAGCTGCATTTAATATGCGAGCACCCCTTACCAGCGTGGCGAACACCGATGCAGAACGGGCAGTAGAAGACGAGCTTGCTGGGGTTGAGGCAGCAGTGCCGCAGCACGACTTCACTCTGAGGCTGTACAGCCACCAGGAGAGCTCTGTCTCGCCTTCTCTTGCTTCAGTGCAGCGGCAGCTCCAACGCCCCTCCCGAGACACCACAGCAGCTACCAGTGCGGCAGACGTCGGCGTGGATACGCCACCTCGGGGGGCCCCCAATAGCAGTCCCTGTGTCGTTTCCGCAGTTGTTTCTCCCAGCCCAGCAAGGAGCCAAGGAGGTTCTCAGAGCCTGCAGCAGGTCTGCCGCTCTCTTCCCTTTAGACCGGAAGCGGCGTCGGCTCTCAAAAGCGACTCAACATCCGCCTTGCATCAGCAGCAGTGGGAGGAGCCGCTGCTGCTGCCATCTGACGCTTCGCTGCAGCCAGGAAGAGGCGGGGCAGCGGCTCCTCATGGCAAAAGCAACGACAGCTCCCTCGAGCGGCAGCAGCAGCAGCCGCCGACTGCTTTCAAGGGAGCTGTTGAACGTGGCAGACGGGAGTCTGTGAAGCAAGCACCGAAGTCTCCTAGAATGTTATCCAGCTCTCCTAGTGGAGCAGCCTGGGGCCTCCTCGAGATCTCGGAGGGGCCCCCGGAAGTTGCAGATCTGGCTAGGCAGGGGCCCTTAGATGCTGCATTCGTTTCCGGAGCTGCCACAGCTGCATCTGGTTTTCCCAAGGTGCCCCCAAGTGGCTGTGTAAGGGGGTCGTCGAAGAGTGCGTGCTGCTCGGGGCCCCCTGTAGCAACCACTGAAGCCCTCAAGTGCGTGGAGGCTGCTGCACCCGAGGAGTGGGATGCCGCTGCTGCCGCTGCTGCAGCGCGGCGAGAACTGGCGGAGACGCAGGCGCTCAGGCACTCGGCCTTGTTGCGGATTGAGGGGGCCCACAGGGGCCTCCTGGGGGCCCCTGGCACCTCCGAGCCTGCGGAAAGGGCAATTCTTGCTGCGGCCGATGCGGCCGAAGCAGCAAGAATTGCAGCGGTGCCAGCAGCGGCAGCGGCAGCAGCAGCAGGCTTTAGTTTGTCGGCATGCAAGGCGAATCCGCTGCAGCCGTCAGCTCTGGAGAAGGAGGGCTTCAAGGAAAAGGGCACGAGCGCGTGGAGCTGCAGCGGCTTGGCACTGCTGGACCCCAAACCCCTCCGTCGCTCTGCAGCCTCGCTCAAAAGGGGCTTGACAGCTTCCGCGGAGGAGAGAGCAGACACTGCGGCGTCTGCCGAGTCCTCGTTTGCTGACGTGCGGGGGGCTGGTGTGTCTCTTGAGGCTCCAACCGAGACGGCAGTCCACGCTTTCCCAGCGGCAGAAGGATCCCGTTTCACAACCCCAAAGGCGCCAACAGCTTCGCCGTTGATGCAGCGGGAAGGGCCCCTCCTTAAGGCCGGAGAGTCTTGCATCAGCAGCAGCAACCGACTGTGGCATGCACACACTGGCACGCATGCTGCGGGAGGCTTCCCACAGAGCGGCCGGTGGAGGCTCTGCGTGGACCCTGTTGCAGCGGCCCTGCGGCAATCCGGAGAAACTCAGCAGCAGCAGCAGCAGCAGCAGCAGCAGCAGCAGCAGCAGCAGCAGCAACAGCCCCGAAATCCCTTATTTCGCGGAGCCCAAGAGGCAGTGGGCCTCACGGGCCCCTCCAGCCTTAAGGAACCGGTCCAACCCCCTGTACTCCGCGTCCCCTCCAAGATCACTCCGGGGGGCCCCCCCCAATGGGGCCCCTTGAGCCCCCTTCGGCATTCTGCCCCCAACCCGGCGATTACAGGCATGCGGATGCCTAAGCAGCCTTTGACTCCTAGCTCAGGCAGGGACGGGCACCGCACTCTTCTCCAGCTTCCCCAAGTGCACACACAGAAACAGCACCCTCTTGCAACAACTGCAGAGGGCGGAGAATTTACACCTGTGCCTCCCGAGTGCACGTGGAGCCTCCACGTGCCTTCTGCCTGCCGCTGCAGCCGCCTAGACACCCGCTGCAACAGCGGCCAAGTGCGAATGGCACGAGGTCCTCAGGGATCGCTGCTGCTAGAGCTGCGACGGTGCAGCAAGTGCGGCGGCTTTCCCCTAGCTTCCTTTGACTACGGGCGGGGTACCCCCACCAAGAGCTCTCCGCCTTAGGAGACGTTCCGCTGCATGAATGTGCAACGTTTTCAGGAGGGGCCCGAGGCGTTGGCCTCCCCTTAATCTACACCCCCAACTACCCTTCAACCTCGCCCCCTGCCCCCCCGCTCCTTTTAAACCTAATTCTTCTAGCCAAGCCGCTTCGGCTCTACGCACCCTTAGCAGACAAGTGTCGCCGCGCCCTCCAACTCCTGGGCGTCACTAGATAGCCGCACGAATCGCCACGCTGTTTTACAGCGCTGTGGTTGATGTGAAAAGTCTCAAAGGCCTCTCCACCAAAGGCCTCCGCACTCGAGTGCACTTGGTGGGGCTTGCTTGTTTCGTCTAGTTCGAGATTCCGGATACAGCGCTATACGGCCAACTGCATCTCTCGCCAGGGCCGAGACACGTAAGCGCACAAATGTACCGCTTCGCGGAGACGCGCGTGCGGGTGATGCACTAAAGGCCCACGTGTCTGCATGCACTCGACTAGGGATACTTATACGTGAACTGTTCTCCTTAAATGTGTACATACACGTACCAAAGAATGTACAGACATATATACAACCTCGAGTGCAAGTATTGGGGAGGCACATGGAGGGGCTTCTCTACCTACGCATGCACGTGTAATGGAAGGGGGTCAGGGAGGGAAGGAGGGAGACTTGGAGGCATAAGCATTCATCCAGATAGAGCGAACAGAGAGAGTGTCATGATGGACATGTGCATCTGCCTCAACATAGGCATACACCCGTACGTCTACGGCGAAGCGGCTCGTAGACACGCGCAAGGATAAGGCGAAAGGAAAGGGCAGCGCTTGGACTGGGAAGTGTGCAGGGGGCAAGTGGGTGTGCAGACGCGATAGACGGGCTGTCGTGGCCCCTAACTGTTAAACGAATGTGAGCGCAGCCATAGACAGAGATCACTGGGAACGGCCAGGGAAGGGACGATTGCCGCATAACTGCAGCGCATACCGCACGCACAGACAGCACAAACGCCCAGCAGGTGTTTGCTGCTCTTCGCACAGGCTTTGCTGCTGTTGCAGCGGGGTAGTGAGAGCTCCTGGGGTCGAGGCTGAGATCGTTTATCCTCCCTAGGGGATACGAGGCTTTGAATGGTCTGGGGGAAACGCGGTTTGGTGTTACTGCTCGTGACTGGGGAATCTTGAAGGGAGGTGGGAGCCATGCAGGTCGAGGGCAACCCCGGATAGTCCAAGATGGTGCAAGCCGTAGGAACACCTTTGCAGCAAGCCACACTCGTGCAAACGGATGAAAGCTCTCCGCAGGGCCTGAAAAAGCAGCAATCAGATGCAGTGAGGGAGGTGAGTGCGGATGGAGGGTTTGAAACCGAGGTTTACCCCCAAGCGCCGATGAGACGGAGATGGCGACAGGGAGGAATGCAAGGTAGAGAAACGTAAATGACGGAAAGACGTCCCACACGAAGGTCCTTCCCGTTGTCATTGTGATGGATCAGCAGGAAAGCCTTGGGGTGTGGCCAGTGAAGCGTGGACGTTTGGTTGGGTGTACGGTGGGTGTGAAAATGGGGATCTGCTGTCTCGTGTTAAAAATTTGAAATCTGACAGGCTGGCTAATGTGTCTTCTTCGGGAGTCGTGGAGCTTAAAAAAGGCGGCCACTTCGTGAAGAACTGCGAGGAAGGTCTTGGGGATGAGGGCCTTTCGGTGGAGTCGCGCCATGGCAGTCAGAACTAAGTGCTCGGAGAAGGATAGCGACGCCAGCAGGGAATGCTCCATTGAGGTGGTCTGAGAGGCGCAAGCTCAGTGCCGGAATCGAGGGGGGGCTAGTAAGGGAGCGAAACAAGGCAGATACATGTATATACATGTATATGTACCTCTATATATATATATATATATCTGTAGGGGATGCGCCAAGCAACGGGAGGCAATATGCGTTGAATGAAAATGCAGTGCAGCGGGTTCTGAGCGGCCGCCGCAGCCGAGCGAACACAGATGACAGGAGACACGTGGAAGAAATTACAAAGACGGGATCTGCTGCGGCTGTCTACACTGCGGATGCGAGGCCCCACGTCGTGCTGCTGCCTGCTTACGCGCTGTGTATCGAGAGCCTCGGCGCACAAGTTGAGTCCGTTCTCCTGTTGCTTCGGCTGCTCCTCTACGTCGGAAGCGACGGGGCCCTTAGGAAGGCTGCTGGCGTTGGGGGGGGCCTCCTCGACATGATGCCGCAGAGGGGAATGCAGGGGGGAGAGGGCCTCGGGAACTTCGGGGGCCCCCCATGCACCCCAGGGCCCTTCGGCAGCCACACGAGGCAGCGGCGTTTCAAACAGAAGCAGCGGAGTCACTGCGGCAGCCAAAAACCTACGGGCGTCTCTCCCCACAGCCAAGGCCCTTTCACATCGAGCCTGCAGCAACGCACAGCACAAAGCGTTACAAGAGCAGCGACGTCCCGTGTTAAGGAGTTGTCGCGGAAGGCAGAAGGCCCTTCCCCAGCAGCGTGGGGCCCCTAGTGCAGCACGTGAGTAGGCGTTCGCAGCGCACGTGCACTGCGGCAGTCGCGGCGGATGGCGACGTACCTTGAACTGAGGATCGCTGAGCTCAGCCTCTACCGCTGCTTCGAAAGCCCTCAGAAAGCGCTGCACCACGCGTGCGTCCTCCTCTGGGGCCTCTCCCCTCGGCTGCACGCTGCTTCCTTGGGAGCGCGCAGACGCGCTGTGCGCTTCGAGGAGCTGCTCTGGTGTCACCCTCAGGAGGTCGCGTCGGATGAACTGAAGGAGATCGGGCACGCGCATGGCTGCCTTCAGGCAGAGCTTCTGCATCGTGAACCTGCTGCGGATGCGCTTCTCCATGAAGTCTGCAAGGTCCAAGACGGGTGAGAGACAAATGGTGCAGATGTGAAGGCCTTCGCTGTGCTGCAAGTCGAAGAGATTATACAGCAGCTGCTGCTGCTGCCCAGTGCCTCCCCTCCCCCACTCCGACCCGGAGAGACAGCACACCTCGACGCGATCCAAGACGATCACTACGGCCTTCCCCATCAACGAGCAGCTGTCCACCAGCAAGTCTCGCAACCGCTTCAGCCAGTCTCCGAAGCTGCCCCCATGCTGCTGCGCATGCAGCTGCGGCTGGTGCTGCTGCAGCGCAGCGCACAGACGACGCACTATCGCCTGGAGAATGGCCGCGTCGTTCGGATACAAGGAGCAGTTCACACGCACCACCACAAGCAACTGCTGCTGCTGATTTCGCTGCTGCTGCACAAACCGAAGGGCCGATTCGACAGCTGTGGTAGCGCCTGACCCACGAGGCCCCAAAACCAAGACGCTGCTCTTCTCCTTCAGCTCGAGGCAGCAAGTCAGTTTTGCCGCTAGGGAACCCGCGACTGCCTCGAAGGATGCGCCTTTGCTGCCGCTGTTTTTGCCGTCGTTTTGCGCCCTGATGGTCGCAGCCGCGGAACTCCCTCCCTTCAGAAAAGACTCGACTGCTGGCGACGGTTCGAAGCCGTCACGCTTTCGGGGGGTTGCCTGGGAGCTCCCTAGCGATATGTTGTGCAGCTGCCCCCTGAGAGCAGACCGAAGTCGCTGCCGCAGTGTGTGTTGCAAGAGTGGCAGCAGATAGGCACCGCACGAGAGGCGGTCGTGCAGCACCTGGGGGAACGAGACACGAGGGGCAGACTCTTTGTCTCCTCCCTCTGAAGGTCCATCTGCACAAGGTGGAGGGGCACCTCCTTCAGACACTGCATGCACAGCAGGTCCCGCCGCGAAGCGGCTCTCAGGGGTGTCTTGCGAGGTGCGACGCCTCTTCGAAAAAGACTCCGGTGCTAGAGAGGGGGGGCCCTTCGGCCTTGGTCTGCCGCCTGAGGGGCTTCCCTCCATTGTTCTTCGCCTGGTCGCTGTAGCCAGCTCAGTCCACGTAAGGGAAAATGCGCTTAGCGAGAGGTGCTAAACAGCATGCCTCCGCTTCAAATTTCCTAAAGCTTGCGAAAAGTTCGGACTCCAAATAGTACACACAAACCCTCGAGCCAAGGCTTGCTTGCAGACACACCCAAACAAAAAAGTGCACGCATCGATTTCCCTATTAGACGAGGAAGATAAGCTGGGAAAAAGGAGCCCAAGGAGACAGCATTCAGAGGGCCCCCAGAGAGGCGGGGGGCCCCTGTCTGTGAGGTGGTGGTGTTTGTGTGGGGGGGTCGCGCTGTTTGTGCAGCACCAACAATAGCACCAACAGATGAACAAGTAAAAATAAAACACAGAAACAATAAGCAAATAGTACTTACTCTCTGTGCGGTTTGCTTGAACTTTTCGCAATAGGAGAGGAATAACACGCGACACCTAGGTACAATCGGGACAGGGCCGAGCGTGCTGCTGCCAGAAGAGGAAGAAAAGTATGCGAGTTGAGCCCAAAATCGCGTCAAAAAGCAATTATACCTATTAAATAGCAAAATATACGTGGAGGAGCAGTGCAAGCACTTTAGCGCAGCGGGAATTCAGCGCCGGGGTCTTGACATTAGGACACTACGTTTAATTGACATGACCAGAAGGGGGGTTTAGCGCGTTCTGTATAAAGATTTTCACTTGATACGACTCATGGAGCACTAGAGCCTTATCTGCGAGGGCGAAGGCCTTACTGATTGCGATGCTATGACGAATTTGCTTGAGATTTAACACTGTGTCTAGGCCATTGCAAACCTCTGAACAGAAGGCCGCCAACTGGCACTCAAAAGCGCTACTTCTCTTCCTGTGCTTGCCTCTCAGAGCAGGCAGCCAGAGGGAAAATGGAGAGCTAGTATAGCGGACAAATCTGTGCTTGGGCGCCTGCCACACTGTTATACTTCAGAGGCTGGTGAAGAACTAACTAGTTCGTTTCTGCGTTCTTACATCTAATTTATTGCAGAGTGTTGTTTGCTTGATACCAGAAGATGCGATGTGGTGCGTGCGTGCGTTATATGCTATGTAGGCCTAGCTACTGTTGCTCGGGTAGTTTAGGGGGTCCAGCTACGCGCATCGCAGCTGTCCCTCTCCCCTTTTGCGAAACCATTAAAGAGCACCTGCAGGAAAAGGCCGAGCTTTAGGAGACACACTTAGTAGCTTTTTTCAAAGTGCCTACAAAGTCCGAAGCTAGATACCTCTACGGATACAGATAGAGCGTTACGGTTGGTAGCACCGCATGGTTCAATGCAGCCTTTCCCCGCTCACCCACTGACTGCGAATGCAGCGACAAGTCAGGTTGCTCTAAAGAGCTGCCTGGTGTTGATATCGCTAGTTGGCAGTGTAGTAATTTGATCTTTTTGGCAGTAGTTTATGAGTTGGCGAAAGAAATCGACGGTGCCACACGGCACTTAAGGTAGCAGGATCCGGCCTGCAAGCTTATGAGAATGCAGTACCAGCACAACTGATGTAGAGACGCGTTTTTGAGCAGATCAGATTCATGGATACGTTGAAAGCTATGGAGACAAGAAAAGTGTGGTGGGTGAAAGGATGGGCGAGTTCTTGAAGGTCTCATCAACCGGCTGGAGAAGTATCTTGCTTTGCACCCCTTAGAGGAAGAAAAATTAGGGTTTCTTGCTCTGTGTTCATTAGAAAAAGAAGCGATCAGAGGGTGTCTCATCGCATGTAGAAATAGTCTTCTCTCGCCAGAGATGCCTACAGTTTAGGCCTTTCATCCAAGCCCTGGCTAATCGGTTTATCCCGAGAACAGCTCAGCAGTAAACTTTGTGAGATTTGAGCAAGCTAAAACTGTGGAATCTGTACATATATTGCTGTATCGACAAGTATGATGCTTTGGTCAGAACGCCTGCTGCATCGGTATTCACCTTCAGTCCGACTACACGAGCGGTCTGGAGCAAATGAACACAACTCCTACCGCTTTGGCTGGCAAGGAGGAGCCTAATCGGGATTCAGAACCTATGGATGTCGGAAATATATCAAGCGGCTCTAGCCTTCAGTCGATAGTAAACTGGGACAAAAACTCGAAAGGAAGCTAGAAGATCTCAGCACTCCAAACAGTTCCCCAACAATGCATCCGCTTTTGTGGCAGCAAATAGGGTCAAATGGTAGGGAACTCCAAGAGCATACAAAAACTCCAGACAGCTCAAAATAACAGGGCTCGGCCCAGCTGGCCCAGGCTACCTGGCCAACAAAGAAGACGCATTAAGGCATCGGAAAACCAACCTCGAAGGATACGGCGCAGTGAGAGGTTGATACAAGGGATTGAACTGCAGTTGGGAACCCAACACGAGTCAAGTCTGTGCTGCTGCAAGCTTACATTCATGCTCAAGAACTATCGGGGTTTCTTGTTGCCAAATATGAAATGAATCTGTTATTCGAGAAGACGGCGCAGTAGAGCAATCTGCTTGGTCACTAGTAGGCACAGTTTTTAGAATCAAGGCTTGCTCAGGGGTGGCAGAACGCAAGGAATGACAGGGCCATGGTAGCTGAAGGCTATTCTGAATAGGAATCGGGTCTTATCAACCTTATTTGTGACTTCTATGCTAGACCCGTGCACCACGACGCAAGCCTATGTGTGCCCTGGATAATTCAACGGAGGCGCGCATGCGGCAAGAGCTGCGAGCTACGGAGGTTAGTGTGCCAGAAATCGCTAGGAAGAAGCAACTCCTGGTCTCAGCAACAACATCCATTTCGTTTTGGTTGGTTGTTGAATCGGTACCTCAAAGGGTGAGGCAGTGTCTTTATGCGGACGGTTCAGCAATGCAGTATTGCCAGACGGTTCTAAGCATGCATACCCTTTTATTGGCTCTGCAGCTAATGCATTGCTAAGCATTTCATTGTAAATTAGCTAGACAACAGCAGGAATTGGCAGGTATAAAGGAAGAGGTCGCGGATGTTCCAAAAAGTGACGAGCTGCCTGCAGGCTGGCCTCCCAGTGGTCGTCCACCGCAAATGCTGAGCTAATCCCTCATGTAGTCTCACTTCTGACTCTCTATAGTATCGGAATGGTGCTTGATATTCTTATCGCTCCACCGAAACCGCGAAGCGGTGTTCACTGCGCGGAAAAGCTGTATGCTTGGCGCAAAAACGCTGACAGCATTATTTAAATGGGCGTCCTCTCACTTTCCAGCCAGGCCATCACTCTTTAATGTACCTTCCAAAGAGTTTGCACGACTTCGAGCATCGTAGAGTTGTTTGTCGGCTTGGGTGCCTCTTCTTGCAATGGGATTTCACAGTAGAGTATATTATGGGCATCGCCAGCGTTGTTGCCGCGCGACTCTCCAGTAATTTGCAGTGTGCAGCGCAGTCGCTCCCATCTGTTTATTGACATTGCTTGTCAGAATTGCGAGAGTGCAAGGCTTTTGACACCCATAGAACTACTCCTACTGCCAAATGTTGAAATGGCCAAATTTTGAAATGGCAAATGGTGAAGCACTACCGCGATGAGGATGGCCTGCTGTCATTCAAACGTGGCGGGGTCTTACTGGCTTGTACATTCTGACTTCATGTTGGCGTGCGACTTTGCACAAATCGTTTGATAATATTATAGCGTGCCATGGCTGGATTCACTCTACAGTGCAATAACCGTCACAGTCGCTCTGGTGCCCCGATTCTTTCAGCGGCAGAGTAGACACCAAGATCCCCAGATTGGCGGCACTTTAAGCCTCGCAAATATCCTAAGCTCGACGTTACGCGGAGCCTTCCTGTCCCTGAAAGGATTTAGATTGATCTGACTGAGGACTTTAGTCTTCATATTCCTGAGGCCAAGCGTCAGGAGAGTATCTGCGTCGTTGTCGGTAGACTCAATAAAATGCCCGTTTCATTCTTTGCTCCAGCTCTGCCAAAATGCTCCATTCATGATTATTTTTTGATGCTTTGTGTGTTTCTCAAGAGGAACATTATGTATAGGTATCCAAAGCCCGTTATTGCAAAGTGGTGTGTTTTTATGACCAGACTACCAATTCACCATAATATGACTCATATGAACCACCCTGATGCAGATGGACAGAAATGGCGCACCAACCGAAGCCTTCTATACTCTTTATGGCCCTATGCCCACAAAAAAGCCTAGTTCTTGGCTTAATTTTCTTCCTTGTGCTAAGGGAATGTGTAAAATTGCAATCAAACCGTCAACCCTTTGCTCTTCCGCGCTCTTGGCCCATGCTGAAGAGCCCCCTTTTGGCATAAGCCTGAAACTGGGAGTTCCAAGCCACCTTCCACCCTTGGCAGCCGATGTACTTAGAGCAAAGCTGGCTAGTGCACACGAATGTATGCGCAGAGTTTAAGGAAGGCAAGCACGTAATAATAATGGCAACCGGCAGCTGGTTGTGTCTATTGAGCTAGACGATTTGGTGAACTTAAAGATCTGGTTTTGATGGATGGGCAGGCTTACCGAAGTACACTTGAAGATGACTAAACGAAGCAGTCTGCGGCCAGGTGGCAAGGACTATTTGCCATCCTCTGCTTGAATTAGGCTCTTGTTCATTCTCTCGATTTCTCCAAAAGCAGGGGGTGCCACAGAAGTACAAATACAACTTCCTTTAAGAATTCGAACACTTTCCGAATTATCTAAAGACCGTGCTGCGCAGGTCAGTGACCCGCATGGAGGCGGATGATTCACGAAAAACCTAGAAGTGTTAGATTCTAGGACATTGAGCGCTTTGGAGACACTGGTGTGGCCCAGTAGTGGGTGTTGCTTTGGTAGTTTTGCAGAAGACTATAGCGACGATGTATGGTCAAGGATGCAACTGGCACCTTCCAGTGGACCCCGCAGAGGAGGGGTATCTGTACTGGGATGTGTTGGAGCGCAAGGTATAGGCTATTCTCTACCAAGCTGTCTGGACGAGCAGACAAGCAGCCCCTATTGAGGCGGATTATTCACAAGGAATTGTCGACTTGCTAGAGTGTCCGACTGGTGAGCATCAAATAACACACTAGTGGGGAGCTTTTAGTGTATTGGGGTGGAGAACGCCAGCCTCATGGGAAGACGTATGGGCAGTTGCGGGCTTTGTTGCTTATAGGATATCTTGCAGCTCATTTTGGTTAACTACACTGTTCACCATGAACGGTAATCCTAGCGTTCCTTGCTAGTTATCCTTCCTCAGCGCATTTTCTGCTTGAACTACTAACCTTCGGCTGTAGCTGCTGCTGGAAGGGTGCCCACTATTGTTGTTATTGCTATGCATACACTTAGCTCTGTGCGCAAGCGCTTTCAGGCGTGGAATCTGCGCATTCTTGCGTACTTCTCCTTTGAGATTTTAAAATAAAGTGCGCTGCGTGCATCAGTCTATTTGCAGGTATACAATGCTCTATGCGGCGCGAAGGCACTGATGAACAAGTGTAGATTTTGATTCCTTCAAAGAGTTTCCTTGTCTCTAGTTTGTTGTTGCGGGAAGCTCGCATATTTAAGCAACTCGACGACAGCGAGCCATCGTGCCGCGGCGGTCATGTTCTCTCTGTTGCAGTTTTCTGGTGTATGTGCCATTTCCCCGTCAATTTTTCGCTACCAATTGTTGCACACCCTGCTGTTCTACACTTACACTGTCTTCGTGTTTCTGCTTGCCTAGAGAGTCACGATAGAGCAAAAACTCTTTCCCTCTTCCGCATAAAGTTAGTTTCGACGTATGAGTATGGAAAAGGAAGGAGTGAATGCTGAAACAAGGGAAAGACATCGTCTGAGCTGCAATTAAACACTTTCTACCACACTGGCTATATGCAATCGACAAATAGCTCCAGAGTAACTATTTGATTTGTTTGTGCGTATACCTTAATTACTGCACAGTACTGTTAGCTCAATACAAGGAGACACAATGTTGCGTGCGTGTACGGAATATGGTCCGTGCAATTAGCTCTGGTTGCTCGCAGTAATGAGAAGTGCAGCTAAACGCACCGCATCTCTCCCTCTTCCCTCATTCGAGTATTCTAGAGGGCATATGGAGAAAGATGAGACATTTCATGAGGAAAGCCCTTAATAATTTTTGTTAGGCTTGCTTTAAGTCTGGAGCCAGATGCTTCTCTATGGAAACCTTGAGTGGAGTGTTACAATTGGTAGCACCAACTGGTTTAGTGCAGCTGTTCTCCTTCAAGCGCTGGTTTCGGATGCAGTGAGATGCCACGTTTTCTTAAAGCAGATGTTCGGCTTAAATGAGGTGCGAGTTCATGTGTGGTTTTCCTACACAACAGTCCGGTAAAAGCACCATCGGGAAATGCAAGTTGACACTGCCGGAGTGCCGGTTGGGGTGGCAAAGGCCGGCCTACAAGCATGTGTGAAAGCCCTTGCTTTACCGCTGGCAGAATGGTATTTCCGCGCAACATACAAGGTGTCGATAGGGAGATATTTAGCTCCATAGTTTATATGATTTGATAGTTTTGAGAAAAAGCTGAATAAGAGTCAGTTTCCCCCCTTTTCTGCCCACAACACTCAGTGTAGCATAGCCGAATACTGACGTACTGCTCGTGCCTGCCCACATGTAACATTGCGCACATATAAATGTCTTCTCTTCATTGCTTACCGCGTTGGAACTACCTGCCTTCTTCCTGAAGAATTGAGCTGTAGTTGGCGCGTATGCGCAACAATAGTAAATATATAAGCAGCCACCACACAGCACGAACAAGCAGCGATAGTATCCACAATAAAAGTGGGGCAGCCAATAAAGACCATAGTGCGGCAACCGTAGCTTAAACTTGGAATGCAATTCGCAAAGTTCTGCCTTGCGGAGAGAGGTTAGTTCGCATGTAGGCCGTACCAAAAGTAATTAAATCAGGTGAATAGTGAAATTGGACTACTGTCCAGCATAAGGGGCACTAGTGGAAAGATAATATAATTTGGAAGTGAGAAATGCACCGTGGCCATTGACGGACACAGAGTACGTAATATGAGGCGCAGGGAGAGAAAAAAATTTGACCTGAAGGAACCAGAAAGCTGCAGTTGATAAAATGGGGGAGAGAAAGAGGTCATGGACAGCAGAGACTTGAGAGATGTGGGAAAATGGGAACACACAAAGGAATAAGAGAGAGGGAGAATCTCACAGTGATCAGGAGAAACTGAGGAAAATCAGGCAGTTACAGCTGCGGAAAAAATGGTTGGTTATTAATTGGTCTAAATATATCAAACTACATGTAATCTATCGCGTCTTTCTCACCCTATCTGTGTTTGGTACTGTTTTTTTAATATGGCGTATAGTTTTTATTTTAGTAAGACTGTTCTCTGCATGCGCATGCATACAGTAGGGTTGTGGGGGGGTTGGGGCTTTGGAAAGACACCCATACGGGAGGAGCACACTATATACCATATCTAAAAACGACTGTTTTCTGGTGATTTTTCAATATCAGCCTGGCGGGAAAGTGGTAGGTATTGTCCTGGCTAAGGAAGACTACAAGTCTTACAGCAGGTACAACCCCAGGGAAAGGAACTCCCTAGTATATTGCGAGCTTAATCAGGGGCTCAATGTACTTTCTCTTAATTCTTAACTTAAGGCATTAGCCTGCTGACGCAGCGATGAGGAACACAGGAGGCCAGAATGGGCCTCAAACCTTAGTATAATTCTATCGAGGTCGACAAGCCTTTGCAACTACGGAAGAGCATTGCTTGTTTATGTGTCTTCATGCTATGCAGCAGTCAATAGGAGGCTACAATAAAGGGCCCTTTTGGCCTCGTATCGATATTTATGCATATAATTGTTTCATTTCAGCCCTCTCCTTTCATGCTGCATTCAGCAACACATCTCATCTTCACTTAGCCTCTTTTTGCTATGCACAGTTATTGCTGTCTCCTCCTTTACCTCCTTCGTGCGTTTCAGACTGAAGGAAGATGGCACCCAAGAAGAAGGATGAGGTTGAGGAGAAGATCTTACTAGGCCGGTCAGCTCACTGCTCCCCCAACTCCTTTCCACTTTGCCAGTCGCGTTTGCCACCTGCGCCGCATATATTCAAAAAAATCGGATCGCTTTAGTATGAATCTCGTGGAAGCTTTTGCTTCCTCCGTCCTTTACGCTTTTCGGGTGGCCTAAGGCCTCTCTTGGGCTTTGCACACTGCTTCGTCAGAGGAGCGACAGCTTCACTTCGGGGTGAAGGGGGCCTTACAGCTAAGCGCTCTGGCATTTCATTGGGGTTTGCAACTTAGGCCACGCAACACGTTGAAGATGGGCATGGTTGGTCTTCCAAACGTCGGGAAAAGCACCACGTTCAACTTGCTATGCAAGCAATCGGTACCAGCGGAGAACTACCCCTTCTGCACAATCGACCCTCATGAGGCTCGCATGAACGGTATGCCTCGTAGCTTGTCTGCTATCTTTGTGCGTAGCTTTTCCCTTTGTCGTCTTCTCTACTTCGTGCTTCCCCTGCTTCTTTTGCCGGCCAGCTGTCCCTTTAATTTGGCATATTTTTGGTCTCGCACTCCCGAGTCCCTCCACCTCCTCTAAAGCGATTTTCCCAGTCTTCTCTGCCTGTTTGCATCGAGGTATCGTGAAACTCTTTTTTGATAATGTTTCCTCATCGCTTTCTTTTAGTGGACCTCGCACTGTCTGTGGACCTGTTTCTGTGGGTACTCTCCTCGGCTTCCTCCTAGCCGTCTTCTCTCATCCTCTGTCCTCCTTTGTCTCTGTTTCCTTTCGCCAAAGAAGGTTTGGAGTAACACGTCTGAAGGCCGCTGTTGCAGCTCTCTTACTGCATATGTACACTTTGTATGTTCCGTATGTATGACACCTCTTCCACTCGCAGTCCCCGACGACCGCTTCAGATGGCTCTGCGGTCACTTTAAACCGAAAAGTGAAGTCTCCGCCACACTTTCCATTTTCGATATTGCGGGCCTTGTACCCGGAGCTCACAGAGGACAAGGGCTGGGCAATGCCTTCCTTTCGCACATCCAGGCAGTAGACGGCATTTTCCATGTCGTAAGGGCAAGGGACTAGCGGCTTCAAAGCGTACAGAAAATCAATTCATTTCCTCTCCGTGTCTCACCCGCGTATTCTGTTTCATGCTTTGCGGGTCGTTTCTTTGCAATCCCTCCTGCTGCCTTTGCCTCTCTTTCTCGGCTGTTCTCCAGAACCTGCTATCTCTCGTCGCTAGAGCCCTTTGATCATTTAGGGTGGCTGTGTCTTCCAGCCTTTGTCGTCCTGCCTGCCAGTGGTGTGTTTGTGTGTTTGCCTGTGCTACGCCTTGCCCGCTTAGCATTCTTCGGCGTTCTTTCATCATTCTTGTTTGTCCTCGCCTCTGTTAGCTGCTAAGACGAATGCACATTCTATAAGCCCAGATACTGCATGCTTTCGCTCATGATCTCCTTGCAGGTGAGAGCCTTTGCAGATGAGGATATTGTTCACAGCGAGGGAGAGGTGGACCCGGTAAAGGACTTGACTACGATTTCATCGGAACTTCGTCTTAAGGATTTGGAGAGAGCCCAACGGCTCATAGAAGACCTTCAAAAGACTTCGAGGCAGCAGAAAGCCGCCGATAAGGCCAGGAAGCTGCAGGAGGAGGTTCTGCAAGCCGTTGTTAAGCTCCTGGAAGACGAAAAATGGGTTCAGCAAGGTATGACACACACGCTTGAAATCACGACGTACCTTTCTGTGTACTGCTCAAGATCCCAACGGGCTTCCAGTCGAGCCACAATATCCCATAGCTTCTTGTATGTAGCTTGTCCTTGTTCTGCGGCCTGAACATTACAGAAATAGCTTTTCGGCTGGCTGTCGGGTTATTAGCCTAGAGACTATAAAGCCCCTGCTGCGTGGTGCAATCTGTCCAATGCCGTGCCCTTAGTGCGACACGTAGCCATTTGCCTATTCCTCATAGTAGAGACAATCTAAGGCTAATGCTTATCTGCTTTCAAAGACAGCAGGGCCCGCCTCATAACGTTCGGCTGGCGAAGTTTTGGTCCTCTCCTTAGGGAACTGGAAAGCCGCAGAGGTGGAAGTGTTGAACGAGTACCAGTTTCTGACAGCGAAGACCGTTGTGTATTTGGTGAATATGAGTGAGAAAGACTTCATTCGGCAAAAGAATAAGTGGCTGGCGAAGATCCACAACTGGGTTCAGGAGAACGTACAGGGGCCCATAATTCCATACTCCGCCTTCTTTGAAAATAAACTTGCAGAGCAGCCAGACGACGAGGCCAGAGAGGCCTACATCAAGGTGAGTTTCTGTGTGGCTTATTTTTGCTGTACCGACGCTTGCATCACTACGGCAAGTAGAGCTTCCCTTTCTGCGGCTTCTAAGAGTAGATTGCTGTATATTTGGTCGTGCAGGGAGTTGCATGATCAAATGCATGTATAATTCTTTCAACGCAGCAAGTAGAGGTAGCAATTACAGCATTAATTGGGACGTAGATTCACAGCTAATTGGTTCTCCTGTGTCATCTAGAGCCAGAGTTTTTGTGAGAAAGGAGGATAGAGGCTATTAGATGTGTCTTCTAATGAACAACACACCATCTGCCTGCTTTACAAAGACCTCGACTTTTCACTAGTTGCCTTTGGCTCGTTTGTTTGCATCTCATTTATTTCTTACAGAGCAGTGGAGCCTCAAAGAGCATGTTGGATAAGATTATTCAGACTGGATACCACGCGCTGCATTTAATTCATTTTTTCACATGCGGCGAAGACGAAGTGAAGTGCTGGACTATCCGCGCGGGTGGGCAAGGATTAAGGGGAGCTTATTTTTTTAGAAAGTGACCGCGTTTATCTTGGTGTTTTCTGCATCAAAAGGAACACATCGGTTTCATTGAACTACTTCCAGCACGAGCATTTATTGATGCCGCCGCATCGTCTGTCCCCTGTGCTTCCTGCGTACTATGCCTATTAGACATCCTCCCTATTCTGCATACCTCGCTGTCGTTGTGTCTTGTATCAGTCAATTTTTGCGCTATGCCTGCTGGTTGGTTGCTTGGGCGTACACGGCTGTTTAGTCTAGTGGTATGATTCTCGCTTAGGGTGCGAGAGGTCCCGGGTTCAATTCCCGGAACAGCCCCTTTTTCTGTTGTTCTCTTTCTTTGCTTTGACGCATCTCAACTGCTTGGCGTCCCTTTACCAGTTTAGGCCAGCGGCGTTTCCCCTGTGCGGTTGCCTATCTCTGTGTTACCTCCTTTTTGACGATCATTGTGTGTTGAGATTATCTCATGCGAACACTTTACTGTCCGGCGTCCATATATTTATTGGGCCCTCTGCAAATTTTCCGACCAACTCAATTTTGATGCATTTTTTCCTGTGTGTGTACGCTGGGAATCAGCTCCTCCAAAAACCAAAAGTGTGCATACGTACCGGTGTGGATAGTTGAATATGCCCTCAACAACACGCTTGCTTTTTGCTCAGGCACGAAAGCCCCTCAGGCAGCTGGTGTCATTCACTCGGATTTCGAAAGAGGTTTTATTTGCGCTGAGGTGTACAAGTACAATGACTTGGTGGAGCTGGGCAGCGAGAACGCAGTGAAGGCTGCAGGCAAATACTTGCAAAAAGGGTCAGGCAGCGACGTGCTCACCCTATCTGCATTAAGTTTTATGTCCCTTGTTGTCACTGTGCTGGTGTAGCTAAATATTGGTGATAAGTGTATTTGCCGTTGTATGAATGATATTCTCTTGGTTCGTACACGATCATACGGTGCCGTACTTTCACGGGTAGTGGTCTAGCACATGTGAAGTTTACTCCTTTCCCAGCTGTTTCAAACTGCTGGCTGTGTAATGTACTTTTTCCTTTGATCGAAGTTGCTCTTTCTTCTTTGCCTTACCCAGATCGACGCGTTATAATCAGTTTCTATTGCTTGCACTACAAGGGTCGTCTACTGCATTATCGTCACAGGCTGGGTGCATCTGTTGGCCGAGTTACTCTTTCGTGGATTTTTCGGTGTATTTGTTTGGGTCTCAGGAAGGATTATGTGGTTGAAGACGGCGACATCATATTTTTCAAGTTCAATGTGACTAACAGCGGAAAGAAGTGACATGGAGTAAATAACTGAGACGGTTTCCTACATTTGCTGCTCAGCTGGTTGAGGGAATCTCCACATTCTATTAGAACTGTGCGGTTCAAACGGGCTTTGAAGCAAGTGCATTTAGAGCTGCTGATGTTGCGGCTGTAGCAGGAACAGCAGCATAGCCTTAATTGGTGCCCAAATCAGTCATTTGACTGAAGGATTCCAACAGATATATGAACGCGAATAATCAAAGCAAATGTTGCGTGAGAGAGAGAATATCTTTGTGGTCTTTGAGCTACAGGTTGGATTGCGTGTGCAGCAAGAAACTCTTATTAGGACTGCGGGGTTGTACCTAGGCGCGTACTCGCTGCCATGAAATGTAGACCTATTGCTTCTATTAGGTGGTGCCCAGTATAGCGATCAAGGGGCAACACGAGGCAAATTAGGGAAATGGGATGTCTATGGGGTTGGAACAGCAAACTGTATTACCCACTGAGAGGAGCAATACGACGACTGTTTCTTGTTTGGTCATATGTAGGGAACAAAGTAGTAGTAGCCTAAGAAAATTCAAGACAAAATTTCGAACATGTGCTGGCTTTGAGACAAAGTTATCTAGCGTATTTTTGAATCACTTGTCAAGCAGGCTACCTGCCAAACCAGTTATGCATACGTTAACTTAAACTGCTACTGCAGTTCCTCGAGTCTGAAGACCGTTCTGGGCAATACAGTGTCTCTGAGAAGCGAGAATTTGTGAGGCAATACAAGTAAAATAAATATTTAAGAAGTTTAACGAATGAAGCTGATGTCAGACATTAGTCCCTAGTCCAGTTACCACCTTATCAGGTCGTCAAAAATCAACCATGCGACTCAGCTTCAAAGTTCTAATTTTAGAGTAAGGGCTTAAGCCACTCTACGAAAGTATGTGATGTGCACATCTTTGCTAAGCTACTACATGGGACTGCGTGGACTGTTCTGAAGGTGCAGTTTGGTGCATTTGAGCTGTCCATGCCAACATGCCGGGGACTCTTTGTGCCAGAGAAGGTGACAAGGGGAGTTCTTTTGTGGAACGAGGTGGGAGCCTCACGAGTTTAGATCGTGTTATTGGCTGGGAGGGTTTTGATAAAAACTCATAGAGGAACACTCGAGGAATTTGGAGGAATGAATCAGGAAGGGAGGCAGTGTTAAGGCTTTAGTCCCGAGAATGGACTCCGGAAGGTGACTGACAGCAGGAGGCAGAGCCCGTGGTTCGTCAAACACGGAGGAAGATGAAAAAGCTAATTAGGTCTGTGCTACTCCATAGGACTAACAGACTGTAAGACTCTTAGGCTTTACGTAATGAGACCCTCAGCCTCGAAGACAGTAAAAGTATTTAAAAACTATCATATTCTCACGATTTCTGCTTTCGTTTGTCACCTCGGCATAGAAGGCTTCGGCCTTACTGAGGTAGGGTACGCGGGCGTTATTACTTGTATGTGTTACGCAATCAGGGCAATCGCGCACGGCCACACATATTACCGTTGCGCAGTGTCTCATTGCATCTATCTGGGCGGGATAGAGCTAGGCTCACTTCACGACGAATAGAGGACAGCGGCCAAAGAATAACGGCATTTCTTGTTGAAATAGATTAACCATTGTTAGTTTGATCGCATACACTTGTGTGGAGCTTGTCCACCGCACAGGCCACTCTCTTCGGCGATACTGCGGAACTGATGCGCATGGCATTGGTTGTAGCTTGGAGCTGGTGCCACTTTTCAAGCCACCTTCTCTACCCTAGCTTTTTTCCTGACGTCACTCGTTTGTGGACTCATTCCACCAAGCGTTCTACGGGGCAAAGATTTTTCATCGGAAACGTGGCCTCGGGAGAGCTGAGTGGTTTTTGGTTGATACAGCATCACAAATCCCAAAGCAGAAACTAGAATACCGTAGTATAATTGCCTATATCTCAAATCCGTTAGAAGTGTTGTTTAGATATTGGCAGCTGATGTACTGGTGTTCGAGGACACCTACGCCACAGGGTCACCTCGAGACTCCGATGCCCGGCGATATTGCCTAGATATCCCATGTAAAACCCGAAGCTTCGGGGGTCCTCTATTCAAAAAGTGCAACTTAGTTTTACCCCAAGTTTTGTGAGATGCTTGACAAAAAAGAAGATGGATGAATTTAATGCTTTTCTGCCTCGGGTTAACGCGAGAATGCGCGCGCACACACCGCATGAGCGCAGCTGCGAGTAGCATTTGAAGGGGAACCATGAAATACTTCACGGCATTTGGAGGGGCTGATTAATTTGCACGAGCTTAGTCGTGATGATCCGAGAGAATGTGCAAGATCTTCACTCTTTAATTCGCTGGCTTCGGGTTCTATCTGCAATTTGGCTCCGCACTTGGAAGATGTCTCCGCATGAAATCGTGCCTCTGTTTCCAACACCTCCCTGTTTTTTCCCTCCTCTAGTACCAGATATCGATTGAAATTTCTTCTGTTTGCTAGCTGAGATAAGGTTCTTTTTGAGGAAGGCAGACTTGCGAGCTGGGCCTTCCTTCCTGTATGTGGCTGCGGCCCCAACAGCGACCGTGCATGTGCCGTCTGCGTACTTCTGTCTAATGGTACAGAACAACGAAGATCTGAAAAAAACCGTTCGTCGGGCTCATTTCTCTCTCTATCTGGGTTAGAGAGCTGGGCAGCCATAGCAGCAGTTCTATTGTGTCCCTCTGAGAACCGTACAAGGCCTTTAGGCCTGCTCTGGCTGCTGCAGGGGTCTCGTATCTTATAGCCCGTAGAGCTCTCAATGTTTCATAGAAAATTTTATTGTTGTAAAAAAACAGTCACGTGACCCCTCTTCTTCCCTTTTCCCCTACTCGAATCTCTGAGTGTTTTTGCTTAATATAGCGGACTGCGAGCCGTAGGCCTCCCCTGGGCATTTTCCGCTCTCCCAATTTCCGCCCCCTCATTCCCAATTACTTATTGAAATTTGATCTTTTTTAAGTGTCATGAAACCCGCAGCGGTAGGCTTAAGCTAGAAGCGACGCCGAAGGCCCCCGAATCCAATAAAGAGAGAAACGTCCAAGCGGTGTCACCAGCGCATACAACACCAAGCACCCGAACTCGCGGCAGACGAAAGCTAGCAGGCTGCAGGCATTTAGAAAGGCACAAGATATCTTGTCTTTCGTTTCTATGCCTCATAATTGCCTAGCAACACTGTATGGCGTCTCCTAACAGCAAAATCTGCTTTATACAGGCAGGATAACCGATGCACCTTTCAAGAATATGGTTGCTAGCTAGGATCCATGGTGCAGGTATTATGAAAGGGAGTTGCGCGGAGCGTTATATATCACCATATATCAACTATTATTTGCAGCGAAATTCTTCGAGGTCCCGGCAATGCGACCCCCTCCACAAGTAAGGCCTCTGAAAAAAGAGGAAGCTCTGCGCCTACAAGGGACCCGCGGAAATCCCTTAGGCTGCAAACAGCGATTGCCTGAAGTGCCTCCACTTCGTCTCACTTTGGGGCCAGGCATCGCCACCAGCGATATCCGGAGGAGCCCCGCCAATGGCCTCCCCCAAATCCCCCGGACTTCCAGGGTGCCTCTTCGTGAAGAAGCGTACGAACATGGAGTTGGTTTGGCCCCCCTTTGGTCTCAAGAAGGCATTAACTTGGGGGAGAGGGAAGTGCTGCTGCACCTTTGCACCTACAGAGGGCCCCCCAAGGTTCCCCATGGAGATCCCAAAAGACGCCTTCCAACCTTTTCGCATGGAGTACCCCAGGTTTATCGTGATATAAAGCACTCAGACGAGCCTCAAAACGCAGTTGCAAACGTAAAAGATCTCTCCAGAGCTCCCATCGGGCACGACGGCTCGGCTATTGGTTGCTCAAGGGGTTCCCGGGAGCCGAAGAGCTCACCCTCCCGTCAGCAGCATGCTTCTGGGGGCAATGGGGCCCCTGAGTTAGTCTCTGGGGCTCGCCTCAGGCTAAATCTGGAGTCTCTTTATGCAGCCTCGAATACCTTAAAGGACCGTAATGGTATTGGCCACCCAGGGCCACAGTGCCTTGGTGAGGGAAGGCGTTTGACTGCTAATGAAGCAACCGCTATGAGGGACTATACACTACGCTTGCTGCAATACAGCGAGTGGGAGGCTGAGAAGCACTCTACAAGCCTCGCCAAACAGCAGCGTCGGGGGCATCTGACAGCCCGGGGATCTGCAGTCGGGGCCTCCGGTAGCAGTACAGACCGCAACGATGCACATTTTAAGAGTGAAACGCCGCGTGCAGCACGCAGCCTTGTGAAGAGCCTCGTGCATCAGCTGGAAGCTAGGAAGATTCGCTGTGAAGCAGGGGGAACTGTGCGGCATACAGGTCATTTAGGGGGGCCCATGACACACGTGCCAGTGTTCGCTGGGAAGGAAAAGGAAGAGGATTCTGCAGGAAGCAGTAGTACAGGCCGCCCTTGGGCCCCTTTAGACTCCCCTATACCAGAAGAAAAACAGACAAGTGCCTCGTGCAGCAACACAACGGGGAAAGTAAATACATTACAGCAGTGCAATTCTGTATCAGTCAAGGGGGAGCCGAAAGGGGGGCAAGGTGCCTCAGAGGAGCCATGGCGTTTAGAGGCTCACCAGCTAGACGCTGCACTCCACAGAGGGACTCCTGAAAAGATAGTGGGCTCCTATTTGTTGGGACGGACAATAGGAGAGGGAACATTTGGAAAGGTAAAGGTAGGGACCCATACGTTGACTGGAGAATGTGTGGCGGTTAAAGTTTTGGAGAAGGACAAACTGAGGGCTGCAGAGGATGCGGAGAGAGTTCTGAGGGAGATTCATATCTTAAGGGCTGTCAGGCACCCCCACATAATCCATCTCCTAGAGGTAATACCTCGATTGACCAAAGCGTGCAGTGTAGATCGGAGGCCTTGGGTGGACGGCTGTATCTTGTATGGGGCCGCGTTCTGCGAAGCTGGAAAGACGCATGCAGAACCCCTACCCCGAGATCCCCTCCCTCTCCCACAGTTCCTGCGGGGTTTCCAGTTGTTTGGCTCGTGCAGTGCCCGCTTCCAGAGGCTTGCCGTAACTTCGCTATATCTTGTCACAGATGGTTTGGGGATGTAGCACTGGCACTTGCGCTCTTCGGAGGGATTATGACTCTTGCTACTTTCAATGTAGCTCTGAGCTTGCGCATCTTGTGGTTGTTGCGTTCGCCCTGTCTGCAGATTGTTGAAACAGCTTCCCGCCTTTACCTCGTAATGGAGCTGGCGAGTGGAGGGGAGCTCTTCGACTTCATAGTGCAGCGGCAGCGGGTCGATGAGCCGACAGCCCGCAGGCTCTTCAGGCAAATCCTCTCGGGCGTCGAAGCCTTACACTCCATGTTTATCTGTCATAGGTAACACATCCCCGTACTGCACTACCATCTGGGCATACGCGTACCCCTAAACTTTCCGTGCGCTGTATTTCTCATGAGTTCTTCTGGCTTCTAATGCGCTTCTTGAGGTGTTCCAGTTTGCGCGTCACTTAGAGCTGCCTCAGCGTTGGCATGCCGTCTTATGCCAATCCAGAGTGTGTTGTCCATACGATTCTCAGCAGGTCTCTGAAATATATATCCAGTTTGCTTCGTTACATGCGGTGTGTCTGGACCGGCAGGGACCTGAAGCCTGAGAATCTTTTACTGGACTCCTCGATGAACATCAAAATAGTTGACTTCGGGCTTTCCAACTTGTACCGCCACAAACGAATGCTTGTGACAGCATGTGGCTCCCCATCGTACGCTGCACCTGAAATCGTACAGGGAAAACTCTATTCCCCGCTAGCCGTCGACATCTGGAGTTGTGGGTAAGACGCCAAAGAGTACTTGTCCATGGATAATCTACCGTAGAATTAAGTAAAGTGCAAGTCACATGAGACCGAGTGGCAGGCAGGTTGGCGGCGCTCGGGCTTCCTCTGAGACATCTGATAGTCAGCTTATTGCGATTTGGCTGAAAGCGTTTGTTCGTGTGTCAAGTGTGCCCACAACAGCAGCAAGGATGTCGAGCAGGTCCTGCCTATAACAACAACCCCGCAGCAATCTGCTTCTGATTGTCTGCATGCATATCCTCGAAGAATTTGCTGTGATTGCTACATTTTCTGCTTGCAGAGTTATCCTCTACGCCCTGCTTGTAGGGCGTCTTCCCTTCGAGGAGAGCACCACTGAGGGCCTATACCGGCGCATCATCAGTGGCCACTTTGGATGCCCTAGCCACCTAAGCCCTGAGGCCTGCAGTCTTCTGCGGGGTATTCTGCACACGAGTCCGCTCAAACGCCTCGGTCCACTTCAAATTAAGCAGCATCCCTGGTACTCAGATTTCACCCAACCTTGGGCCACTTAGCAACAGCCAGTGTGCTTCTGGTATATCTATGACCGTTTGGAAACCTGGCTAAGCGTTGATACAGCAGCAGGCCGCGTTATCTAAGGCTGAACAATATGCAGAGGGTGCAGCTGCACTTTCCTAACTAAAGCAGCAAGCAGTCGGAGTGGCCGCACCCTGGTTCAGCCGAGCTTCCGTTCCTGTTTGATTGCAAGCAAGATCCAGCACCTTAGCAAATCCTCTCCGACTGCATATTTCTTTGCAAAATTTATTCACAGGCTAAGTGGTGGAGAAGGATTTGGGCAGATACCCCGAAGCCTTGCGTCCTCTCGTTGGCCATTCGGTCCACCCGTGTGCTGCTTCGCCAGCTGCCGCGCCTGCTCGGAGTGGCTCCAGTCTTCATCAGCCCAGGTAACCAGTGAGATAGCAACTAGAGATGCACCCTGTGAGCGGGAGCTCCAAGGCGCATACGCCTTCCAGGGATTTCGCCTTGGAGTGTTAGAGGCTCCACGTGACCCCGAAGTGCTGAGGCTGGGCCTACGCAAAGACTGCAGCCTGACAAGAAGAGCTTTTTACATCTAAATCCGTGCTTTGCAGCTCAGAAGGGATATCCTGGAACAAATGCCGCGCTGTCAATTCTCGGTGGAGGCTCTTGAATGCCACATTCGCTGCCATCCTGTAGGAGCCCATGCGGCAACGTACGCACCCGCTTACCCTCATTTTGAATTCCATATTCCTGTTGAGGCTGTGTTTAGCATTCTAGAGCATGCACGATCAAACCTGTGAAGACAAGGTCACAGGTAGGCTAAACTACTCGGCAATACGTGTTGCCTGCAGCGTCTATTTTGTTTCCAATGCAGGTACCACTTACTATGTATCAAGAAGAGGCGTGAAGAGGATGCTGCAGCTTCTCAAGCAAAGCAGCAGCAAAAACAGTGCCTCGAATGTCCAAGCCCTCAAAACGAGGCGCTTAGGTCGCCACGGGTCAAATGCCCAAGCGTACAAGGTCCTGACCCTGCTGTGAAAATGCGCAGTGAGGGTGCCTCAGTGGCACTGGCCAAGTTCGCACTGGATTCTTCTTCGCATAAGGCTTGTCAGAAGAGGACCGACGGCGTTGTTACCGCGTCTAGAGAGACTGCAAAACCTGCGAATGCAAAAGAAAGAAGAAACGAGCCGTTCAATTCACAAGAATCGCTACAACGGCAGGTGGATCAAACAAGAGTGCGCCGTCAAATCCAGAGCATTCGGCAACGGCCGGAGCGTCTCATCTACAGCTGTGCACGACCTCGTTCAGCCACAGGTGGCCAAGCAACAGGAGGCAAAATGCTAAATCTTTCCGCTGCCCCAAGAGAGCCAGACCATAGCATGACCGCCGCAGCTTGGCAGAAACAACTTCCTGCTGTGCCCCATGAGCACACAGCTGCCCGCGCACTGACACAAAGAGAGAAACGGCTTCCCTACGCATCGCACTTACGCAGATCCATCCCACTGCCATGTGATAGCCTTGACGCCGTGGAGGACAACTTACTTAATTCCAGTCAGGAAAAAGCACAATTGCAATCCAGTGCACTGCCTACAGATGGAGGGCGCAGCCAGGACCAGATGGAACTGCTTAGAGACTCGATGCATTCAGAGCTTGAAGCCACGCAACGCCTTCAAGAGCAAGAGTGTATCCTTTCAGCTTTGCGAAAGCAACAGGCACCAACTGCCACGCAGAAGGACGTCTCAGTAAGGCAGAACATTTTACAACGGGGGCAAGGAAAGCCTGTGCAAATCAAGGGAGCACAATCGATGCAGCATGATCAAGTACAGCCTAGAGCGGACACTTTGCAGACAACGCAGCAACTGCTGCATAACATACTTGTGCGGCAGCACAAGCAGATGCGCGAGGAGCACATGCAACGCTTTGTAGGACGGCTTCCGAATCAATTACTAAATGCAGATCAGCCTGCGTGCTGGCCTTTGATGACTCGAGGCTCCCTACCAGCTAGCACAGTTCCAAAACCTTCCCTAGAGAAGCAGAAGAGTTCTACGCGGATGCTGATGTCTCTGCTTTCCCCACGCTGCTCGGTTGAGCATGCCATCCTTCGTTCACAAGCAGAGTCACAAGGCGCAAGGGGGTCGTTAACAGCAGCGCCACTTACAGCAGTCCTAAGTCCCTCGAAAGCTGGAATTTGCAGAGACAGCGCGGCTTGCTCAGGGAGAGGAAGCAGTGTCCGAGACCCCACTGGCCTCACTTCCACAACACAGAGGGACTCAACTTCGGGATGTGCAGGTCCGGAAGCTCAAGCCAGGTGCTCCAGAGGTGGCAACCAGAAGCTTCCTCGCAGGGTGCCTGGGGGTTTAATTCCAACAAAGCCATCGACCATGGTGACACAAACTCCAGGACGGCGATTGCACACTGAGGAAAGAATGCAGAACAGAGAGCTGAATAAAACGGCTTCGCGAGCAACCCATATTCCGTCCTTATCATTAAGAGCGACAAATAAGAGCAGCGGAACTAGCAGCGGAACTAGCAGCAACAACTCCGCTGGGATTAGCATCAGACTGAGCCACAATAAAGGCTCAACAGTGATTGGTCCGGATGATTCAAGCAAAACCGCGAAATCACGTGAGTTTTGCAATGACCTTGGCGCACAGACAAAACAAGAGCTCCAGCAGAGTGGGTTGCAGGTACAGGAGCAGCACAACACCTCGCGAGGGAGCAAACTTTCCTTTCCTTCTGGCGCGCCTAAGCCTCAGGCATGTATTGAAGCCTCCCAGGCAACAGTGAAGACTCCTTCCATACCAACCAGCCGGAAGTCCTCTGTAATAGCCTCAAGCTGCCATCATGCAAAGTCTACAATCTCAGACAGCAGAGCTCGGCCCCTTGCACTGTCCCTAAGGACACATCAAAGGCCGCCGGTCGATAGCAACAGAGTAGCTGCAGCAGCAACAGCACGGGGAAATTCACTGTTGCGTCGTTCAGTATGTCCTCCTACTTTTACTGCGAATGGGACCTCCCTTGAGTCACGGCCGATCGGGGGCTCCTTGACTGCACGCAACACCTTCGAGAAAACTGACACAGCAGGTGCGAGGCCTGGAGCTGTTAGTGGTCACGGGGTGCCTTCTGGCAGTGCAATGGGCAGCAATCTGTCACGGCTTGACAGCCTGAGAGAACAAACCCACCCCGTTTCTCTAAGGCTCCTTGCAGTGGCAAAGGCCAAAGTTGGAGCAAGGAGAGCTGCGTCCATTCAAGCACAATTGTCCACAAGGAAACAGCCCTGCCGCAACAACGTTCTACCTGTGCAGTCACATTCAAGGGCATCTACCGCCGCCTCACAGGGGGGTGTCCGTGGCGCTATTCACTCGGCTTCAAAAGGGGCAGCGTCTCCGCCTGTTGTGCAGCCCTCGCAGCAACGATCAGAGACTGCTGACGGCATGATATCCACGGGTCTCAGGACCCCATACAAGCCAGACAATATCTCTACACCAGCAGCTCTAGGTCGGATGTCCACAGCTAAAACGCCCCCTGTGGCGACTCGCATTCCAGTCAGAGATGCTTGGGTCGATATCAATAGCTTGAGTGAGAGAAAAAACTTTGAAGATTCGAGAAGCATCCTACGCCGTATTCCTTCTCGGCCTTCTGTTCAAGGCCAAGCGCCTCACAGTCAACCAGATACAAGGAAGAGGCCCTCTGAAGGGGTTATACAAGCAGCCGGTGTAAATGTCAACAAAGACTTTAGGAGAGGCGGCTCCAACTTTACGTCTTCAAGCGCTGCAGAGGCACCAGGGCCCAGTAGTGATTTACGTGCGGTGCCTTTGATGTGTATGAGATCATCGATGCCACCTCTCCCATTGAATGAAGAACTAAAGCACAAGGCAGGGGCACCTTTTTGCAGTGCTGCAAGTGGCCTAGCCGAGAATATCTTGAGCTATCGTCCCTTGGGGGCATCACCTCCAGGGCTACTGCCGTAGCTGCTGCTGCAGCAGTTGTGGGGCCGCGGTCTGAGGGATATATACGCACCCGTGGAGCTGTGTAGGGGCTCTTTTATTGGCATTGGCCAAAATCTAGTAGCGATTTCGGCTCTAGTGTTTTTTTGGAGCCCACGTGTGTTTGCTTCACGATGGGTGAAAGTCAAGAAAGGGTTTGGTGGACGCATTCCGATTAAGTAAATGAAAGACTTTCTCAGTTCGGTGCCAGCAGAGTAGTCCAATGGAAGCTGCTTCTAGCTTAAGTAAAGCATGCCACATGAGTAACGCATTTGGCAGCAAGCCGGGGAAGCCAAAACAAGATTACTAGATGGGCCTTGCCTTTGCGCTCGGCAGCCTGCAGGGGTAGCCGCCTTTCAAGGAGAAAGGATATACCCTTACTTCAGCTTAAGTTTTTTGCGTGGCTCTCCTAAAACTGCCCTGCTTAATGCCTAACTTGTGTTACCTCTGCGCTTGAAAGTACTGCTACCGGAAACCTTCACACGTAAAAATTGACTATTGCTGCTAGAAATAGGATGGCATAGGGTTATGAATAGCCGAAACTACTGTCGGTTTGGGAATCCTACATCGTTCTTTTGAGCACGTCTAGGAGAAGGACAATAAGAGAGTGTTCTGACGGATTTCTTGAAGATACACAGTGCCAAACGGCGACAGGGGCAGGCCTCACCGTGAAACGAATGAGGGGGCGCTTCAAGAGATATTGCAAGGCCCATCTTTATACTGAGGCTGTAAATATATCGTAAAGGGATAAGTGAAGAAGCAAACTCCTGGCTTTTCGTTTCTGCGTGTCGATATTGTACCAGGTCAAAAGAAGATATCCGAAACCATCAGTAAATCTACTATCTGGCATGTTCTCACCCTAGTTTAGTACTGCTGCAGCCCCACTACTTCTGTATAGCCTCTTCTGTATAGCCTGTATGTCGTGGAAAGTCAATGGCTGCGCATAGGACATATACAATGCTTTGACTCCTTGGTCAGTTGTAGTGCTGCTTGTTTCCTTCTTAGCAGGAACAGGTACGAAAGAGGAAACGCAAGTCGCACGCTTTCGTATCTTGCTTGCGAGCACGGGGATGACCTTTCGAGATGTCTAAATAATCAGCGCTGCTCCTGGAGGGTCAGTGAAGGGGTAGTTCCAGTGCTATATATTTCCGAGAGATACACCCTGTGGCATATTATCGTATTCGTCTGGCTGACTGATGTAGCCTCTCATGTTCCCTCCTTAAATCTATGTTCGGAGCCCCGTAAATTAACTAATACTGCTCCTGGTTTTCAGCTGATCCTTCTCGTTTTACAATTATTGCTCGATGCAACTGTTGCTACACTGCGAATGGCGATCAATGAGCTGAAGCAAAGCTCTTGTAGGCTGGGAACTGCTTCATGCCTATACTGAGTGCTGCAGCGTCAAAGTAGTTATGTTAAGATCACAAGAGTTTTTCCCTGTATACGGATAGTGTAGATCTGTAACAGTACACATCTGACAGGCCCTTATTTGCCCCCATCACAATAGAGAAGTAATTGCAGTGGCGCCGTTGACTGCATCTTCTGTGTGCCACATTTATAGGCTCACAAGGTGCACCCCTTGGGCCTCCACGAGGAAAGTTGCTGAGTAGTAATAATACAAGACGACCTCGCCTGTTCCAGCATACTAGATCGATTCATATTTCAAGGAGAAAACCGGCGGCATCCTTGGTGCCCACACCGGAATATCGGTGTCTCAGCATAGGCTCGTCTGCTATCAGGAGCGTGAGAAGATTGACTCAGCGAGTCATTACAGCGATGAAGCTGCGTATACTGAGGCACGGCAAAATGCTAATTATCCCAATCTGTTGAGGAAGCAGCGTGAATGACAGGAATTGTTTATTTCTCCGTAACTACTTCCAGGGCCACCTAAGGAGAACCAGAGAAAAAGACGACTCGCGGGGACGACAGGAGAGACTAACAGTCCTTGCCAGTTTAAAGCGAGCACACATATCCAGCATTGAAGGCCCTCCACGAGTGACTGAATTCATACGCTCATTAGCCTCTGGCGAAACTAATGTAGCTCTAGTGTTGTCTGCCGCCACGTAGCGCATTTGCTGTTCGTGTTCTGTCTTTTGCTCACAAAGCATGCTTCCTGACCACCAGGCGAGACACCCTAGATAGGGCCTCCTTTGAACGACTCGGATCGTGGGGTTTGACTAATCTTTGACTCATTCTCCATTCAGTTGCTCTACTTTCAGGAGAGCCCCCCAATTTAGAAAACCGATTTCATTCCTACAAAACTATATCATTTGGTTAAATCCACCATGTTGGTCTTCACATCAACGCAAATGTACTAGCGCTGCAGAGTAGAAACTGTGGCTCCGATGTCCTATGGAATCCACTGGGAGATGAAGCAGTGGTAGCGTGAATGCGGGCTTCTGGGGACACGCAACTTGGCGGACTCGTAACTTAGTAATATTCGGCGACTTTCTTTGTGAATTCGTCCAACAAAAGCTGAAACTCCTATACGTGTTTTCGATCGCTGTAGGCACAGCGTTGTAAGCAAGAGCAATACCACAGCCGCCGCTGCCTCCGATCCTATGCACGCCAGTAGACAGTTCTTGGACATTGCAGCTGCCTTACACATAATAATTGCAAGGAAAACAGCGGTATTCACCCCTGAACAGCCACGCTGGATTGCACCAGCAGCATTAGGCAGACTAGTATGTGGAGAGTGTTAAAGGATGCTTCTACTTTTTGTATGGCTACAATGGCTCGACATTCTGCTGTTCGTTTCGACGCCCATTGGGCTAGTGCTAAGGGTAAGAAATTCTAGTGAGATTCGAAGACCGTGAGCGGCCAATCAATTCGCCAGTCAGTGGGGGCTAGAAGAGCAGAACAGAAATCCTGGACAAAAGGAAGTATTAAAGCACCCTTCGTCACATTGCATCTGTCTCGCACATAGAGCTTGTCCACTGCTACAGCTTACAGTGAAGTAGAAGCAGTAGATTAAGCAGCTGAATTCAGAGAACATGCGCAGCAATAGAAGAAGTTTCAAAATCACGAGACCGCGCCATGAATTTAGTCGCTTTGTGTATTCAACGGTATTACGGGCTGCCCAACTAGTCCCAAGCACCACCAATTCAAGAAAACATTATTTCTCCGGTAGAAGACGAGCTAGGGATGCCAGAGGTCCAAGGCATTTACTGCCATCAAATCACAGAGATGGCTTCTTTTTCGTTGGTCGAGAAAACCGCAAGGCACCAAAAATGCATGTTGAAAGCAGAGCTTTGATGAAGTTCCACGACAAAGAGTTCATACTGATAATAAAGCTCATGAGAAGGATGATATATGACTGCTAGGAGAGCTCCGCTCAAAGCAGCAGTGTCTTCCAGTCCCGAAACGCTTTGGCCATTAATTTCCGGGAACAAAGTCGGTGCATCTACAAGAAGGGACTACAGAACCCAAGCGACCTAAAGGCCTGGCGAAATAAATCAATGGCCTTATTGTAGAAGTGTCGCGCAGAAAGAGCTCGAAAAACACTGAAATATCTAGTGACCCCCGGTAAAAAGACCGGTGGTCACGTCTCGCTGGAATTCGGGAGGTGGATCGATGAATGGTTACATGCGTTCAGGTATCTACGACAAATTATTAGCATTCGCTTGGTATTCTAAATAATTTGCTTCAGTAGAAGGAGCTACTTCGTCCGATGCTGGCAGCACTCTCAGCAAGGTCCCTCGGCCAGCTCTCTCTATCCCTTCACACCAAATGGATCCACATGTGTGGCTAACCAAGAAAAAACAGTTATATCCACGTACGCATACAATCTATTTACTTGATTGCAAAGAACTATCGTGAAATAAGGCTGCAGTTTGCAGTGAAACGATTTTGGAAATAGGGCAGGCGACGCAGTGAAACCCAGAATTCACAAACGGGGGAAACATAAAAATAATCAAGATAACAATAAAGACAACGAGAGTAAACAAGACCACACAGCATAAGCTCCAGGTGTACACTTTTTTGGCTGCCTACTTCCGAAGATGCAAAGCGGCTGGTCGCCAGGGCCTTAAGCTTTTGGGAAGTACAAGTGGCGTAGGTGGTGCGACCTAAAAGCAATGTATGGTCAGACTTTCGCAAAATAGTGGCTTTCTGTGAGTACTGACGATACAGGAAGTACAGACACAACAATTGCTGCCTCATGCTTCTTGTGTGTCACTTCTTCAAAATGGACGGAGCACACTCCTTGAAAAATGCAAAAGGCAGGGAACGAATGCAACTATATTGAGAAGGAAATATCTCCCCAACTATTTTATGCTTGTTATGGCCATTCGGCATATCCACTGAACTAGTGGGTCCTGTGGAGCCCTTCAGCCAGTTTGCCCGTCACGCACATAAATTTCAGACACCCCGGAAACGGGACTGGCCTGGGCCAAAGAGACTTATCCATCTTCAAATTTGAGGCACTTGAGCCTAGCCGCTTTGCAACTTCGCAAGTAAGCAGCCATAAAAATGTGCACATGGGCACTATGCTGTGCGGCTTTGTTTTGAGCCCTCGCAGCTCTATCCCCTTTTCCTGCCGTTCATGCGTCGGCCACATATGTCCTTGACCCTCCGCTTTTGGATACATTAGACACAAGTTCTGTATCCATCCTGTTTGTACTCTAAGAGCACAGTTCAGAAATCTTATACTGTACTGGACAAATCAGAGGAGCAGCTTTTTGTGTTCGGTAGACCAGCACACAACTTGAATTCGCACGACGCGTATCACCCCCAACAGGACAGTGCAAGCGTTTCCCGCATAAATAGAGCACACAATCCACCTATGAAATGCAGCATGGCAAGAGCAGCCAGGCGCCAATTGTTTGCTTCTTAGGCTTGCCTGAAAAGAGGCAGACGCAGACACAAAGCCATAGGTCCTGCGGTAACACGATGGCGAAACGGTACATCCTGGACTCCAAAGGTAGCCGTATACCAGCATGTCACTGCTGGTCCAATAAAGGCATTCTTGAAAGGTTCCAAAAACAAAATACTCCTTCCGGCATTTTTGGTATCAGTGGAAGCGGAATCGTCTGCTCCTCAACAACACATTGAAGGTGATAATGCACGAGCGTTGTCACTGTAGCTCTTAAGGAGTCAGATTGGAGCAGGTCTGACTTCATGACCCGGTCACCGCGGATTCCAATATGGACGCCTTAACTCTCCTCTCTGCCTGAGACACCCCTGACCTTTGTCTTGCGATAGAGGAATCTCCCTGCTGCTGCTGGCTACCTGAGGGAAGTGGCAACTGTTCCATCAGGTAATCCACCATATCCTCCATGGAGTACTCTGCATGCGTCTCACCAGCTGTCAATACGATCTCTGCTCCTTGGAATGGAGGCTTAATTGGGCCTACGCCGTAGCCGATGCCTGGCTCCCCAGACATCAAAGCCGCGTCGTCTCTGGCGCTAGAATCAGCGGAATATGACAGTGCTTCTTGTCCTCTAGCAAGTTTATATTGCGCGTCAAAGAAGGGCTCTTTGGATATTGTAGCATAGCTGGCTGTGCTCAGTGTTCTGCCGAAACCGGTGCACCAATTTTCAAGAGGGCACATTGGTGTTTGCACACCACTGAAACAGTCAGCAGTTTCATTAACTAGGAAAGGGCTTGAAAAGGACATTTTCTTGATAATATCAAGCTCGGTTGAGCTGTATTCGACATTCCCGGGGCCACTGCCTCTGATGTTGACCAGCTTTTCCCCAACGTCAGGCGAGGGCAACAAGGTGGCACCTATTCCGGCGGCGGTCACGCTGGTTGTTCTGGATCCACATGTTGCAATACAGTCATAAGCAAGCAAGTAATCAGTATAGGGAGGGTTCTGCTGCATCTTTGCGTTATGCAGCCCATAATTCTTTTATGTCTTAGGGTTGCAGACTCAGTCCAACTTTCTTTTTGCTGCAGGAGAGGGTAGTTGAGCACGAAATGCAAATTGCCTTTTTGAAGGGTATTGTCCGATACTGCGCGGTGCCTTCTGGAGCCTTGATGCGTTCCCCTGTCCAATGATCGTCTATCGAGAACGCGGAAGCCGGATAAATGGAAAGAAATAAAGAATGCTGTAGGCCGTTGCTGCACCCCGTGAGGCAAATGCTAGGGGGGCTGCAGAACGGAGTAAGCCCATGAAATTGTCTGGATGGCTTAGAAATCACGGGACGCTAGCATACGCCTGGGGGAGTGCCCGGCAGCCGACAGAAACCACAACAATCTGCAGTAAAAGATCTCGTTACGTGAGAAAGTATTGCTTATGTTTGGCAGTAAGTGGCTAAACTGCTCACGAAACAGCTGATGGCACCTCCAATACGGTGACATAAATAACTCGCTCATCGTTTCATTGGAGCTTAAGACCCAATTCTGTAAAGACACGCAACTACGCAAATGCAAGACCTGGCTAGAAATCGGAATGAATGAGGGCAACGAGCAGTTATAGTTAAATGGAGCTCCAAAATACTAGGCAATATCTATGTTTTCGTTGCAATGCGAGCCAGAGAAGGACACAACATACCCTTCTAGCTCTGTTTATCCCCTACCGCCTCGTTGGCCATGGTATGTGACGACAATTTGCCGCAAGGTCGGAAGGGCTTCCACGAAGATGATTATTGATTGCGAGAAATGTATAGTGTTAATCACCCATACTAGTGGATTTTCTAGAAGTAGGGGCCTAGTTGTTCATGATTATCATTGTCAATTAGATTCTCAATCGATGTTCGAGACGGCCATGCAATGTAGATCGGATATCTTAATCCTTTCAACAGACTACAGCTGGGTCAAAGGAAATTTCTGAGACACGTAGGTGAATAAGGTACTTTGGAGTCGATGACATTGCTACAACGCGGTGAGCAAAAGTTCTAAAACGCAAACACTGCTCTTACTCTGCAACGGGCCTACGTGTCTTCTAATATTAATCTGTCAAAGCTACCATATTCCCAGTCCTAAAATACAGATACATTGTACAAAAGAGTATCTTTCGTAATTTGTGGCTAGCAATTTTGCAGACGCAGTTGAACTTCACTCTGTGAAACCGGGTTGCCTAGACCTGTTGGCGACTGGAGCCACATTTAGGAAGCGCCATGAACACCGCTCGCGTTAGATACCACAAATACAATTGCCCATGAAGGTGCATAAACCAATATGTTAGTACGTGGAAAAACCTGAACTGATTGAATGACAAGATCTCCTTGTACTACCTTTCAGATCTTTCTCGTTTTTGAGGCCAAGAGGCTCGGCGCTTTAAATGCAAAATAGCAATGCGTCATAGTTCCTGCACTCAAGCGCATGCATATATAAGGATGGTGCTGAGCACATTTTCACGGGAGAGCACCCGGCTTCCCGCAAAACTGGATTTCGCACATCAGTCATCTTCGCGATTGATAGACTGGACTTTAAAGACTTTTGGGTCATAGGTTTTGTTCATACATTTGTGACCGACGAATTGACCACTTTCATACGGTCTGCAAAAGGCCAGAAATCTAGAACACAAGTTTCTTAAGACCTAAACGCATGTATGCCTTTTTTCATCATGTGCTAGGGCGGTATGCTTACCAGCCATTCACGCTTTCCTGAGGGCTTCTTGTCTGCCTGTCGCATGCACTTACCTGTGTCTAACACCCTTCAACATAGTCTAAAATCGATGCTTAATCCGTGACAGGCCTTTGTTCAAAGCACTAACTAAGCGTACACGTACTTATTGCCTTCTGTATTTATTTTTGCTGCGGGTTTGCTACATTAGTAAAAGAGCAGTTCCTCCACTTTCTAGTTGGATGAGTAACAGTTGTCTGTGCCTTTCTGTCATGTTCACCCCTTAAAATTCCTCAGCTTTCCGAATTCGCTTCTAGAAGTTGTCATTCAGCACAATGGTTCTCAAGGAGGATGACAGCCAAGTTCTATAAATGCTTTTTAATGCAGGCGACAATCCGTATATGAATCAGAAATTCAGATAACAGGAATCTGGCTCTACGAACCTTGATTATGCTTGCTTCAGGCTGTATCACCTCGAAATTATGAAAGCACCAAACATTTGAGAGTGGCAAAATCTCTATGGAGTTGTATGTGAAGCCAAGAGTGTGTGGTGTGGCCTCCGCGGTGCCCATTCGGATCCTTTCCGATGTTCGCAGCAAATGGGTATGCAAGCATATGCAGGTGGTATACCTTAAATGTTTCAGCTACTCGCAGAAAGGAGAAAATGCAACACCTCTAGTATGTGACTTGTTAGTTAGTGCTGAGCTAGAAGGTGGAAAGCTTTCATATTCATGGGAATAGGTACTTATGAAAGATGGGTTCGTGAACCTTCCGCAGGTGGTTAAAAAAACAGCTGCACAGCTAGTGATTCTGCTAGATATATTGGGCAAATCTACTTGCGCAGATATACCGGCTCTCATGATGCAAGACTCACTGCAGTCAGGCTGAAGCAAATACTCTACCAAATAAAAAATGTGTTGACAGATGGGCAGACAAAGCAGAGTATGCATGAAATCAGGCAGGGCCTGGTTATCACTGTGCCTTTGTGAGGTTTTCGCGAGGCTTCCATTTACTACGACCAATGGACACGATGAACGCACGTCGAGCACGAGATGTCGTAACTCGCCGTACATTTGAACTTGCCAGCAAACCCCTTTTTATGCCGCCCCGGGATGCAAGAAGCCACCGTACGCTGGCTTCTTCCCCATGCAGTTCCCTCAGCTAAGACATGGCTGCTCCACGAGAAGGGTGTAGGAGCTGTTTTGCAAGATTTTGTATCTTGCCTTGGAGCGCCTGTCTCTCCTGCAGCCGCGTCAGTGACGCTTGTAACCGTCCAGCAACATCTTTTCTGAGAGTAAGCTTGTTTGCTCCTCTGGAGCCATGTTTTGGCGTCGCACCGGCTGAGGATGAGTCAACCTTACACAGAGTAGGGCGCTTGATGTCCAGCTCTGGAACGGAAAACGAAATGTGTTGTGGTCGGGCGCTGCTGGCTCGCCGGCTACTGCGGCGTTGGCACTGATGCCTGTTTACCTGGCGCTGCAACACTTCGCTGCTGTTACTAGTGCTCGTACTAACGGAGCCTCGGGAAAGAGAGCGACAGGAATGCCCTCTTCTTCGCTGGCCCCATCTCCCACGATTGTCACGCCTCCGTTCCTCCATGCTGCTGTTACTGCTGCTGTCTGTCGAGGAATCCGTTTCATAAACGTTGCGTCTGACTGATCTGTTGCTTCGCTTGTGGTGTCTAACCCCACAAGAGGCTTGGCAAGCCTTTGAGCTGCATGACTCACTCGTGGGGGCTGCCGAACGGTCTCTGCGAATAGAGTCCTGATGCGCTGGAGCCTGCGTTTGGCAGCGTCCTCCTTCGCCAGGAGGGGTAGGCTTGGCCTCTTCATGAGCGGGCGCCTCTTTGGCAGGCGACTGCAGGGTCGCCTCTGCTACGGAAACGCGCGGCAGGCTCACCTCCACGTCTAAAATTGCTCGTCGTAGGCCTTGTTCTGCCAAATGATTTCTCTGAGGCTGGGAGCTTGCTGGCCATCCCGTAGCACCTGCCACACAGCCTCCCCTAGCTGAAAAAGTTTTTGCAGGAGCCGCAGGCGCTACTAGCCCTGAAAACGAAGCTGCCCGCAACGGGCAACTTCGCGCGGTATGAAGCGCAGTGGCTGAGCGGCGGCAAGCCACTGAATGTCTCATTCGCGCTGAGACGGCACCTGCGGGGGCCAGCTGTGAACTACTGTCAGTCCGGTGAGCTGAAGACAGATGCGCATGCAGTAACGCTCGAAGTTGCCTGTTTTCCTGCTGCACCGTCTCCAGCCGTACTTCTAGCTCGACGCCTGTGTCCCTCCACATACCACACAGAATACAAACACCAGTGCTCAGTGCTGGAAAATTGGCACCTGCGGATACGTGGGAATCAATTACTCAGCGTTTCCCTCATAGAAATCGAGCCCAGACTAGTAGGCACAAAAAGAGGCTTCCGTAGGCTCGTAGGCAGCAGCTGGATGGGTTCGGATACGAGACTCACAACGGCGTCGCTCAGCCTCTAAGGCCTCCGTTAGGGTAGTCAGCTTCAGTTGTTGGTCCTGGCACCTCTGCCTCTGCTTCTGTTCTAGGAGGCTCCTCTGCACACACAGCGCTCAGCATCTGGCTTTGGAGCTAGTAGCAGATCAAGCAATCCGGTGCTACAAAAACCACTTCCGAAGGACAAAAACATCCAGCAGGATGGGTAGCTACAAGGAAACATCCATACACACCATACTCCAGGATGCACTGTATTGCACACGGGTCGAGCAGCAGAAATCCGTTGGCAGAACAACAATCGCTTATTGGCTGTGCTTAAAGCACCTCGTGGCGCAGCGTGCACTGAGCTTCCATGGCCCTTCGAAGGATGGCAGCGGCCTCGTCAGCAGCCGCCTCTGCTCGCTTGCGTTGCTGTACCGCCACTCTGAGCACATCACACAGCTGCGTTCTTTCTCGGATTTTGATTAACTCGACTCGCTTCATAGAAGCCATAATGCAACATAGCCGTTTATCATTATAGCATGCTCCTCCGCATCATCCAGGATACATCTGTCGAACGACGGCTACGCGCTCGCCCTGGTATTCGCCTTAGCATGGCAACTGATCTACGAGATTTCATACGGATGTGGAAGCTTTCACAAGCCACAGACCTCTCGAGTTTTTCGGCAGCTTCGTTTAGCAAGTGCTGCGCATGCTGACGCAAGGCAGTAAGCGCTCTCGATGCTGCAACGGCAGCCTCTGCTTCCTGAAAACGCAAAGCGCAGTAGACACACACACACACACAGGACATGCGCCGACATCATAAGATAAGCTCCCAAGGAGTAAACCGCGGTCTTGCCATACTACTACCAGATATAAATGAAAACACTATTGCCGATATACAGACGCGGCTGGGCTGGAACGAACTTGCTGTCCGAGGTGAAGAGCTCGCTCATGGATCATCCGGTTTATCTGGAAATAATTAGGAAAACCAGAAAATACACATATAAACGAAATTGGTGCCTCCATACGGCAAGAAGCACATAGGAGCGAAAGACATTAGCGGACAGACGGGGAAGAAGGATGTACGACGTGCGTGGGGGCAACGAGGAGGAGGGAAGAAAAAGACAGGTAGTTCGCAGCAAATACATGCGGCATCAGTTGTATGCATACTTCCTGCAATTCTTGTACCACGAATTTGTGGGCCGCGGAGTCTCCCATACCGCTGCTCTTAAGATGCCCCTCTACAGCTTTCAAGCTGTTTCCGAGTTCTTCTGGCTTATTATCAGCACCGCAAGGAGCAAATGGCGAGGATGCCAGGAAGGAAGGCTGGTGGGCTGGTGCTGCAGTGTTATTCAGGTTCCCCAACAGAGGCGGCTGCACCCTCTCTGTAGGGCAAGGCTCGCGAGAGGCCTTGGTCCTAAGGATTACACGCTGGGTAGAGGCAGCCAAGGTAGCATTCCCAGGAAGACTCGATGGCATTCCACCAACCAAGGAGCCTAGGGATGGCAAATGGCGCATGAAAAGCGGCTTTGAGGTGAGGTGAGACGGCGTTCGCTGCTCGGACGCTGCAAGAAAGGGGGTAAGTGCGGTGTGACCAGGCAAGGTGTTTTTTCTAGGAGGGGTCACATCCACAGGAGCAAACAGAGTAACAAGTCGTCGAGAATGGGCAAGGAGATTCTCAGGGGGTCGCTGTGGAAGCGCTCCACTCTTAGTTGCCGCATCATCAGTCAATGAACTCTGATAGGCCGCAGGGACAGGGGTAGGGGGCCCTTGTTCGGGAAATAGGCGAGCATTAGCAGGTACCACGTTGCGCCACTCTGAGGGGCCAGCATTCGAAATTAAGGAGTGCTGGCTGCTTTGTAGGTCAAATAAAAGCGCATCGCGGTCGTCCTCTGCATCCATTTTTTGGCATAGGCGGGCGTTATGCCCAAAGGCTCGTTCCTAAGTTCCCAGGGCAGTGTACGGCTGGGCCGCTCTGGAAACTGCTCAAGACACCGCAATGGGATATAGCTGTGTCGGTATATATATACAGAAAAAAGAGACCGCAGTTACCATAATAAATGGAACATGAGGTTTCCACTTGGAGCGGCGCGTTCGGCCGCTGGGATGATAGCCAAAGGGAAGGGGGCTACTGGCATGCGACAGCCGGCATCGTCCCACCACCGTAAAAAGCATTGGAGGACCCTGAAAATATGCTAGCAGTTTAGAGGTTCTGCATTATTTCCTCATGGGAGAAGTAGCTGGCTATTCGATTGGGCAGTCGCGAAGTAACAAGACACAAGGAGAGAAATGCATACACGCGAAAAGAGCGCGAGGCAGAGCTAGTGCGGACAAACAAGTTCACAAGACATCTGAAAATCATTGCAGCAAAGGATTTATAGCGGATGGGGCTGAAAAGGTGTTTTCAGTGGGCTTCTGTGCGGGACTTGAGTTCAGCATGCACTGCCACATAGTGGCACGCGCTGCCGACAATGTTCGACGGGATATTGAGAATTGGAGCTCTCAAATGATCCTTGTTGCGTTCTTCCCAAACCTTTGCTAGCGAAACTAATGGATGGCCCTTGCTTTCTTGCTGCATGCTCGGCAATGTTTCACTCTGGACGGCAGTGCTACCTTGATCCATAACGTGTGGAAACCTCTTTGAAGTTAGTCTGTAGTCTTTGTCGGATGAGGAATACTTTTAACGGCAATGTAGCGTCAGCTAGTCGTTTTTGATACTCTGGGGGCTGGAGTGGTAGCATTCGGGAGACAAATCGTATTGCGACAGCAGACAGCTTGGGCAGGGGGCGCATGGGACTTCCACAGAAACCGCTGCAATTGTGTCATAATTCCTCAAAACTCAACAGATCTAATGCACATATTGCTGCAAGGTAGCAGGGACTAAGCTCTAGATTAACAATGCAGCTAAGTCTCCATAAATTTCAATGTCATATGCAACTGCTCTGCAGCCAAGCGCAGCGTGTGTAGTTCGTTGATGTTTTTGAGGGCCACAAAACTACTTCGTGGTGGACAAACGAGTAATACTGCACACTGAACGCACTGTAACAGGCATCAATGGGCTGTAAATACGGAAGAGTCGAAGAAGTCTTCAGCCCCCCCAAAGCATCATTTTTACATTGGAAGTGGAAACGACACATTCAAGTGTTTTTTGTCGAGATGCAGAAAAAAATAAGTGTGCCTTTTCAAAATTCGTGTTGGGGCAGCGCCATGAACCGTCCCAAGTGTACAGGCAGTTGACCACCAGCTGACCAGTGCCTACGAAACCCTCTATGCAACTCCGGCGGAAGCAACCAAGGTGCCATATCAAGCTTCAGGAGGTGATTATGTGTCTGCATGCAGTGTGCGATGCTTTCGAAGAAAGTTGAGAACCGTCGTGGTCTGTACGCAGCAGTCGGCAGGAACAACCAGTGATTACCAAGCTTGCCTGCCCCAAAACAACACTCAAACCTGGCTCACCAGCAAAGATCTCTGTAAAGAGTTGAACGATTTACATTCTGTAAACGCGGTGCGGTATGGATCGCCGGTTTTCTCGTATGCTGCGTTGCGCGTGAACAAGATTTCAACTTTTGGCTCTCTGGCTGTTGCACACCAACGAATAGGCCATTTGGAGCAACTCTCTGCCCTCATATCATCGGCCTGGCTCAAAATGAAAGTGCCTTTTTTGAAATGGAGATGCCGGCTGAAACATATTTTGGGGTGGCTCGCCATTATACAGACTCCTTCCTTCCATCAAGTGTCCCAACGTGTCCTGGCAGCCACAGACAAACCTGGAAGCTCTAAACCTTCCCCGAACGAAAACACTAATTTCGAGACACTATTCCTCCTGCCATCACATGGAGCAGACCCTTTTTCCCGTGTGTCGCACCTACGAGCAAATGCTGCCATGTTGATGAACTATACCCTAGGCGCTGAGGTGCTTAAGATGCTCGCACAGCTTGTTCAAACACTGGTTAGAGAGGAGGCAATGAATATTCAACACCAAAGTGACATGTGGCTTATTGAAGAAACCAAGAAAGCCGTGGACCTGTTGCACAACAACCCTTCTGCCTTTCCAGCCTCTGGATACTCACTGAGGGAGGGCAGCAGAGGAGAGTTGTATGTGCGGGTAAGGGGAAAACGGCGACATTTATTGGCGCTTCCATCGGTTCATGCTTTCGTTACACAGAAAGAATTCCCTTTTTGGATGATGGATGCTGAAGCAGCATTACAGCTGCTCGTGGCAGATGTAATGAACGATGTTATGGGGACGACCTTACCGCAGGCTCCCCCTCAGCCAATTGATCCTGACGCAGGAGAATTGCCAATTAAGTTCGGCTACGACATGAACGACCGCCGCACTGTAAAGCTTTCCTTCGGCGACTCTACAGTGGCAATTAAATGCGGCAAAACTCTCCATACTGGAGGCGCTGTGGGTGTGTCTCATGGGTCTTACATGGTGACGGTAGGTGCATACTCCGACGAGGCAAGCCTCAATTTATTGTGAAGGGCTCCACAGATTGGAGGAAGTGCAAACAGCACAGAAAGCACTATAGCCACTGGGCAGGCAGTCGTGCATAGCTCGATCACTCCCGACACTGTGCAGCACGAAGTCACCGTCGGAACAATGCACGCGATGCAGACGCAGATCAGCCAGACGAACGGGCCAGGGACGATCAATGCTATCATCAGAGACGCAAAATTAAAAGTGGAAACACATCCAGAAGGCAAACGCCACGGCGCTGAGTTCAAATATAAAGACTTCGTTTTGGGAGTAACCCGCGACTTTGACGATCGTGTAAACATTTTGGAACGTAGGGCGAATGCTTTTGTAGTTACCGGCATGCTGATATTTATGTTGCTTTACTCCAGATAAGGGTGATGGCTACCAGTGGAGGCTGGAAACTGACCTCGCAGATGATCAGAACCACGCTTTTTCGGGGAAGATAAAAGGAAACACAATACTTACCGGCGACATGGTTTTCGGTGCTGGTTATGATGCAGAAAACCAACCTACCGCAGAATTGGCCATGTCGGCCAGAGACATTGGTGTTAGGCTCAACGGAAGTAATGGACATAACAGCTACAGGGTGCAGATCGGCCCATTCACCTTTGATGTGATACTTTCCCAAGGGCTGCCCGAGTTTATCCTGCGAGAAGTCAGCGCCTGAGTTGTAGAAGACACTATACCATTTTGTGCCCGTTTAAGGGATGAACCAATGCAACGTTTCGTGTATGTCTTGCCATGTGTCCTCAAGTTAGGAGGTGCCTTTTGCGAGCTGCATCAAAGCATAAGGAATAAAACGATCAAGGCACTGCTCTAGGGAAACCTGCTACCACGATTCGCACACCAGTTTAGGGCAATAGCATTTCTGAAGGCCTATCACAAGTTACGCAATAAGATAAAACGGGTAGATTCGCTAGATTGGCATATGCAAGTGGCACTCTCACTAGCGGAGAAAACACCTCCCACCGCTTCAAATCGGCACGCGAACTGTAGCAGAAACGAGAAAAGAGACCGCACTAAAAGACAAAAAGCCCCACCCCTCAATTTCCTCTGTGCCAGTAAGGCAAGCAGAAGTTTTAATGCAAATTCTTATAGGGGCCTGGGCTTTGTCTATAATTTAACTTCGGTTCGCTGCGAATGCTTTCGCTCACTGGAACTGTAAGGACGAAGGAACGTGACTCGCCTACGCCTAACCAGAGGTAGTGCTACCTCCTCTGTTGCCCTACTGCTCTATAGTTGTGGCTTAAAGAGAATGCCACTGGTGTGCAATAGAAGTACGCCGTTCAGCAAGCCGCAAACAAAGGACTGCGTAAGAATTAATGACACAGTCCTTTGAGTGTATCAACAGCTAGGCATTCGCTCCTTCTGGAGGACTTCAGGCACTCCAGGGCGGCTTTACAAATATTGTATACCATCACTACACAGTACACCTGGTTCAATGGGCTGTGAGCCGAGGCCCAGTCGCGCATGCTAGAGTACCTAGTTCGCCGGTACTGAGTGTGTTGTGCGCAATCAGGGGTTTCAACGTGTCATAGAAAAATTGGGGCAAACGCTGCTGCGCGTCCGCCTGTCAAAGAAATTCTCCGTTTTTTGCCGTCAAATTAGTGCTCTCAAGGCCTATGGACATGCTCAAGCCTTGGGGAGTGCAAGCGGGTTGCGCCTGTAGAATGCCACTGCGGCTCACGGAGCACGCTGCACTCTGTGGTCTTGCTCCAAGTGTCCATACTAAGGCTTCACATGGATTTTGCTATCCGGTAGTTATGCGTGCCGGCCCAGGATCTGGCTTAGTCCCTCGAGAACTGTGGCCACGAGCAAGGTGGCAGCTCTGCAGCTCGCAAGGATGTGTACCACAGTGGTAGTGTTCAGCACAGGTCCTATACAGCCTTTGTCATGGAGAGTAAGAGAGTAGCTTTTACAGTGCTCAACCCGTGTTAGAGAATCTCTAGATAGAAAAAGTATCTCAAAGGAAAAGATGACTCACTGGATGGCAGCACGAAAAACAGCGAAGTTCTCCATTTGGTGCATTGGCGGTTTCTTGTTGCTGCACATGTCCCACGCATTCCCACATGCTACACAAAAGCAAGGACATACACGTTGTTGCATGGCTATTTCAAGCAGTGCGCCAAGAATGTCGTTGAAGTATCTTGTAGAAATATTCTCATTCAGGCCCAGTACTGTTAAAACGTCACGACATGGCAGCCAAATTCTGCATTGGTTTTTCGTGAATTATCAGAGCTCACTGGAGGCCTTGAAAAGCAGTATGGACACACGTAGTGCCATCTTCCGGTCTGCACGTTCTTTATATTGATGACCTATTGAAGGGAAGCATACGTGCAGGCGTAATGGCAGAGGACCCTGGTCGGGGTATTCTAACTTCGTGAGAAAGCACTCCTTTAAGCCTTCAACGAGACTTCCGTGAATAGCAATTAGTGTGCGATCGGCAAAGAGATCTCGCAAAAGCAAATGAAACCAACTGGCTGTTGCTCCTACGGAGCCTACCTTGAAACAACAATAAGGGCACGTGTGCTGAGTGAGAGTCAGAGTGCCCCGCCTAGGCATTCTTAAAACGAGTTCGCACGTAGCTTGGTTAGTGCATGCCTGAAAAGGACACCAAGAGGTCAGCTAACATTGCGAGAATGAGAAAGCAGCGTTGCAGACACGTGCAGTAGCCTCAAGTTACGGGGGATTGAATGAGTACAGGCAAATGGCGCAGGATTAGTAGGACCTACGAGGAATCGTGCTCCCGCAGAGTCTGCACGAGCACCACAGCACGCGATTGACCGGCCACTGAGTGTGTTAGAAAGCATCCTGGAAATAATGCTGGGTAGACCAGCGTAATATGCTCTGCACTCTGACGCACCAGCAGTCGTGTCCGCATGTCCGTCACCGGCAGGTCCTCTTCGGCGCCTGCAAAGAGATGAGCATCTATTGGGGATCCGAAACGCCTACCGTTTAACTGCATGCAACACTACTGCTCTCGCCACCCTCAGAAAACATGGGGTAGTGTCAGAGCACCGAAATTCCACTAGAGATGCAATAAGAAATTGGTAAGCAGAACGCAAGTCACTGTTGAAGGTCTATAGGCTGCATAAGCGCTTGGCTTGAGATCTACCTTGATCCAGAAGCTGGTCCTCTGCCCCCTGTATCCTGCGAAAACAAAAACACTCGTTTAACAGCTAATTTTTACGGGCAGAGTGGGCCTGAAACCAGTGGCAATGAGAGCATCCTCCCTGCGCCACGACTGTTTTATCACTTAGCAGAACTATCAGGGCCAGGAGACGCATCATGACGGCCAAATACTACCAAATGTGTTTTTCGCGGTGCCGTCGAGTGCAGTCCTACCATTAGGTTCATCGATGCACCACACTTTGCGCAGGTGCAAAAGTCACTTTCAATGACACGAGCATCGGCATCCGAAGCAGCCAGGGGCGGAAGTATTTTCTGAATCTGCTCATCAAGTAACGCTATATGCAGGCGCAGCAAATGGAAAACTTCCGCAACCGTCCCCACATGCCTCTGCACAACTTCGTCCTGAAGCCGCATTAGCAGGTACACGTCAACGCCGACCGATAGACCATAATCTAGCGTTTCATCTGCTTCCTTGCAGCAACGGCGGTGCAAGCCACATACTATTCCAACCTACCTTCCGCTCAAGACCTCTGGCGATCTTTGTCATGTCACGTTCCATACTGGCTCGCAGGTCCGGCTGCGGGATCACGCCACGAATCACATATACGACAAGGTTGGTAAAGATGCCAAGCGGTGGGCATTTAGGCGGACACATTCACATACGAGGGTAACTGTGTTGATCAAGGCAGGCGACAGCCCACTTTAGAGAGGTCCGCCTTGCAGAGACGACCAACGACCTTGTATCCCTGCAGCAACATGCGAGAAAGGGTTAAATGAATTCAACGTAGGAATGAATTGCTAGCGAGAACAACGCTTTGTTTCAGGCTCTATTGGGAGGGTTCTGGAAGGTGCAGGACTCGCTACAATGGAGAGATACGACGGCTCGAACGGCGAACGCTTCACTTTGTTCGTCTACAGAAAGAGACCATTACCATTACTAATGCGACGCCAAGATCTGTGGGCTTGAACTGCTGCAGCTCCGTTTTGATGGCATAGTTGCGTTCCTGGCCACCATACAATCATGATGGGAATAAACCTGCCGAGTAGCTTACGTGCATCAAGCCGCATTCATTGTGCCCCATTGCCATGAGCGCTAGGCATGCTTTCAATTTAAGATAAAACAGCCTTACCTGTATGGTGCGAATGTGTTCGTGCATAGTGGCATCTGTGCCGATTCCGTGCTGAGCAGCCGCCACCCGCACAGTCAGAGACAGTTCAAATTACTCATGGCGCATCAACAAATACTTTGTCGCAAAAAATGGCCAACGTGATGCGGTGCCACACCTTGTCCATCTTGTCGATGAGGTCAGCCTCCGACAAGAGGGAGGGAGGTTGCGTACTCCCCTCGTGGAGGGTCACGTCCTTCGGCAGAAATCGTTCGTGCAGTAGGAACCTTGGTAGCCTACGCGATACCCTGCATAATGGAGGCGTCAACAAGCGAGACTTTAGAAGAGTGGCAAGGTAGAACTAGAAAGGGCCCCACAGCTGGCCAACCAGTTCTAATTGTCAGACCCTTTGCGCACGGGTGAAGACGGCACTAAAAACCTCCAGTTCCTCCTCCCATAGAATCGGGTGAAAAAACAGCGATCAGAGAGACATGCCAGGAGTCATAGGGGTAAACACTAAGATAGTTTTTCTGCAAAACGATGAGGCCCGTGGTGGAGAAGGCTTCGCCTGAAGGAACGGCAGCAGTTGCAGCCATACAGCTGCTTGGTCTGTCCTTCAGTAGCCATCCACATGTGCTCACAAAACAGCACCGCCGCTAATAAAAGGCCACACCACAATAGTTAGACAGTGGACGTTTGCTTCGTTGCCTATGGCTCCGCTTGATGCTGAAGCGCTGATGGCGCGTGGCCGACCTGCAATGTCCATCTGAACTTTGGTCTCAAAGCCAATGGCGTCAGAACTGCGCAGTGTAATGCAGCAGCACGCACAACTAAGCTACGTTTTAAAGTCGGTTCGCCACCACATTGTTCTGCAGCTGGAACAGGCAAGAAAGGGAATAAATATGTCTTAGGAGGCATGCCCGCGTGTGTGTAGGGCAGCCCCATGACAGAGTGAGGCCCGTACCTGCAGCAAGCGAGGAAATGACGAGTGATTGCCTCGTAGAGCTGCATGGCGCATCACACTAGAGAGATGCACTTTGCCTTCGCCAGACAGTCAGCATTTCGTATCGTGATACTCATGAGCTCTCTGAGACCGACCTTCCACTCGTCCTCGTTTTCGCAGTCTTCCCTGCATAAAACAGGCGCATGTGGACACCCAACGGGCTAGCTTCCCACAAGCCCCAAGTATGCCTTATTTCAAACGCAGCGTGCAGAGAAAATGTCATGTGCAAGTTGAGTACGCCTCTTGCGCTTACCTGCAGAGTGCCTTCACTGGGTGTATTGGTGGATGAGACTGCCAAGACCCCAACACACACGCATCACGGAGCCACAGAAGGCGTGTTTCCCACACGAACAAGATTTGACGGAATACACTGAGCCGCCATGCCTTTAGCCAGTGCTGTCAGAAAAGCACCACAGACTTCACGGAATAGGCCTTCTCACCAATGAAACCAACACAACATTTAGAATCGTACAACCGGGCACTTCCACGGGGATGTGTATAAGGGCATGCTCGGATGCATGTCAACTGTTCTCGTACTGCAAAAAGCAAATTTGTCGTATATCAGAGGATGAAGAAACCTCCATGCTATACCCACCATATCATCGTGAGGGCCATCGCGGGGCCATTCAAAACCACCTAAAGCCCACATGCGACACCCAGCTAACAGCAGAGACCTTCCTCCTCCTTTGTGGAGATGCGGATGCAACATCGCCACAGCGTGGCAGCCCTTTAGGCTCGAAGTTGGCCACTTAATTTTTTTAATTTTAGAGGGCGTTCCAGCTGCTATTCGAGGAGTCAAGCGCCTTATGTCTGGCCGCGTGAAGCTGTGCAGGGCGAGCTGAGGAGGCATCGGGCCGATGCGGCCCCGCCAGAGCATTCTACAGCATAGCTTTGAGCCAAACTATTTTTCCCTTTGAGCGTGCCCTTTAGCTAGCATGCATGCCTGCCTGATGGGCGCACCTTCAAGCAGTTCGACTGCGAAGGGGCCCCACAGGGGACTGTCCCGCTGGTTTTCAATGAGCCCCAACAAGTCTTGAGACCGCGTGAAGCGTTCGGTCTCTGTTCTGGGGTAGCTGCACATCCGCATGAACAGCTCTCAGACACAGCACCATGGACGTCACGTCACTCCGCGAGCTACAGTCTCAAAGCTTTGCTGCAGCAAGCTAGCCTGCGCAGCTTCTATTACCTGATGTAGCCTCGGTTGTACAACGCTTCTGCCAGTTGCATGCAGCTGAGAAAGTACAACCAAAGGGAGAACATGATGCCACAAAGCAGTACACAACTTGGAAGCCAGTGAGCAGCACCGCGATTCCGTTCTCGAAACTTCGAAAGCAACTGCACCTTTCGCGCCGTACCGGTGAGAGTCAATGCGGAGTTTACGCGAGCAGAGTTTGGTCATTTCTACGGTGCCTGCAGATGCACATTCAGCTTCGGAGGAGACAAGGCTTCCCAAATGCGCTGCTTGAAGGGTCTTTTTGATGAGTTCATCCGGCTACAGCCACGAAAAGCCAGTGCTGTGCGATAATCGAGGAAGTGCGAAGGGCCCGACTCGCCCCAGCAACAGGGCAGCATCCAGCATAGCGGCTAAGGGTGTGGTGTAGTAAATACTCGATTGGCGAACTAAGGGCAGCAAGCAACACATGGGCACCTCATCGACAGTCGTGGAACTTACTTAGGGGCACGGGTCTGGGTCTTGTCACTTCTCGACTTTCAATTGCAGTTATGAGTGCCTCCGGCATCTCATTGCAGAGTTCAAAGCAGGCAATAGCGGAGGCGCTGCAACGATACACAGCGTGCGCATACAAACTAGCACGCGAAGCGCAAATTGCTACCGCTCGTACACCAAACCACGCTGTGGTGCAGTTGCATTTTCTTTAAACACGGGTTTGGTTTGCCCCAAGCAGACACTGTGCAGCTAGGGAACCTAACCGGTCAAAAAGTCGTTGTCGGTCCCACTGGAAATCAACGACAAGCCGGCGTCCGGGGTTTTCATCGTCTTCTCTGAGCAAACACTGCAAAGAACCTGCATGACTGGAATCAAGCTCAAGCCTCCCACCTGTCTAGCTGGATAAATGCTCTGTCCAAAAATACACTTAGCGTCCACATGCGAGTACGCACCTTTCGACTACGGTTTTAATGGCCCAAAACTTTTCGGAGACGAACTGCTCAACCTCAAGGAATCTGCGGGGTGATACATAGCATGCCCTTTAACTCGGACTCTGAGGCTAAGGGAAATTCTACGCTTTGAATACACGGAAGAAGAAATTTGTTTGAGTTCTTGTGTGCACGGCTATTGTACAACGGTGAGATACACCCGCAAGACCAAAGGTTTGTTAGAGCCATTCAAGAAGCACGGTAGTAGCCTACCTCTCCACGACGAAACCAAGAGTTGGGAACTGGCAGGGGCCGTAACTGCAAATACACCAAGGCTGCCAATGCAAAATGCTATTGAACTGTGTGCAGCAAGAGTCGGTGCGCGGCATTCATAGCAAGAGCCACATGCGAAACATTTTGGTCAAAGGAGTTGCATGTATTTGTGGTATATGGGATACTAAGGGAATCAAAACGCACCTAATGAGGCCTCTTTGGAGAGAAAGTTTACTCTGGTATCTCTTAGTGAGGAATCGCGTGAAGGCAGCCCCTGCATATTGACCCATGGGTAATTAAACCGTGGATTTTGCAGCACAGCAGGAAGAGACATTTGAAAGGCACAGCTGAAATACGCTGCAGGCCTTAAGTGGCGTACCAATGCGTAAGTCGATTTCGGAGCGTGCGTCCGCTGCCTGCATGCGGGGAGGCGAACACAGTCACACAATGCAGGTAAGCCATGAGAATAAGGGGCCAGAAATAAGACCCTCCTCGTTGGCGTGTCTTCCCCTCCTCTTTACGGCTGCAGCACTACACAGCCCTTTTTTAGGGCTATTATCCTTGCCGACCACGCTACGGTGAAACTGATGCGAATGCTTCAGATTACATCAAACAGGCACTGAAGAGGGCACTGGTGAGGTGAGCGCCAAGAAGTTTTCTTGCCTTTGAAAGAGCCTCATTTGGCTGTTGAAGCGTAGAGCACGCCCTCACTACGTCCTGCTCTGAGGCAGACAAACACAGCAGCACGGCCAAGATCCATATTGAGACAACAGCACTGCATGGGGAACCCGTAGGTTCAGTCAGGGGAAGGAAGGGCTTACTGGTTACGGCGGAGAAGACTGCGCGGAATGGTTGAATATTGCAATTGGCCTCCTTGCAAATTTGGAGTACCTGCGTGGCACACGAAAATGGCTTTTAGCGGGACGTTGTTCTGGGAGTGAAGCACCACCTGCAGACGCACTAGCCACGCGAATCCCCTCGTAAAGCGCAGATACAACGGGTGCATCAGCAGTCCGCAGTACATCCACATAGGACTGCGTGGTAGCCTAGCCTGCAAGTATATGGCTAGATCTGCTGAGTCCTGGCTTCTGTCAGACCTCAAAGGCTATGTTTTCTCCCTCGCGATCACAGTCCAGCCATAACACAAGCCACTGGCACCTGCACAGCAAGGCAAACACACACACACACGTTTGTAGATATGTGCGCTCTTCCAAGCATCACGACTCCCCTGGAAGCGGCTGCCCACTTGGGGGTCTTGCCACTTGCCACTAGACTGGAAGCGGAGAACGCTAGTTGGGCCTGTACTTCAAAGGCCCTTACTTTTTTGCATACGTCTTCAAATTGCCTACAATGTCCTTCGCAGAGTCGCTGACGCGTTTAGACACAGGCGCTGAGGCGGCACGACGGAAAACACAAGGCTGGCAAGCAAATGCACTGGATACTGCAGGAAAGGAAACACTTGTACCGACAGAGACTGTACCCAACGCCGTTCAGGCAGCTGGCAGCTCGCAGCAACGTCTCGGGAAGGCGTATTTCAACCAGTGCAGCAGGAGCACCACCCACAGGACAGTCCCTGTAGCTGGACCGCAGACAGAGCGAAGAGACGCAGCAGCTGCTGCAGCAGCGCCTGCTGCCACTCGCGCTGCATGCTCTACAGCCGGCAGAAGGATTGGCCTATTTGCATGCTGGGAGGCAACAATACCCGAGAAGAGGGCTTCAGGCGGGACAGCATTCCACGACGAGAACGGCGAAGAGAAGTCGAGGGTCATCAGATGGCTGCAAATGAAACCGCAGAAGCCTCGAAAGTCGCCAGTGCGCCTTGAGAATGAGCCACAATGAACTCTGTCTCTGCCATTATCCACCTTTTAGCGAAAAAGCATTTCCACCCCGTCCCCGGAGTGCTGCTGGCGAGAACGGCAGCAACGCAGCTGGCCAGTGTCGTGGGCGGGGTCTGTCTTGTTCAGTAGCATCTCCAGCAACAAGAAGCCACGTGCACATGCCTCCGTGTGTATTATGCGCATATATTCATGTATGTTTATGCCTCCTCTGCGTAAACAGACGGATGTGCATCCGCACATGGCTTACCCCCTGACTGACGTGAAGATCATTTCGCACTCTCTGCCATGAAGCGTCGACGGAAAAGAAGTGACTGCGTTAAACGTGCTGGAGCTCTGCAGCTGGGACAAATAATAAAAGCAAGTTTGCACAAACGCTTATAGTAACCCGCAGTACAACCAGAGCAGCCTTTCGGGAGCTTCTTTTAAGCCCCCCGTTGCACAGCCATGGATTTCTATCATGGGCATGCCCTCAGCTGCGCAAGCAGTAGACCTTAAGCAACTGGACAAACATTGCAATGAGGATCGCCCCCTCCTGCTAGACAGGCGCTGCGAAATGAACGCGCTTCATGAGCCACCATCCGTGGCCCTAAACACACTCTGTCCAGCGGCTCACCCTGCGCACATTGTCGCCCCCGAGCAGACGAGTGATTTCCTTTGCCACTGATGGCTTTTCAGCAACATTTAAGACCTTAAGGATGTTGGCAGGCATCGCGTCCTAAGCGCAGCACCCACAGAAGAGGGGCTACCCGCTAAGACCATGAACACCACGAAGACTGCTCGAGCGATTAAGGCCCGTACAATGCCAATGGTCTTGAGGCATCCTTCGTGTATGTACCTACACCTCCCCTCCCTCCGTGTGTCGCTGCCTCTCCCGCCGTTGCCAACCCGGAGGAATACGGGCCAGTGCAAACAACGGCCTCTGTGCCAGCTGCAGCTGTATCGGACGGGAGGGAGACGAAGAAGCATTAAACACGGGAGCCACAGGAGGTTTGGGAGACTTTCGGCCGAAATGTATGGAAGGATCTCGCCTGATGACCACACCCCGCCACTGTCCTACCTACGACGCACCTGAAAATTTGGCTAAACAAAAGGGGACCGGAGACGACACATCCCATGAAACACGCAGACAGCCGGGGGTGGTGTTAGGCAATCAGAGCCGTTTTGCCTCATGGGCCTAAGAGCCTTAGGCCCGTAGGGCCTCCTTCGCACAGGATATGCCTCAAGCTTCTGCCTACAACTTGGTACTAGCCTTCTCTTTCGACCTTAAGAGAAGGCCAAACCTGGGGTTACATGAAAGACTGCACCCTAGCAACAGAGATACCCGCAAAGTCTAAAGGGCCATTCTTGCAAAGAGACATTGACAGGTGGCCCCCCTACACTCTCGTTTGTCTTCTGCCGTAGACAGCGGGTTTCTGGGCTCTAAATTGCTGATATCTGCATATTACATAAAATAACAAAGGTGTTCAGGGGGCACGAGCCGCCAGAGGACATTGTTCCAGCACAAGAGGACAGGGGGCCCTCGAGTAGGGGCCCCTCGTTGGTTCCTAGTCGCCATCTCAGAAATGCGGCGCAGATCGCTGGCTTCCTAACAGTAAAATACTTTCTACTACCTTCGCTAGCTCTCATTTGTGCGCCGAAAACAACCTTTTGCTATTTCTCTCCAAAGGAAGCGGCGTAAATCGATACCACAAAATCGTGGTCTTCACTGTCAGGAGACCCTGTGCAGCGTCCAAGACTGTGGGAGTTTACCGTGGCGGCATACCTTGCTATATGGCCTCTGGCGTCCAGCACCACGTCGTTGCTTGTCCTACGCTGCTGCCATTTCCTCTGAAGCAGAAATTACGGGGGCTTCAGAGTGCGGCTGATGATAGAAGCTGTTGCTACAGTGTCGTACGGGAGACCTTCCAAAGTTAAAAAGAAGAAGCCGCTATGTCTGACGATCCTGCTTCAGTCTGCTAAGCTCCAGAAGCTGCACTCCTCACTCCCCTAGTAAATCCTACGCTTATATCCTATTAGGAACGCTCCGTCATGGGTCCACTTGGGAGAAAACTCTTGACTCAATAAAAGCTTGATGAAATTTTCCGAGCGTTCACCTAAAAAACTCTCACCTTCCTACCCGAGCTGTTCGAGTTCCCCGCAGGTAAAGCGAGGGGCAGCTACGGTGCGTGTGGCTGCACCATGTAGGCACTCCGAGCATTCGGAGTTACTTGCACGTGGCATCCGACGCATATACACACAACATAGCGTCTTCTCATATGGAGCCAATAGCGATCTGCAGTATCAGAATATATGAAAGCACAGACCACTTAGTCAATTTCTGGCTAATTCTTAGCTTTAAGTATAACTGGTGCTAGAAGAATTACACGAGTAGCGTAGCCTGACACACGCCTATTGGAAACGCCACAGGATTTTCAGCATTCTTTTTTCGTAGGAGCTTTCAAATTTCTCAGCGTATTCATGGAAAGTTGTCGCGCAGGCAAGTGACCCATGTGGAGGCCGAGGACCCATAGTGTGTCGTAAATGTTCTGGATTTTATGGTCGTTGAGCCCCGGGAACACACCAGGTGGGAGATTTCAGTTGACTGAGACTTGAAATGCTAGCATCTTAGGCTAACCGATAATTGGATCAGGGCTTGTTTACCTATGGGAGAATATACGGCTTTGCTTGGCTCACAACGCACGTGGCCATCGAGGGCAATCCTTGCGTTCCTTGGTAATTGCTTTCTTCTGGGCGACCGCTCTGCCTGAAATGTCTGCCCTCGTGTGTGGATAGTGCTTGAAAAAGTTCGCGCTCCATCACCTGTTAAAGTAACCTCTACATTCAGGTTTATGCGCAGGGACTCCCAAGCATGTTGTCTCTACGTCCTTGCTTTTGCCTCTTCTGGTCAATAATATCGCCTATGTTGCACGCATCGGCTGTTTTCGCATACACGAAATGTTCAAAGAGGCGCGGGGGCACTACCAAACCAATGTGCATTCGGATTTCCTCTCCATTGTTTTCTGTTTGATAGAAGCGGGGGGCTCGCACAATTTAGTGCTCCGACAGTAGCGAACCACCAGGGTGCCGACGTCGTGTTAGTTTGGTTCCTCGTCCTTTTCTGGCCAGTCTGATTCATGCCTCCCGCAAATCTCTTCTGGCGATTGACACACATTTGTTCTGTCATTTGCACTCATTTCGCGTTTGTGCCTGCCTGGGGAGTGGCTGTGGCGAGCAAACTCTTCCGACGTCCTCTCTGTAGGTTGGTCTTGGCGTACAGGTATAGAACAGTGGAGCCTGTGTTCGAAATACATAGAGTAGCGGGCTAAGTCACTTCAACACTTTCTACTGCACTACTTCTGACTTAACCAATGATTAGTATAAAATAGACTTCGATTCGTCTGTTTATGCTTATTACTTACTGCAGAGCACTACTAGCTTGATTCAAGAAGACTCAAGGTTGAGTTCATGCGTGCTGGATATAATGTGCAGTCAAGTGTGAATGCCTGGAGTGCTTAGACGGTGCAGCTACGCGAACCGTTGTTGTCCCTTCCCCCTTATGTAGGGAACGCTGAGGAAGAATAGCGTATACTAGGCTTGTATTGATTCTAGAGCTAAATGACGCCTCATTAAAACCTTAGTTAGAGGCCTACGCACGGTAATCTGTGGTCGCATCTGACCCTTTTGCTACAGCTTCCCAGAAAGAAACCAGGCTAAATAAAAAGTCACCCTGGTGGGAGCAGCCAGATTGCGTGAGCCTCAACAGCAATTCGTGTCAGAAACTTGATAAGCTGCAGGGAAGCCTAGCTCCATAGGGCCTCTTTCTCTACGACTCTTGCGACGATCGTGTTCTGCGATGATAGTGTTCTGCGACAGCCCTCTCATATTTATTTTATCTCATCACGATTCTTCCTTTGATGGTGGTACTTGAGCTTCAAAGAAAGAACAGTGGGGTGCACCTTGCGTTCTAGGGGCTCTCTCTAGCCTTTCTTTCACAGCGTCCAGCATTGGCCCGATAGCCTGTGGTTAGCTGGAGTTAGCAACCGCCCTCTTCATGGCTTCACCGCATATCCCTCGAACTCCTAGGTCTTCTGCCATCAGTCACTTTCGGCAGTGTGAATCTAAAGGTAGTCCAGTGAAAAAGGATGGCATATCGTTCTCTGTAGCACTGGCACGCTTCCTTACACACCTATTCACATTTTGGCGTCCTGGGCAGGTAACCGGCGCAATGAAAGTCTGATATAAAGCCTTACACCCAAAAATGTACCTTATTAAATGCATTCTGTGTAAATTTGCAATTTGCACATAGGATCCGCGTAGTTGTTATGGCGAACCCAGACAGGCAAAGCGAAATGACCTGTTTCGCTTCGAGACACACTGCGACTTAAAATTTGCGGTCTTTATGCCTTCCGTGCAGATATGACCTTGTTAAAATATTTACCTCGTGTATTGTGAGAAACCAATTCGTATTCTTTTTGAATGGCCTGACTATTCACAGCCGTATCCAAGCACTACACTCATTGCATGCAGCGAGGAACACAGCGGCTAGCCATCTGGACGCCGTCTTTTCCGTGTTGTGTATTTGTACAGATATGATATTCGAAGCAATGTCTATCATTGCTATGAAGGAGCTCTAGTCCTCTGTAATCCACCCGTTTTTGAGGGAAACCAGCTCAGGAGGGTGACTCAGTGGCGGAGCGTGTCTCCCCTCGGTCCTTTTGCCTTCCTTCCTTCACTCTAAATTTTCTTTGGATAGCTGCACTCTTTGATAAGATCTGTTCCTGATGAAGACTAGGGAGGTTTGCAAAAGGCCCGGCAGTTCCCGAATGTCGGCTGCCCGCGGTACGGCTTGTGCAGTTTTTCCTTCTGTGCTAGACTACCTATAGCATCTCCTCTATTTTGTTTCCCTGGATTCAGAACTCCGGATCCCTACTTCTGCTACTTCCTTCGGCGGTTGTGCGGTCCCATGGTGGCTGTACACCAGACATCGTCCCTTGTCCGCACAATGCACTAGCACCTTCAGTTTGCACTTTGCGGAAGGCGCTGTAATAGGCCACACCCATTTGTTTCCAAAACAAAGGATAAATGGGGGCTAACCAATCGCTGCAGCACTTGAGGGGCCGAGAGGTGCCTTCTGCCAGTCTCTCGCGGATCAAGGGAACCCAAACAGAAACGAAGGCTTCTCAGACCCACACAACACTCATTAGTTACGTGACTCAACAGGTTCAAGAAAGCGTCATTAAGGTGAGGCAATTGCTGATGTTTGCAGCGGTGAGCCCTTAACTCAGTTACTGGGCAGCCGTAATCGATTCGCGATGGATCGCGTATTATGTTTGTCTGTATCTGTGTAGAACAGTATTTACAATCCTGAGAGCATGCATATACTCTTCCCTATATAAATGCAACTGCTCAGGATTATATATCTGGATAGGTTGGCTCTCTGGTACAGCGGACGATAGTTCGGCTTGCTTCTGTTGAGCTGTGATCGAGCCTTTTGGCGAGAAGCACAGTTCTTGCACACGACTGAAGGCAAGCAATCCAGTGCATGCGAACATGCTCGCTGTATTGCTTTCTTGACGATATGATTAACAGCGTGTGTCCCGTTATTGTGTATGCAGTATACAAGCCGGCTGATGAATGATAACATCGGGAATGCATACAACTTTGATTTCGTGTTCCTTCGGAGAGAAAATGCAGGAAGAGTGTGCAGAGTGACGTGCAGGCGCAGCGGACGCAAAGCGGAGGTTCTTTTGAAGCGGAAGCACCTTGAGGATCCTTCTCAGTTGGAATCTATAAAGAAGGAAGTAGAGATTTGGCTCTCCCTAGACCATCCTCACATTGCCAGGCACGTCATTTCAGTTTTAAATTGTGCTGAAGAAGGCTCCTACACACGCACTGTGTTGCCGCCCTTGGTCTTCCACAGAGCTTGAAATTGAGTAAATACTCTGCGAATCGCATGCTTCTGAGCTGCCTGCACACATGTGAAGAAAGCAGGCTTGCAACCGAATCTCTCCAGATACGACCATTCGGCACTTCGAGCGGCTGCTGTGGGGATCGCGGTACTAAATCGCCTTCCTTGGCCGTTAGTGGCGTGTGTTTATCGAGGACGGCAGTTGTGCTTGTGCCTGTGGCTGTGCAGGTTGTTGGATGTTTTCGAAGATGAAAGCGGGGTCTACCTGGTATCAGAGTTCTGCCCAGGTGAGAAGGCCTGTTCAGATGGCGAAGAATGGCGAGGCACTCGGTTGCACTTTGCGCGCTGTGCAGCTTCGGGAGAAACTGGGGGGCACGAAATCCTCACCTTGTTTAGTGTGAAGCCACCGATTCGATTTGGGGGGTGACGGAGCTCGCATGCGCCACAGGGGGCTCGCTGTATGATTACTTGGCTTCGCTGCAAAAGTGTCCGGAGGAGGTGTCTAGACAGCTGGTTCTACAGGTAGGTGACTGGTTTCTCAGTGCAGTAGCGGGTTCTTGACGAGGTACTCAGGAGTTGGCATGCAGATTCTACTTAAGAGCATGCAGATTCTACTCAAGAGCATGCAGATTCTACTTAAGAGCATGCAGAGCTGCTGCATTACTCTACGTCTTCGCCGGGGTGTTGCCGCCTGCTGCAGATGGTAAAGGCGATTGGCTTTCTCCAAGGACGCGGGATAGTCCACCGTGATCTCCGCCTCGAGAGTTGGCAGCTGACGAATTCCGGCGATCTCTCCTGCCTGAAGCTTTACGGCCTGAGTCACTGCACGCGCTGGCGCAATAAGGAGGGCCGTCTAAACGCAGCCTGTGGCATTCTAATATACACCAGTCCCGGTAAGCTGCTCGGCAAGTCGCCGCCATGCGCATGCACAGCGAGAAGGCTCAGCTGCGGGGCCCTAGGCGCATTCGTGCGGACCGCTGCGCTACCAGGGGGCGGTGGTGTGTGTGCGTAAGAGGCACATCTCCTCGCGACGGAGACAGGCTTCGATGTCTGCCCGCTGCGTATGCACCTGGGAGCGCTAATGAAGGGCTGCCTTCACCGTCATCGTCATCTTCGAGTGTCTCCACTGGGGAGCCTGTCTGCTCGGCACTCTGCAGATGTCCTTTTGGGACGCTACACCGAGGCTTGCGACATGTGGTCTTTGGGTGTTATTGGTGCGTTGGTGTAAACACCACTGCCGCTGAAATCGCCAGCTGAGCTGGTCACTGCAGAGTGCACTGCTCTTCGGGTCGTACGTGTGCAGCGTCTACCAGCATGCAGCAGCCATTCTCTAGGCAGGCAAAGCAGGCTTTCGAGAAGCTGATGAACAGTGTATACCGGCGAGAGTCCTCGCATCGACTTTCACGGCTTCGAACGATGCATGACTGTGGCTCATGAGCGACGTTGGGTGGAAAGCGCCTTCGTGCACTTGCACTGTTATGCCTGCCCCGCAGCCTACCAGCTCCTTTGTGGGCGACCTCCTTTCCAAGGTTCGCGGCAGGACATAATCCGCCAGATCCTCTCTGGTGCAGTCAACATGCAGCACCTTGAGTAAGCTCTGAGTGCGGAGAACACACAGGATCCTCTACCCTAGTCATCACATCGTTTGCTCCGGCAGGCCCTCTTTGCAGGCCTTGCCCATCGTCTGTGCTGCTTCTGGATTTCGTAGAAAAGCGGGAGTATCCGAGGAGGCGAGTTCCTTCGTGATGCAGCTGCTAACCATTAGTCCACAGTAAGGCTTCTTGGAGGGAGGGGAGGGCGTCTTCTTCTTCAGTTAGCGTTCATATAAAATACATATAGTGTATGTTACATATAACGCATGTACGCACACCTTACCTCCTTGCGTTTGCTGTGCATACGTTTCTCTCCGCAGCACTCGCCTCACCCCCCAACAGGCCTTGGAACACGTAAAATGTTGCTCTTCACCAACTAGGCACAGTCTCAGACTTTTAGAGCGATTTCTTTGGCACTTTGGGGGGACTCTAATGAATCAAAAACGCCTCCTTCAGGAGTTGCACAGTATTACAGGGGATAGCGCCTAGCAGGCGATTTGGGGCGATTTCTGTGTGTCTGTTGTAAATATTTGCAGCCTTGGCTCTTCGGGCAGATGCACGCCTACCAGTGCTTGCCCCCTGCATGCGTTGCAGGGTGAGCTCACAGGCCTTACAGGGCTGACACGAACGGGAAACTCATGCACGTGGGAGGCTAGCAATCCATGGACGCTGTTGAGTTTGCAGTGTGCGCGTCGGTTGGCAAAATCCGAACGTAACGAGGCGTGGCAATTGAAGGACGTGTTGCTGCTGCCTAGAGCCAATGTGCACTTCAGCAGGTCAAATCCGTGCATATATATATACATATGAACACACGTCTTCCTGGACCGGTGCGGTTGCTGCTGCGGTATCCTTAGGCTTCGGTGGTTTGCAAACAGTGGCGCCTTGCGTCGCGCATCGCTCTTGATGTGCGCGTATTGTCTGAACTCTGATCAATGCGAATGTAAGGCATCGCCAAAGTTGACACCTCCATTTTCCCTGCCGCGTCTGATCTTTTGTAAGACAAGGTCTCTTTTCTCTCTCTCTCTCGCTCGCTCTTTATCGCTCTCCCTCTTTATCTCTCTCACATGCTAAGTGTGTAAGAAGCCCCCGTTCGAGTGGCTATCAAGGAATCTCGGGAAAAGCAGTCAATCAGGTTGCTTGATTAGACTCTCTGTGATGGCAATTTACTCGGAGCACACGCCTAAGTCAACATCATGAGCGCTCACTCTCTCCCCTTGCCTCAAGGCAGCGCAGTGGAGGAGGCGCCATGTGTAGGCGTGTAGGCCTGCATTCGGGAGCAGTGCATTTACACAACTTGTATCCCTTTTATTCTGTCCCTTTCTTGCTCAGCTGTGGGGAAGCTGTTTGCGGCAGCATCCCACTCCAGCTCCGGATGCCTCACACTAGAAGACCTGAGGAGGACGCTCCAGAGAGCGCAGCTGGAGCCGCTTGTAGACGAAGAGGTATTGGATTTCCGATGTGTCTGAACATCTTCTGATTTTTTAGTTCGCGGTGAAGTTCAGCCTCGATATCTGCCATGTTGCATCACACTAGCAGTGGGAGTATGTAGCACGCACATGCGCCTTGATGCCGTGAATACCAAGAGCACGTAGATGTTTAGGACTGGGTAATCGGTTCATTGCTTGCGTATGTGCTGATGCTAATGTGCGGCATTTGGGATCGGGCAGGAGGGCCTCTCCTGACATCAACAAGGAGGGAGTGCAGTGTGTTTCTTGCCACCGACTCGCGCTTCTTCTGCAGTGGCAGATGGCATCGGCTGGAATGCTTCCGTTGTCGAGTTTCGTGCGTGACCAGGTAGAAGAAATATTTGAGGCCCTGGATATCAGCAAAGACTCAGAGATTACGTTTTCAGGTGAGTGGGCATGAGGCGGTTTGGATAGCGAAAAGGGTGTTGTGTTCTTCAGAAATCAACTTTAGCCTGCGAGATGTGGCAGTCAATGGACGGCGTCTCCACGCACGTTCAGATGCTCTTTTCCGCTTCGTCTGTATCGTAACAACAGAACTGCATGGCAGCGGTGTGCTTGCAAGTCCACTGACCTCCGACGGCCTCGTTCACGAAGACTGAATAACGCATGTGCTGCGAAGTCTGTGAGCTATGTGCTATGCCTGTTGGTGCTGCGATGACCCTTGCATGCATGGGCGACTCAGTATTCGCCGCTGCACAGATCGGTTCCTTAATCGAGCCGGAGGAATCTCTGTTAAAAGCGGCGTTCGCCAAGTTGGATGCTGACCGCGATGGTAGGGGAAATACACGTCGAGGTGGCTCTCGTCGAGGAATTACAATGAAATTTGAGGGGCCCCTGGGGCCGTCACCGCTCATTTTACGATTCAGCAGGAAGGGACGATATTGCAGTAGTAGACAAATCCCATTCGATTTGCGTAGCGAGTCGGCACGCGTGCAACGGCGTGATGTATGTTGCGTTTCGCTCCTCCCCTTTGGCCGCAGGGCGACTCTCCCTTGATGACTGCCGCAGGGCACTCGGAGACCCCCTATTTAGCCAGAGCATCGCGTCTGCTTTATCTCAGGAAGAGGACGAAGATGGACACCTTTGTGCGCTCTGGCTCCTGCCTACGGAAGCAGCTAATCCGCTTCGCGTGTCTAGCCACATATTTTATTGACCCTTCGAGGGAGCAGCCACACGATCATGCGGTTATATTTCGAATCCTCTATGAGTAGCACAGGCGAGCTCTTATTTGTGCTTCGTCTTGCCTTCCGGATGCTCACAGCCTACTCGAGTTTTGCCGCACTGATCCGCGAGAAGGACAAGCCTCCTCCGCACCGCGACTTCCGGTCTCGGTGCGTCGTTGCTTCCCTCGTCAAAGTCTGAATCGCTGCGTTCAAAAATCAGCGAAACAGCGTCGAACTGCTGTCGTTTCGGTGTATTCTAATGAGTCTGTGTAGACAGTAAGGAAGGCTCGCTTTCTGGAAAGCTCATGCATGCATGCATGCATGCTGCATGATGAACGAGCTAGGGCGGCAACAAGCCCTGCGGAGATCGAGGTCAATGCGTTTGCACTGAATTACGGGTACGCTCCCGTGGTGTTTCTGGATTTGCTTGCGGTACTGCAGCCTGAATTTCGAAAGCGGTCGCGACGTTCGATCCCCTGTCAGTGGCCGTTCTCCACAGGATCTCCCAATAAGCAAACGCGCGAGTGTCCATACAAGTGCCGACCTACAGTCTGCTGGAGCATTCTGCTCCAAACTGCACCACAATTCTTTTCCGCAACCAACCTCAGTGGGTGCGTCGTTTCTACATACACAGATCGCCGCGCAGAGCGATGAGGGAAACCAGCGGCACAGCGGGTTGCTCCGCACTGAAGGACCAAGGCTAACGACTGCACCAGCACGAGTCGCTTCTGGTCCCCCTGCTGTCTAACGCGAGCCTTCTGGCTCTTAGTGAAAGCAGGCTGCGGTGTCGCAAGGCTCAAAATTGCCCGCGTAAGGCTGGAGTGCATTGATGCCAGCCCCCGTTGCTTGTACTTCTTGGCTATGCTCCCTGGTCATGTGGCCAGTTGCCAGATCTTCGACGCAGACGAACGAAAACGAGTTCACGGGGATGCTCTTTGCTGCTCTTTCTTGCCACTGCACAGCGCGCCAGTCCTGTATTTGCCATATGATGCGTTATTACGGATCAGACAATGGTTGCTCACACACCAAATCTACTGCAGGAAAAACCCGCTTCAGCTTTTACTGGCTCACATAGTTTAAAATCTGTCAAAAATATTGGTCCAAGCAACTGAGCCTTACCTTGCATTGGGAGTTCAAAGTTTTTGCTCCGCTTCGCTTATTCTTATCTACCTTTCTAACTGCAGAGTACAGTGCTGAATGGTCCTTGGCACCCGTCCAGGTGCACAGCAAACTAGCGCAAGCCTCAGCAGGGCACACCTGGGCCCATGTGAGGCCAACTTTGTCCTCACACAGATAGCTGCCACTAGAATAATTAGCACTCCACTGGAAACTGTGTGAGGCTTGAGTGAAAGACTTGCTTTTCGAATGTCATTTGCTCTGAAGCAGGGATTTCTCCACGATTTGCTGACATATCCTGCATGCTTGTAATTGGGCATTTAGTGGCTGTATGCGACTGTGTGGTACTGTTTGGCCTGCCGAAAGGGTGTAGTACTTGCACCCTGGCTGTCGAATAGCAGGAAACCTGTTCGCTGAGGGTAACTGAAACGCCTCATCAGAGGTGCCCGTAGGGGAACATTTTCCTTCAGACTCTGCACACGCTTGATAGAAACCTCCCGAGTGGTTTCCAAAAGGGCATGCTTTTCACTGCTTGTGCCCTTCACAGTTTCCAACAAAGGGGGAGAAGAAAAGCTACGGATCGCGTAATGCACAAACTCCGAGCACTCGGAGTATTCACAGCTAGCTGCACACCGCCTGTAGAATTTATGCACAAAAGATTGTGTCTTCGTGTATTGAGCTAGTAGCACACTGCAATGAACAACATATATGAACCGAGGACCCCGAAGTCAATTAGTGGCACTCAGCCCTTTACAGCTAGACACTGCAGCTAAAGGTTTCGGAATAGTACACATTTCTTTGAAAAAGTCCAACCGCTTAAGCGTTTGGTGGTAATCTTTCGATGGAGATCCTGAAGGGAGGGTACCGCCGTGGAGGCGTCTCTGTTGCATTTGGAGGCACACTTGTACAGACAGTTTACGGCAAAGGGGGCATACTGGTAGTACACCTAGACAAAAAACTGAGATAGCCCAAGAACCCTGTATGTATACACCGATATGGCATTCTTGCACTGGTGGATTATCTGCGTTTCCTACTTAAATCAGTTTCGTAAGTGGGCAGAGCAAATATTATCACGAGCACATTACGAGATCTGACGAGAAAAATAGCAAAATGTAGGCCACCCCAGACATAAGAGCTTTTGAGCCAAATAAAACCTGGTTTCGTTGATGTGGGTGCATCACCAAATGTCGATAATTTGCAATTTGTGGGGTGGTGAATACGATGATGCAACACTTCGATGGAACCGAGCTAACGATGAGACAGTTGGGGAAATATGCAATGAAATCAAGCCGATGGGCACTGTGAAAGCATTGTATCATACTTGATGCCCCAAATCCTGACTATTAGCACAAATCAATAGACAGTTGCCGGTAGTTGGCAATACCTTCCGGTTCGCCAGACCCCTGGTCTTTATCGTCCTAGGTCTATTGCTACACGACATTACAAGAGCATCAACGTGAAGGCGATGCATACTCATTTTGTAGAAGCTTGAATACCTACGTTTCCTAGAGCACAGATTGAAAGGAAGTGCGCGGGTTTCGCATGAGATCCCCCAGCAATTTTCTTGCCGAGGCTACGCAAAAATTCAAGTATTTCTTAATATATTCCAAATTCTAATCTGCGTTGGACACTGCTAAGACAGTATTTCTTTTTAATGTGCCTTTTTGATGCTAACTGGATGCATGCACAGTGGCCAAATACGAAAGGCAGGGCAGATTGCATTCCGCTTTGTGCGGGGCGTATCGAATCCTCTGTGCATCTGCAGCGGCACATTAATATTGCACACCTTAGGATTGCGCCTTGGAATATCGGTCCTTACCTGTTGGTTGCACGGGAATACTACCTGTACAGAATGTCTTGGAAACTTGGTTTGCTTTACGAAACTTCAAATCCGCCATCGTTTTCAGCATCGAAGCTGATCTATCAGCAAATCATAACTGTGTTACACAAAAGGAAGACTTCTGCATCAACGCTAAAGGATCTTTATCGGTCGTCTCCTGTTCTGCCGAACACAAAGCTGTAGAGTTCTTTTCTCGTTTAAGATGCTAGACCATACCACCTACGCAGCTGCAGTGATTGAATTGCGGAGGGATTATCTGCTGCAGCGTTTGCAGTGTAGTGTCCCCACCGATGCGGAATTTCGCAATAGTTGCCAGAGAGTCTATGTAGATGAAAGACGGGAAGGGCTGACTCTACGCTGCAGGAAAATTGAATATTGCATTTGCTGTGTTCGAGAGGACCAATTTCTTGGAGGTTTGCGGGGAGTTCCTAGTACGAGGTTCTGGTTTGAGCGCTGCTGCACCATAGCCTGCTTTGCGCATTGTGGCTTTGCACTCTATGTATTTGACAGGGCATGGCGATAGAGACTCGGAGACGTCTCATTATGAGACTCCCACTCATGTTTTGCAAATGGAGGGATGCGGTGGTGTGTGCTTCTGGCACTGGGTGCAGCTGGCCGACAAGGACAGACGGGGAAGGTGTAACGCTCCAGCAAGCCTATGTGCCTGTTTGTAAAGCAGACGCGCATGGTTGAGGAACGTACAGCTGAATGTTCAGCTTGTTACTAGCCCAGGCAGCAGCATTCTATGATAAATCTATGATGGTGGCTCGCACATTGGGGCCCTGCTGCTCATGCACCACTGCATGTGGAAACTGGGAGCTGCCGCAACTCAATTTGCCAACCAGGTAGGCGGGGACCTCCGGGGGGCAAATGGAAAATCTGAGAATACAAAGGAGGGTTTATGGCAAGGTGGTTTCAAAAGAGCTCGCAACAGCAACAGCGCAAAGCTCGGACGAGAAGTCTGAGCTAGTCGCGTGGGGGACCGATACTGGGTGGCTGGTGCACAGACAGCTCGTGAAGAGCGCCTGTGGAAGCGGAAATTCCTTGAGGCCCTTCTGCTGTAGAAGAACCTCGCAGCATTTCGTTCTCATCAGCCCTTCGCCGCTTGCAGCGCACAGGGCACTGCTGCCACTGAGGCGGATCGGTGCTGAACTCGGCAACTGCCTCACTCGTGTAGCCGCAGCCACGCTTCTTGCCTGTTGGATTCGCTGCGTTCTGCTGCGGGTGTGTCTCTTGCAGCTGAGCCTCGTGCAGCGCAGACAGCAGCCCAGTAAACCTCTTTCGGATAGCCTCGTTCCGTCTCAGGTGCTCTGCAGTCATTTGCTCACCTTTCGACCTCGCTACTGCCTCGGCTGCCGCTTGTTGCAGTGTGAGAGCCACAGAGGTGAGGGAAGCCACCAGCATATCTCTCTGTCGCTTGCGCTGGAAGCTGCCCCTCCGCAAGCCCAGAGCCTGTTCATCTGCGTTCCACACCTTTCGAGCAGTTTCCGCGTGTGCTGCCGCCGCATGCAGCATCAGTTCTGCTGCTGTAGATGGGATTTTCGCTGTGGCGGTTCCCCCCCCCAATGTGTGCTCCTCCCATGCAGAGCCGCTGAAATTGCTGAACCTGAGTGCCTCCTTCGTGGGAGAGGCGTCTGGATGTAGGATCGCGGAAGACGAGGCAGGGCTGTCAGCTTCTGAGACTTGCTGCTGAAATCGCGGTGTCTCGGTGATCGTGCTCGTAGACTTCTGGCTGGCGCTTGTTAAGCGAGTCAGATCCTGGTGGTGCTGCTGCTGCAACAGCGCCGACCCCACATGGCAGCAGCACACTGCCTTCAAGTAAGACATCTCCGCTACCATCCGAGGCTCCCATCGCTCCACCAGATGGTGCTGCTGCAACAGCCGCTGCAGCAGCGGCAGCATCTGTATGGCCCTAGCAAACCGCCGCAGCAGCAATTCCACCATTGCAACTCGCAGCTGGAGCTGCATGTACAGTGTAGAGTTATGATGCAGCAAAGCCGCCGTCGCTTCTCTCTGCAGCTGCGCAAGCAGCTCGACACCCATGCTGCTGCCAATGCTGCTGGCACCCATGCTCGTTAGAGCATCAAGCTGCAGATCCAGTTGGAGCAGCAGCAGCACTTCTCTTTGGAAGGCTCCCTGGAAGCCGCACATGCATCCAGGAGCATCGGCGTCTACCGAGGCAACGACAAGCGCGGAAGGTTGCCGTTCTGGCCCCTTCGTGCAGCAGCAGCAGCGAAGCAGCCGCTGCAAGTGGAGCAGCGGCAGCTGCAGCTGCTGTGCTGCAGCAAGCAGCACGCTCTCCTTCAGCAGCAGCGCTCTAGAAGCGCATGGCGATGCAGCAGCAGCGGCAGCAGCAAACATTGGAGTCTCCATCCAGCCTCCGGATAGGATGGACCCTGGATACTCCCCGACAGCAGCAGCTGCAGCTGCTTGTGTCAGTGCGAACTCTCCGTCTGCGGCGGCTTTGTGCAGCCACAAAATCTGCATGTACACTTCTCTTTGGAAGGCAGACAAAAAATCCATGGTTTGCTGGGAAGGCGCCACAGCTGCTCCTGACGACGATGTCGGCGGCACGTGGGGTCCTATGGCATACAGCGGTGCATGGCTGCTGCTCCCGCAGCGGACTGCAGCAGCTTGTGCTGCAGAGAAAAGACTCCAGAGTCTGCTGGCGTGGTGTCTAGGGGCGAAGAGAGGCAGAGCCGAGCTCAAGACTTCCGACGGCAGCAGCTGCGGGCAGCTGCTGCTTGCCTGAAGCAGCAGCAGCAAAGCGGCTGCAGCCATGGCAGCGTCTAAGCCTGCGAGTGGCGCTGCACTCCCCAGCAAGTCCACCTCCGTTGAGACAGTCGGAAGGCCGCTCATTCCGTCACGGCAGCTGGTGCAGCAGAAGCCGCTTTCGTCGGCGATGGGGGTAGAGCTGCTGCTGCAGGTGTTACTCGCGCATTCTGTGCAGACTTCGCTGCCGACACTCCCCCCCCACGGCCAGACGAGCGAAGTCACTGTGTGTCGCAGCAACTGCAGCAGAAGAGGTCGCAGTTGCTGCACGGCGGCTGCAGGGGGGCGCTGCTGCGGGCGGCACCATCTTCCTACCAGCACGTAGCAGCGCAAGAGCAGAACCTTGGTGCGCAGCTTGGCAGCAAGATGCTGCTGTTGGTGACGGCCGAAGAGCGCGTCTTTCAGCGGATCCCCCGGAATCGCTTCTCCCTCAGGAGCACTTCTCGTCGCACTGCGGGGGGTGCTGCCGCTTCCGCTGCTGCGTCTGCGCAAGACAGCGCCAGCTGAGCACACAAGCGCCATGAGACGCGCGCATGCATCCGAGATTTCCAGGAAGCAAGTGACTCTTTCGGAGGCGGCAGCCACAGCCGCGCCTGCTGCCGTCGCAGCTGCGCGCGGAGTGCAGCGCTGCAAAAGCGGCCGCCGCTGCACGCGCAAGGGGTCTGCGAGGAGTGGTGCCTCGAGCCGAAAGTCGGATGCCTCGGGAGCCTCTGCTCGGTGGGGTTCTTGGGGAGAGCCTGATGAGGCTCTCGCGCCGAGCGGTTTGCGCAGCTGGTAGCCAGGTGCAAGGAGTCGCGCGTTGGAGACTGCTTTCGCGTCGGGCGAGGCGTCCAGACGCTTCGTGCAGCCTGCAAGCCGGAAGGGGTCTGCTGCATCTGCAGTCGCCAGGAGCAGTCCTGCTGCTGCCGCAGCAGCAGCGGCGTCTGCAGCTGCTGCTCCGGCAGCTGCAGCGGCAGCCGCTTGGTGCCTCGAGAGCTCCCTGAAAGGCAAGGAAGAGCCCTCGTTCCTGCGGAGACTGCCGAAAGGTAGACCACGCATGGAGGCGCATGCATGCGCCTCGCCGTTTCCGCCGGGGGTCGATGTCGCTGCTGGGGCTGCAGAAGGCACTTCTGGCAGCTGCGAAGCGGCTGCCAGGGGGATCCAGCTCGCAGCCTGCTGCTCTCGGGGCTGGGGGGGCTGCAGATTTCGCGCGAGGCGATGTCGCAGTTCCTCCAGATGCCGCATGCAACCCTGCAACTGCTGCACCAGCGGCGTGGACGGCCTTGTCTGTTGCCGTTGCTGCTGCGGCGAAATGGGGTCCTCTTCTTCCTCTCGCTGCTCTTCTTCCTCTGGCTGCTCTTCTTCCTCTCGCTGCTCTTTGTGCCCTCGTTGCTGCTGTCGCTGCTCTGCTCCGTAGGCGGCGAGGTCGAGCTGGACGCCGTGGACGGCTTCTTTCAGCGACTGCAGGAGCCGCGTGGGGTCTGTCGCAAGCTGCCTTACCAGGTGAGGCTGACTGTTCAACAGCAGCGCAAGATGGAGGGAAACCGTTGCAACAGCATTCAGAGAAAGAAGCAAAGGCCACTGCAGCTTGCCCCTTTGCAGAGACAAAAATATTCCTGTGGAAGTCTCTGCCGCTGCCGCTGGTGTACACCGCGACTGCCCGCAGCCAGCAGCAGCAGCAGCTGCTGCTGCTGCTCTTGCTGCCGTAGCTGCTGCTCTTTGGCTGGCTGCAGTGTTCGCGGCTGCGCACAATCCAAATGCCCCCCCCCCGCAGCTCGACGCGGCTGCGCCTGCTGCAACTCTCGGAGTCGCTACACTGAAACCTTGGGGCAGAGCTGCTGCCGCCTCTGGAAAGCCTCCTGTAAGCTCCAGCAACACGACTGCATGTCGCAAAGCGAGAAGCAGCAGCTGCAAAGCAGCGTAGTGATTGCGACTCCCAAGTTGCAGCAAGGCAGCAGCCAGAGCCAGCGAGCAAGCAGCACCGCTGCCGTCACTTCCTTGCACCATTTTGCTGCAAACAAAAAAGGTCATACGCACTAAATTACACTTAACCAAACACACACACACACATACACATGACTCGCACTAGACACGTGTTGCAGCAAGCTCCTACAGCCGCCCCTTCAAGTCTTTGCTGATGGGCAATCCTTGGCGTTATCCTTCCTCTCTCTCTCTCCATTCCTCTACCTCTCTCTCTTTCTCTAGTCCTCTTTCTCTCCCTCTCTATCCGTCTCTCTTCATTCCTCTTTCTCTCTCTCTCTCTATCCGTCTCTCTCTAGTCCTCTTTCTCTCTATCCGTCTCTCTCTAGTCCTCTTTCTCTCTCTCTCTATCCGTCTCTCTCTAGTCCTCTTTCTCTCTCTCTCTATCCGTCTCTCTCTAGTCCTCTTTCTCTCTCTCTCTATCCGTCTCTCTCTAGTCCTCTTTCTCTCTCTCTATCCGTCTCTCTCTATTCCTCTTTCTCTCTCTCTCTCTATCCGTCTCTCTCTATTCCTCTTTCTCTCTCTCTCTATCCGTCTCTCTCTAGTCCTCTTTCTCTCTCTCTCTCTATCCGTCTCTCTCTATTCCTCTTTCTCTATCCCTATCCCTCTCTCTCTCCCTCTCTCTATCCTTCTTCTCCCTCTTTCTCTCTTCAACGACCAGAAAGAGCGTGGCGAACGCTGCAGCCACACACGGGCAGCACCTCCCGATAGCAGCAGCGACTTTCTGCTTACCCTGCGGCAAGCGCAGCCTCCTCCAAACGCCCCATACGCAGCAAGACGGCGAACGCATTCATATGGATTTGCTGCTGCAAGGAAACAGCCATCTGCTTCTCACGGCTGCTGTTGGTGCCGCCGTCGTTGCCGCTAGGAGAGCTGCTGCTGTCGGCTGCATGCGGAAGACTGTGCAGTGCTACCGGCAGCAAGCCTGCAGCAGGCGCAGTTGCAGCACTCTGAAGGCCAAGCGATAGCCATGCAGGTTCTGCAGCTTTTATCGCTGCCTCCACGAGATCAGAAGACCATTGGGTTCCTCCAGCGACGGCTGCAGCCGCTGCAGCCGTGGCTGCTGCTGTCAGTTCGAGCTCGTTGGCGAGCTCTAGCGCCTCTTCGCCTCCCCCATGCTCGAGCAACAGGCGTTGATGCATCAAAGCAGACGGACAGCAACGGCCAGATTCCTCTTCACGACGCTCCATTTGCCGTCGCTGCAGCTCTTTCAGCAGCTCGAGGCTGTCGTGAAATGGTAATCCGTGAGACAGCCAAATCGATAGCACATCTCCGCCTCCCGGCTGCAGCGGTCATCAAACAGTACAAATGCGCTTTGAAAGTATGTATGTGTATAGGTATGTATAAAATATACGGATATATATTATACTTCATTTAGGAATCATAAATGTTGACAGGAGGCGATGGTTGTCTATCCTCACTCTGTGCGTATGTGAATGTGTATGTGTATTTAAATGTGAATGTGAATGTGTATGTGAATGTGTATTTAAATGTGAATGTGCATGTGTATGTGTATTTAAATGTGAATGTGCATGTGTATTTAAATGTGAATGTGCATGTGCATGTGTATTTAAATGTGTATGTGTATGTGTATTTAAATGTGAATGTGAATGTGCATGTGTATTTAAAAGTGAATGTGAATGTGTATGTGAATGTGCATTTAAAAGTGAATGTGTATTTAAATGTGAATGTGCATGTGTATTTAAAAGTGAATGTGAATGTGTATGTGAATGTGTATTTAAATGTGAATGTGTATGTGAATGTGTATTTAAAAGTGAATGTGCATGTGTATGTGTATTTAAATGTGAATGTGAATGTGTATTTAAATGTGAATGTGTATTTAAATGTGAATGTGCATGTGCATGTGTATTTAAATGTGTATGTGTATGTGTATTTAAATGTGAATGTGAATGTGCATGTGTATTTAAAAGTGAATGTGAATGTGTCTTTAAATGTGAATGTGTATTTAAATGTGAATGTGTATTTAAATGTGAATGTGCATGTGTATGTGTATTTAAATGTGCATGTGTATGTGTACGTGTATGTGTTGTGAATGTGAATTGGGGAGGAGGGGTCAGTGGACATCCGAGGCGCAAATGGATGTCGAGACAGCCGCACGGCAGGACCATAAGAAGTTGGGGAGGATTCTGACCTCTTTCGCCACTTTGCTGCACTGCGTTGCGATAGTTTGGTAGCTCGAAGCATCGAAGCTGCAGCAGCAGCAGCTGCAGTGGCGGCATCTCACGTTAGCAGGGTCCATAACCTGATGGACGAGGCGCAAGCGGCACTTCTGCTGATCATGGCTGCTCCACGAGGCAGCGTTGATGCAGCGAACGCAAGGGGAGATGACGGTTGCCATGTCGAGCAGCTGCTGCATCCCATCAGCAGTCTCTGCAAGCTGCTCTGTTGTAGCGTGTTGCTGTTGCATCGTTGATCCTGCAGCTTGAGCGGCAGCTGCTGCCATCCGCCTGCTGCCGTGGCTAAAAAGATTTGCAGTGGTGCGCATGGGGAGGCTGGTTATGCAGTTGCAATCCTCTAGACCGAGTGCTGCCCTTAGACAGCAGCTGCTGGCGCTGATGGTAATACCACAACATTGGCGTTTAAATTCCGGCTGCAAGTGCAAGTGCTGCAAGTGCAAGTGCTGCAAGTGCTGCTGTTGCAGCTGTTGCAGGGTGTGCTGCCACGGAAATGTGGTCTGAAGAGGCGCTTTGAGAAAGCCTCATGTCCACTCCATGATGGTGTGAGGGTTTCGCCGTTCGCGTTGCCGCTGTCTTGAGTGTTGCCGTAGACCTCCTGCCGACAGTCCTGCTGCACGGAAAGAAGAAAACTCCGTAGTGGAACGCTCGGAGTGTTGACTTTAAGGTTCCTTGTTGCTCCTGCAGAGGGAAATGGGGTGTTGCTACGAAAAACGCGGGGATCTGGCGGCAGCGGGAAGCTGCAGCGGCAGCTGTAACGACAGCTGCAGCAGTTTGTGCAGAGCGGGTGTTGCAGTGCAGTGAGTGGCGGCAAGGACGCGCGCTGTGTCTTCTACTTGCACTCACACACGAGCAGCACACCTAATAGCGCGAAGGAGGCGGTTCTGACGCTTATCTGAGAGGGCTGAGTTTGTTGCGACCGCTGCAGGAGCATCGCTTGCTGCAAGGGAGGTTGTGCTGCGTCTCTCGCAGCTGCCTCCGCAGTCAGACTGGTCGCTTGAATGACAGTTTAAAGCGGTAACGACTTTTGCGGTTGGCGCGGCTCCGCTCAAAAGAACTTGTTACGTCGTTTTCTGTAGGGGCTGTGTGTGGCAAGCATCAGCGGCACATGCGTTGCGGCGCTCAAACGGCCTGGATAATACTCCGTCCTTAGACGCAGTCGAGGCGATAGCAGTGAGAACATTTTTGTGCCTTCTAGGAGGCCGTTCGTTCGAAAGAAGCTCGCGCAACCACGGCAGCCGCAGTATCACAGACCACCGACCCCACCACCATCACCACCATCACCTCGGGCAGCAGCCCTGCGGCTCCGACGCTCTTTCGCTTCGCTGCTGCTGCTGCGCTGCTCGCGCAGAGATATTCCGGCGTTGGCTGATTGTTCCTACGCTTTTTCTTCGGAAACACAAGTTTTTCTGCTGTATCTGAATACGCAAAGGGCTACTTGCCCGAGAGCTTCTCTCCGCAGTCGCCTCTAAACACCCCGCCGCATGCCCGCCCGCCGTCCATACACACCGACACAGAGAGCGAGAGCAGAACGTCTGCAACGGCGAAACAAGGCGCACATGCGATGCCTCCAACACCCTTGGGGTCCTTAGCGGCCACTGAAGGCGCAGCTTTTGAGGCTGCAATGCCAGAAAGTGGACGCATGTCAGACGCTGCCGACGGAGGGGTCCCCCCTCTAACTTTATCGACAGCGATTCTTTGGCCTGAGGAGGGCGCTGTGGATACGAGCCTCTGTCTTCTGGACTTGCAAGTCTGTAAATGCACGAAGCTGGAGGGTCGTGCTGCCGTTTTTGCAGCCTCTGACAGGCGCATCAGCAAGTTTTCTCTGGCCTTCTGTCTGTTGCTGCGCCTCGTGAGGTGTATGTGCTGTGCGCGCCTCCTCTGCACGGCATGTCGATGCCGGACGCAGTCGCAGTTAGTGCGTGTCTGTCTGTGTGTGCGTGCGTTTCTGCAGGGTGAAGCTCTCCTGGCCGTTCAAGAATCTCCTGCAGCCGCTGCAAAGCTCTTGTCCCTTCAATATTCCCCCGAAACAGCAGCTAAGCAGCAGCAGCAGCAGCAGCAGCAGCAGCAGCAGCAGCAGGATTCGAGATGCGAACTTTGGGGCCTCGTGCTGTGGCCGTCTGCTGCTGCTGCTGCCGATGGCAGCAGCGGCTCTTGCGTTCTGCAGGTAGGAGGAGACTGCATACAGGGGAAAGCTGCTCCCTTTAGATCCGCGACTGGATCTGGAGCTCTCGCGGTGCTAAGGAGGGTTCGTCGGCGCCTGCAGCTGGACTTGGCAGGCTGCGAATACACCGCATCCGATGCTGCCGACGGGGGTGCAGAAGAGACAGCCGCGTGGGAGCTTCACGGGGCAGTCGAGACAACTGTCTCCTTCTGCGATCCCCCCACCCTCAATCCCTATAGGGAAGCCTTTGCCGCACAGGCTGCTGGCTTGCCCTCGCAGCAGCAGCCGCACGGCTCGTCAGCAGCTGCGGCTGCCGCTACGGCAGCCGATGGGGCGCAGAGTGACGCCGTGTGGCTTGTCGCCCCCTCTCCCCAGCTGCCGCACATGCAGGGAGCCTGGCAGCTGCTTCAGCTCGACAACTTGCTGCGGGAGGAGCTGCAGCGACACGCGAAACGGCCTGGAAAGCAGCGGCTGCTGCTGCTGAAGGGTCGACCTGCTGCCTTGCCGCCTCCGGCTACATCTGCACAGATGTGGGTAGAAGGCGAGGCGTTGCTCTGCAGCAGCACCAGCAGTTTCCTCGTCTCTCGCAACACAGTCGACGGGGAGATCCTTATTGGCTGCAGAGCCTCAGACAGAGCAGGAGCTTCGGAGGGAGCTGCAGGCATGAGCGTTGATCATGAGGGGTGTTTCGACAACGACACTATCACCCCCGACAGCAGCAGCAGCAGCAAGCGCCGGAACGGCGTGACAGTTGTGGGAGTTTGCCGCTCAGTACTGCAGTTAGAGCGCGTGCGAGGACGCGTATACCAGGTGCACCAGTTGCTGCAGCTGCCACTGCAGCACCTGCTGTCCGTACACCCGGAGGCAGTGCCAAGAGCAGCAGCTGCCGTAGCAAGCCGCACAGTCCTCCCGTCTGCAGTGCTGCTGCAGCAGGTTCAAGCCTCGCCAGCGGAGACAGCAGCAGTGCTGCTAGGCGATCCTCGGCTGTCTTGCGTGCAGCCTTTTGCGCGAGCAGCAGCAGCAGCAGCAAGCCCACCAAGTGTATCGCCACTTCAGAGCGACCAGCAGAAGCAGACGGAGCAGCAGCGTGTCGGGGGATTGCTGCAGCATCTGCCACCCTTGTGGGGATCTCTGCCTCCGTCTTCTTCTTGCGCACTTCTTTACGATCCGCGTGTTAGGGGGTATTTCTCAGCATCTGGCAGCGAACTGCGCAGCTGGATTCTCCGCATCATGGACTGCCTTGCCTTGAGCAGCGGCAGCCTCGGCAGCAGCAGCGGAGGTTTCACAGTTGGTTCGGCTGTTGATGCCCTTGCTGCCTGCTTACGCAAGCACGACTTGAGCATTCCGGGCCTGTGGATTGACACCGGAGCGTCTTCAGAAGTTTCGGAAGATGCTGATGCAAGCTCTCTCGAGAGTGGCGACATCCCCCTCACGCCAGGCTTGTTGCTGCAGCTGCTCCGCTACTTCTGTGACTTGCAGTTTCCCCACCTCTCGAGCAGTGCCTTTCCCACGTGCTTCGGAGACTCTTGCCCGCTGCTGGTGCTGCAGAATGCAGGAGAAAGTGCAGGAGCGTCACATGCGGGAGAGGATCTCGTGGAGATGCTGAGGCGCCTCGAAGAGGTCCTCGACGATCCGCAAGCTGCGCGACAGGCGACTGCAGCAGTCAATCTTCTCAAGCTGCATGCGCTGCTGGCGGAGGAGGTAGCCGAGACTTTGGGCGTGCAGGTGCCGCTGCAGTACGGCGTCTTCTTCGCCGCGTCTGCACCTGTCAGTGTCGTAGACGCGAAGGCATTCTGCGTGGAGCTTGGAAAGCGCTGGCAGCAGCAAGTACCCCTCCGGATCATGCAGTGGGGAACTTCCCATCTAGCCAGCCACGTTGCAGCGTTGCAGTCTGTAGCTCGCGCTATTGTTGCCGCTGAGGGCGAAGAGCAGCAGCAGCAGCAGCAGCAGCAAGCGGTAGATGCTCTTCTGCTTGCAGTTGCTAGCCACGTTCCCCTGGTGGCCCTTTGGCTTCACCTGCAGCAGCTGCAGCAGACACCGGCTGCTGCCCTCTCGGCAGATGCTCTGCTGCACTGCTGCACCTATGGATATCCAGATATGCGCACTGACTTCGCACAGAGTGCGCTGCTGCAGCAAGCGCGGCCTAAGTGTCTTCTGTACCCCAACCGATCCTTGGAGGAAGAAGCTGCTGGGGAAGAGGCAGCCGCAGCCTTTGCTCGCATTATGGGCGCCGCCGCAGTAGCAGCCACAGTCCCCACACGCGACAGTCGGAACCCCACTGCGCTCGAGTCTCTCCTTCCGAATGCGGAAGAAAGGAAGGCTTTTATGCGAGGCATGCTGCTGTCTCCCCTTCGCGGATCCTTTGTCGCCGTGGAGGGCCAGCTTCTGCGACTGCCAACCGCATCGCTGCCACTGACCCTCCGGGAACGTCTCGTTGCGCTGTTTTCTACAAAAACAGTTTGGCGTGAAGAGGAGCTGCAGCCGCTGCTAACAGCCTGCCGGTTCAGCTATGTTCAGAAACAGGTATGTGGTGGAAGGGGCGCAAGACGGCGCGAAGCCGCCTTTTTCTGGCTGTTGGCAACGCTCACCCCAAGCATCCTGCTACGTCCAGCGCTGCCACTGTTTTCTGAAGGGGTGACTCGGGAGCACGCAGGGGCTTCTCCAGGCACGGCATATTAGCGCGCTGAGTGCAGAATTCAATTGCTAGTCGGTGTGCTGCGGCGGATGCTGCTGCAGGATTTGGCTGTGGAATTGGGGGGACCCCCTGCTGGCTACTGTTTCGTGTATCAGACGGAACTGTCTCCCAAATCGAAGGAGCAAGTTACTGCCTATAGGGCGCGAAACGTTCCATTGCCCTACTGGGATCTTGACGAAGATCCGAACTAGCTTCCACCCTGCTTGCCAACGAGCTGCGCAGCGGGGAGCAAGAACGCAATACACCCGAACGCAATACACCCGACACTGTTGCCTTGAGTCTTGCAGTCCACTGCTTCTCCCGCTACACGCACTGCGCTGGGCTTCTCTAAGATGCACCCGGCTCTTGCAGTTTTTATCGTCCACAGCTCTATGCCAAGTCTGTGCTCGATGCGGAAATTTCATACGCAGTCATCAGGCAGTGTCGGCCTTCATCATGATACGAGACAGCCGAGCGGCATTGCGCTCTGGCAGACGCGCTCGGGTGGGGTTGTGCGGCGTAAAGTTTACGTGGGCCTCAACCCCTGGCTAGCAGTCCTCAAACGCATTTGATTTTTAGGTTTAGTGTATCGCAGTTGCGGTGCGTTGCTGCCTTTTTCTGGCGCTGCCATGCTGTTTTGGTACGTGAGAAGGGAGTCCTGAGATCTACGACAGTCCTGAGCTGTAATCAACTGAAAGAATCTCTCTTGTGCTCGCTCTAGGCGGCTAAACCCCTAGGGGTGGGAGCAGCGCGCGGTGTGTGTCTTCCTGTCGAGAAGGAAGCGGCACTCGCGCCAGCTTCACGCGTTGCAAGGGACGGTAGCACTCGGCGGGGGATCAGCGGCTACGAGGAACTTGCAACGGCACAGCCTACGCGTCTGCGCAAGCACTTTCGTCTGCGCTGCCAGGCCTGTACGTGTGGAGGGCGTGTGTCTCTCTGTGTGGGGGTTCGCAGTCTACGCTTTAGGTGAAGGGTGCGCCGTGGAGGGAGTGCCTCCGTGTGTAGAGTGTCTTTAAAAGCGCCAGGAGTCGGGGTGCATGCATAGATATCCTTCTGCGCCTTACGCATGTGAGTGGTGCGCGGGGGGGCGGGGGACGGGGGTTGCTGCCAAGAGGCGCAGAAGGAGCGCCCAATACAAGGCTGTTCAGTGAAAAAGAGACTCCTTGGGGAAACGTTTTCCACTGGCAGATAGTACAGCTCACTGGCAATCCTTACGCAGCAGCTTTCATCCATAGGCCGGCAGATGACCAGTCTCGTGAGGAGGGTCAAGGCGCCGGTTGCTGAAAGTAGCACTTCTCCCGCAGACTTCTGCTGGAAGAAAGCCTTCGAGGCTGCATCCAAACGCTGATTGTCAGTCTTCTTACACGAAGGCATCAAGACTTACCTCCGCTGCAGCGAAAAAGGCCGCGTGTCACCCCACGTGTGCGCTCGAACCAGCGGTGATCGCTAAGAACCGGCTGCGCAAGAAAGCTCTTTTACAGCTTTGCCGGAATCTCCTGGAGCCGTTTTCTTTCTTGCGAGCATATGGACACACTAAGTTGGTTCTTCGTCTTTGACTCTATGGATTTCTTAGAAAAGAACGGCCTTCAGATAAGGGCTGCTGCAGGTTCTTCAGCAGCAGCAGCGCAGCAGCAGCAGCCGCTGCTGCTGCGCTCGAGAAAGAGAGAGTGACCGTTTGTCTGCTTCGTGAAGCCTCTCGCCCCCAAAGGCGGTCTCTTTCGTTGCCTATTATTCTTTATTTTCCACAGACTCGCGGTGCTATCTGAGGCAGCACAATCCATGAAGCCCCCCTGCGCCTGCCCATGAAAATCCGGCCGGTAGCTGCAGCAGCCTGGGCACAGGCAAATGGCATTGCCCCTTCTTCTAACGACCGCTGCTAGACAACGAGCTCCTCCGCACGACGATTCCCCACTGCAACACCAATAGAAAATCGGCTGAACTGGGAGAAGAAAGAAGAGTCTGTTGAGAGACGTCGAAAAAGACTTCTCACGATAGAATCCAGCACGCACGGTCCGCAGCTGCCCTTCGGTTTTTCGCCGCGCGGGGGGGGAGCAGCGGACAAAAGGCACGCGCAGCAGTCAAAGCCTATTACGACACCACTCTATATATGTCTACAGTCGGCAGCAGCGCACATCGCGCAGGCTAGAGAGGAGCTCGAGACACGCTTCAGCAAGGCTCGTGGCTGCAGCAGCAGCAGCCACGTATGGCGAGATCCTAGAGGGCCTCCTTCCTTCGAGACTGCTCCGTGGATGCAGCAGAAACAGCATCCGTAGCCGCTCTGGAGCTTGGTACGGGTGATATATATATACACAGCTCCAAATACTCATGCCCGCACCCGGCAGCAGCAGTCTCGGCTCCAGCCGCAGCGCAGCAAGTACAGTTGCAACGGCCTTCGTAGCCAAGAACGCACTCGGCGCTTTGATCCAGGCGAGCACACGAACGTACAAGAGCACCAAAAGCAGTCATCTAAGAAGGGGGTCCGAAAATTTGCTGCCCCCTCTGCACTTTAGAAGCGCAACTGGAGACCTCTAGGTTGCACTCAGAGGATCCACACCCACCCGGCAGAAGCAGCTGAAGCAGCAGCTGAAGCAGCTGAAGCAGCAGCTGAAGCAGCAGAAGCAGCAGCTGAAGCAGCAGGAGCAGCAGCAGAAGCAGCAGGAGCAGCAGAAGCAGCAGAAGCAGCAGGAGCAGCAGCAGCTAGAAAGGAGCCGGAAGGGGAAAATGAGCATTCCAAGCTCTTCTTCCTTCAGCGTCTCTAGAGGGGCGAGCACAGCTACCGAGCCTGGGAAGCAGCAGCAGCAGCAGCAAGAAGAGCAGCAGCAGAAGCAGCAAGGAAAGCAGCAGCAGCAGCAGCAAGAAAAGCATGAGCAGCAGCAGCAGAAGCGTGCCTCTGCAGGCAGCCCCTCTCCTGTTCCCCCGCTGCTGAGTAATGCTGCCTCCAGGAGCACCGCTTTCGACAGTTTGCCGCCTTACACCGATGTGGTTATTGTGGGAGCAGGACCAACAGGCCTTACGTTAGCGCTGTCTCTTGCACTTCAAGGTGTCTCCTTTGTGCTTCTGGATGCGGCTCCTCATCCGCCTTCCGAAAGCAGAGCGTTGACAGTTCATGCACGGACCCTGGAAATTCTCGAGGTGCCCTATCGCTTAGTTCCTTGCTGCGCCAGAGTTTCCTCCCGTGCCTCGTGGGGTGGCAGCTGCTAAATATCCGCACGCTTCAGCGCACATTTGTTTCCACTCTCCAAGGATCCCTTTATTTCCCTGCTCGTACTTTGCGTTTACGTACATAAACACATTATCAGTATATTCATGTACATAGGGGTGTCTCTGGCTACACTTCTCTGTGTGATTTTGTGTCTCTCTTGCGACTGGAGGTTTATTAGGTCTCTAATCAGCCTTCGCAGAAGCCCGTGTGGTTGATGTACTTCCTGCGGTTGTCTGTGCATGTATGTGTGTGTATGTCTATGTATGCGTGTGTGTATGCATGTGTGTGTGTGTATATATATATATATATATGTGTGTGTGTATGTGTATATGTATGTGTGTGTGTATGTGTGTGTGTGTGTGTGTGTGGATGTGTGTGTATGTGTATTTATGTGTGTGTGTAGATGTGTGTGTATGTGCATGATTGTGCATTGTGTATGCACATTGTACATTGTGTTTATGCATGAATGTGCATTGTACATTGTGTATGTACATTGTGTGTGTGCATGAATGTACACTGCGTATGTGCAATGTGCATGCACGTTGTGCATTGTACATTGTGTATGTACACTGCGTATGTGCAATGTGCATGCACATTGTGCATTGTACATTGTGTATGTACACTGCGTATGTGCAATGTGCATGCGCATTGTGCTTTGTACATTGTACATTGTGTATGTGCAATGTGCATGAATGTGCAATGTGCATGCACATTGTGCATTGCACATTGTGTATGTACACTGCGTATGTGCAATGTGCATGCACATTGTGCATTGTGCATTGTACACTGTGTATGTGCAATGTGCATGAATGTGGATCGTGCATGCACGTTGTGCATTGTACAAGGTGTATGTACACTGTGTATGTGCATGCATGCTCTGTGTGCAGGACCTGGGAGTGGCTTCCAGCTTTTTGACCCTGGGGCTTCGCTGCAGGGCTATCGAGCTGTGGGTTAGCGGCAGGAAGGCGCTTTCTGTCCCTTTGAGTTTGATGGAGTCTGCAGCAGTTCCCGTGCGCGTGCCCCCTTTGAAAGCCTTTGCCTCTCTGGCAGGAGCTCGGGGAGGCGCAGGCGACAGCTCGGAGACTGCTGCAGCTTGCAGCAGCGGCACACCCTTCCCCTTTGTTCTCATCCTGCCGCAAGCGACAACTTGTCAGATACTGGAGCAGCGCCTCAATCAGCTGGGGCACAAGGTGAGGCGCCTGACTGCATGCGTTTTCCGTTTTTATGTGAAAACCGGGTGTATGTACAGCGGTCTGCACGGAAACGGATGCCAATACAGTTGGCAGACGACGCAACAGGGGGGTGCTGCATCTGCACGCCCCCCCATCGCTGCAAGTCATTGCTGCGAGATCCATCCCTACCCCATACCCCTGTCCTACCACCCCTGTCAATTACACACTCCTCCACGCCCAGCGCTCTAACTGCCAGAATTTCAGTCGGCTCTGCTCCTCCTGCGGCTGCTCTGCTGGGCAGGCTCTGGCCCGTGCGACAAAGACTTCGCGCTTTCCAAGCGATTTTTTGCACAGAACCACCTGCTGCTCGTTTTTTGTGTATTTTTTTCATGCGGCTATCAGGTTCATCGGGCCGTTGCCGTGTGGCAGGTCCAAGGCTTCTCCACGGACGAACCTGCCTCCTTCCCCGTCGAGCAGAAGAAGCAGCAGCAAGAGCAGCAGCAACAGAAAAGCGTGCAGCAGGAGGCAACAGCAAGAACCCCCTCGCGCGAGGACTCGAGCGGCAGCTCTTTTCGCTCGCCTCACGAAGGTTTGGAGCAAGCGGATGCTGAAACGCTGGAGGGGCAGCAAACTCCGCAGCAGGATGAGACTCCTCCTCTGCCTCCTCAGCACCAGCAAGAGCAGCAGCAGCAAGAGCAGCAGCAGCCATCGTTTCCCTTATTTGCGGCCGACGGCGAAACGCCTCGGCAGGAGAGCCCCCCCAATTTGCTGGGCTTCCCAGTGTCAGTACACTTCGGCCGGTACAACCCCCGAGGCGCAGCAGCAGCGCCAGGCGAAGAGCTGCCTGTTCGATTTGGCGTAATTTGCTGTAAGTACGTCGTGGGGTGTGACGGCTCGCGATCCGCAGTGCGGAAGGCAGGAGGTATTTCTTTCGAGGGCAAGATGGATCCACGTTCCTTCTTCGTGGCAGACGTACAAATCACCCCCACTCTGCCCTCCAGCGGCAGTTCAACTGTCTCCTCTTCCCCCTCCCCCTTGATTGCCGCTGCCGCATCTCCTGCCATGACGACCTCAGCTTCTCCGTCTCCAGAGCCCAACGGAGGCATTTCCCGCAGACTCTCGTCTGACCTATCTTGCCAGCAAGAGCAGCAGCAACAGCAGCACCAGCAGCGCCCCCCCCCCCTCTTGCCTTTGTCCTCGCTGCAGCAGCAACCGTCGCTGCCAGAGCAGCAGCAGCAGCAGCAGCAGCATCACTCCCTCGAAGCGGAGAGCTGCCAATGGCTCCCGTGCAGCGGCCTGGCAATGCCTGGAGGCGGCTTGTGGGGAGACGGGCTGCTTTCTGGTTTGCGTAGACGCTTGCATGCAGCGGCAGAAGCGGCCCTTGAGCCTGGGGAAGCCGAGAGAGCGCGTCTCATGGCTTTAGGAAGGCGATCTGCGGCGGGTGACACTGCAGAACTGCACTTCACACCCAAGGGGTTCGCTGTGTGTATCCCCATGTTGATTTCCTCGTCAGCAGCGGACGTTGGCATTGCAGCGGAAACACGCGGCAGCAACGGCAGCGCCAGCCGACGGCAGCAACTGCTGCTGCAGCAGCGCAGCATTCGGCCGGTAGAAAATGCGCAGTTTCGCTGGAGGGTTGTCATGGAGAAGCCTTCCTCGGCAGCCAATTCTGTAAGGCCCTCAACCTCGCCGTATACAGACGCTGCGACAGCCGCTGCTGCCGCGACAGCCGCTGCTGTTGCTGCCGAGGGGGAGAGCGAACGAACGTGCAGTCCAGCAAGGCGGCAAGGAAGTCAGGCGCAGTGTCAGGCAGAGCTGCTGGAGCAGTTTGAGCGCGTAAGCAGCAATCGGCGGGGTGGGCAAAGACACCTCTTAAGGGATGCAAGACACCCCAAGGTGCAAGGCGCCTCTGCTTCACACGGCGTCGCCGAGTATTTGTAGCGATAGACGTACAGACATGCATAGATACAGATGTGTAGAAGCCACCAGAGCAGCATCCGCAGGCTCAGGCTTCTCAAGTGCGAGCTACGGTAGCTGTGGTCTCTGCGAAACTGGGGCAGACGAATCCGCATTGTCGCCTGCTGCTTTCCCTCCCAGGTGTTTGTCGGCTGTCGAGTCAGCGAAGTGCATTGGTTCTCAGTCTTCAGAACAGGAGTGCGCATCGCCTCTGCTCTGCGCTGCAAGCGACTGCTCCTTGCGGGAGATGCTGCTCACTTGCATCCTCCAGCTCTGGGTCAGGGGATGAATCTTGGCATGCAGGTCAGTGCGCGAAAGCTTCGCTTCGAACGGCTCGTGCTCGAGCAGTTGGGGGGTGCATGCATGCCTGGCCCTTGGATATAAAATATGTATATCTATATGTACATATGGATATACACATGGATATACACATGGATGATATGCACATGGATATGCACGGCTTCAGCGCACCGCTTCGTGAGCAAGCAGCTGAGTGGTACCGCCTCGGCTACTCTCTTCACGCGTTTTCCATCGAGGACATGTGTCCACATGTACAGCTGGAGAACATGTGTGTGGGAGAGAGGGAATGAAGAAGAAGACAGGGAGGCTCGAGTTGTCTCTGTTGCCTTCCTTTTCTTCCTTCACGGCCGGGCATTCTCTTTTTCTTCTTGGCATGACGTGCGAAGGTCGTCTCCGCACTGGATGTCAAGGCGCTTGGTTTCCTCTTGTTTGATGCGCACTGCATGCGGGCACGTGCATGCATGCATCAGATATAGGCGTGTGTGATTATGTCTCCCTCTGCTGGGGTTCAGCTGGTACTGCGGTGCCTGGCTGGAATGTGTGCACGGCTGGCACAGCTTCTTCTCCCTCTCTGATAGCTGCGCATCGCAGTCTGCGTGTAGGGGTGTGCGTTGCGCATGCACCTGTGTTGACTGTACAGAGCGCCTACAACTTGGGGTGGAAGCTGGCCCGCGTACTTCGCCTAGGTGCAGCAACACAGCTTCTGGACTCGTATGCGGAGGAGACGAGACATGCGGCGCGTAAGCTAGAAAAAGAGAACTTGGTTGGTGGTGGTGGTTGGTGGTGGTTGGTGGTGGTGGTTGGTGGTGGTGGAGGTTGCTGGTTGGTGGTGGAGGTGGAGGTGGAGGGCGATGGATGGATGGCAGGGGAGACGAGGCGAGAGGGAGAGAGGGAGGAGAATGCAAAAGAGAATCGGGCTGAAAGGCATGCATGCAATAAAAGGGGCCTCTTTTGGACGACGCAAACAAACGGCATTACTGATGTGTGGCACGCGAGTTTGCAGTGGCTCTTCTTAGACGAGCCGAAGAGAATTCAGGAAACAGTTCGGGATGGGAGGACCGCGATTTTTTAAAAATGCGCGGACAAAGCTATAGGCACAGATGTTACTAAAAGCTTTTGTGTGTCGTTTTGGCAGTGCCACCGAAGCTGCTATGTTCAGAACATACGGGGTTGCGCTGTTTCTCTCTCTCTTCTCGTGTTCCCGCAGAACAAGTTGTGTGTCTCACGGATCGGGTATTCCAACTCGTCCTGTCGGCAGGCAATTCGAAGAGTAAGGACGCGGCACGCGTCTGTTGATCATCTGAATTGGTGCAACTTTTTGTGCACTAGATCGCCACAGAAGTGCGCGGAGGGATCTTGGCATTCTCCTCCCCTGTCAGTGCTGCTTCCTTAGCCAGCAGCCTTCCTTTGTGGTGCAGCCTCTCCTAGGGAATGATGCCTCTGCTGCTCGTGTTTTTAGGCGTCCTCTCCCGGCTCCTTCTTCGCATGGCTGCCCCGCTAGCGCTGCATTTGCCTGGCACGGCGAGGAGCTTGCGACAGACAATTCTGATGACACACATTTCTTACCCGCATCCAAGGCAAGGAGGACGCCCCCCTTAGTGGCCGCGAGTGCTGCCACCGTGCGGCTGTGTGGCTGCTCTTCTACGCACCCGACAATAAGTGATGTATATGTGTATGTGCGTGTGTTTCTCTAACATGTATTTCTGAGAATTTCTATGGGTACGGGTAGCTCGTTCACTGGCGAACACCCCGTCTGGAGTCCCAGTCGCCAGCTGTCTGGACACCCGCCACCGAGCCAATCGCGCAAGGGCACCATTAGCAGGCGCAATTCCCGTGACTTGCAACAAACTGAGGGATTGCTGCTGTGTTCTGCTACAGCGTGGCACTGGGGTGTGCTGACATGTCCTTCATGTCGGGATTGAAGCCGGGATGCAGGATTCCAGACTGTCTCGTCAAAGTAGCGAGAGTCAGAAACACGAAACTAGCAACGGTTTTTCCCTGTTCTCCCTCTCGCGATCTCTGCATCGATCGATGAATGCTGTTGCGTGGCCCTTCATGGTCCTTTGCCTTTGCTTCCCTGCGATCCTGCTGCTGAATGCTGCTGCCGCTTTCCTCTCCATTTGTTGCTCCTACTACTCTCCGCGTGCCCTTTGTGTGCCAGTGCGTATTAGTGTCGAATCTTTGCTCAGCTCCTACTGAGCACCTGCACCACCCACCATCTGCAGCTGCATGAAAACATGCGTATTGCTTCTCTTGGCGGCCTTAGCAAGCAAGAAATGTATGTGTGAATGTATGCATAACTGTATGTGTATGTGTGTGGGTGGGTGTGTGCTTGTTGTTTTCGTCTGTTTAGATCCCACGGGTGAACGCAGCAGATCTGCCGGATCCGGTAGCTGGCTACCTCTTTGAGCTGCTGGGAAAGGGTCGTCATCTGCTGTTGCTGCACGTCATGCTTCTCCCCCTGGGGGCAAGGAAGCAGAACATCTTTGGATGCGAAATCGCGGGAGCACCGCTTGTTTGTGAGACTCCGAACGACCCCTAGGCACTTGCTGCGCATGTTGTTGTTGTATTTGCCAGGGGTGCTCACGTTGCTGCTGCACACTGCGAGCCGCTGTTGTAGGATCCTGCTGCCTCCGCTGCATGCAAGGGGGTCGCTGAGTGGGGAGCAGTGGGCTGTGTGTGGCGCTTCCTTGCGCCCTCAAACGCTCGTGTGCATGTGATGCGGCTAGAACTAGCCTACACTGGAAGCCTGTATGAGCAAGAGTGGCAGGTAGTTGGGCACGTTATGTGTACTTGACGTGGCGTGGCGTGGCGTGTGTCTAGACTGCCCCGCATGTTGTCACTGACGCCGTAGGCTCTCTCTTTCTTAGCCCAGCAATTTTACGGCCCAAGCATTAAAGCGCATGTTCATAATGCGGCGTGTTGAAGATTTTTGCGGTTGCTCTTGTGTCGCAGCCCGCTACAACAACGAGGCAGTGAGCACTTTATCCCGCCTCTGCCAACTTGCTGTGTTGGCCTCTGCCAAGTCTGCAGGGGGGCATCATGCCTCCTTCACGGATGGCACGGTTCACCGCGTCTCACCGTCAGCGCCTTCCCTGTTTGCTTCCCAGAGCCTTGCTGCTCCCTTTTCTGCGGCGTATTTTGCTGATTACCCCGAGGGTGCAGTCAGGGAGGGGGGAAAGATGGGCAGCAAAGACTTAAGGGGCTCCAGTTTCTCGGATCCAGAGGACGAGCCAAGCGAGGCAGACCAAGGCAGTGACTTCGACGATGAGAGTTCCTTTTCTAGAGAGGGGACAAGCCGCTTGAGCTCTCTAGGTGGTCCTCGCATCCATGCTGCTGCTGCAGGAGAGAGGCTTTTACGTCGTCACACGGCATATCCTCGTGCTCGCGCATTGGCGGCAGCAACGGGGAAGCAGCTGTGGGCTTCCAATCTCCGCGTAGTCTGGTGTTTCCACGGCGAAACAGCGGCTCTGCACACCACTGCGACATCCACCAGCATAACCTCGGAAATTATTCGTGGCAACTCGCGCGGCTCGCTCCCCGCCAAAAGCCATTCAGTGCTATTGCCTCATCAGCCCCATTTCCAGTCAGGCCCTGCGCATGCAGCCTCCGCTCCTTGTGGAGTCGTGTCACATGCTCTTTCCAAGGGGAAGGCAGAAGAATACCACCTCGTGCAGCGCCCGCTGATGCAGCTGCTGCCCCCAGCTCTCGTGCAGCAGATGCAGCAGGCTAGCGGCGGCGGCAGGGAAACCTCAGGATTTGTGCTTATCGACTTTCTGGGAGACTTACAGAGCAAATTCGGGTTGTGTCTCTCAGACCCTCACGCGTCTGATGGAGCGGAGGGCAGCTGCGGCTTTTCCCTCATACGCCCTGATGGATATCTGGCTCACTGTGGAAAGGCTGGCGATACAAAAGCTGCCAGGGGCCTTCTGGACTACCTCATTAGATTCTAGATAGCGGTGCACCACGTGCTGTAGACGCTGCTTGCAGCGGCTGCTCTTAGCTTTATTCTACGGAGAGGTCTTGTACAGAAACTGCTCAGTTTAGCTGCCTTTGTGTCTTCTTGAGGGGGCGGTCGCTTACGCGGGGCGTGTTTAAAATGGTGGCTGTCACTGACGTGGATGTACTAAAATACCATAGGCAGCAGCACATTCAAAGGCAGCTGCCATCCTTACTCATCTTTTACCCTAGGGATACGGTGCCAAATGCCACATTTGACTCGCAAGAGCACTTTACACTCCATGTTAGAGTGCGGCTTTTGCGGAAGCCCTAGATACGCCCCCCTGCATTCTTTTTCGCTGGGTGCGGCGCCGCTGCAGCCGCCTCTGTTGCTCTTTAGCAAATGCAGCAGCACGTGCACTTCCTAACCTTTTATCGCTTCTGCAGTCTCCTTAAATACTGTTGGTTTATGCCGGTCGGCAGAAGCCACAGTTGTCACTCACGGCTGATACGCACACAGTGCAGCTGGTGTCTAAGTTGTCGCAACGCTGGAGTTTCACGCTTGTGAATCAGCCTCTAAAAGCTGGAGAGGCTTCAGGCAGCATTTTCATCTCACAGGAGGCCCTCGAAGGTATGCTGTAGATGTGAAAATGATGGAGGGAAGGCAGGAGCTGGCGTACGTACGGCCTACGAGTTCTTGAGCAGCTGGGGTGGCCGGAGTGCCCCGTGTTTATTTCTACTTCTGCTGGTATATAGCGCACATACATGCAGATGACATGTAACCCTCGTAGGTCTTACCATGACTGGTAAGTACTCTACCTCGCGAGGATGTAGGCTTGCAAGCGTTCCTCCCAGTCTTAGGGCTTCGAAGAGAGCCGGCAGTTTCCCTTTGGCAAACTCAGTGAGGTTTCCAGATTCTTGAGTGGCGTTGGAAACTCAGAATCACGGCGGGGTGTACAGGCAGTCCTGGATGTAATGTCTCGGATTGCTGTCTGGTTCAAAGAGGTTGACGGCACGCAGCAGCAGAGGGAACAGAACAACTGAAAACGCTCAGTGAGACGCCCAGAACGCACCGAATACATGCTCATCGCCGCTGCTGTATAAACGCACCTGGATAAAAGGCAAAGAGACCATTTGGTGCACGGTAGGGCGCTTGCTTGGATCTTTTTGCATCATATCTGTCACGAGCTGCCTCAACTCCGCGGAGTACACAGAAGGGACCGCCGGGACCTAGTGAAAGAGGTGACACCAGAATTTTGTACATACCTTGGCGCTGCAGCAGGAGCACCACTAAGAGTCGAGGCAGCCATGGTAATGCATGATAGATGAGGAGCTTCTGCCACCACTACTTTTGATGGTCAAGCATGTTGTCTGCCGCATTTGTCTACACTGGTTGTCTCTGAAGTGAATCCTAGAACTCTACGCACAGAGGCTCCATTGCACTTTTAAGAGGAGGATGCGCGCCTACAGGTGTATTCGCAATCGTTTTTACGAGACACTTAAGACTCTGAGCTCTGAAGGGAACGGCCAGGGCGCACTGAGCGCACATCACTCATATACATACATATATATATACGATGAAGTGGAAGATATGCCTCAATTGGGCAATGAACCTAGCTAGATCAGCATTCTTTTTCTGATGTCGGCAATGGACTTCTTCTTGATCTTATGGGGTTCTCTCTCATGAGGCTATTAGCTCTGCGGTAAAGAACCGTCGCCGTTCATGCTTTTTGTGTATATGTGGCTATGACGAATCAACTGGCTAAAAAGCACGTGAGGGAGGGCATTCGATACCATTTCGTAGATAATGCAACCTAGTGACCATACGTCCGATGGGAAGGAGTAGCGATGTTGCTGCAAAAAAGAAAGAAACAAACCCGTATCAAGGAAGAATATGCATACAAAACACCAGAAGAACAGCGCGCGCGCGGAGCACACGAGGGCATTTAGGAGTACTGCAGCTTAGCCAAAGGATGAAGGAATGTTTACGGCGCGGGAGATTGTGCTAAAAGAGGAGGTCCTTTAGTGTCATAGATTCAAAAAAGATAATGCTAACGACACCGCGCTGCGAGGGCCACAAGGGACAAAGAACGGACTGCCAGCAGGAATAGCATGTGATACCACGGCAAAGGGGTCAAATGCAGCGCCAGGAACAAGAAGGCTCTGCTCTAAAAAGCACCTGGCAGAGCTCCGGGCTGAAATAGTAGGGAGTGCCGATGGTGGTCCTAGCACAAGAATGAGTGGAATCCAGCACTTTTGCAATTCCGAAATCTCCGATCAACAGGTCGTCACGTTCATTAAGAAACAAATTTTGTGGCTTCAGGTCTGCGAGATAGCAGTCTACCAGAGCGCAGAGTCAATACAAAAGGCCGACGGAGCACAGCAACACGACGCAGCGTGAGATCGATTGAATGAGCAGGCCTAAATGCATGTATGCTTCTCTTTTTTCTGGATAAGTGGAAGAGAAAAGCGTGAAAAGAGACAAGTTTATCAACAGCACCGTGCCTCTGTGCAGTATATGTCTCTCATGGAGGTGCTTTAAACCCAAAAGAGCCTGGGCGAGCCACAGGGTGATTTGCGCCTCCTGGAACCTTTCGTTTTTTTTCTTCTGGCGCTGAATCCTGCTATGCATATCTCCCCCTGCGCAGAAGAGATAGTGCAGCAACAAGTCGCTCGAAATTGGCAACAAGCGGTCGTGTCGGCGTCAACGAAGGAGCCCAAGGGCCATCAAGAAGCAGCAGAAGAGCAGGGATTGTGGTCTTGAGTGGGAATTAGGAAAACTTCAAGCAGTGGGTACAATTTTATCAAACAATGGTGAATGCAGAGGAATGACCAGGGTACGGAGGAGCAGAATGGTGAGGCAGGCTCGAGCATGACCAAAGTACGCGCCTGCGCAGTGCTCCATGACAATGCAGAGCTGGTCTTCCAGAATGTAGCTCCGTCGATATCGTACGATGAAAGGATGCGGCGGGATGCATGCAAAGACCTGCGAAACGAAAAGGATAAAGAGCGGGGGCTGGCAGCAAACCCGAAAAATTCATTGGTGGAAGCCCAGAAAGGGACAAGCGCAGGTGTTCAGCGCAATTGCCACGGCACACGAAGCTGGGGTAGATGGTGGTGGACGGGAACGGGATTTACTGAATACTGGAAGCGACAGCTGGACAGGATGGAAGAACGAATCCGAGTGCATGGATCGATTTAGGAGGCAGCTTGGTTAATGTACTTTGGCTTCGTTGAGTGTCTCCTCTCTGGCCACTGCGTCCATCCCCGACATGTCGATCGACTTCAGCACAAACCTGCACACCAACAAGGGAGTGCAGCCCCCCGTTTCTCCTCTTCTTTGTGCCTCTGCTGTCCACGTAGGTGCCATTTCAGTATACATTCAATGCATAACCCGCTTCTGAAGCGCTGAAGGGGGAGCTGCAGCAGTAAGTCGACCAACACCATCTGCTTCTACATCTCCAGCGTGAAATATCCCACAGTTTCTTACTTCGTGCCATCACCTCCTTTTTCCATTACGAGAAAAGCCTTGCCGAAGGAGCCCGAACCAAGAAGAGTAACTTTCTTGTAGACTGGCATCTTTCCTTTGGCTGTGCAGTCTACCACAACGGGCTCTCTGGGATCGTCTGCTAGACCTACACGATCCCAGAGAGGCCTCTAGCGTTTGTCGCGCTAGACTTCCGCGGTATTAACTCAACGGTGACCTGAGCAGCCAGTGTAACATGCTGCCGCCCTCGAAGCACTTTTGTCACGTGCATACATAACCTACAAAAATTTGTTGAAATGAGCGGTGGAGCGTCTTAAAGTTAATAGAAAAGCAATATATGCCCTGGCTACGGTAATCTGGCGCCAGACTCTAGGGGGCTGGGTCCCCTTCAACTCGATGTACAGGGGTCAAATGGACGGGCTATTGTAAAACACTCTTGAAATTATCCTTAAGATAGTCGGTTTTATTGTTTTCCTTGGCAAGAGTTGGCCGAAATGTTCTACGCGCTTCTTCCCAGCGCAACATTCTCTTCGACGTATACGCTGCCCAGTGGACAGTCAAGCAGCACGAATATCCCTTCTGCTGTTTTTCCTCTCCAACCTCCGCATCAGCAAAGGTGTTTCTCGTAAGACGTGTTTTTTTCAAGTTTTAAATGGTGCTTCCCCCTTGGAATGCTGCAGCGTCCGCAGTTAGCAGGGTCACTTATGGGGAAGCAGGGTTTTCATTTTGCCGACTAGAGCCCCTCCCACGACAAACTGCTCATTGGAGCCTTTTTTCCCGCCAATGATAAGCTTTCAATTATTTCTGTATTGTTTAGCATGCTCACCGCAAGAAAAATACCCGCAATGCTGGCGGCGCAATGCTGTAGGCGAGAGTCTTGGAAGACAGTTCCTTTGGGCCAGTGCACCCGGAACCCGGAAATGCCTCCGCTGCTTTTGCTCTGCGTTCGATCTGCTGTTTAAGTCATTTTATCGTCAAACAATAACGGGCGTGCCCACTCCCTAGACAGAGCAATGCCTCGAGACTACGGCTCCTTTCCCGGGTAAAACAAAACTAACCACATTGTCTAGGGCAAACACCCCTCAGAAAATGTCTTGCTACACCAGCATTTGTTTCGAAGTCACAGGGTTATCGACAGGAGATGAGAAGCGCTGCACCCCCATTTGAGAGTGCTGCCAAAACGAACTCGAAACAGAAACCTCTGCCTAAAATAGCAGCTCCACGGCTGCTATTAAAAACCAGAAAATTCCTTAGAAAATGCCAACGATAAGTGCCTTTCTCCTGTTGGCTGGTGGCAGAAGAAGCCACTACGTAAATATGCATGCTGCACAAGCTCTTTACCGCCCAACAATACCGGCGCTGCCATTTTACGGCCGCGTACGCGAGTGAAATGCATGCACTGGGTATCCGAAGCACAACGATAGCATTTTCCAGTCGAATTTTTAGCAAGGCAGTACCCGTGGTTTCATGAATGTGTGAGAGTGCATGGACCTGCACACAATTGTAGCTACATACTTGCATGCATGCCTTTAGAGCCTGCATGAAAGCTCCTCTTGTGGAAAGAGCAAGCATGCTTAAAGGCCTGCACACAATCATGGGGAATGTACCACTATGCATGCACCTGCTTGTAAACGAACACATACACGTGTTTGAGTTTGCGCGCACGCACAACTGCATACATATTCACGTTTTTTTTGACTAGCATACACACGAAGGTTCTCATGCTTCTAACCCTTCGCTGGACTCGCTTTGGGCACAGCACCGATCCTCCCTTGAGGCAGTTAGTGCACTGGCTTGCCGCCCATGAGTCTCCTCTTTGCTTCCTGCCACAGATAGCGAACTTCGCTCCTAGCACCACCCAGCATCCCCCCGTTCTCCTGAGCTCGTCTCACGAGATAAGGGATCGTCTCCTCCACGGGCCCGAACGGGAGATACTTGAACACCGAGAAACCAGCAGCCGCCAAACCGTGAGACAAGGCGTCTCCCATGCCGTACAGTTGGCCAAATGTGACTTTCTGCGCCACTTCAGGCCCCATCTCGCTCTCAGCACGACGCAGCAGTTGTGCGGCCTTCTCCAGCGAGTGCGCATTGTGGGATGCTGAAGCAACACAGACAAAAGCGGCGGCCAAAACAGCGGCAGCCGGTGCAACTGAGAAGACGCGGAGATACGAAGAAGGGAGCGCAGCAAACAAACACAATAGCGCTGCGATTCCGAGCAGAGCAATCAGTCCACGGAGGCATGAGGCAGCGAGAATCCGTTAGTTCTGCCCAGGGCTTAAGGTTTAGGCAGCCGAATCAAGAGCGCACTGTGCGACGCAACCAGCTGAGATCCAGCTCCCTAGTTTTGGCACGCACAGATGTGTGTGCCAAAACAGGGAAACGAGGAGGCAGTCAGGGGCCACGTGGATGCAGCGACAACATCGCTATGCAGACAGAAAATATATGCAAACACATACTTTCCTTCACCGCCACGTACCAAGGAATATTTCACAATGCTTGAGGTTCTCAAAAAGGAAGCGAACGCATGCATCGTAGCTCGCATGCGTCTCCTCGATGGAGTCGTGAACCTGCAGAGGATTGCCCGTCTCTCGGGTGATCTTGTTCTCCATCGAAACGTATGCCCCACGCACCAACTTGAGAGACAGCACAAATCCGAAGCGTTGCGAGAGCTCCAAATCGCGAACCAGCCGGGCACGCGTATCTCTGAAGGCAGCGGCCACAAGCGTATGTACACTGATATTCACAACGGTGCAACAACTCGTTGGCACACAGCTTTTCCACAGTAGGAGCTGTGGCAGGGGGGCCTCTTCTGCTGCAAACTCCTGACGAAGGCCACGCAGTCTTCCGCAGCATCGGCGACTGCCAAGCAGCGGTGTGCTCGCGACAACGCTGACGGCTCACTTCAGGTAAGCCTGGTACGTGTTTGAGATCAAGACACGCCCTTTGTTGTACTTCTTCTGTGCCTCAATGGTCAGAAGATGAATGAAGGCCTGGAGGGTGCTTTGCTCTGCATCGACCAACAGGACTGGCGGCTGCCGCTCCTGCTGTGCGGCGTACTCGCAGACGGAGAAGAACCGAGATCGTATTCCCTCGTACGCAGATCGCTCCTCCGCGCTTAAGACTGGCAACACCTGTACGGCACAAAACATAGCAGGGAGTGCTTCGCAAGCAGTGTGCTTGGCAAGCAACGTGCCTACTGATCTAGTGCGGACAGGTCTCTTCTGACAGCGTTGAAACAAGAAGGCAGCCTCGCACACAGCGGGCCTAGTCTAAGCCTCCTCAGGCACCCTTGTGACGCAACGCTGACAGCGACAAGGGGCACTCTGCGCTACGAAAAGGGGCACGATGGGAGCCTCCTCACCTTGGAGAGGCAACGCAGGGAGCCTTCATGACCTGCTGTGCCTGGCGTAATCCTGTGACTCCACTGGAAGTAAGTCACACCCCCCTTCCCGCCCTCGTCAGCACCCGGCTGCTCTTTCAAGTCACGGAAGAGGGCAACTGCTTCGGCCTCTTGAACACCTCGTTTACACAGCGTGGAAACGAACTGCTGTTCAGACACCACAGCCTCACCCAAGCGCCTCGGGCATGGACGACCATTCGCTCCAACGCCTTCAATTCCTGAGACAGCGACAACAAAACAGAAGAAAGCAGTGGCGGAATTGCCTAGCTGCCTTCAAGCTCGAGGGATGCTCAGGCCAAAGCCTCCCTCCTTCCCTCATCTCACACTTTTCTTCCATCACCCTCCCTTAATGCCCCCCTTTCTTCCACACTCCCTTAATGCCCCCCTTTCTTCCACACTCCCTTAATGCCCCCCTTTCTTCCACCCTCCCTTAATGCCCCCCTTTCTTCCACACTCCCTTAATGCCCCCCTTTCTTCCACTCTTCCCCCGCTTCACACTTTTCTTCCACCCTCCCCCACTTCAACTTTTCTTCCACCCTCCCCCACTTCGCCCCTTCCCCGCCGCAAGCAGAGCGGCAGCAGTGATCGCAAAGGCGCAACAGGAAGAAAAAGGCAAGACGGCCGGCGTAGCGGCAGCGAATGCGAGAGTTTACCAGGGAAAGACACGCGCTGCAGGAGCAGTAGAAAGCTTACCCGCAAGCTCCGCAAAAAGCTCGTCGATTTGAAGGATCAAAGTGTTGAAGCGGATTATGGGCTCAGTAAGGCCAAAAGCAGTGACCTTTATCGCCACAAAGCGCTCCCCCGTGGAAGCTGCAAAGTCGATCGTCTGCTTGGTGATGGCAATAGCCTCATCAAAGTTCTGAGTATCGCAAGCAGGCACCCCCGGAAGCGTCTCCAGCTTCTGCTCGGCAGCGTAATCCAAGATCGCGCCAAGATCTGCACAGGCCAAGCGAAACACACGTCCAAATATGATTCCAAGACGCTTAGGGGCAGAAGCTCAAGACAGTGTGCATTGACTCTCCAGCGTTTTCCCAGAAAACTGCCGCGTGAAGTCAGCCAGGTGCTCCGGCAGCAGCAGCGAGGCGGCACAAACGGGTGCTTAGAACAAGTCGCCGCAGTTCTGTTACACTGCCGTGGCAAAGTAGCAGAATGGAGCCACTCCTGCAGGAAGCAACAAACCCCTCTAATAAGGGCGGCTGCACCAAGTAGACACATAGGCTCTATGTGCGCAGCAGAGCGAGCAAGCGACCAAAGGCGTCTCTCAGAAAAGGGGCACTCTCCAGGTCCTCGAAATGCCTACTTCTCTGCTTCAGCTTGTCGAGAGTGTGCACGATCTGCTCAAGGTTCTCGCCCCCGCAGAAAACCTTGAAAAAGCTGTTTTTGATCGTCCAAAAGGTCAGTCTTGGTCCCAGGATCCGGCAGGAGACGGCCAAAAGCTTTTCGCAGTTGTTCACGAGGAAGGAGGACGTGCAGAGGGAATATACACAAAGGGATCGCATGAGCTCCATGCTCGAGTAGCTCCCCACGGCTGCTGCACCCGCGACATCTCCCGAGAGGCACAACTGACCATTCCCACACTGCGGCGGCTCCTGCTGCTGCTGCTGAAGCTGTGCGTCAGCCGAAGCAGCGAAACGCCCACTGGCAGCAGCCGTCGAGCCATCGCGGCGCGGGACGAGGCAACACGTCCTCGCGAGCTCTGCGTGCGCTGCTGCCTTATTCGAGGTCAAATGAGGCGCCCAGATAGCGGCCCTACTTTGTCTCGGAAGTTTCCTGCACACCCGGGAAGAGGTGAATGCGGGGAACGTTGGCGGCTTCCCATAAAAATTGCGTGTACACAAATTTGTACCTCTGCGCCCTGCCAGCGCAGCTGACTCTGCAGCAACAGCAGGGCAGTTGTTGGCAATGCACTTGTAGACAATCGCCATCTCCCCTTTGCTCAGAAACGGCCCGCAAGGCCTGAAGCCTCGAACTTGACGTGCGACCTGCCTCAAAGGGCAGCAGCAGGAGACGAACGGAGGAGGGAAAGGAGGAAGATGGAAAACAAAAGAAAACGAATCCCAGAAGACATTAAATTCCGGCAAAGAGCGTAGAGGACCCCAACTCGCAGGAGCAGTCTGTGTCTCCCCTATCTCCCTCCAGCTTGGGCGGCTACGCAGGCAGCACCATGGCGGCTGGTGCATACAACATGTACAGACAGCCCAGGTAAACACATCCCCTCCTTGGTGGAATTTCAGCATTAATATACATGTAGGCCATTTTCTGTTTTAAATATACTTTGCAAACGTCACAGACCCCCAGTTACACACCCGCTGAAGGCCGCAACCCATATATGGCACCTGTCGGCTCTCTGCCATTGAACGGGTTCGGTGCTGCAGTTCCAGCAACAGACCCTGTCGCAGATCCTAGTAGAACAATTTCATGGTAATTCCACGCGAATACTCGGAGTGATGTACCGTGGTTTGTATTATGTGGATCATTGAAGGTGCGGAGGGGTCTTTTTAAGACACAAGCCCGAATGTATCATCTTTGGCAGGCACTGCTGAATGGGGAGCTCACACTAGTACACGGCGAGGCTCTTTTGCAATATCCGGTTCTCGGTACAGTTCGGGATCCGAGCCTTTTTGCTATTTTGAGGGCCACGCATTATGAGTGCATATCTCCTCAATTCTTGTTGGGCAACAACCCCGGGGCGGGTGGCAGGCACCTCAGCATTCGAAGAGTTCTCATCAGTAGACGAGTTCAAGTATAAGAAAAAAACTAAGATCACGACGCATGCTTTTTCCGCTTCTGTAGCCTAGTTCTTGCTGACCAGTTTTCCTTCTCGCTCCCCGAGTACTGTGCAAGGTGGTAGAGCTCTAGCTAACTGCGTGCCAAACGCTCCATCCAGGACCTCCAAACGGGCGGCCAGCCGTCGAAATGATGTCAAAACTTTTGCTGAATCATTCTCTGCCCTTTTCGAATGTATTCTCCCGACATCTCACCCACTCCCCCCTAGGATCCCACCTTAGTGGAAGGGGACTGACCCGGATTTAACCAACTCATGTGGTAGATTAGTTAACATTCAGCCATTTTCTACGACACCAATTATCTTTGATTCACTGCCAGAAAGAAATTGAACATTCACTTTGGCTGTCCATACACTTCGTTTACTGCGGAGCTTTTTCTCTAGCTCCATACGCCACGAACCGATGCTGCGTGTCTGTATGCAAGGTACTACGAGCAGCTAGCTGTGAATGCTAGAAGTGCTTTAAAGCGCAGCTATGCACGCCCTAGACGTCCCATTACCCCCCATGTCAAGGAAGCTCGAGGGGCGCGGACAGGGGAAGGAGACGATTCTTCTAGAGAAACATCCGTATACCTCTGGATGAACTTCCTGACGAGTCTGCTGTTAAGTGCCTCCCTATAGAGACCCCAGGGGCAGCATTACACCTTCAGCGTCTCAGGCGTCTGAGGGAAGGCACACAGCTTTGTGGTGGACAGTCACACAGCACAAACAAGTTCTGCGGTAAAGAGGGCACAGCGATACAAGGAGCGCTTTCTAATGTACATAGGAGTAAGCCGTAACTGCATAGTTTGTTTAATTAATTAAACCCTTGGACGGTTGACGGCTCTTCCCCATATTTCTAGCTGTACGACTTATTTTACACTGAGCTCCACATAAGAATACCCTTTGTGCACGACTGTAACATTACACTGCTAGAAGCTTCTGCCGTCGCCGTAAATAAGTCCACTGCCAAACGCATCAAAGCTTGTAACGAAAGCACGTGTGTCGCTCCGTGTAAAGGTTAGCTTATCCTCTGCCCTGAACCCACACGATGTAGGGCTAAAACAAAGAAGCATAACTGAGATGCAGGCAGCTGCTCACCCTAAGTAGTATGGGCACTAGCGTACCTCATCCCAAAGAGATTTCATGCGGCACTCGCAAGGCACATTATCTTGCAGCATAGGTCATGCAAAAACTAGATCATAAATACAGCAAAACCATGCAAGCAATACTCAACTCGACCTTCATTGGAGGTGAACTATTCTGGTGGAGGTCGCAGCGTTGGTACTTGAGCCACTACAGCTAGGCTTGGTGTTTCCTAGAAGGCATAACATTATTCTGTAAAGATCTGACGCCCGTTTTGACTCCTAGAACTGAGCTGATGTGCATTTAATTGAATTGCCTTTGAGAATTTGCTGAGCGACTTAGCTGCTCGAGTATCATATTTCTTGTTAAGAATACTACATCGGCACTGCAGGAGTATACACCCTGCATCTGTTTTCAAAACACTATGTCCGGCACGAATGGATGCCGGGAATGCCTTGAAAATGCATATAGAGGAGGTCCAGAAGGTTAGTAGACATAGTTCTTTCTAGAACTGGGAGAGCTTTGGGGGCTAGGGATCTCGGCAGGGAAATCCTAGCAGGAGGGTTACACAGTGCATGCTGCATTCGCATTTTTCCTAGGGCATCCTTTCCCAGAGCTTGTCTAGGATACCAGCTGAACGAAGCATTCGTGCGATTTAGGCAACACATTACCCGAGCGCATACACATCCTAAGGAAGTGAGGAAGTTGGCACATATAGAGAGGGAAGACAGCTGGTTCACGCCGTAAACACGTGTCAGGGGATTGGATCTACCAAGCCTGCAAAGTTCCAGTAAGGCCTTCTTATGCCTCTATCATAGGAAAACTTCTTAACGTGCAAGAAAGCCAGTAGGCGCAGTGGATTGTTTTTGCAGACAGCTGCTGGGGCCCCCTACGAATCACAAGAGGGGCCCCCAAGTTGGGTTTCCGTAATCACTGTGTCGTGCTGAATGTTTCTCGCCATTTTGTTCGATATATATATGCACATATATTCAGAAAATGCAGGTTGGAAATCTGTAGCCGAGGACCTTCTGTGCTGCATTCCCTCCAGGGTGCTCGCTTGTCGGCTTCCCGCTGCATCCCATACTACTGCACACACTGCAGAGCAGCCAGCTCCCCAGGAATTCCCCCCCAAAACAGCTGCGGGATGAATTTTCTCGCTCAGAGACGCAGCCGAAAGGCCAGTGCACCAGAAGAAGGTGCAGCAACAACAGCTGCCGCTTGCGCACCAGAGCCGCTAGTGCTTCGGCAGCGTGTGGGCTTTATGGAGGCGACCTATGCATATATTCCGGGATCTGAAGTTTGTAAAGGCATTGCCTTTAGCCCCGGAACTTGGCTTTGTTTCATAGTATCGGTGATGCTGCTGCTAGGGTTCCTGCGTCTCTTTTCGCACACTACAAACTGATCGTCTCAGCGGCAGCTTCCGAAAACAACAGCTACGCATGCTGATGGCGCCGTTATTGGACAGTGAGGCGCAGAAAACGCCAGTGGCTTTCTGACGTGGCGACGGCTAAGACAGCGGCCCACGGGCTGTCGCCGATGCTGCTGCACCCCAGGTCGTGGCTATCCCCGAAAGATGGCTAGCCAAGCAGCAGAAAACTTGCCACTTCTTTCATTTGAAAAAGTATATTCGCACTGCAGCGTTTTGCTACGACTGACTCAAAATGCTAGTGTGCGGCTGCAGAAGCAGCTGCCCAGCAGCAGCGCTTCTTTAACAGCACCTCCAGTACCTATACGTAGTTCTTGTAGGATAGCGAGGTTGCTAGTAAAACTTGTAGGCCCATGAACTCGGCTTATCTCCTCAGACTTATTTCTGACCCCTAAATAGCGAATACACCCCGAAATGTGCGCAGTCATGGTGCACTGACTGCCGCTCCTCACGCCTCCCTCCACTCACGAGAAGACGCCGGCAGGAACTTGCCACACAACGTCTGCATCAGCCTTTTTACGCACAGCTATTGTGCCCAGTGTAGCAGAGCCCGAGTAATCGAAGCTTACTGCTTCGTCACGCGCATGTCACTGAGGCTCCGATGCAGCGAGCCGCTTTGGCGCACGCGTTGTTGCGTTGCTGCTGCACAGCGCTGCAGCAGCCCGGTGCAAGCTTCCCTCTACCACTGCACTCGGCGCCACAGTTGCAGCACGCGAAGAGCGCATATATGCTATTGAGGGGACCCCAGACATTGCCGGACTGTCAAGAGTTACGCGTGGTGGCTGTCCAATGCGAGGGTCGATTGCTTGCGTCCCCTTCAAGTCATTTGATGCCGGTGCAGCTGAGCGGGATGTTGCCAACGCGCCTCTTCCTGCTCCTCTACCTGCATCGGCTCCTTTAAAAACAGCCGCTCTCGTGCTCATAGCTCCTTCACTCTGCGTCTCGTTTCGTGCCGCAGCGGGTGCTATTATTGCTTCCCCTGTAGCAGGCCTCCCTATCGGTACCCCCTGTGCGTACGCCGTTGCTCCAGCAAGAGCAGCTACTGCAACAGTGCCGCCAGCAGCGGGATAGTGGCAAGAAGGAGGAGGGTGCTTCCTCGTAGAAGGCACATACTGGGGTACTGCTAGTCGCTGCGGCTGCTGCAGAAGCAGCGGACGTGGTAGAGATGCAGCAGCAGCAGCGCATGCAGACAGCTTCTGCTGCTGCAGCAGCACTCCCCAGAGATGCAGCAGCAGACGCTCTAGGGCAACAGCTCCCGAGCAGAAGGGTGCAGCCCCCGTCGCAGCTGCAGAAACAGCATCAGGATCCATGCGACACTCAGCCAAACGCGCGCGAGTGGCACTTATTTGCATCAACTCCCTCCTCCCCACAACCCAGCAGCAGCGGCAGCACGAAGAGAAAGCGCAGCAGCACGAAGACAAAGCGCAGCAGCACATCGGGCAGGGACGAGCAACAGCGTCAACACCAAAAATAATCACAGACCTGAGTGCCAGCCAGAGAGAGGCGCCGCCGTTGCAAGCAGACGGCCTAACTCTGCCTTGACGCTGGTGCTGCCGCTGTTGCTGCTTGCCGCTGCTGCTGCTGAACGTATGGCAGAAAGCGTTCTCAACTCGACCCGGAGCAGTGCCACAGCAAGGGCTGTCTGCGCATGCAGCTGTGCACGGCACGCACACATACACATACACGCACATACACATACACACACATACACACATACACACGCATACACACGCATACACACGCATACACACGCATACACACACAAACACAATCGCACGCCAGCGCTGTTTCTTCGTGGGTCAAAGGTTTTGCAGCGAATAGGCTATTTTGGGGTATGCTGTACAGCTCTTCCCGATGCTTACGGAGTTGCACGACGTACCTCAGCACCGCAGCTAGCGAGACGCGCTGAACCTGACCAAGTATCCTCCAAGCATATCTTGCTGCAACACCTGGTCTTAGCCTGTTGCACGTGCTGTTGTTGCGATGTCTCGCAGCAGCTGCAGCTGTAGCCGCGGCAGCGCGCAGCTGACCCCTCGGCAGTGTATAGCTGCCTGAAGTCTTGGAGGAGCAGCTGACATCCTCTATGCCTCCGACGGCAGCTGCAGAGGCTTGTGGTAGGCGCCTCTTCGCCTCGCAGCGACTGCTCAGAGGACGCTGTGCTGCAGCGGCTGTGGCATTTGCCGTGAGAGCTCAGCTGCAACATCAGAGAACCTTCGATCAGGGGACTGCGCAAAGCCGTAACGGGCAGATGCAGCTCTGGCTGCCAGTAGAGCAAGTGCCGCCTTTCGCTGGACTGCTGCTGCTGCAACTGCGCCTGCTGCTGCTGCAACTGCGCCTGCTGCTGCTGCAACTGCTGCTTAGCCAAGGTGTTTGAGTCCTTTGCAGGAGGCGGCTCAACTGCCTCGCACGAAGGGGAGGCTGCACTCCTCGCAGCTTGCCTTGAAGTGGACAGCCTCTCCGCCGAGCTCTCTCGCGAAGGCGGGAGCACACGCTGCGGCTCTACAGTCTTCTCTACTCCAGCAGACACCCCCTCAGCGCTTCCCGTCATGGCTGCCATTCCAGGCAGCCTCGACTGCTGCCGTCCAACAGCCTGAGAACGTGCATCTTCGCTGTAGCTTGCTGCCCTTTGCGCCGGACGGCTGTCGTGCTCCTTCCACCACGACACTTGACGGCCAGCAGCAGCTGCTGCAGACGCTGCTGCAGCTTCGGCTTGAACAAACGCAGCCGCAAGCGCTCTAACTCGCGGAGAATGGTACCCCGCCGCTGCAGCAACTGCTTCACGTGAAAGAAGCTCCCCAGTAGAGCTGCTGAGAGGTACGGTGAGCTGCAGGCTGCACTGCAGCAGGTGACCAGCAGCGAAGGCGGCAGCAGCAGCAGCCCGTTGCTGCAGCACGCGCTGCTGCTTGTGGTATTCCGTCGAAGTCTTCGACTCCAAAAAGACGTTCTGTGTGGCTACCTCGGGTGTACTACTGCCCTCGCAGTGCCCTCGAGACGGTGCTGCTGCTGCTGCTGCTGCTCCTGCTGCTGCTCCTGCTGCTGCAAGGGCGAGACACCGCGGAAGCTCGCTCTGGCCCTGCTTGACACTCCCCACGGATAGCAGCTGCAGCAGCAAAGGCATTTGATTCCCGTAGAGCAGCAGCAGCAGCTGGTCCCAGCCAAATGGGAAGAAACTGCAGTTGTGGTGTCCAGACACCCCAGCAAGAGCCGGAGCCGCCAGCGCGGCGCGAGCTGCTCCTGCCCTTGCTTTTGCGGCATGCAAATGAGAAATCGGCTGCTGCTGGAGACAGGCCAGGTGCTCTGGAGAGGCTGGCGTTAGAGCCGCAAGCGCAGCGAAATTGGGAATGCCAGGGGTTCCTCTGAGCAGCCGCAAAATGTCGGTTGCGAACTGCTCCGTCACTTCTTGCTGCTGCTCCTGGTTCTGCTGCAAGACACGCCAGAAGGAGGCGCCTCTGTCATTCGGAGAGGCCTCTAGCGCTGCTGCAGCGAAGAGACACTGCAGCAGCCACCGTGCCGTCGGCTGCATGCTCGGCAGTGGACAGGCGAATAGAGGGAAGGCTAGAGTGTCAGGAAACTTCGCCCTGTCTTTGTTGCTGCTGCGACTGCGGAGATCAGCAGCAGGGGTTGCCGCAGCAGACAGAGGCACCGCCTCCACATGCAGCACCGCGCCGCATGTATCCCCATTCCCCGAAAACTCCCCCGTAGTTACACTGTTACTGCTGCTACTACTGCCGCTGCTACTGCTGCTACTGCTGCTGCTACTGCTGCTACTGCTGCTGCTACTGTTCGACACAGCGTTCGCAGCGGGGGGCAGCCGTACAAGGGAAAATCGAATGCCGCACACAGACAAACTGTGCAGATAATACGTTACAGTGCCACTGCTTTGCTGCTGGATATCCTGCATCTGGTCCTGGTGAGCGTCTTTGCGAACGAATACAGCATCAACACCCAAGCCCGGCTGCAGAGCTGCGTACAGCCTCTTAATGAATCCAATGACTTGCGGCAGCACGACATCGGCATGCGACTGTTGCCGCTGGTTCGAGGGCTGTTGTTGCTGCTGTTGTTGCTGCTGTTGCTGCTGCTGTTGCTGTTGCTGCTGCTGCACTAGCCGTTTCATCTCGGCTGCAAGCCCGCGTTGCATTGCCGTTTCCAGCAGCAGCGAGAGAAAGTCTGAGTAGCGGTGTCTGAGAAGACGCAAAAGGCCTTCAGCAGATCCGAAGAGTGGCAGTGCAGCGGCAGCAGCAGCCGCAGCGTCTGCTGCTGCATGTGTTACCTCAATGGCGAGCCGCTGCCGCTCCATAGCTGCTGCGCAAGGAAGGCTATATAATGCGTTTATGGATGCGGAAAGGGGAAGAGACTTGTGCCCCTGCATAATCCGCAGCAGATGCCGTTTTGAGTGCTGCTGCTGCTGCCCCAGCAGCTGTACGAACGGCTGACGCGGCTGCAGCCGCTGGGTTCTCGCTTCGCTGCTGATTCTTGCCGCCTTATCGAAAGTCAGGTGTCTCGCTGCCTCAGTGTCGTGGTGCAGCGAGTTTGGCGCCTTTGAAGCCGCTCGTTTGCCCGCACTCTCCGTCTCAGAGTCTGTGTCTTCTGTTGCGGATGCAGATTCCTCCAGCGCCTCTCCCTCGCGGCTGCTGCCTGACGGCGCTGCTTCTCCCTGGCTCGTGTTGCCACTCTCAGTCTCTGCAGGAAGACGCCTAGGCGAACTGTCGAGTTCACAAAGGAGCTGCTGCACTACGGAGGAGAGACAAGGCGTGACACGCAACAAAGGCATTGCTGCGTTCGACACGTGCATCTGCTGCAGTAGGCCACGCTGCAGCGTTTGCTGCTGCTGAGTGTACAAGCTGGAGAGCTCATGAGGCACGAATATTCGCAAAGCAGCGCCCAAGAGCAGCAGCTTCAGCCGAGTAGCATCGACGACCGCTGCTGCTGCGGGTGTACCAAATCTACCGGCAAACTGCTGCAACAGAGGCAGCAGCCTCTGGAGATGCGGTTTGCGACTCTGCAAACTCCTCGCTACGGCACTGTTTGCCTGCTGTTGCTGCAGTTGCTGTTGCTGCAGTTGCTGTTGCTGCACTTGCTGCTGCAAGGAGGGGTACTGCATGTTGACGGCCTCTACCCAGGCAGCGGAAAACGCTTCAGAAGCAAACAACAAAGAGGAAGGCGTGGTCAGTGCTGCACTGCGCAGTGCGTGGACTATGGAGCTGGAAGCTCCCATGCATGCATGCGCCTCTGCTGCTACTGAAGGCGGCCTTCCCAATGCCTCTTGAAGCAGCTGGAGACGTTCAGAATAGGGAAGCATCCGAAGAGCTGTGACATACCATTTCCCCGGAGCAGCTGCAGCGTCGGCAGAGCATGCGTCTGCACACGGAGGCAGCAGCAGCGCCTGCAAATCGGCACCGATCTGCAGCAAAAATCCAGAGTGTGCTTTTCTGAGAAATGCAGAGAGTGGAATCAGCACATCTTTACCCCAGTCGAAGGAGGAGTGCGTGGCTTCGCTGGGAAAAGACGCCAGACAAAAGTAAGGAGCATCTTCCGAGGCTTCAAGGGAGCCGCAGCGGGGATGCAGGCTGCCTTGGCTTGTACCTCCGCAGCTGCTCATGGTGCAGCTGGTGTCGCTGTCACTGTCGCTGCCTTGGCTGCTGCCGCTGCTGCTCCTCCTCCCTTGTATGCTGCTGCTGCTGCTGCTTCTGCTGCTGCTGCCGCTGCTGCCGCTGTCGGCTCTGCGGTGAAGAGGGGACTCCATGAAGGCTGAGAAGCTGCTTCTCAGCACACGCATGCCTTTGCTTCTCTGCAGCCGCTGCAACTGCTGCTGCAGCTGGCGGTGCATGTTTCGGGTGTCTCGCCAGTCGAATAACTCGTCCTGCCTGCCGTGAATGAAGAGGCAGCTGCAGCAAAAGTCAGGTCGCACCAAGTCACTCGCGACAGGCCAGACGGAGCGAGAGATCACGAGAGACGCAGCAGCCGCGGGAACAAAACTCTTAGCGGCCGCGCGAATCGAAGTGTATGGACACTGCAGCACAATGCCGCCAAGATTGTAGAGATTCACTGATCCGCACACGCCCCTGCACGTGCTGCCACTGTTGCTGCAGCAGCCGCTGCTGCCGCAAGCGCCTTCGCATCTCCGGAGACACTTGGTGGGGAGAGTAGCGGCTGCCGCTGCTGCCTGAGCAGCGACGACTGCTTCAGGGACGGCTGTGCTGGGAGGCACCAGTGCAGACGCAGTTCCTGCGGCTGCTGCCGCTGCAGAGGCACGTAGATTGCTGCATAGGACGGGGAAAAAAGTCGACGGCGGCAGCTGCACGAAGCCACTGCTGCTGCTACTGCTGCTAGTAGTGCTACTGCTGCTAGTAATGCTACTGCTAGGAGTGCTACTGCTGCTGCTGCTAGTAGTGCTACTGCTGCTAGTAGTGCTACTGCTGCAATCACGCTCCTTCTGGCAGTCGAGTTGCTGCTGATGGAGGCAGGCCATAAGACGCCTCTGCAAGCGCACCCCCCTCCCGTGCTGCTGGCGTTGCTGCTGCCGAAATCCAGCGGAGAAAGCAGCAGCAGCACGCGTGACAGGTCCAGTGCCGATGCTGCACCCCCAAAGAACAACGCGGCAGGCTGGCCAGCGCAGCTGCAGCAGCGCAAAGACGAGCACTGACTGCATGCAGAGATCTACAGTCTCCTCTGTGGCTTGCCCTGCAGCACGCCCACTCACAGCAGCGAGACACACAGCAGTGAGACAGACAGACACCCATTCACACATGTAAAAAACGCAGTGCCTGCCCTATAGCTGCCGTTGGTGCTCTATGTCTACTACTATCCACTCCCTCTTGTACTGTAAAATTCCGCTATGTGCTGGCTCCCCCGCGACTACCCAAACGAAACACGCATGCACAACCAGCGCTAGCTGCTCGCGAACCCTGAGAGAGGCCATATCCGGGGTAATCGAACGCGAGGATAGCCACCCCCGTCTTCTTCTGCGTTTCCTGCAGCAAGGGAAGAACGTCGCGCAAGTCGCTGCCGTTCCCATGAGCGTAAATCAGCAGGAAAGGACAAGAGGCTGCCGTCGCTGCAGACCGCAAAGATGAGACTGCAGCGTGAGCTGCCTCCAAAATTTCCGGTGCAGAAGTGGCTGCAGAGCTTGTTGTTGCTGCGGAGCTGAAGCTCGCAGTGTTGCTGTCTTCAGTTCTGCTGCAGCTGCATTGAGTGCTCCCTGCGGCTCTTGTTGCTGCAGCGCTGCTGGTCCCTGATACAGAGTGAGGAGCACGGGGTGTATAGACACAGCAGCAGCTGCAACTGCTGTCGCAGCAATAGCCTCCTAATTCGGAGTCCAGACTTAGCTGTCTCCGTATTCGCTCTGCTGCTTCACTCTGTACCGCATACAGCTGCTGCAGCGCCGATTCCACCAGAGCTTTGACCAAAAGCTGTTGCTGCTGCTGAAGCTCTTGCTGCTGCTGAAGCTCTTGCTGCTTCTGCTGAAGCTCTTGTTGCTGCTGCTGAAGCTCTTGTTGCTGCTGCTGAAGCTCTTGCTGCTGCTTCTCGTGATGCGGCTCCCTCAATTGGCTGTTCAATATCTTGAGGAGGGAACGCTGCGTGGCGAGGAGCTGAAGGAGTTGGTGCTGCTCGTTAGCTGGCAGCAAGAATGCCGAGATTCCCTTCGCCTTGCCTGAGTCATTATTGCTGTCGCTGCTGTTGCTCTGCAGCAGCGGGATGATGATCTGTTGGGGGAAGGACAGAAAGTCGTACGAGCTGCTTTCCCCAGACCGAGGGAACATACCCCGATTGACGAGGCTCTTGAAAAAAGCCATGAATCGGAGCCACCACAATTTGTGATTCTGCCACCCCTTGCGTCATTTCAGCAGCCAGGGCTGCTAGACACGTTCGACACGTCTCTGTAGCGAAGCGCTAGACACGGACAAGGAGGAATCGGCGAGCCGCTGTCTGCTGCCGGCCCGCAGAGGATAGTTGTTGCGAGCGCTTCCTTGAAGCGTGGGATCTGTGTGAAGGCGCTAGTGAGAGCTTCTGCGGCGTATCCGGCTGTCAGGAGGTCGCTCTACGCAGTGCTCATGTAGAGGGGTACTTTTCAACACAAGTTCATGAACTGCTCTGGCATGCGCAGCGCAGGCTCCCAAAACAGCGCGCGACTCACGCAACATGAGGGAATTCCACCAGTTTCATGAGTACCTGTGCAACTGCAGCTGCTAGCGAGTCCTCTCCGACGGCGGGGCTGGTGGGAGCTCTCATGACGGATCTGTTAGTGCTTGCCGATGCCTTCATGTTGGTGGTGCTCCTACAATGCATTTAAGTGCGTTGTAAACGTGACAGGTGAAATATTCTGAAGAGAGCAGCGATGGCGGTCGCAGGACTGCGCATGGCTGCGTTCTGAGTGCAGCTCTTCCGTTGTGATGTGGCGGTAGCAGCTGCAGGTGCAGAACGGCGCTCTAGGCAGGAGAAAATCTGCACGTTTTTACAGAGTTCATATTTTTGCTGCTGCTGCTGTTGCGTCGGGGCAGCAGCTGGCGGTATGGCTGCGCTTTTTCATGCATGTACAAGTCCGCTGTCTTTGGCGTCTCTGTTGCGCCCTCGCTTCCAAGGAAGAGCAATAATGCAGGCGCACAAATTCCTCGGCACCCTCTTAGCGGCAGCCTAAGCAGCGGAAACCTCCAACCGCACGTAATTGCAGGAGCAGCATCGCATGAAACCTCTTCACCCGATTTTGCAACGCCCAGGCGCTGCAGTATCAGAAACGTTCGTGTGCGGTTGCGCGGCTGCCCCGCCACTAGAGGCGTCCATATTTTACTCCTCCTCGATCGTGTTTGAACACTGCAACGTCCCCCAGACTTCATACTGCACGAGCCACTCATCAGCAGTGACACCTCCAGTCTCGAGCTTCGCGACTTTCGCGCCATCGCGATGCAGCAGCCCCTAGGAGATGGTGGCTGGTGCTCGCCAAGCGACTTGTGGGATGCGCCTGAGGGGTGCAGCAGCAGCGAGCCCGAAGTCACCAGCAGGACTGCAGTGCAACGCGGTCGCACGGAGGCGGGGAACTGCCACTCTGTGTTGGTTATCCACGGCACCAGCAGCAGACGTGGAGGCGCGCATCTGAATGAGGATCGCCTCTCAATCGCTCAGTGGCCTGTCTCAGGGGCTTTCCCGGAAGGCAGCAGTAGCATCAGCAGTAGCAGCATCAGCAGCAGCAGTAGCAGCAGCAGTAGCAGCGGGAAGCTTCAGCACCAAGATGCGTTGAACGACAACGAGCCTACCTACAGCTTCACCGATGTGTCTCTTTCTACGTCTCCCAGCAGCAGCATCACTACGGCGCTTGGAGCCTTGGAACTGCCGCTGCTGCAGCAACACACAAAAGTACTGCCAGGCTTCCAGCAGCAGCTACGTCAAGATTCGCTGGAGTGGTGGGGTGGCAGCGGAAGCAGCTCGCCGTCCTCCCTTCCGTCCAGCTCTGTCTCCTGCGTCACTTCCCCCCAGTGGTCTGGCTCGATCGATGCGCCTCAAGTGCAAGTCGGGGCTTTTGTGCTCCCCCCCACATCCCCGCCTGTCGGCTCAGCGGCAGAGAAGTTTTCTCCCGCTGCAGCAGCGGCTGCAGCTAAGTTTCCCGAGGCGGAAACAATGGGAGCTCTGGATACCCCCGCCCCCTCTGCTGACGGTTTTTCCGGCCCTGCACGCGTTTGTTTACGTCGTCCTGGTGTCTTTCCCGTGCTTTTTTCTTTGGAATCTTCGGAGGAACAGCCCCTTGAGCAGCAGCCAGCGTCTGCCTTCCCGCCGGGGAGCGCCGCGGGAGGCTTCGCAGGATGCTGCCGTGGAGTCTCTGCCTGTTGCAGGCTCACGGAGGAGGCTGCTGTAGCGTCAGAAGCAGCAGCGGAGGAGCAGACGGGGGTGAGCGAGGGGGGCCCCCCCGGGCCGGCGGGGGCCCCCCCCGCCTTGGAGCCTCCGGTGATGTCCGTCGACGCTGCCCTTGCAGCTCTCGTAGAAGGGCGGCTGAGTCTTCCGAGCCGTCAGCAGCAGCAGCGGAGACTCTCCCATGCGGCTGCACCGTGCGAAGGGTGGGGAGTCTCCGTGTCTGCTGCATGCAGCAGACACGGAGACTCCCCTGCGGCGGCGGCAAGTGAAGAGGACGCCGATGCCACCAGCGAGATCCTCGAAGCACAAGGCAGTCTGGAAGGAACCGCTGTAAGGGCCTGCGGAGAAGCTCGCGAACTGCAGAAGCAAAGCGCCGCCCGCCCCTCCAGCTTTTTGATGAGTGTCTTTGATGGGCACGACTCGGATGTTGCCTCCGAGTTTGCTTCTCTAGCGTTGCCACTGCTCGCTGCCAAGCGCCTCCCCCCCCACATCACTAGTGGCCAGGAGCAAGAAGTTGCTGCAGCCGCTGCTGCCGTCTTCGCCGCTCTAGACGAAGCCTTCAGGTAGGCATTTCGTGCGCTCCGCTGGCAGCAACACTTTGGCCTTCCACCCCTGCAAGAACTAGCCGTGCCATGGCACAGATGACTCCTGCCGATGCTTTTTCTCAGGAAGAGGTGTACCGCCATCGAGAACGTCTCAGGAACCGCTTGTACCAGCGGATGCTGCGCTATCAGCGCCTTCATTCAAGGACCTCACTTGTTTGTGTTCAACTTGGGAGACTGCCGGTGCGCCTTTTTAGCCCTTGGAGACATCAACGAGCCGGACGCCCTTCCAGCTTCTGCGGATGCAGCAGAGGAACAGCAACAACAGCAGCAACAGCAGCAACAACAGATGGAGAGTAAAGACTCCTGTACACAACCCGCAGGAAAGGATGGCTTAAACAAACTGCGCAGGAAAGGTTTTTCTGACCTCCCCAAGCACAGCACACCCGGCAGCAGCAGCAGGAATACAGGTCACAGAGAAATAATGCTGACAGTTTGTCGTTCGTCGCCGTCTCTTCGTGCTGCTCTAAGGCGTGCGGGTGCAGGTGTCTCTGCGGCTTCCCCCCAAGACGAAGGAGAAACGCAGACGCCAGTGGTTGTCACGTGGGAGCAGAAGCCTTATTCGCAGGTGCTGCCGCCTCCGCAAGCAGACCCCTTTGCTGCCCCTCCCCAGTCCCCTTCTCTGGCTCTGGAATCCTCTAGGCTGTTGCAGCTTGCCAGCAGCAGCAGCAGCATGGACTGCAGCACCTGCAGCAGTTCCTTCGCTGGCTGCGGGAGAGCGACTAGCAGTTGCTCCGACGTCCAGTTGGTCCCGCCTGCTGCGGGGGGCACGGCTTGCGAAGATTCTTTTCTTCCCGACAATGACATCCATAGCAGCAAGCTTCGCATAGAATCCGCTGCCGGAGAACTAGGGGGGAAGAAGCCAGGGATCACTTTCCACTGGCTAAGCCGTGATCTCAGGGCAAGTGCGCCCTACGAACTGCAGCGCCTCCGTTCCCTGAATGCCACAGTGGAGGGTGGCAGACTGGGGGGTATCCTTGAGCCTTCCCGCACTGTGGGAGACTTCGACATCAAAGACAGTCAGCCTAAGGGGGCACTTTCCGCGCAGCCAGAGGTTGCATATTTGCATCTGACTACTCCAGGCTTGCTGCTGCTTGCGTCGGATGGCTTCTGGGATTTTGTGGGGCCTGGAGAAATTCTTAAATGCTTGCAACAAGTGCAGGGTGTCTGGAGGCCTATTGTCAAGATAGCGCAGCAGCAGATGCAGCAAGCACAACAGCTGCTGCTGCAGGAGCCTGAAGGTTGCAGTGGTCTTGCTTTTGCTGCTCCAGGCTGCACTGGCATCCAACAATGTAATAGCTCCACGCCAAAGACAGGTCAGGAGATGGCTGGCGCCACATCGTGCACAGAGGCCTTTCCCTATGTTCCCACGGCTGCTGCGCTCTCCCGTTTGGGCGACAAGTTACTGAGAAGAGCTAAACGCCTCGGAAGCGATGATGATACTACGTGTGTCGTGGTTTTTCTGAAGCCCCTCTCGCATGAGGAATGCCCTCTGTTTTCCCCTGCAGCAGCAGCTGCTGAGGGGCTTTAAAGAGAGGCAGCATATTGCGCAGCTGCAGCGGTATAACCGCTGTAGCGAATGCGCTCGTACAGCCGCAGATTCTCCGGTTCCATGTGTCCTGGTAGTGCATACACAATATTGCTAGGAACAGTTTGAACTGCAGAAGCTGCCAAACGAGCCCGAAGACATGGGGTGTGTGTACACTGTGTGATCATTGGCAAGGGCCTCCCCCTGCTAAAATGCACTTGGGTGACTCTTGTATTTTTCTGTGCGTTTAAGCTTTATCGCTGTCTGCTGGTAGACAAGCAGTGCGCACACCCAATGAGGGGCTAACATGCACATCTGTATCCTGAGGCAGGCGGTAAGGGTAGTTCGTCGGTGTTTCTTCTTTCGAGCGTGCTACCCTGAAAATGTCTCGATTATCATCTGGCAAGTGCAGCCAGGCCCGTGAACGCTTCCGGGAAAACAGACGATATCACCATATCTGTACGTATTTTCTTACGTCGCATTATTGCTTGTGCTTCCTGGGGCCTCTCGCCCTGTGGTTCTTGCTGGCTTAGCGCACATGGCATCTGCGTAGAGGTTGGGTGTTTCTTCGAGCCACTGGAGACGCTGCCCCTCATAGCATGCTTCAGAGCAGTGCCTGACTTGATGGCGAGATGCAGAGCAATAGTTTTGGAGCGGCGGACACATTCGACAGTAGAGCTGTGGATGATATTAGGCGTCTACTTGCGCACGACGCACTTTTCAAATTATGGGTGCTGCTGGCAAAGGAGATGACTTTCATTTTGACGAAGGAGTCATGCACGAGATTTTCAAAAAGGCACATGTATTCAGTCGCATGCATATCTCTCAAGCAGGGGACTGCTTGCAAAAGCTTAAAGTAACACTAGCAGTCACTGGCCATTCCCTTTGCAACAAGCCGACACAATAAGATCTTTCGACATCGCTTCCACGTCAATCGAACTGTGTTTCACTTCGACTCCAGGACCTGCCGTTTGCCCGGGAGCAGCTTTGTGGAGGAAGCTGCGGCAGCGAGCGCCAATGGGGTTGGCAGTTGCTAAAAACGGGGGGCTAGCGCGGGTGGCAGTAGCTTGAGTTGCTTACGTAGCAGATAGAGTCGCCTTCGGATGCCAGTGTGCACCTTGGCAATGTGTAGTTCACATTACTTGTTGTTAAGTTATAGAGAGCTTGGCCGGGGAAGCATGTGGTCGTCTAAAAGAGGGCCGGCGAACCATGCATGATCGCATCAGAGCTTCTTTGCTACCTATCTTTACGGGTTGCGCTCCTTTGAGCATTTCGAAGGGACATAAATCTCTGACTTCGTTCCGCAATACGCATCGCCCTGAATACCTGTTTCACGAAATGCTCCTGTTTTGCTAGCGTGCACCTGCTTCCTTTCTGTGCAGAACATAGAACTTGAACTCTTCACTCCTTGTTCTGCACATGTCTTGAAACATTTCAATAGGCAACGTATAAACTTTATGCTTCGCTGCTCTTGTTTGTCTAGAGCATGTATGGTGGCGGCAATACAACTTGATTACCCTGTTTGGGGGTTGGTATACAGTATACAGCTGATTTAATACTTCTGCGCATGCAAAATACTGCTTCGTTTTCAAGCCTTCTTGCAGAACGTACCGGCGTCAGGTGGTACAAAGTGTATTTCATGCCCTTGCCCTGACAGCTGTATACTGTTTGTTGAGCATGCAGGTATCATTAACCGGACTTTAGTTAATTGAAAACTCCTCATAATGGCAGCTTGCAAAGGCAGTTGCCGTTCATTTATATTGCCTTCCTTGTAGCCCCTGAGCTCTGCGGTCGGCATGGCCTCAAAGAACAATGAGAACTATTTTGGAAAAATGATAGAATTTTCTTTGAATTGGGTTGAACGTTTTGTCTCCTGGTTTCTTTAGTGAAACTGTGACAGACACGTTCGCTGACAGCGGCCTACATCCTGAAGTATGCTTCACAGAGAGGTCTACAGATTCATGAATGGGAAGCACATATATTGGCTTATTCTCCCTACAATTCTTAAATGCAATGAACTCCAGACCGCCAAAGCTCTTCTAGCCTTGCAGAGGCATCCAACCGTTGCTCTGCACAGCTGCTAACATAGCCTTTGATAACCTTCTTTGTGCTGGCTGCGAAAAGCTCACGGCCGACAAGCCACTTTAAATATTCGCATTTCGCAGACCTTGCTGCGCAGGCGAAAGGACCGTGTGGAGGTGGAGGAAACATAGTGCCGTAAAAGTGCTGAGTTTCAGGATATTGAGCGTCGAAGACACACAAAACAGGAGGTTCTGATTAACCCGCGTGGGCTTCATAGTCATTTAGCGGCTGGCGGGAGAGCATTTATGGGCTTGTTGCTTCCAGTAAGATGTGTGTTTCCGTTTGGTTCACAGCACTATTTGTCATGGATGATATTCTCTACGTTTTGGTGATTTTCTTTCCTCCGTTCAGCCTTGCCTGAAACATCTAAATATACCGAGGGATATTGCTTGAACAGATTTTGGCTATTAGTAGTGAGGCGTTCTCAGGCATGATATCCATACATTCTTCCTTATTCCTCTGTTGGGCTTCAAAGTCACTTAGGCCGCATTCTTCGGCTGTATGTGCATGCGGAGACCACTATGAAAGCCGCAGGAGCACTGCTGAGCACGTGTGCATTTTCTTTCGTTTGTGCGTTTTAGTTTTATATGGTTCCTAATAGCAGAAGGTTTCACGTATTTCGGCTCTCTTATGATAGCAAGCCATCCCACCGCCACACTACCGTTGGTTTGGTGCCTCGTTTGTTGGTGGCTAGTGTGTGCGTTATTCTTGCCGTTGTATACCATTGACGGTTGACGCACAGATTTGCTTTCTCAGTCGTACTGTGTTCACGCTTCTGCGTTCCTGGGACGCGGCGACACTGTGGGGACTCTTCTGCCTCCCGGCACACAGGTGGCCTTGACGAAAAGGTACGGAACACGTAGGTGTTTGTTCTTGATATTGGGGAGAGGGAAGAAATAACGGGCAAAGCTACAAATAAGTACTTTCTGCTGCATGTATTCAGCTACAAACTAGGAAGGAATCAACTAATTGCTTGTCTGTACGTTTATCTTAATCAATTTAGAACACTGCTAGATTGATACAATGAGACGCAATGTTGTGTGCCCATGCACGTGACGCCATGCCAAACTAACTGTGCATCTATGAAAGCCAGTGCCGCAACGCACTGGCTATGTGTTCTTTTTCCTTCATGGCGGGAGCTGTGTGGGCTACGAGCAGGGGAAAAAGGTAACGCATTTAAAGGACATTCAGCAGCCTTCTGAGAAGTTTTAAATAGGCCTTCCCTACGGAAACAGATGGGGCATTGTAGTTACCTTCCTAATTATCTGAACGTGTGTGGAGTAATGATTGTACTATTCGCGCGTTTTTCTATGATCTTGAACAAATGCAGTAATGTGGTAAATGCCTTGATATAGTCTGACTTGTGGCACTGAATTTTCCAGAAAGCTGAGCTCTCGATGCCTGCATGACAGCCAGATGAACTAGGATGAAAGAGCCTTCACGCAGTAAGGCATGGGCGATTTCTCTCAAGTTATCGATGCGTGTTTTGGGTGGCAGATTGCCTTACGGGGAGATGACAATGCGTGTTACAATGTAAAATTACAGATGAGCAAGGTGTTCCCGATTCCCCCTGAGGTGCGCTTCTTGCTCCAGCGGTGATGAGGCTACAATTTATAACGCGAGTATTTCATATACAACAAACACGAAGAAGCGCGCAACCATTTTCACGGAAAAGGAACGAAAACGCTGGGGCCTGCTGCACACCTCTGCACCCTGCATAGCCATCGGAAGCCCCCGGCTTCTCCCCCACAAACGCTGCATTGTGATGCGAGCTGTTGCGTCCTCTGCGCTTGCACTTCTTGCCTTCTGCCACTTTGTGGCAGAAGCATGGTTTTTTGTAAAATACTTTTGGGAGGAATGGCTTCATATGGTCTGAAGAGAGTATTGTCCTCTGCGTGAGTGTCCAGGGACGAGGCTTAGTTGGGCGTGTGGGGAACAGCGCTGGCGGTCTCGTTCTTCGGGAGCGGTAGTTTGGATCAAGAAGATTGAATGCGCGGGAAGAAGGTGCAAAATTGCCGAGGGCGTGTGCAGGGAATGCTAGACTGAGGTGAGCTTAAACACACGTCCACCACGCATTTGCTGCACATCCTCATGCACTCCCAAGGTGTTGCGCGTGGTGTGAATGAGTTGTTGCTTACTTCTTGGCGTGTTTTCTTTTTTCTGTGACGTGCCAACCGCGGCTAATAGCTCCGCATTTTTGCACCGCGGTGGAGGTGCATAAACTATTTTTATTTGGTGTACGCTTGGGTGTTTGCGGATGATAACGATGGATGTGACTGCCAGTCGCGTTTCGGAGTACTGAAGAACGATCCATCAATGCTGCCTTCCTTCTGAGACTCACGCCCGCTAATTTCGCGTTCCGCGATGATGCATTCTTAGAAATCCAACCCCGACGCTTCGGCTCTGGGGAGCAGTTTACAACCGAGCTTTTTAACCCTGAGCAGCTATGCATGTTTGCTGTGTCATCCGTTTCTATGTTCTAGCGACTGATGATAGCTTACTGCAGGTCCGTAGCTCACGCTGTGACGATGCTACGTCATATCCTCTAAGAAGTGCTGATCGCCACAATCGCACCAGCGTGTTTCCAGTTTCTTCTCGTTTCCCGTTTCGGTGTATCGGCTTTGAGGATGAGTCGTTAGCTATCTGTCAATCATCTGCCCACTGATGAGACACATCCCATTGTACTCTGACCCGAGTTGCCGGTCCATTTGTTCTTCATGCCTTCCGAGTCTAGATGTTACCGCCAGCCTCGGCGCGTCGAAGGCTCTTCTCAGTTTCCTGTTCGAGTCGAGTTCAAAGAGCGCCACAGACGATTCGGCGGCCACGGGTGGCGAGGCGCTTTCTTTGCTCGTGGCTGTCCTTGTCAATATGTGTCCGCGACAGTCGACTTGCCACATTGGAAAAGTCTCGTTTCTTGCGGGGGAAAGCCAGCCCGTAGGGCCGGCCGTTCAAGTTCTTGGAGCTCGTTTTTCCCGCGTCTTGTGCGTGGTGTATGCGCAGCTTCTGGCTCCCGTTTCTCTGCTGCGATTCGGCTGGGGCAGCCGGCGAGACACGTCATAGCGTCCGTACGGAGCGCGCATGCGCGCTTTTCTTGCTATGGGGAAAGTCCCCGGGCCAGTCGGCCGTAAGGGTCAGGAGGCGATCTCCGCCGGCTCATGAATGCGCTGCGGGAGAGGAGCATCTTCTCTCCCCCCTGTGACCTCTGGGAGAAGGGGCAGCAGCGCTCCTGGGTTTCTAGCCGTTGGAGAGCATTCCGAGCTCTCCGCCTATCAGGAGTGAGCTTATGTGTTTGGTCTCGTCAGGGAGACTAACTGAATGGGGCTTACGTCCGAGCTGCCCCTCGCATCAGCTGCACTTCGCAGCAGCAGCAGTGCGTTCCGGTTTTTGAACGCCCTTGTTGTGCGTCGAACACCGTTCGTCGTGCTCTTCTTCCGATGCAAGAATACAGAAAGAATGGAACCAGGTGACGAACGCGTACTGGGGGCCTCGGTGCGTGGCGGAGCCTGGGTTTCTCTGCAGCCGTACTAGGCGCTGCCACGAAAGGGTTTTCGTGGCAAAGCCGCATGCAGAGGGGAGGGTCTGAGATGCCGTCGAGCCGCTAGCGCGGCAACGCCGCAAGGCGTTGGTCCTTCACCAGAAAGTCGCCGCTGGTCTCTCGCGAACGCGAGAGACGGCCGCTTGAAAGGGGGGACTGGCAAGGTAGCAGCACTTGTTCCCTCCTTTGCTTGCCAAAGGGGGGAGGCAGGGGGTTGCACGTGAGTTCAATACCCGGGACGCTTTTGTCTCCTCAAGGGAGAAAAAATGCGACCTTTCGATTCAGACTACTCCCGCTGCGCGCCAACAGCTCATCCATTTCGTGTTTGTATCCATTCTCTTGTTTTTTTCCATCGTTTTTGCTCCCTCGAGAGGGAAGGACTCTCGCGAGTAGGCGAATATGGCTCTGGGCCAATCGATGCCGTTTTCGTCATTAAAAAGTGCCCTTTGGTAGTCGAAAGCTGTCGAGACCATGGATGCACTTGCTGGTAGAGATAGCTGAGAAACGGCTGGCATCTAGTGCTGCGAACTCCTGCATGCGTTCTGCCCCGTTTGGGGCTCCTCTAGCCATAAGCCGCGCTTGAAGAGGCTCAGCACGAGCTGTTCGACAGATTTCCGATGTTGCATCTCAGCTGTAAGGAGTAGGCGACCAGGTTGATCAGCAGTCCCGTGGGAACGACTGCTTACAGAGGTCGATCGTACGGGTTGTTGCTGCTGACGGCGCCTACGTGCCTGAACGGCTCGCGGGTTCGACTGCCCCTGGGAGTCTTTTTGCTGTCGCAAAGATCCAGCGCGCTGTTCATCTTTTACCAGGGTCCCTATAGGTTTACCGCGCTTCCCTTGTGCTGATGAGGCACACGACCGAAGGGCTGAAGCAGCGCTAGGCTGGTCCGAGGTGGTGGTGTCGCTTGCGTTTCTAGACGCTGGTGTCTCACGTAGTGCGGCGGATACTGATGTTTTCTCCCGTATCGCCGCGAGCTGTCGTTGTAGCCACGCAGGGCGCATGCGCTTTAAGGCCTGTTTGTCTGCCTCTGAAGCAGCAATAGTTGCCTGGCGGTCGTGCTCCTCTAACAGGGTAAGCAGAGCGAGGGGAAGCGCCTCGTGAGCCTCCTCCGCTTCGAAACCCCCACAGGGACTAGTCTGGAGGGCTGTTCCACCTGCTACTGCAGATAACGGCTGCTCCCTGACGATATCAGCTCCATCCGAGCCGTCCCCAAGAGCTGTTTCGCCGCTACTTTCCCGTCCAGAAGGCTGCTGCTGCGGCAGGGCCCAGGAGAGCTGCTGTAGCAGCAGCTCAAGGTCGGCTGCTTCGTGCTGCTTTCCCTTGCTACCTACGCCATGAGTTGCATGCTGGGGAGTTTCCAAAGGAGTGCTAGTTGGAAGGGGATCTGGGGGAAGGGCCTGTATCACGACAAAAGAGCCAGCAGGTGAACTGTTTTGTTGATCGTGATCGTACTGAAGGGCACATGACGGCGGAGACGTCCCTTTCCAGCCTGCTGCTGGTGTGTCATCATCCGCTGCTGTTCGTTCTACTGCTGATGTTTTTGTAGCTGCTGGCTTGCGAGCAGCGGCAGCAGCAGCAGCAGCAGCCCTCGCCCGCTGTTTTTTGAGGCTAATAAAGAATAACTCTCGAGGCTGCTTCGCGGTGCCTCCAGTACTTCTGAGCCCTGATCTATGCGTGGACAGGGCTGTTCCTTCTGTGTTGGTTGTGTCTCCTCTACTAGAAGCTGTTGTTATTTCATCTACACGTGGGATGCGGCGTTCTGCCAACCTCAGCCGCTGCTTTCGCGCCTTGTTGTTAGCTAATTGCAGTGCTCGAAAACGCCTTATTACTTCTACGGGCGTAAAAAGGGTCTCCATTGTGCCCGTTGCTCCTCCCCATCCGTACGGTTCCGCCTTTGTAGAATTTCAAACACCGTGTTCAGGCACTAAAATAAGGTTCCGAGATGCGTGGGTGTCTCTGAGCCTCTGCTTTCGTCTTATTCTTGATCGCTGGGAGCTCTTCGTTCTGATTCTTCTCTATTTTCGATTTGCTCCTAGTGTAAGGCCGTGTTTTATTGCAAAATTCCAACGGGTGAATGCCGTGCGGTGCTAACAAGAAAGCTCTTGCAAGCAGGAACCGCTCTTGTCTGTCCCCATATGCCCCCGCAGCTACCCGATTTTACTGCTCCAGCTTCTTAGGCTTCATTGGCTTCCTGACGAAACGGGAAACAGCTAAAGCCTGTCTGCCTATGCAGCTGCTCATGAGTCCCCCATGGCCTAGGGATGATATATACGGACTTCAGGGGTCCCAGTAGGGGCCAAGAGCCTTATTTAGTCTAATTGTGCTTTAGGAAAGCGCATAAACCCCTTAAAGGTCTAAAGAAAAGAGTATTCATGGCAGACACTGGGAGGAGTTCCTTGTGCAGTTCTTTGTGCTGTATGCTTCGTGCACCCTGAATAAGCTGGTTTTTAGTTTTTCAGTTCTATCCTCTCGAATACTAACTGAAATGACTTTACCTAAATATTCAAATCCTCAGCTATGGGTCACGAACCTCATCTGCTAGGGGGCTCCAGCTAGCGAAGGCTCGCTGTCTGACTTAGGGTCACCTGACTGGCTGCAAAGCAGCACCTTTGGCCCCGTTCCCACGTGTAGACATAGGTAAAATCAAAAAAGTCTTTTCGTCCTTCGGGCTTTCTATCATTGCATGCCTCTGGTATATACCTAGTGTTCTCATACGCACGCATCGACGTGCTAGTGGATATCAATGCATGTGTACAAGCTGCTGTTTGGCAGTAGTTTTTTGTTGCCTAGTTCCCTACCTTTATCTGTTTTCTCCAACACATTTGCTTTTCTTGAAAACATTGAAAGATAATGGCGCATGGGCTGAAATCCGAGACCGTAGATTGGTTTTGGAAAAGACTCTCCAGTGAAGCTAGCACAAAACTCACGCTTGTCTTTGTGTTCGTTTACGTCGAGGGATTTTCTATGTACTCTGAGGTTCGCTTCCCTGGAAGTGGCTTCTTAGGGATTTTTTGACTCTACAGAAGGACGAAGATCGATGTTTTGAAGCAAGTGGTTCGCCGCCGTTTTTGTTGGATGAACCAAACTTTCCTAGATTGTGAGACGCTTACGGCAGACGCCTGCTGGCCGTGTACTGTACTGGTATGCGGCAGGAGCTAAAACCATATCCCGAAGGAACACGGCTATTCTTTGTGTTAGTGTAACGCGATGGCGTTTGCATAAATAATGCCATCACCTAGTACATCATAACTTCAGCCAGACGAACGTGATGTCGCTTTTTCTTCCAGCGTAGAGACAATCTACGCGCTTTCTTGGTGTGGCCGATGAAGTGTACCTACAGAGGACCTCCCAATCGTAGCTGGGGGCAGGTGGTTCCACTTAGCTGAATCCCCGTAAAACCTGGTGTAAGCCAGTCCCGTCAAGATGCCCTAATTTGATAACGAATCAGACCTCTAGAAACATAATCGGCAGTACTTCTTTGATGTTTTTCTTGCGCAACGCATTCAAGGAAGACACGACTCGCGTCGCCTCAGCCAAGGTTTTCCGCTGGTCCCCAACAGAGGCGTAGCCCTGTCGCTGATGCAGCGATCCTACTGTTACTGCAATAGCAACTCTGCAACAGTTTTTCGATAAAAGCTAACTGCTTACAAAGTGGCGAGCATGGTAAGACAGGAGGAAGTACAACGAAGACCCAGTGGCCACCCTAGTTTCCCCCAATCCCCGGAGGCACTCCTTCAACACTTCCGCACAACTCTATGGGAGAATGCCATTGGAGCAGCTTTTTCTGCCAGCACTGCTAGGGCAGATCAGGCTGAGAACAGGCACGCCCTCCGCAGCAGCCTCCCCCTCCAGTTCAAAAGATGTCTGAGGGACCCTAATGAGGGCTTTGCTACGGCGGTAGGCACAGCCTTTGCAGCTGCAACAGCCTCTCCCGATGCCCCCGCCATAGGACACGTCGGTTTGTTTGTACTCACTGGCTCTGGCTTCTCGTGCTGCCGCTCCTGTGTCTCTCCTAGAAGCAAGAGCCGCCAATTGCGGGTTGCTATGACATCGCTGCAAGAAGCGAGTAAACGTGCCCTTTCAGGCTCCAGATGATCCTGGTAGAGCTGCTGCTGCAACTGGTCCTGCGGGCGATAGTGGTGACTGGGGGACTGCGAGCCAGTGGAGGAAGTGGCAGCCTCCCCAGCCTTGCCTTGGACCGTGAGAAGGCGCACGCTCCTTGCCAACTGCAGCGCCTCGTTTGAGTCTTCTGCAGCCGCGCTTGCTGCCGCAGCCGCCGCAGAAGCGAAGCTGCCAGCCACAGCAGCGGGCGAGTTTGGCCCCAAGGGGACAGGACGCCTTCTTCCCGAGACGGAACCCGAGGTGCTGCAGCCGTTGCTGCCTCGCGGAGAAGACAGGGTTGACGCCTGCTGCTGCTGCTGGATGTGCGAAAGCTGCTGCTGTTGCTGCAACACAGACCACAGTTCAGCCCCTGCAGCAGAGCCCCCACAAAGAGGAGTCCCCTCAGAAGCGCTGAGGGAGCCGCGTGCTGCAAGCATCAGCCCATCGGTGGCTTGCTGCTGCAGGTGTTGCTGCTGCAGAAACAGCTCACGCTGCCGCTGCAGCACAAGTCCGTCTGCCGCCGCATACGCATGCGCGTGGGAGCCACCCAAGGAGCCGCTGGGGTCGTGGTGAGCTAAGGCGGCAGCAAGAGCAGCAGCAGCCGCAGCAGCTCCTGCGTCCGAGGCTCCGACGCCTAGCGAGACACTGGAGAGCAGAGGCACGGAGGAGCGAGCGCTGTTTTCCTTGCTGGTGCCTTCTCCTGCGGATGCCGCGCTGCAGCGCGAGCCGAAGGCTTCCCTCCTGCTGCTACGCCTCTCGACGGGGCAGTCTTGGGGAGTAGTGCTCCAGTCTGTTCCTCCTGCTGCGCCACTGGAGGCGACTCCGCGGGGAGACGCTCGGGTGCGTCGCTGCGGCAAAGGCGCTGGCGGTCCTGAAGACGTGGTATCTGTCGACTCCTCTCCATCTGTAGTGGCAGTCGCGTCTGCTGCTGCAGTCGCTGCATGACTTGCCCCAGCAGCAGCAGCAGCAGCCGCAGCAGCCGCAGCCGCAGCAGCGGCAGACCGCGTTGTTCGCGGAGCCTCACTACGCAGCTCCCGCGACTGCTCCCGCGACTGCTGTTGCTGCTGCTGTTCAGAGGGGTGCGTGGCGAACCGAGAGGTCGGGGAGCCTCCCGGCCCGTCTGTGCAACTCCTGTGGCGAGACGCCTCCTCAAGACTCCTAGAAGCAGCTGTCTCCGGAGGCCCCTTCGAAGTCGTCGTAGAGTGGAAACCCGCAGCCGCCGAATCTAGCGGTTCCGCCCTTTGGAGAGCTGAGAAGCCTCGGCGTTCCGCCCGCCTGCTGCCCTTGTTGCTGCTGCTGTCGGCTGCAGGCTCTCTGGCAGGAGACTTGGGGAGAGTCGCAGGGGTCACCCCGCCTCCCCCCCCTCCCGCATTGCTGCTGCTGGTGGCAGCACTGGCAGCCCCCCCTTCGGAGGCGCCACAGAGCCTGTCGCGATTCGAGGGGCCCTGCGCAGTCGTCGAATGGTGACTGCCGCTACTCCTCGCGACGAGGCTGGCGTTGCGACCGTCGCTGGGAGTGTCGACGCATGCGTCGCTCCTGCCGCTTGCAGCAGCTCTTGCAGCTGCTGCACCTCCTCCGTCGAACCCCGATCCGCGCGGCGCCTTGCCTGTCTGGAGCTGCTCTTTTTCTTCTGCAGCCGCACCAGGAGAGACGTCGGAGAGGCCTTGCTGCGGCTGCATCCGCGCGCTCCTGCTTTGCTGAGGCATCGCCTTGCCGGCATGGCCATGAGCACCAGATTTCGTAGAAGCCTTCTTGCTGCTGCTGCCACTACTGCTGCTGGTGCTGCTCGCTTCGCTGCTGGTGCTGCTTCTGTCAGTGCCTCTCTGGCCAGTGGCTTCCTTCCGCACAGACCTCGCGCTTCGCTTGAGTGCCTCGGCTGCAGCTGAAGACGCCGCTCCTCCTCGAAGAGGCCCCCCACTCGTCTCCGTCCCTCCTCCCCCTCCCGCGGCAGCAGCAGCGGAATCTCCGCTGCTGCCCTTGAGCGCCGCGCTGCTGCTGTTGCGAGAGCCTGAAGCTCCTCCGCCTTTGGGATTGCTAGTGCTCGTGGCGCCTGACTCTTCATCGCCAGAGAAGCAGCCGTGATGCATGTGGCTGCTGCTGGCGCCTGAAGCGGCCGCTGCCGCAGTAGCAGGAGCAGCAGCGGGCCCGCTGCTGTGCGAGCTGCTCTTCCCCTTGCTAGCATGGCTGCTGCTCGAGCTACTGGAATTCGTACTGCTTTTCCGCTTCGGGCTTAGTGACGCATGCCGCTCGCTGCTCAGGGCACTGCGACACCCGCTGTTGCTGTTGCTGCTGCCGCTGCCGCTGGCAGGGTGCGCTGCTGATGCAAGTGAGACCGCAGAGCTGCTCCCCCCGTCTCCGAAAGCGCCTTCTTCTGCGTCACGCCCGTCCTTCGCTGCCTTCCGCTTGTTGCTGCTGCTGCTGCTATCGCCGCTGCTGCTGCTGCCTGGCGGCTCGGCTTTGGTGCCCCCTGCAGCCGCTGTCGAAGTGGGGGTGGAGCGCTTCACCGCTCCCCCCCGACGATCCTCGTCGCTGGAATCGGCGATGCGGGAGTGCTTTCGCTTGGTGTGCGGTGCCTCCGCGCTGCTGCTGCTGCTGCTGCTCGACGTCTTGTGATCGCTAGCAGCAGTGCTCCTCTCCGTCTTTGCTCTGCCTCCCCCGCCGTCTGCATGCCCCGCGGCAGCGGCTCCCTGCGCAGTCGAAGAGGCCGCTGTTGCCGAGCTGCTGCCGCTGCATGCCGCAGCAGTAGCGGATGTGGACGCCGCGGAAGCACCCGAGGGAGCCCGCCGCTGCTGCTCCTCTGCCGCCATCTTCGCAAACATGGCCTCATAGTAACGAATCTTGCGGAGTTCTCTTTCACTCAGCTGCGGCACAAACACCTTGTCGGCCTCCCCCGCGTCTCCTGACTCCGAAGGGGTGCTGCCCTTGCCGTCAGCCATCCTGGCGCTGCTCCCACGGCAGCACCTGCTGCCGGAACCGCTGAACAGTTGCTGGTGCCGAGAAAGCCGCTGCTCTGTGGATGGACTGACGTCTGCGCGAAGCTTTTGTGGCTGTAATGTGGATGCAGCGGCTAGTTCTGCCTCTCCTGAGCAAGCGGCCGGTTCTTCGATCCAACAGGGCACTCGAAGACATGGACCGTCGCTGCAGGCGAGTCGCCGCGGCAACGGACAGCTCGCACGGGCTGAACAAGAGCTAAAGGCCAAAGCGACTGCGGCTGACAATGCGCAGATAGACCCTTTGAGTTGCCGCGTAGAGCGCTGATGCTGCTGACCTGCATGCAGCAAGCGGGAACCCCGGCACGTGAAGGACTGACTAATGGCGACGAGGATCCAGTGACAGCCCCTTAACTGCAACGCCTTTGCACTGAATTCCTTATTTGAAGAGGCAACGCGGCTTGCCGCAAGCTCCTGCTTCCGCTTCTCGCGCAGAGTGGTAGCTGCAGCGTGACCAGCCCCAGGAACCCTTAGGACAGTCCCGAGTTGCTGAACTGGCGCCGGATGGAGGAGTCAAAAAGAGGCTGTGCGACCGTCTCTGAAGCCTCGAGGAGCATATGACGCGATATTTTGACTGCTCTTTGCCTCCTCCTCCGGTCCTAGCTCTTCCTGTGGAACATGCTTTACCCCTATGAGCAGCGCCTCCGCAACCTCCAGCAGCAGCGGCACCACCAGCGCAGCGTCCAACAGTTTTTCCTCCTGCACACAAGACCCCGTTTTCCAGCCTCCTATCGCGGCTGTACACCTGTTCGCGCTTCGCGCTGCCTGCCCAACAAATCAGCGGAGTCCTCTTGTCCTCTTCCCTCCATCGGAAATGCAAGACACCTGAGGAACGCCAACACCCTATAAAGCAGCCGTTTCAATCGCAACGACTACGTCACTAGCTGCAGTCGCAGCTCCCCCTCTCTGCCCTGTGTGTGCGTATGTATATGTGTATATATATGCGCGCGCTACCACGTGCACACCAAGGCCGCTTCTAGCCGTCTCCCCTCCTCCCTCCCCGTCTCCCCCACAGCCTTTCTCAAGACTCGGTGTGTAGGGAGAACCAGGAGATCTCCTTGACCAACCCCACCCCCCCACTATCGGGTTGTGCCAAATTGAAAAGCGTTGCTCTTCGTGCTGCTTCTGGTAGCTTGGAAGCTCGGAAGCGCGTTCCCTCGTCAAATGAGAACCTCGCCGTTTGCCTTCCTGGCACTCTCGACTCTGGCTGTGTGCGTAGGCCTATGCAGGGGAAAGGTTATAGGGGCCCCTCACAGGGGCCCCCCTGGGAGCAGCTCCCCTGATTTGCATCAGCAGGCAGGAAGGTTCTCTAATGCTCTCCATGCCAATCGAGCAGGAGCAGGAGCAGCATCAAAACGGGGTACTGCTGCTGCCGCTTGGACAGGGCAAAAGCCTGCAGCGTGCTTCCTGTGGGGGGGCAGCCAGAAGCGTCAGCAGCAGACACAGACACAGACACAGCAGCAGCAGACACAGAAGCAGTGCCGAAGGTCCCTGTGGGATTCATGCGGTGGAACCAGCACGGGGAAAGATGGAGCAGTGACTCCCGAGAAGTCTGGCATCCTATCTACCAGGAAAGTTTCCAGGGGTTTTCGTTTACTGCCTGAGAGGTCGAATGCTTATGCCGTACTGTCGATACCTGTGGAGGTCGCACTGCATCCAGCAGCCCATGGTGCCATAATGCATGCGACAAAGCTGGTACAAAGGATGGAGTTGCTGCTTCTGCTCATGGGGTCTGCTGCAGCAACCGCCTTGGCGATGGCTGTAGCAGTGCCTCGCCTAATCCTCTTCCGGGGAGGCGTAGACCTAATACTGGTTCCAGCTGGCGGACTCATCTTGCTTCCCTTCCTATTGTTGCTTTTCGCTTACCGCCTCTAGCCAGAGGCAGTTTAGCAGCAGAGACAGCGATACCATGAGAAAGCGTGGCAGCGAGCGCAAGGGCCGAACGCTGACATTGGGGGTCTCCTTGCAGTGCAAGGCGAGCGCCTCTTGTTGAATGCCCACCAGGCAACTTGCATCTTTTGCTGTACGCACAGCTCATGGGGGATCCTCGCTGGCGGTAGCCAAGCTGGCTAGGTTGCCAGCGTGGCTAGAGCGAGGCAGCAAAATGGTGCTGGTCATGCGTTGAGATGGCTGCCTTATCGAAGCCTGATGGGCTCTTCATGTACTTCCATGGTATCTCTCTTACAACTTTTTCTGAGGCGTACTCCATTTGTTATGTGACGTAGCGAGGTGACTGTGTATCCTTAATTACCTGCACAAACAGAAGCAGCAGCAAGCACAGCAACTGCTCCCCTGTCTTCACATGACAGGTGCCACTTTTTGTCCTAATTTGCTGTGCTGTCCCTTGCTGCATCCTGTGATGCTGCGGGGGGCTCCTCAGAAAGCTGCGAGTAACGCTGCCGGTGCCGTTTTTTAGCTGTACTTCTTGCTGGTCGTTTAGCCTCAGCCGCTGTTGCTGCTGCTGCTCAGTCAGCGGAAGAGGAGAAATGCGGCTCACTTCGATGGAGAGGTGGCCAACGTAGGAGGATACAAGCAGACACTTACCTGTGAAAACAAATGGGCAAAATACTGGTCCGAACGGCGCAGAGAAAAGCTGCTTTTTTCATTGCATTCAACCCTAGGGTAGCTGTATTCTCCATGTCGGACATTCCGGATAAATCAAGCCTTAAAAGGTTGAAAGGAACACAGGCTACGGAAGAATGCTCTGTGTCTGCCCGCTGGTGCCTTTCTACCATGCCCCCCAATCGCTGGACTCAAAGGCGTGTAGATGCCTTCTTCATCTGTTGTCAATGGACATGCTACCGTTGTTGTCTTCGCTCTTAGCGGTGTATCCTCTCCCCCACCCCTAGCAGAAGTTCACAGGGTGTCTGGAGCCAAGAGAGAGACCAGATGCCTTTGAGTGGAGCACACAGCAACGGCAGCACCACGCACTCGCGGCGACAGAGCTACACCCCTGTAAGCAGGAGAAGACGTAGAATATCAACAAGACGGGGCAGGACAAGACGTTCAAGCAAAAAGAGTTAACCCGAGAATTCAAATAGCAAAGCTCTTTTTTGTGATTTACGCAAGAATAAGCGCTATGTGCCCCCGCGTTGCCGCTGCTCCGGATACGCAGATGAGGCGATGCAAGTAGTGCAGTCTGTACGACGGGGCCGATTCGTTTAATGATTATTAGCGGTAATACCCTAACCAGGCTCGCAAAGCGGTTGGGGTTTCTTCAATATTGCCTAGCCTCTTAGGGCTTTAGATCCACGTGGGTAGCAGCTGTGTATTCGCAGCATTACTAAGAGCTGCACTGGACGCTACAGGGAATTTGCATTGAAGATCGAGAAAGGAATGGCGTGCCTCTGTAGAGGTGCACCTTTGTGCTGACAGTACCCTGTGGCCAAAGTCGTCACAGCGAGTCCTTCCCCATGATACCAAAGAGCGTTTTTCTAGGAAAAACTAAAAAAAATAGAGGCATCCCAGCATCAAAAGGCAAGTTTCATGAATGCAGTAAATTAGTCCTTTCCCCAACGTATGAGGGAAGGAAGTCTCTTGTCACTACACGACATTTACCTCCCCACGAGCACCTTAAGCGCTAAACCCTAAGCCTAATTTTCTGCTTTGCCGGGGTCATTTAAGAGGTTGCCGGCCCGAGCGCTTGCGATGCCTGTGCATGCAGAACTCATAATTAGCCGCCAGTTGCTGTCTCCGCACCGCTACCGCTGCCTGATATGCCGTATCAAAGCCTAGGTCCACTGCAGAGAAAGCCCTAAAGCGGCGCACGCCTGCTTCCTTCCATACAGCCACCCACAGCCGTTCCTCTGGCTCAAAGTACACGCCTCTAACGCCGCTTCTGTTGATCTCCGGCTTGCACGCCTTGCTGCTCGCCAGCTCTGCTGTCAACTTCCCCTGGCGCTGCAGCTGCCTCAAGAGCACCAGAGACTTAGCCCGTGCTCCTTCGAAGCCCCCAGCACAGCTATGCCCAAACGCGGCTCCAGCCTGCAGCACCCCCCTACCTCCGTCTCTCCCGCTGCCCCTGCTGCGGCAGTTAAACGGCCTAAACACGTGCTGCCCGTTCGACGTCCAGCAACACAGAAAGCGCCGAAAGCGCAAGTCGTAGATCAAAGAAGGGCGCGAATTCTGCTGCAAAGGCACCCGCAGCAGCCGTTGTTTGCGAGGCCAAAAGAACTCCATGCGATGCCCCCGTCCAGACTGCTGCAGCACACCGGGGTCCGCCTTCCTCTTGCGTCGCTTTAACCCCCCCGCACGCCCTCCAAAGGCGCGTATAGACACCCAGTGCTGAGGGGATGGCACAGGGGACCACAGACTGCTTCTGCTGCTGTCGCTCAGAAGCAAGCCACCGGCAACAACGCACCGCGGAAGGGGGGAGCTTCCTGGATACAAAAACAGGAGAGGGGCAAGCGGCCAACCGACCAGTGGAGAAGCGAGTGAGGCCCCCCCGCATGACGGGCTTCCCCCCAGATGCCTGCCTTTATCCCTGCGTTCACATGCAGACGCGTAGAGCTTCGAGGAACGACCCCCCGAGACGCAGGGAGCGTCCTGCGGAAAGTAAGAGGGGCCAGCAGCCGGCAGAAAACACCGTACGGCACCAGACGGCTTTTCCGCCGCTGCTGCAGCCGCTGGAGCCGCTGCTGGTGCAGGAGGAGGCAGCTGCGTGCGGCGCGCTGCTGCCGCCAACAACCTGCGCGTCGCACTCCAGGCCTGCGTCTGCAAGGCTGCTTTCTGCATAGCAGGGAGGAGCCTGCAGGCGCACCCCGTCAAGCAGCAACGGAAGGAGGCCATAGGCTTGGGCTGCAACGGGAGAGGAAACGTCCCCGTAGATCCCAATTGTGGGAGGGGGACGAAAAACAAACATGCATTGCCCTGACCGCATGCAGCGGGCATGCGTTGCAGGGGCCCCAGGGCCCCCCGTCCTGTATCCGCGCGTGGGTAGGGTACGGAACACGAGCAACGAGCTCTTGGAAGTTTTTTCAAGGGCAAGTTTATCGCTCTGGCCTCCAAATGACTTGGTTAGAACACAAAATTGTCGGAGCAAAGTGGCCAAAACTATGCTTTGCCTGTCACCCGCATCTAAACCCCGAGATCAAGGCCTCACGCGCGGGCCAAGAAGAACACACAGGAATATATACGCCGGAAAAGCAAGAAATAAAGCTGCCGATTGCGTCTCCGGCGCTGATCCCTGTGTATTCAAGTGCGGGTGCCAGACATTAGTGCAGTCGTGCGACGGCTTTCCTAGCTTGAGTAGGTTTACACAGACACACAGAACCCTGGTGTACAGCCGAATGCAGCATGAAGTACGCGGCATGAGCAGCACTGCCACCACCATGTACGATGCTCTGTTGCTGGCAGTCCTTTGGCAGACACGGACCTTCATGGGCGAACGGCGTGGTAAAAGCTCCTCCCCCTCTACAAGGGCCCCTCCTTGGTAAGACCACCCCAGGGCGTTGGCACACCAAATAATGCACTCAGGTGCAGCGCATTGTATGAAAGCCACATTCAACAGAATCAACTTGCTCCCTGCTCACGAAGGGCGAGCGCACTGTACTCGAGAGCTCCCCAATACGTTCACAGCAGAAAAACCTCACTAATAACTTTGGCCTAGCGCCGACGCGACGGCAAGTAGCGATCTATGCACCTACAATGGGCGTGGCGAGTCTCCCTGTGTCTCCGTTTCGGAACCGGGGGGCGGGGTAAAGGGGCCGAGTACCACCACCTCTAATTGCCAGCCCCTACTTTTGGTAGGTGAGAGCTGGCATGTGCTGGATACTGCTTGGACTGTGCAGTAAATTTATCCCAGTGCCGTAATCTTGCACAGAATCAGAGCCTCTCCAGCCACGAGGCCGATTCCATGGGACCGCAAAACGACGTGGATACACTTAGATAGGCAAGCGCTGCCAACATGATACAAACAAAGCTAAGAAGCGCCTTGCTGCAACTAGGGGTCTATGGACTACAACTCATCCAAATAGGGACAATCTACGACCTTCGTATCCTAAAGCCTTTATCCGTTGCAGAGATCCTTCGACTCGACAAGCACACTAGGGCTTATATGCAGGTGAACAGGCCGACCGGTAAGACTTAAAGGCGTAACCACTGTTGGCAGCGAAAGCTGCCAGAACTGCAGAGATAAAGGAGGGGGAGCTGCTGCCTTGAAAGCGCAACAACACACAGCCTTGACTGTTCGTTAGCTTTCACCACCCGTCGTTCTAACTCGCAAGTAATTTGCTTAGTCGAAGAGGGAGAAACCCATATCCGCATCTTCCTCCTCCTCAGGTTCCTCCTTCTTCTCTTCCTTAGGCTCGCTGGAGCCTCCAGCAGCAGCGCCAGCAGCCGCCGCCGGAGCAGCGGCAGCGCCTCCGGTGGGGACCTTCTGCAGCTTCTCCATTCCCGCGGCAATCACCTGCAAGTAATATGTATCAGAAGCACGCGTATCCCATAGGATTAAGGAGACATCCGCGCGTCAGAGCCCTCGTCGAAGGCAGCGGACCTATAGAGGCCACTGTAAAGACCGGGACAGTCTAAGAGGCACCCATATGACATACTTACGGGCATCAGTCAAATACAGCTGATACAGTTATTGCTTGGCGCTGCTAGATGTGCCCTGCCCTGGAAATCTCGCTAGAAAGTGTGGGGCAAGCACCGCTCTAGACGGATGCGAGCGGGCCTATTCCTTTTCTTCTGCTCACCTCATGAACGGTCTTTCCCTGCATAGCCTTGATAAGGGTATCGAGGACTTCTGCATCCACATCGGCACCCACTGCCTGCAGGGTCCGCTTCACGTCTGCGGCGGAGGGAGAGTCCTTTCCGCCCAGTACATTCATGAGGTAAGCGGCCACGTATTTCATCGCCATTTTCAAGGAGAATTGTGAAGAACGAATTGCAAAATAAAGGGTTTCGTGTGGAGAAAGCCAGAGCAAAGCCTGACAATCACTTTAACCACAACTGTTACCCCTACCCACACGGGCGGAGACCCCTCATCATCCCCTCCGTTTGGGGCTGGCTTTGCTGCTGGCGCTACTCAAGCCCCCACATGCATGTACTTTTCCAGCGTGGACAAGTTCCATATTAAGGGCCTTCGTCATGTGGAGTCACTCTGCTGAGCTGCTCTTTGATTCAGCGTCAGACTTGGTATCCGAGTGTGCGCGTGAGCCGCTGTAATTCATGCTACACTCTGTCGCCCTCAACTCAAATGGCTGCTCGAGCATCTTGCGGTTTAAGAAGCCCTTGACATTTCGTCATTTTCTCCACTCATGCATCAAGTCACCGACATATCTTTAGGCACTTGTTTCCGCTGATTTGAACCTGTATGGTGCGTGAGCCGGGTTGGAACACCCGCACCAGCATTCTTGGACAGTTTGGGTAACGTGTATACGGCTAAGCTACACTCAAACACATTTCACTAAATTAACTATATTGAACACTTAATAAATATTCATCTATTGTATTGCAAAGTATACGGTCACTTTGATGCTAGAAAACACAATGTGCGCGCGCCCACAAAGCGCATTTTGCGAGTAGCTGTGAGTGGCTGGGATTGCCTAGAGGGTGCATCTACGCACACCCTAGCTGGCTTTACTTCCTCATGAAGGGAAGTGTGAAGGGTGTGGGCAGGATCAGCGAGAGGTTCTTTAGGGAAGACAGTAACCGTGAAGATTGAATTGCGTCTTCAGTCTCACTGGGGAGATGGTAGATGAAGCGTTACACTTGTGAATACTACATGCTTCAATGCTGCTTTTATCACTCAACCACTGGTTATGAATGCTGTGGGATGTCAGGTTTCCCTACAACAGTGGGCTGTTTTGGATGTTATTTAGTAATTCAAGAATCGGAGTTGCTTTGGCAATAGGCCGGAAGAGCGTCTGACGGTACGACGGGTGGCGCAACGCCTACTGAGACAGCGGTAGTTGGCCTCCAGATTAGCGTGGACGTAGTAGCATTACAGCTGGTGAATAGGCATTATTTTTCAGCCGGCAAAATGTCTGTGGATGCATCAATGAGGTTATGCGGTCAGAAAATAAGGTTGTGTGGGTGGGCACATAAATGGTTGTATCAATCTAAGATTTACTTCGCTTTGCATCCACAGAAGAAGGGAAACGCGTGCTCCTCAAGCCACGTTTATCAGAGGTAGAAGCACCTTTTTGGTGGCTCTGTTGCTGCAGGATATCTGCCTGCAGGCAATATTACAATTCAATTCTTCGTGAACGCTCTTTCCCGTATATTTATGCCAATATCAGCTTAATAGCAAGATTGCGAGGACTAAGAACGCTGATGAAAGTGAATTTATCGATCAGCTTAAATATCTTGCAGTAGGAAATCCTGGTTCGGAGAATCCACGATGTAGACTTGCCCATGCTTTACCAGCGGCTTTACTCAGGTCTAGCCAGGGTGTCAGTTCAGGTGTTCGCAGGATGGGCAGAGACTCAGCTACTGAACAGCCAAGTTGCAGGGCTTCCATGAATGGTGGTATGTAGAAGCTATGGATTTAGGGTCTATGCCAATCGGCTTAAGCCTACAGTCGAAGGGGGTCGAGGAAAGGAATCCAGAGGGAAGCGGCAATCCTAAGCTGCCTCAGAGAGCCCGACAAAACCCACTTGCTCCTATTATGGCAAATTGGGCCATACTGCGAAATAGAAAGCGCACACAAAATGTCAACTTACTTAACCAAAGGGGTTGGGCTCCGGAGAGCCAGGCTGTTTTGATAGGGAAGGCGCATGAAGGAAACGGAAAGCCCCCACGCAGGCCGCGGAGAGACGAAGGGGGCCAAAGAAGATTGAGTCGCAGCTTATGTCCCCCACGAGTCAATAATGTGCTGCTGTGGATTCGCAGTAGCAACGCTAGCGTCATTCGCGACTATTTCTGTAGTCGAGCTGCAGTCCGAGGACAGGAAACAGGAGTATGATCTGCTTGTAAAATTGTTAGCGCAGCTCGAGAGAAATCAGATTTGCTCAGGGGCGGCAGAACGCAAAGAATATCCAGACTGCTGCAGCTAAATGCTAATTTTAATCAAAACGGGTTTTACCTACATAGTCCGTTACTTGATGTTGGACCTGCCTTCTAGCTTCCTATGTACACGAAGAGTTTCTCGACGGAAGGCCCGTATTGTTGGAGGTTAGTTTTCTAGGAAAAAAACAGAAAGACGTTACGTACAGTATTCTCACCAATGCCAGTTTCATTTTTGATAAATGGGTTAGAGTCAGTGCTTTAACAGTTAGAGTCAGTGCCTTAACAAGATAAGGCAGAGTCTGTCGTTGGGCAGCTCAGCAGTGCTGTGAGGAAAGTCGGTTCTTCGCACGCAATTCGTCTTACTGGCTCTGCAGCTGGTTCTTTATCAGGCTGCATACTTAGCCAAGGAACACCGAAAATACGCAAAATAAAAGGTAAGGCACGGGTATGCGAACTTATTACGAGCTGTCAGCAGGCTAGCCGCCTGCGGGTTGTCCAGCGTATCGTGCTGAGCGAATCTCTGGAAAAGCCTCAAGCTATATTTCGCGGTAAGAAAAGCCCATACCGAAAGGAGAGGAGATTTGGCAGCAGTCCGATGGTTTCTGAAAGAGAAGAGTGCATAAATTGACTGGCGGTTTTGGACAGAAGCTAGTGTTGGTGCTAAAGGACGACGGCAAAAGACATATGTGCGTCGACTATAATCCGCTAAACAAGATCAGTATAAAACAGACACTCCCGATGCCTCGTATCGGCGAATACATTAACAAAATACACGGATTACCAGTATGCTCTATCTCTGACTTCACAAGCGCTTTCTCACACATCTTATTTGTCTTGATGCCGGGCACTTCACAGAGTGTCACACTGGCACTTGCCAATTCGATTATGTCCCTATGTTTTTCGGATGCTTCAATGCCCCAGCTATGCTGCAACGGGAAGGCACTCCAGATTTTGTCGAGCCAATTAAGGATCGCTGGATGGCCGTCGATATGGGCGAAGTCATATTGCTCTGCCGAGGCGTTAAAGAGTGACCACAGCACATAAAGCCAACGCTTTTGCTGCTATGAACAAGTAGATTTCTGTAAGTGTTTGTTTTGAAGACAGCGACTGCGTCTCTGGGATCGCCTTCTTCGGTTACAGGGCAGGAGCCCAACCCGGCACAAGTTGAGAAAATTAAGGCGTGGCCCTTTCCTTCCCTTAATGGCAAGGACGCTGCAAACTTCTATGGCTTTCTAGTTTATTACCGGGAACTCATTATTTGAATTTTCTTTTGAAACCTGTTCATTTGACTGATCTGCTTAAGAAGCGCAGTCCATAAGCTGTTCAGAGAAGGCTGATGCCGTAGTAAGGACGCGTATCGGAGGCTTTACAATTCCTTCTCTACTCCAGCTGCCCAAGAAAGAGAGTCAATTTTTCCTAATAACCTATGCTAGTGACGTCTTAGTTAAGAGCTATCCCAAGACACTGACCGCTCTCCAAAACACTAAATGCTTTTTTGTTATTTTCATTACTGAACCAACACGAGGCAGCCATATCCAGCGGGAAAAAAGGACTCTACGGTGAGATGAGGCGCAAAAATGTGCCAGCACCGTGCGAGCGCCATTTTGATGCCCTGACTAAACGTCTTTCCCTAATGCACCTGACGAAAACTTCCAGACTTCGGCAGTCCTAGAGTTGTTTGCTGACTTGATCACCTCCACTTTACAGTGAAGGATACTAACGGCATCTCCAGCATGGTCGCCAACGTGCTCTCGCGGCGCCCCAACAATTCGCTATTGTGCAGCGCAACCTGCACTTGTCTGTGACAATTCACATTGTTTATCGAAATTGCGCAAGTCTCATACTTTTGGCTTTCAAGGTTTGGCAGCTATCGCCAAAATGAAATGGTAAAGGCTTGTAGCACTAATACGTTGAGCGTGGTCTGCTGTGATTTAAAACAAAGAGGAGAATCCGGTGTACATTCTAACTGCACTCTGCAGTGCCAGTTTGCGCATAGCACATAATCATGTCATTTGGGAATGGTGAAAATTACATTAGGGCGGAAAGTCTCTCATCGTTCTTTCTGCTGCCTGGCACGCGCTTCGTGCCACCGGCAAACGCGATGTCATGACTGGATTATCAGCAGCTTATGCTCCACAATTTTCCTGGAGCCGGACGTTTGCAATGCCGTTTGGTTCTTGTAAGACTTTGGACTAATCTGACAAGGAACTGGTGCTGGACCTTTGTGAACAAGGCTCAGGATATTATCTACTGTAATATGTTATCCCGACAGCGAGCCACTGCATCGCCGCGGTGGTGCTGCTTTCGTCCCTTGTTTGTTGTTGGCACTATGTGCTTCTTTCTTCCCTTCGATTTATCTTACCGCCCGATGCACCCTTCGCCTTCTCTTTAGAAGCTCTTCGCGTTTCTGACGACCTGAGCAGCGGTGGTAGGGCGGGGAGCCTTCCGTGGTGCTGCATGCCGATGATCTTGACGTACTGCTACGGTGCATGAGGCTGTGTTCAAAATATTTGTTATACTCCATCCAATCTTGAGAGGCATGGACCTTCAGATAAAATCCAAACTTGACAGAAACTTATTTTGATTCATTTCAAAAGAGATCCCCCCTTCAATGCCCTCTCCCCCCATGCTTCTAGAAAAAAGGGGACACGGGCAGTTGCGATGCGCGTCGCTGCACTCTCGAAGCCCTCCGAACATTCATAGCTAGTTGCACACAGCATAGGGCGCACGCCCACACACCACGTCTTTTTTGCTTCCTATGCGACGAATACAATGTATGAACCCCAAAGCCAAATGCCCAATTCCTCATTAATTTGAAGTTTAACTCGTGTAGTACAAGTTGCCCAAGTTTAGCGTAGAGCATAGCATCCGAACAGACTTACGTGTCAGCAGATTGTATTGTACACAATAACATGTGGCTGAATATTCATATACTGCTCCGGCCACTGGTATATTCTATTTGTTGCAGACTACGTCAGGCTAACTCTATGCTGTCAATGAATGCTGGGCACATCTCAGCAATATCGCTATGTGCAACTCAAGGTGTAAATCTTCGGTGTGATCCACAGGTGCAGCGGCGCTGAACCCAGCGGCCTCTCTACCCTCATGCCGGAAACGTTTGTGATGAGGCGAAAAGGAGGCGAGGACGAATGTTACGACCACGTAGCGAGCCTGGTATATACTGCCTTGGAAGCAAACTGTAGTGCTCCTCATGCGGCGTCCATGGGAAGCCCCTAGGATCTTACATCCATTTCATAGCTAAAGGATATACAAACATCTTCTGGGGCCCTCGAACAGTTAATGGGAGCTTGCAGTGACTCCACTGAAAATAAAAACGTGCGAGGTCCAAAAAATATATGTAGACGCCTTGAAAAACAGGTTGAAAAAGTTAGGGAAAACTCATCCCCCATTAACTAGTGAAGGAAATGCAGACGCATTTGGCCATGGTCAGAGTCGACAGCAAGCCTCGCCGGGTGTTTTTCCCATATAACACATTAAGGGCTACCCTTCTCCCGCCGTCAACTCCGGACCAGATATTTTGACGCCCCTAACGCCATCCACACAGCAATTAACCATACACGTGAACGCGTTGTTTAGATCCTGTAAGCACTGCCACATTTTAGGAGGCAAGCAACCGATATCTGATCCATTCTTACATCACACGCGGCATGCCTTCTCCGCGCGGGCCAATTAGTGCGCTGCATCAAACGGTGCATTCCTAGCACCTACAGAGGGCACTTTGCCTGCATCTAGGTAGCAAGATCCCCTCAAATGTCGGAATCTTGCAAATTCCATAGACGAGGCTGAGCTGGGATATCCAGTCCCTGTTCCCTTAGAATATTCAAGTTGCAATAGGTGTGTTCGGGTGCAGCCTCGTGAAACGCTCCTTCAAAAGCCAATCTATTTGTTTGTGCGCCTCCCCCCAATCCTGCTTCGGCACACTTCTTTGCCTCCACCCCATTTTTCTGTAAAACTATGGTTGGCAAGCCACTGATTCTGCCCCTAAAATACCACCTTCTCGTTAGGGTCTATCCAGCTAATGACCTTCAGATTAGCGGAATTCTGCACGATCAGATCCACGTCTACTCTTTTCGGTACCGGGTCTCTGTAGACGCACAACGCCTCATGGGCTCTGGCATAGGCAACGAAAGGGCTCCGACGGGGACCCCATCTTGCTACAGCTGGCGTTCGGCACTAAAGTACACATCTGAGTGTCTAATATTCCTTTGCCTTCCCGAAAAGAGCCAAGGTATGTCAAACCAGCCACTCCCCCCACCTTGCTAATGAGTTCAACTTCAACACCGAGAAAAGGAACTACCACCTGCCTCATGTCAAAGCGGCATCTATGCGGTCAAAAAGCTTACCTCTTAGCTGGTAAAGGAAAAGCAGACATAGACTCCACTTCAATGTGCTGCCGCATCACCCAGTCAAATGTACTCTTCCATCCTACAAAGTGGCAACACCGAGTCCTCCCACAAGAGCAATCTTTTGAATTGGCTAATACCTAACAAGTCAGCGGCATGAGCTTCCATTCATGCTGCACAAAGGTTCTTGCTGCATGCTACAACCGAATGGCTCATCGTCCCCTGGTAAGCTCTCCTGCATCTGCCTACTCACTAACCTAACACGCCACCTGTACACCAATGCACCAGCTAACTGTGGACTGTCCTCCAATGCAGCTGTGTGGTAAGTACGAAGCTAGCTGCCAAGTTGGTGAACGGGGTTGCAAGTCAAGGGGCCGCACCTTCGAACTTGTTTTCTTCTTGAGAGTCAATTTCTTCAGTGCCCATTTGTTCATAGCCTGTACACCACAAAGGCCAAAGCATGTTCGAGTGAACACTTAAAAGCACTTATTGTAGTGAGTATGACAAACAGCACCAGATGCACCGTAATATTAAAGGGGGAGGCTGGAGAGGGATGATGCGGCTCCAGGGGGTTCCGCTCATACACGCAACATGAATTGAAAGAGGGATTCTCAGAAGAAGAGGATAAACAGCGGTTAAAAGTGAACAACTGAAAGAAATGGTGCAGCCGAAAAACCTATGCCTAGCCATCTATAAGGCCTCTATGCTGTAAACCTTTGCTCTACTCAAGTGTTCTAGGTGCACACGCCCCGCATGAACCTTGGTCCTATTTCGGTCCGTTCTCTGATGGCTCCATACATACCCAGCTTCTGCTTAAAAACGATCTCCTTCATTGTTAGCACTGCTTCGGCCCTACTCACACGCCGCGTGGACGGCGTCGCCAGGCTGCAAGAAAGTGCAACACATCAAAGGCACCGCCATGTAAGACGCTGCAATAGAAGTTCCTGCATGCTGATATCTAGACACCTCTAAGATCTGTGCTGTTTCGAGAAAAATGGCACTGCAGGTTCAATGCTTAATAATACTTGCAAGATAACTGAGCCCAGGACATTTCGTGAACCAAAGGGGCGAATGAGGCCCTAGTAAGGGACAGGCATGCCGAATACGAAGCCACTATAGTCTTGCAGCAATTTACGAGGGCCTAGTGAAGGCTACTTGAGCTACAACTCAACGCTCCTGGCGCTCTGCGGTGCGCTAAAAGCCACCTTCTGGCCTGCAACACCACCTAGGAAGCTTCCAGGGCCATACAAAGCATATAAAAAATCCCACTTAAGGGTCCAAAGGCACTGGGAGAGCCCTACCTGTTCTTTCTGAGAAATTCAGCTAAGCTGAATTCACGAATGATCTTCTCGACCGTTGCCTCCCGCAGGCTGCAAAGCAACCAACAGAAACTCCCCATCAAACCCCTTTTTAGTCAAAAGGGAGTCCTAGATCCCCAGTGTCGGGTAGACGAAATGCTCAGTACCAGGTGATAGAAAGTCTTTTCCGATTTATGAACATATCTGCAGTATTAATGATCCCAAGGTCCCAACTGTCCACATGTCTTCTAGTAGAGCCTGTGGGGTCTATTTGGGCATTCGCAAGTAGGCGGGGCAGCTTAAAGGAATGGATGAAAGAAAAGGCTGCCTTCTTCGGTGTCCTTCTGCTTCTGTACGACTCTGTCTACTACTGTCTGTCTGTCTGTCTGCCTGTCTGTCTGTCTGTCACTTCTCCACAGCTCCGCAGCCACTAATCTCCGTCGTAAACTAGCGTCTAATCTGCACGTGTTCGACAAGTTTCTGGCCTTTTGTATGCAGGGGGCCCGCTCGTCATGCAGTAGGGGACTGGTAAGGAAGCTGACTGACCCATATCGGATGGCGAGGGCTTTAACATTGAACCTCTTAGGGTCCATTTGTGAGAGCGAGAAAATGAATTCTCTAAGTAGAGGATCGATACGGCGGTGAGCTGGAAGGCGGAGGGGGAAGACTCGTGGCAGTAGCCTGTCCAGGCCCACGTCCTGTTGGGGTAACGGAAGGAGGGATAAGTGGTAAAGGGAGATATGATCTGCGAGAATTTTTCCGCGACGTGGATGGAGGAGCGACTACGCGCTAGGGGAGGGGTCGGGTGTTGGTGCTTGGAAGCAATACTGAAAATAGACACTCCAATGGGCTAAGGGATTGCCACAATGTATGCATGTACAAGGAGGGCGCCAGAAGGGAGGGCCGCAGGACGAAAAGGAACGTAGCGAGGACGGGCATCACGCAAAATGGCGACTGCTAAAAGTAATGAGAACAGGAACAGTATGACGACTCGGGCAGATGGCCTACCCGCCAGTATCTCCGGTTCTCAGAAGTATCCAAAATGGGCAGTCGATTTCCAGAGAAGTCTGTGTAGTTCAAGAAGGAGCTTGAGGGGCGATTGAGGGGATGCAGCCTGAGAGGAGAAAACAAACCGCGCGTTCTAGGCCTCAAATCTAAGGACCATACACTCCACGCGGCGAATCCTCTAGCCCCTAATAAGGCCTAGACACTCCCCCAATATCTGAAGGAATCCACAGTTGAGAAAAGATCCCAGCTAAGCCGTGTACACTCTAAAGTGAGACCGCACCTCTGCGCCCGTTTCTCCTCAGCAATGCAGTTGTCTTCCACACGAAATTTGTAGGGCACAGAGTATCCCACAGAAGGGGCAGCCACTGAGGGGTCACCCCCTGGATTCTCTGCTGACGGCTTGCTGGGAGGTCTAAAGGGAGTCCACGCAGGCACCCATCCGCCTGTTACATCAGATGAACGCACCATCCGTTCCTTCCTGGAGAGCGAACACACACATACACACACGGAGCAGCGGCAAATCGCAAGCACACTGGTGTCGATGACCATCAAAAAATAGCCGGAGGGAGAACAGGGCCAGCAGGAGTAACAGCAGGACTGTGGCACGAGTAAATGCACAGCCAAGATTGTTAGCTCATGTAATCAGAGCACTGCCATCGTACCGCTCTTCTGCAGCAAACTCCGCGGAGAGGGGAGGGTCGTAAGAGCTGCGTCGCGCCCTTCTCCCCAGTGGGGGCTGCCTGCTGCTGCTACTGCTGCTGCTGCTACTGCTGCTCTGATGTCGAACACATCCTGTCAAATGGGGAAGTATCCATATGCCTGCAGCTCGGGCACCACCTCGCGGTACAGCCAATGCAGAAAGCTGCAAAAATCGCATCGCTGCTGCCGTTCCTATAGCTGCTCCTGTTGCTCCCCGCAGGGCAGTGTTGGGTGCAGACGCAGCAGCTGAGCCAAGCGCTGAGTGTTTCTGCTGAGCCGCCTCCCCATGCACTCTCAGGCAGCTAAGGGACCCCCTTTAGGCAAGCCGCTGATCAGACAGACCCTTTGCAGCGGCGCATTCCTCTATGGGTTTTGTGTATTAAAACTTTGTCCGCCCCTCCGAGCAGCACGTGTGCCTATATTCTCAGGTGTCTTTCACAAGGAGCCGTCGGATGCGACAGAAGTTACACCCAAGCTGTCACCATGTCGTGCCTTGAGAGGGGCCCTTCAGTCTTCGGTGGCGTGACAGAGGACTCCTTCGGGATCTCACAGCTGCCCTCGATGCCAGAAGCTCTAAGCCTCCGCTAAGGCGTTTTGAGGAGCAGAAGTACACTTGCTCGCAGCCAACGTGGCAGTTGTTGTTCCTGCAGTCAAGGCTGGTCGTTGGTGCAGTAGCTGGAGCCGGTGGTCGTGGGAAAGGCCCCAATCGACGGGAGGTGTTGGCGTATCCCGGGAGCAGTGGAAGCGGAGTGCAATATTCACAGAATGAAGAAGAGAATAAGGTTTGTAGGAGTTAAAATGGATGTGAGAGGGGGCCCCAGATGACCCCCACGACACCCAGGCAGGGACGCTCTAGACCCTTCAAGTCCAGATGACACTGCGGCTACTGCAAGGAGAGCGAGGTGGCAGCAGAGCAAAAAAGCCTGTCCAAAAGGAGACGCAAATCAGCTTTTGTTGCTGGCGCTGTGGTTTGTCGCGGTATATGTGCAAATAGCTGCGGCGCTCCTCAGGGGTCTCCCCGAACCAGGCGAGTCCGATGCGCCTCAGAAGAGTCTTCAGCAGAGGCTGCTGGCATAGCTTGCTGCACCGTTCCTACAGCAGCGGCAGCGTCGAGCTGCAGGGTTATGCCCATGGGCAGCCTACAACAAGGGGCCTAAGGGGCCCCTCTGGGGGCCCCTCCAAAATCGAGGGCCCCAGGAGTTTCCAGTGTGTGGGAAGACAGCCAGAAGCGCGAATGGTCAACAGGCGCTCCGAGTGCGTCCGACACGCAGCTATAGAATCCGCGGTAATTACCAGGACCGCTTCTGCTTCTCCATCGCACCGAAGCAACTGGCATTCCGCATCAGCAAAACAGGCACAAGGCTTACCTTTGGGCCCCCTCTGCTCTGCGTGCCGCCAACTGCACGGCAGCCTTGGCAGCGGCTCTACAGAGTCCAGCCGCAGCTTTGCTGCAGCTGGCAGTCCCCCGCACAGTAAGGCCTTTGCTCCTGCACCGCGCGCAGGCCTCTTCTTCGAGCTTGCTGCAGCCCAGAGGCAGCTGCTGCTGCCACTGCTCTCTGCGCTGCAGCAGCCGCATCCTCCAAGTCGGCTGAAGCAGCTGCTGCTGCAGCTGCGGGCCTTCGGTCCCTCAGCCTGGTGGCATTTTGCGTCTTCACCGGCTTCGCAAAGTTGCCTGCTCCTCCTTCCTCGCGAGAAAAGGGAGTCAAAACCACAGCAGGAGCAGCAGAGACGGGCTCTCGAGAGACGTTTCTCTGCTGGAGCCTTGTGTAGCTCTGAAGACTCTCTGAGTCTCTTCCCTCCAGCAGCAGCTGCAGCAGGCCCGCAGCAGCCCTACCAGCGGTTCTTATGCCAGTTTGGCATACAGGCGGCGGACGTCGATACACTAGAAACCGCAGCGGGAAACGAAGACGACCTCCTGATGCTCTTGCAGCTGCTGCTGCAACTCCCTAGTGCGGCAGCGGGCCGTCCACTCAATACTGCAGAGGCTTTCCAGCACAGCGCACGCTACGATGCTTACAATACCGAGGCATCAAGGGCTTCAACACAAGCCGAAGCCACCGCATCGGTCTCTGAACTTTCGGAGCAGGTGTCTTTCCAGCTTTCCAGCAGCCTTCTATTGCTGCTAGCTGCTTTTCACCCCCAGAGGCCTCTGCTGTCGTTGGGAACCCTCCCGCCCCTCCAGCAACGCCTTGCAAGTGCTCCAGCTGTGCTGGACGCAATACGGACGGCGGTAGAAGCTCTTGAAAAGGGGCCTCTCACGCAGCCCATAGGATTTGCCATCCTGCAGTGGACACTAGACCTTATCGCAGTAGGCCTCCCGCTGCTGTATGCCCGGTGCTGCGTCCTCTCGCTGCTGCATTGTTGCTGCCTTGCTGCTGCACCACTAGCTGAGTTAAGGAGGGTCTCTACCACTTCCTAGGCATTGATTCCTTAAAAGGCCTTAATAGGGCCTTCTTTGGTTCTTATCGTGCAGACCACCTTGTTCACCCTGACTAGGTGCCTGTGCTACAGCGTGCTTTTGCTCGTGCGTCCTCATACTTTGCCTCCAGACAGTCACTCCCCAGGTGTCTGCATCCTCCCCGCTATTGGAGCTCCACGCACATGAGGTGCTGCAGGCTTGCCTGCAGCAACAGAAGCGGGCTCAGCAGCAAGGGCAGCAACAGCTTGCGAAACAACAAGGAGTAGGCGAAGCAACAGCAGCCGCATTGGGAAGGACCGTGGAGGCCCTGTCATCGAGAAGCTGCCACTTGATACTCCCTTATATTGGAATGGTTTCTGCACTTCACCTTTCTGGAAGCCTCAAAGATGTTCTCTGGTAGGCCACGATCGCTGTACTGTTGCTGCTGCTGCTGCTGCTGCGTGCGGCAGCCTCGCTGTACTAAGGGTACGCGCGCAAATTCTATGGATTGGGCTGGTGCATCCTAAGGGGCAACGATACTTCTGCTGGTGTCGGCGTTTCTTATGGAAAGCTGCTGCACGTGCTCCTTCTGCTGCGACAGCCTCTACAGTTGCCATATGTGTGGACTCCATGTGGGTGCTTAGGGGAGCTCAGTTCCCTCAACTTGAGTTGGAAGCCCTTTGCCGCCTTTTTGCGGACGCATTCGACCCTGCCCATCCTGTAGGGCTGTATTCAAGCTACTTGCTCTCTGGCTACCCATATAGATGCAGCTAGCTACCGAAGGTTCCCTAGTAACCAACATTCCAGCTCAAGCAAATATATCCCACTCCATGTGTTCCCCACTAATACGCGCTAGCCAGCCCCACTAACACTCTCTAGGAAGGTACCGGTCACGCACCTGAATACGCTAGCAGCATGGATGTGTGTTTCTTTTTCTCAGGGCCTTACTGTATTGCTGATGCAGAAGGCTCTTGACGCAATACGCTTTCGGGCAGAGGCTGTAGGAGCTCCGGAGGCACTTCTGCTGCTGCGGGGCATCCGAAAACTTCAGGTAGGTCTCATGCACCTGTTCTGGTGTGGTTCTACGGAAGCATCGCAATCGTCTGTTTAGTGAGGCCTCTATGAGCGCAAGGAAAAGGCACCAGTCGCGCACTTCACGAAGAAAAAGCTTGCCATCTTTGGAGCGACAGCTTGATAGAAACTTTGTACATACCACATATAGGGCAGCCAATGGCCGCAAAACGAGTCCTTGCGTTTCTACCTCTACTGTTTGTTTCTGCTTGTACCTCCATGGCTATTGCGACCCAGAAGATAAAAACTGTGGCTCTGCCTGGGCCGCTCTCTCCATATCCAGCAGGAAGATATCCTGGGTGTTGCTGCCTTCCCCAGTTTTGGCGGCTTGTGGTGTCTCTGTCTCTATTGCTGCTTCTGCTCATATCGATACATCTATTTTACGGGTCCTTACGCCTGCCTTTGCTGATTTGGCGCACAGGTCACCCTGCCCTCGAAACTGCATGCGCCTCTAACAATAGATTTGCCACTGCTGCAGCTCCAGCTGTGGCCTTCATTGCGTTCTCATTTCCTGACTCTTCCGACGGACTCCTTGCTAGAGGTGCTGTCTCGCAGTGTTTGTTGCTCTTCCCTTTAGTATACTGAATGTAAGGTGATAGGGGGAAGGGGAGTTTACATACTCCTATTATCTGGCCTCAAGGGTTTTGCCCGAGTTGCACAGCCCTGTGAGTATCCGCCTTTGTGGTGTGGCTGCAGGTGGCTGCCGTGTACCTTCATTCAGCCTTTGTTGCAGAAGTCCTGTACAGCGGCGCCTCTAAGATGCAGACGCTGCCTTACGGCTCTTTCCAGTACCAGTGCGCCCGGCTGGAGCCTTGTGAGCCATACGATACACGCATGTGGCTGTCTCTTTTGCTAGAGCTTCCGGATGACGTTTATCGTGCTGCCTCTCTCTTTTGCCCCTTAAGCTCTTTTTATGGTGTGCTGCTGTGGCCGTTACTGCCATACGCCGTATGCTGCTCGCCCCGGCGTCTAGCGTATTCGTCATCTTTGTGATAGCTGGCGTATGCTGCTGCTTTCTTCTGCCATCTCTGTTTGTAGACGCGGCCTCTCTTGTCCTGGGATCGCCTCTCCAGCATGAGTTGCTTAGGTCTATCGACAGCCGCCTCAGCACCATGGAGCTTCACCATGCAGCTGCACTTTGCAGAACTGTGAGAGCACCACAGCTACTTGAGTCCTTCTATCTCAAGCTGGCAGTCCTTTCCTGAGGTCCTACTGCTCCCTCTAGGAAATCCAGTTATCACAGCTTGGAGCTTGACTGTTGGTTAGTTCGCTAGCAGCAAGGCAGCAAAACACTGTGCTGGGAGCCGTGCTGTAAGGCCAAAAGGAATGGGACTAATTCTTCTGGTGCTGCTGCAGATGGTCCCTTTCATGGAGCTATGGAAACGCCTGCATTCGCCGAGTTCTCCCTGGGCGGCTCGTTCTTTGACACGACCTCTCACTGATGGATTCTTTTCCATGCCTCCAAATCCCACAGCGGCGCCAGCAGCAGCACGGAGAAACAGCAGCGGGTGTCTTCCACCTCTGCAGGTCCTTGGCCTCTCGCCAGCTGCGCAACTACCGACTAACACCCTGCCTGAGATTGATGGTGGCAGCATGACGGTGCTTTGGGAGTTTGGCTCTGCTTTTTTGCAAAAATATTTTGGAACCCCGACACGGGCTTCCGAAGCTGGGGCGGGTTTCACAGAAGGTCTCCTTGAAGGTTCCTCCAGCCGTACGGCCGTAGGGGTGGCAGAACACCCCCACGGAGCATTGCAACCTGAACATCTGCTCGCAGGAAGGCAAATGCTGCGTTGCCTCTCAACTGATGACTTTGTAGATATTATCAGGGTTATGAATGGCTGTACGTACATCCATGATGCTGGATGTTGCACACCAGGGTTCCCATGGCTGCCGATACTTTTGCATTTTGCTGGTCGCCGTGTATTTGCCCGTGGTGGGGATGGGCCATTACGAAAGGGGAATTGCTCTCTAAAGAGGACAGGGCAGCCCTTTTCCTTAGTCCTATTAAATTTTTATTGCCTTACAAACGGGGCATTCCGTCCATGATCCTCGTGTATTAACAATCTACTGTTGCGGCCTGATGATGCTATTTTCTTGCAGACGGATACAGAAATGAGAGCGTTGAACGGCTGCTCCTTCAGGAGGCAGCTGAGCGCCTTGAAACCCCCTTGTCCCCTTCCTCTGTATCTGCACTTTTGCAGCTCCCGACGGTGAGGAACCCACAATATGCACATGTGAAGAACCCCCCCGGAGATGTAAGGGAAGAATTCATCCTTCATGTCGTCTACCTGTCTCAAGCCTCGAACTGATATTCTGTGTGCTGCGCTGCTAAACTGTAGCCCAGGGTACCTCCGCCTGCGTTAGTTCGCGCCTTCGAGCTCCAACTCCAAAGGTTCTGCGATAACTGCACTGGTGAGTGCGTACCTCCTTGCTTGACAAGCTGGCCGTTAATCTAGCTAGCTGCATTCCCACCTACACGGCCCTTAAGGGAGATCGCCAACCACATATCCATGTGGACAGCAAGGTTAGGTGACCAGTACTTTTGCTACCGCTTGTTGTGAACAATTCGGTAACTGCATTGGTTACACACAAAAGCACAATAATCAGGTTACCGAGCATCCGAAGGCAGCCAGGTAGCCAATCTGTTGCACTCTCGCCGTATAGATACTTGTGCTATTTTCTCACGGAATACAACTTCCTGCGTCCTCAGCGAGGTTGCTTCCATACGGCTTATAGGCAGGATCCTCGGTTTTGGTGTGGTTGTTGGCGTGACCCCACCTTAAACATGGATATTTATCCTTTTGTTTCTACGCATGTGCAGCTTTGGAGCCGCTGCTACAGCTCTCTGCCTCCCTGCACGACGGATGGCGAGGGTCCCTACTTAGTCGTTTCCGCCTTCAGCATGTAAGCCGAAGTCTCAGCCTGGGAAACATGCATGCTGTGTGGAAGCTCATTTTTGATAGTCTCTGCTCCTAAGAAGTGTCACCTCTGGACGTTGCTTAGCTCTTGTAGAGTGCTGCGGCTTCTGCTGCTGCTGATAGTGCGTTTGTTACAGTATCCTTGCCCCAAAGACTGTTGTACATAGGATTCCTTGTGGCGATGCCTTCAACAGCTCTCTCCAGGGCATCGCTGCTGCTAAGCCAGCTATATTCAGGTGCCATTGAGAGCTTTGGGGCCTTTTAATGCCAATTCCTTTCCTCTCCTGTGCTGCTCCAAAGGGGTACGCTTCTCGGTTACCGTTTGCTGTTTTCTGCTGTAGCATGTGGAACGACTAGCTGCTGCTTCCCTACCCGAGTCAAGTGCACCCACCGAGGCGACACAGGGTGATGTAGGCCCTTGGCTGTTACTGCAGCACGTGCCGAGCCTCCTCGCTTTTGTTTCAAAGTCAGAGGACGGTGCCAGAGGCTCTTTCGCGGACCCGTGCCTACTAGCTGCTGGGGAGACGAGTCTTGCCCAAAGGGGAGGATCTCAAGGATCAAGCGTTCCAACAGTTTCCCCTGCGAAGCTTTCACCATCTGACTGCAAAGCTGCAGAACAGCCTCCCCCCGCGGCGCTGTCCCTTGCCCTCCGTGTATTGCTCCCTGCCTTATACACGCGCCATCTGCAGCCTGAGGATTTAGGGGCCCTGCTGTGCCCACTGGCACAGTGTCCCCTGCTTGGGGAATATGTGGCTGCAGCGCGGGAGACAGCTCCTCAGTCGCGTCTCGCGCTCCTCCCAGATGCCATTGGGAACCTTATTTTGCAGATCTCCGAGACTACAATGGACGGCATCCAGTGCGTACACTCCGCTCAGGCCCTTCCTCATGCTGTAGCCCCTTCAGTGTATCTCTTTTCTTTTGGTTCGTTCTGCTCCCATCTGATCCGCCTGCCGCTCCCTCTATCGCACGTACCGTCTTTTTTGTTTGTTTGCCACCATCTGTGGTCGTTTGTGGCCATATGCACCGGCGTTTCTGAGGCCAATTTCACCGCTCTGCTTGCTTAGGCCTCTGTCCCGGCCTCCATTGCGAGGCCCCAAGGCTCTGACATATGCCGTTTTCGTTCTTCTCGTGGCTCTGCCTTGATTGCGCTGAACTCCAGTGCCAACGGCTGCCTGTTCTAGCAATGCCATCCCTGTTTATCGCGCCTATTTATTTTTGCCCTGTCATTTTCCTACCGCAGGCACATCAGCCCTCTACTGCGGCTAATCAAAATCCTCGGGATGGACTCTGGGGTGTACGTACACCCGCTGCTTTCCGCTTTGCAGAGGTCATCCCTGCAGTCTCTTCATTTCGAGGTCCGCTCCCCTGTCCTTCTCCCGCCTCTTTTGCTAGCCCCTGCCTTTCACAAGCCGTTCTCCGGATCCCCACAAATAGTCAAGTGGTGCTGAAGTGCTGAAGTAGAGGCCTTGCTCTGGTGAGGACTCAACGTGCAGGATGCAACAGACCTCCTCAGTGCCCTGCTACAGTCCAGAGTCCGACATGAGCCCTTACTCCAGCGGCTTATCTCATGGTAAGTGTCGGTTGGGTGTCAGCAAACCCTGGTCTGCAACTAGTGTGCCCACTACATTTGGATTGCTGAAAACAGGGGTCTAGTGCAGGGTTACTGTGGATCCTGCCCGCACTCTCCTACCTCTTACCCTCAAGCCACATAATGACTTTTCTTCTCGTTGTTCATCATGCACATCCAAAGTCCGAGGGTTCACACTAGGCA